CTCCGGCGGCGACCTCTGGGCATTCACTCCCGCCTGGAGTCTCCGGGTCAACCTAGAAGTGGACTTATCAGAGACTAAGAAAATATGTTAGGTCATTTTGGAAGACAGCTGATAAGTTTAACCTTAGAACCATTGACTTTGGATACTTTGGATTAAGACAGATGTCAAAATTTAGTAGTTTAAAAACCTTAAAAATAGTATATCATTCCTTAATTGAATCACATATTTCTTTTGGGTTGTGTCTTTATGGGGGCACATCAAATTTTAACCTAAATAGCATTCTGGAACTTCAAAAAAAAGCAATTCGCATTATGTTAAAACTAAAGTCAAAAACATCCGCAAAAGAGCAGTTTAAAGAAATAGGAATTATGACTGTTTTTAGCTTATAAATTTATCAAATAGCCCTTTATATTAAATCAAACCTTGAAAGATTGCCAAAATTGAACTCTTTTCATACATATTCAACCAGAAAAGGTAATGAATTGGCGTTCAACAGACATAATTTATCGGTTTATGAAAAAATTCCATCTTATAGTGGTGTTAAATATATCAATAGCTTACCTGACAATATAAAAAATATAAGTAATTTTAATTCATTTAAAAAACGTTTGAAATTATTTCTCACCAACAGACCTTTGTATAAATTAGAAGATTTGTCCCAACTTCCTGAAATTTGAATTTTTTTTATAACAATATTCGTTGTAAGTAGAGTCTTAAGTTTAATATTGTGTTTTTATAACTGACTCCATTCTGTAAAAAAAGTGCAATATGAATAAAATTATTTTGATTGATGATTGATTGATTGATACTGAAGTAGTAAAGTAGACATCCCATCTATATGGATCAGATGTCGCCATTTTTTTTTATTTACAAAGAACACAATTGAATGAGCCATTCACAGAGTGCTAGTGTGTAAAATTCTATTTTCGACCTTATTTGGGAATTTTTTATGGGGTAAGCTACTGTAGATCTCATGGTATGGTAAGACCTTCACTCGGGACCGATTTACCTTTTCGTTTTGATGTCCCCAGAGGCCAAAACACAATCCGTTCAAATTCATACACAATTTGATAAAATTTTACAAAGCCTACTTTTGTAAAATCTACAGAAAAAAAACATTAAAAATATGTATTCATTAGTGCGCTCTTAAGGAATCAACCACGCAAAAGAATTGTTTAGTCTCAATCATGGGTGAATATAGTATATATTCTAATTATATCAGTTTATAATTATACCATAAATCATCTTTTTTATTTCATTCAAACAGTTTTGGCGATTAAATTTTGATATGTAACAAGTGCTTTGGTAGTCCCATAGTCAAAGGTAGTACCAATACAGAATTTAAAAAATTTATTTAATAAATATAAATACCGCAGTCAACCCTTGAAAAAATATTATCAGAGTTAAGTATACTTATTTAAATCTGGTCAATATACACTGGGAAAAAGTGTCTAAAAATGTACATGAGTGTATAAAAAATAGTTGAGTTTTTTCCTTATTCACACACTAAATACTATACAAATCTCTGGAGACACCCGAAAATAAAACACAGTTATCGATGTGGTTAAAATTGGTTGACATAAATCAATGAGGCATTGGATTGTTGTGCTTAATTGTTGTATAGATTGCTCCCAGGTAGCAGCACTAGTCGTGAGAGAGCCAATGTAAGTATTGATCTTCTCTCAACGTTAGCAAGTAGTTCTACGATTGGCCACCACGTGCGCTATGTTACAGCATCGGTAAGGCAGATTGTTATTTCATTCCAGTGGTATTATAATGGTACAGCATCGATAAGGCAGATTGTTATTTCATTCCAGTGGTATTATAAAGGTACTGTATTATCATAGACAAAAAGAATTAAATATTTATATTTAATATTTAATTCCTTTTGTCTATGGTATTATTAACAAAAAAATTATCAACTATACCATATAGTGAATGGTGGTATATTCAATCAATTATTCAATGCAAAAAATTGTTTTAATACAATTTGGCGATTTGTTTATCATTTGTAAAATAATTTATGTGTATATTTATATTTATAATATTCTCTTTTAGTTCACTAATAATATACAGAGTAAAAAATAAAATAAAATTTCTTTATGAAGAATGCATATGTCTTCTTCCCAAGTGGTTTAGTGGTAAACTAATTAAAGTACCGGTACATCATAATGTTCTGCAAAAAATAAATTTAGAATACTAATTAATTAATCCTGCAGGGAAAATCTGAAAGTATTTGATAATCTCAGACAATATGAAACCACTAGAGGACAGTCCAGATGTTTAGATGGTAAAATTGAAACTGCACCTTTTGACTTTGATGAGCAACAAACTGTAGAGCAGTAGAGTTATGAAGGATATTATAATTGATGCTAACGCTAAGCCTGCGAGGACATACATCTGCATCTGCAAGTCCAGCTTGATCTGTAACCAGAAGCGAGCAAGTTACAACAAGAATTCTAGATGAAGTAGTAGCCTTCAGGGTTATTATATTACCGACACCCAACTCACCTACAACGTTATATAGGACTATGGTAGGACGTTTTTAAACTGTTCCTAGACACCAAGACTACAATTTTATCGAATGACTATTTTGTCGCCGAGGCTTTTTTGTAGATACCACGCCCAGATTACTAGACACCTCGCCTACATTACTAGACACCTCCTAATTAAGTTAGTTTAGGCTATGCAAGGTGTCTGGTAATCTAGGTGTGGGTGTTTAGTCAAGGTACTCTGCTGCCCTGTTATAAAGTGCCCAATTTCTTTTTACTTTCTCCTCCTTTACATAGTATGTGGAGAAAATATGTTTTTGTCAAAATTTTCGAGTCAGAATTTGTGGTGGAAATATCAACATTGCGTCCCAAAAAAAAGTGGATTTTGAAGTGATGTATCTTATTTTGTGTGTGTGTGTGTGTACGCAGTCAGATTTTGATGAAATTTTGAATGTAAGTACTAATCTGCAAGGTATCCCCAGGTATTTTTCATTTTTGAAACTTTATTTGCTATGGCGATTTTCCCACAAGATAAAAATAAAATTTTCACAAAACTGCTTGGCCGATTTTGATTACAATGCTATACAAATTAAATTACGGTTCAAAAGTTGTTGCATTTTTTAGATTTTGCCCCTACATAGTTACTCCCACCACTTACCCATAAGGGTCATTCACAAGCTAATAGGAGAAAGTATGTGTCGGTTTGCTGGTATCAGTGGTATCGTGTATTTTACAAAAAACTTTTTAATCACAATATATTACAACCCCTTTAAAATGTCTCTTTGTAGAAGCCAATAACGTTTCGAGGGGAAATCGACACTCCCACCAACTACGAATGACACCCTGATGTGAATGGAGATAAGTGTACGGCTAAAACTAGAGTAATGAAACTAGTTGTCGCATAAGGATGGGGGCGACCTAGAATATTATAGTGCGTTCAAACAGCCGTGGCACCTAACGGATTAGGAGACCCCATGGCAACCCTTGGGGTCTCCTAATCCCTCAGGTGCCACGGCAGTTTGAACGCACTTATAGTGATGAGGGTAAAAAACCACTAATAACTGACAGACTTGAACTAGAACTTGAACTCTGGTGGACAAATAACAGTTTGGTATAACAATATCTTAATAATGTAAAGTCTAGTAGTATAGAAGATTTACATCTCTTACAACAAAACCACTTTATTTGCATTGATCTTAATTTCAACGGAACTATAAACTCCTAAACCTCATATATTTAATATTTATACATTATTTTAAAGTTACAAGTATAAGCTTACCTGGCCCATGTTTTCCAAGTACCTGCCTCACTGCCATGCCTTATCTTTGCAGTTTAAATAGGTACTTACCTTCTCTAATCTCTGCTAAGCTTCTAAGATGTTTTACAATTTGAATTTTACATTATAAACATTCCAACAGTGTTTATTTTGTCAGTGTTCAAATCAAAACAATAGATTGTAGCTTTTAAATGTTTTTATAGTCTACCTCACATTTAAGTTATCTGTATGCTTTCAGACTTATTCAAATGCTTGAATGCTGTATGAGGATATTAAAAGTGAAGGAAAAAAAATTCTGAAAAATATAAAATTAACTGACTTATTATACTCATCAAACCCTATGAGCTTTTCAAAGCAATAATTTTTAACTTAATTTGTGCCAGTTCTTCTTCTGAATTTATCACTAAATCTATCTCATTGACTTTATATATCTACACTGTGTAGATATAAAGTCAATTATATTATTTTCCATCCAATTTTTATAAACCTTGACCTTCCAAAAAATATTGTATATATATGCTACAGTGTTATATGTCCTATGGGTTATATTTAATGTATCTTTAGCCCTTTAGGGTTGGATAGGCCAAACAGGCCTGCCGGATTTAAGTTTTTTTACTCAAAATATTAATTTTTTTGCCATTTAATTGTATGGATTTTTTAATGACATCTGTTGATTGCTTTCAAATATGCTGAAAGCTAGCGACGATGGGAACTATTATGTGTAAATTTTTTTTTCCCTTTTAAATCCTTTAAGGCTTTTTAACTCAGCTGTCTGCTGTTGATCTATGTCCAGCAAACTGTACAGTTTAGAAAAGATAAAGGTAATAATAATGGAAAAGTAGAAAAATATAAATTTATTCAATTCACACCATATACCTTATTATCACATACTAAATCATCGTTACTGTAGTTTAAGTCTATGAATTAAATTTAAACCCCTTTGATACAGTTTAACTAGACATTTTATATAAGAGGAGAAATTATTTTTATTTATTAAATTAATAAATACCTTATTCATACAAAGATAAATTGATTTATGCAGAATGATATTTAATTTTATCACTAAAATGATAGACAAAAAATTGATATTTTTAGATGAGCAATTTACATTACAAAAATATAAAAAATAATCTTATAAAACAGTTTTTTATAAGTTTTTGTTCTGTTTAATTCATAATGGTAGGGATAAACACAAACAGGTAAATAAAAAAAGGTAGGTACAAACATATGAATGCAATGCATAGTAAAAGTTTTTATTTATAACCTTTTACTTATTCTACCACGATTCTAGAATTATCTTTCATCACAGACAATACACTTTTACCCTGTAAATATTATAGTGCTAAAAAACCATAGGTAAAACAACCAAATTACAAAATAAAAAAACTTAAATCTAAAACTTAAACAACCAATGATACCTATGAAATTGCAGTAGCAGTTCCAAGTGGGTGGTAGGGAGGAAGGGGCTGTAGGGGTCAACCCCCCCCCCCCATTGGACCCTGGCAAAATATATTCAAACAAACATTTTGTCTTAACAGCGTAACAGAGGTTTTTGGAAACAGATGTAGGCGTTAAAAAGTCACAAAACTACTTTAAAATAAAAAAAAATTTCAGGGGAGGTCCCCCGGACCCTCTCCTCTCTTATAACACTCCCTCCTCGGTAGCCTTCCCAGTTGTGTACAACTTAATATTTTCAAAGATTCTGATTTTACAAACAACCTACTGAATTAAATTAGTTTTGTTTGAAATCCTTGAGAGGGTAGTTATTCTTGTAGGTTTTCAGGTGGTTGTCCATGTACTCCATTTGTTTCCTAAAACAAAGAAGGAAACAATAATTACGGAGTGATATTTATCAACTTACACGCTATGTAATGCAAGTAGTTTATGAAACAGTTTAACACTACTCAAATTAACAAGAACACATGGAATTTTATTGTAATACTAGCTGTGTGCCCGTTCTACGCACGGGGATCTTATCATAGTCAGTTAAAACCTTCTTATAAAGCACAGCAGTTGGTTTGCATACTTTCAGATATGCTGACAAAACTATTCCTTCGCAAAACAGTATCTGACAGTTTCAAGCCAAAACTAATGCTTCGCAATTAAATGTCACCCGGATCTTGTTGGTCCATATGTTATATCCAATGATTAAACTAAATAAACGGTATCAGCATTCTGACACATACTTTCTCCCATAAGTTTGTCAACAACCTTTATCATGTGTAAGCGGTGAGAGTAAATATACGGAAATGGGATTTGTACAATTTTGTTCAGAATTTAAAGGACTATAACATAATGGTTAAAAGTATTTAAGGTACTACCTCAACCTCTTAATTTAACACTTTATTCGGGTTGACATTTTCATTATCAAGGCGCTCTTGTCCTTTCCGTGAAACATTGAGAAACAAGGACATTAATGCGTTACCATCATACATACACACAAAAATACCGAACTAAATTAGGGAATCTGCTACGCTTTAAGCATAAAAAGGTACATATAAAATTAGTACTTGAAATCTTTGTTAATGCCATTAAAAATTTGATCATAACAATTTATATTTGCTTGGACCGGAGATGACTCGAAATTCTGTCGAAATGCTATCTGAATCGGTTTGCTATATGAAATGAAGTACAGTAGGCCTACTATAGACGATTTAGATTGGTAATTTGTAATAAAAATTACCAAAATAGGCCACGAACTTAAACAACGTTCAAAGTGTTTGAACAATTCATGATGGTTTGCTGAATAAATGTTTTACTAAAATGCGTTATAGTTTTCTTAGCATAACATTTTGGAATCCAGACAGAAAAAGCAAAAATTATACACTTAAGACATCAATTAAATTGAATAGGCCTACGCCTGTAATAAATAAGGTGCAACACCAACGATAACTAATTTGTAAATTACTGTGATGTGTTGGTACGTAAAAATGATTCTTGCTGCTACTAAACGTTAAAAGGAAAAGAACCAGTACCGTACCAAAAACCAACGTTTACAGTTAAGAACTGTAGTACAGCCGACCAATTATATGCGTTAATCAAGGTTATTGATCTCTTGGTTTTGGATTTTCTCGTAAAAAGTTATCGGCAATCAAAGTTATTTCCCATTAATTGCTTTATTTCTACACAACTCTTAATGTAAACTTATCGGTGTCAGTTTGAAAAAAAAACCTTATACAACATAACTTTCTGTTATTTAATAGATTACGTATTCTCTAAACAATGGTTGCTGGTATATATATTAACATTATAAGGAAATGTGACAAAAATCACACAACGTTGGGTTTTTGGACGTTTATAATTTTATTTCTTAAGTACCTAGGTAGGCCGTGTATTCTATGGAAAAGTACCGGTATCAAGGATCGTTGTCGAAAGGGTTGTTATAAATAATTGGGTAAGCATACGTACCACACGTACCCAAGAGAAGGGCTATGGGCCTATTGGCTGTATGGTCCAGCGATTGCATCACACGGTGAGTAGGAACTATTGACTTATTTATATAGTCAATGGTAGGAACAGAAAGTGACACATTGGAAAATCGAGTTCAGCATCATCCGTAAACCTCTGTTACAATCACCCACTGCAGTTGTAATTTTTTGCTTTACACTTTACACAACCGCCATTGAAGAGCCGTCAATGAGTGGAACATTGTTTCTAAGCTATTGGCGACGGTCATTAGTAAATTTAAGTTTCCCAGCCGTATACAACACTGATTCAATCTTGATTCAATGTCTTCTTTCTGGTTATCAAAACTCCAAAACAATTTTATACACATATTTCTGGTCCCTGACCTGGATGATGCCTATAGTTATTTAATTTACGGTTACACTATATTATTCCACTTGCGATTAATTAAATCCTTTATGTAATAAAAACGTTTTTAATCTCACTTGGATGGGATTTGCCTTCAAAACGTGATCGGAAATGGTTGTGGTGTTTGTAAACAACATTTGTAAACATTTCAGTGACAGCTAGAAAAAATAATCTTGATCCGAACAGCTGTTCGTTGTTTCATAGATGATTATGTGATACAAATTGGAAGAAAACTTGACCAAAATCGCACAAAACTGCATTTTTGAACGGCCGTAATTTTAATTACAAAGTAGTGAGACCATATTTTAATGGCTAAAGACACTCTCGCCAATCCAGTAAATACATTAAAATGACTTGGGTCTTGATAGGTACTCTCGTTTTCCTGGAGAAGATTGCGTAAAATGCCATCTTGAGTGTGTCAGACAGACAGACAGACAGACAGAAATTTAGATGAGACTTGTTTCGGCTTCTTTAATGTATAAAACGTAAAAATAACCTAAAAATGTATGATTCTGAGCAATGTACAGACAAAACTCTAATTTTATTTATATAGATTATAACATTGTACACTACTTACGCAATGTGCTTTGGCATTTCATGGTAAACATCTGTGAACATTTCTTTCCACTCTGGTTTCAGCTTTTTCTCTGAGCTAATAAACGTTTCGAGAACCTGAAAAGCGAGTTCTTGATTACATTCAGATTTAAATACTAGATTAACATTTTCACAATTACAAACAGTTTATAAAATAAAAATTTTTAGGTTTAATCAGAATAATTTAACAGTATAAAAGAAAAGCTACCGTAAAAACAACAAATCTACGGTCAGATTTTCTCATAGATAGGAGAGAAGAAAGCAAGAAGCATATGAGTTTGTTTAACAATGGAGGCAGGTAGAAAAAAAAAAAACACCTAGAAATTGTTTAAAAAATAAAATAAGACAAAATGAGAAATACAATACTTTAAGGTAGAAGGAATTTCTAAACTGCTTCTTCAGGAGAAAGCATTTCGCCTTTTCACCTCCTTCTGAAGAGTCCTCCTTGTGGGGGAAAAGTAGCCAAATTGATTTTGTTATGGACTTTTTATTTTTGTAAACTGCCAGGAACTCTTTTATTGGGTAAGTTAGCTGTGTATCAATTCTTTCTTGCTTCATGTGTTGCTAAGCCAAGCGCTCTTTTCTACAACATAGTATTGTGTAGGAACAACTTTGTTGCACTGAATAAAAAACTGCTGGTGAAAAGCTCTTTGAAAGACAATCATTCAGTTGTTGTTTTAGAAATACTCTTGCACAACAGAACCTCGATGCTGTCCAGTTCAATCCATGGCGGGGACTGAAATGGTTTGAGTGGCCGATGACAACACGACTGATAGTATCTGCCTTCTACAGCTGGAGTACTATGCGAGTCATACTGCTTAACACGTTCGCTACCACAATTATATGGGATTTACGTTCGCATAGACCAGCGACGCAATTGTGCGTCGACTCGTTTCTCACAATAGACCACCGACGCATATTTGCGTCAGCTGGTCACATTTGAAATAGACTAACGACGCACATTTGCGTCGGTGTTCTAATGTTACTAAGCAGCGTATTTCTTAGCAACGGTCTATTTTAAAGCCCTGATTTTATCGTATCGGTCTAGAGGGATATCTGCCGCAAATGTGCGTCGCTTGGTCTGTGGATATGACGTCACACAACAGTTGGCAAAATTTTTGTTTACATTGTGTATTCCGCGACATCACAGAACAGATGTAAACGCTCTAATCTTTGAAGTTTTGGCTAGTAAGTGTTTAGTGGAGTTTCTTTATTTGTTTGTGTAAAAGCTTGATCATGAAACGCAATAGGTCTACTAGGCCTAAAAACCCATCTTTTTAACCGGATTTCATTAAATAGACTGACCGACGCATATATGCGGTGTTTTAAAATTTGCTCAAAACGATAAATAAAACAATATTTATTGCTTACTAATTCACTTAAGGTTAATATGAAGTCAATTAGTCCATTTAAACGATATTTCTCTTTTGGTCTGTCGGCAATGTTATTCCTATATCACTTGGTCTGTAAGCAACGTCATGATCATTCCTTTTGGTCTGTAGGAGTGACCGGACCGACGCAAATGTGCGTCGCTCGGTAGCGAACGTGTTAATACATTCTGCCCTACCCTCAAATGAGTTTCCTACTATAAATAACAAACACCTCAGCTTCTGATTTATTCGTGTCCTTAGCTTCTGACAGTAACTAACGTCATTGTTAATACCTGCTTCTTAGAGGCCGCCACAAACTGTTGTTCCTGTTCAGAGTCCCACAAGTTGCGAGCCTCTAGGAACAGCCGTAGACGATCTATGGGGTTGTACTGCTGCCACAGCTGCATCTCCTCAGTCTGCCTGTAAGCGCTACTGTCATCGGACGTACTGTGAGCACTCACTCTGCGAAAGACAAACCAAATGTAGACAAAGTTATGTAGTTCTTAAATTCATGAATACAAGCAGACATCAAAACATCAACAACAAAACAACAAAACAAAACAGGAAAATGAATTGGAATAACTTGTTAAAACACAATCGACACAGTGGCGGCGATAAGAGTTTATCGATAAGATAAGAGTTTTTTATAATTAAAAACGTAGGGTTAATCTTTCAATTTCGTGAGTGTGATCCTCGCTGACATAAAGCTTTTACTTTCAATCGGTCATTATTGTATTGAGAACTGAGAAAATCGGCTCGAGCTTGATTTTCTGACTTTGTGATTGATCTCTCAAGCTTGTAGGCCAGGCACTGATTTGCTCAAAAATCGACATTGTATGGAAATCAACAGTTTGGAAAGCAACCCAATTTTTAACCGATCTGATTTGGACTAAAGCCTATCGGTAAGTAATACTTTTTACCTGACTCAAAGTAAACAAATCTAAAGTGAGAAGTAAACAAATCTAAAGTGCAGCCTCCTAATAGTAAGAAATGAAATTAAATGAGAAACCTTCTTCAGCATCAATGAAAGAATGGAATTATTTATTAGCTAGTGCCCTAGCCACCTAGATTAATTCGCTGATTTAATAGTAAAAAAATGTTCATTTGAATCAGCATAAAGGGCCCTCTCTGGTGTGACCCGCCAGGGGCTAGGAGGATTAACATTAATGTTTTATCCTCCTAGGCCCGGGGCCACATTAGTTCTAACTACGGCCCTATTATATATAGCGCCTTCACACAGTCCACGAGGAGGACAGTTGATGCAACCAGCATTACTGATGACAATTCTTTTACTTAGGTTGGTAGAGAATTTATATCGATCGGCTAAGTAATACAGTAGTGTCAGTTAAGCTGTTGTAGCATCGTCCTAGAGCTTGTACTGGGTTTAACAAATTTTCGTCATAAAAAGTATGGTAATTCTCATATAAATATTGTTTTGATAGGGGACCCGTGTGGCTGAGCCTGTCAAACAATTGCGAACGCGTGTCCCTGTAAAATTTCCCGAAAAATACCGGTCAAGGCTCACGCGCCGCCCTAGCTCGTGGGCCCCCACGCACCGCGGGCCCGCTACAGCCGCCACTGAATCAACGATGAGCCACAATCTTAAACTGCATCTTAAATTAGCATTTTTAAGCTGTCTACAATCTGTACAATACCTGTAAGTCATGGCTTCCAGAATGACAGGTTTGTTCTCCGTGATCGCATACTGACGGGCAGCCATTGTGCCGTTGTAAACAGCCAAAACATCGTTGCCGTCCACCCTAGCAGCTGCTATACCATAGCCCTCGGCTCTCGCTACAATGCCATCTCCAGCATACTGCTCCTTGCTAGGGGTTGATATTGCGTAGCCGTTGTTTCTGCTGGAACCATTGTGTGAAAATAGGTTATGGCTATCAAATGATATGTCAGTTGCTCAATAATATCTTACCTGAGGCCGGTTGGATGAAACGGAAAATTGTAAAAATCCATTGCAAACATGTTAAAAACTATTAAATTAAAACAGATTTCTTGTTGATAAATGGCTCAAAGTTTGTCTGTCATTTAAATCTTGAACATTCTTTAAAATCTTCACTAAATGTCAAACACCCAGATTATTAACACTGCAATCTCCAAACCTGTAACTTTTAGTTGTTATAAAAGCGTAACCTCATATAGATCGGAACAAACCTTAAACTGTTGTAGGTAAACCTATCTAGGGAATGAAAAAGATCCTCAAGACAGAACTTTCTCACATTTGAGAACTCTCCAACACAAAAAGCCATAGGATAATGAATTAAATAGTCATTGATCATTGGTACATTGCTTTGGATTTAGACTCAACGCTAGACATACCGTTTTTACCAACCAAAACATACTACATACTATCAAAGAAAACAAACTACTAGTTTGTTACGTTACCAATAGAAAATGATGGGACACTGGAGGGTAGCAGCGAAGTTGAATGCTGCGTGAGTATCTCCCTCGCTAGCCGCTCCCTCCCCGAAGTACACAATCGCACAGCCTCCCTGGCCAGACCTCTTGAGTGCATACGCTGCCCCCACGGCTGTAGGAAGTTGGTACAATTTAATCTTTAAGCACCAAATGTGTGAATGAAAATAGAGTAAGGTATAACCATAGCTTGATTTATCGAATTTGAGAAAATTGAACTTTGGTGCAAGAGGAATAATTTTGATTCCCTGCATGTCCACAAAAATAAGGGGTTTTGACAGCTACCTCTTAAAGGTGTTTGTATTTAATCCAAAATGCCACAATAGTGTGAACACTAAAAATCTAGATAGACTTACAGTTTCTCTTCATCGTCCCTTTTCAACCCTTTGAATTTTCTCCTATCCATAAACATTCAAACTGTATAGTGCCACAAAAACAAAAATCTGATTAGAATTATTTGTACCAAATATAGTTAAAATAATTATTCAAGAAAGGTCCTAAAAAGCTTAATTGAGCCCTGGGTATAAAAACTGGATGTAGCTATACAACTACAGCATTTACTGTACTATAAAATGTACTGTTATTACAATTTATTGAACTTCTGATTGAATTGCCTGATTTATCCGTAGTCAGAAAATTCCAAATGGAACAATGGGCAAAGCCACAGGTCACTGATTTAATTAACTGCACATGATATAATTTTGTACCTCATAGTATGTTACGTTACTAGCCCAGTAAGTGGTGTTTTACCAGCGGGATTTTCGTGCAAGTACGGTAAAGCTTACCGGGCAAGTAAGATACGATACTTTACATCATATACTACAGAGAAAAAGAAATTCACTATACATATAGACTAAGTGAAACTTACCTTGAGGAATCTGTGTGGCTAAGGGAGAAGACAAAGTTACAAACTTATGCTTCTTGGAGCCGTAGTGGATTGGCATTTGCCTACCTTTGCCTTTGTCCTCACAGTTGCCATAACACTGATTTATAAATGCCTCTAGATCGAATCCTCTGTACATCAGAGTTCCTGAAACCAATTACAACAGTAATATGTTTAATAAATCAGAGTTTCTGAAAAATCTACAGATTAAAGCCCAAAAGAAATGTAGTGTCACAAGATCTTCTACACATGAAGTTCAGAGATGAAAATTGGAATTGACGTTTCACTTTCGGATGTCGGTGCTAAGAAACAGTTTTCGTCATATCCTTATTCTCTCTGAAAAAAATCAAAGGTTCACTGTAGCTTTTCCAATAACTACTTAGGTACAAGTGGTCAAGACTTAGGTAAGTGTGGCGTTGTAAAAACAGGGAGTCTGCAAATGTGACTACAAAATATAGGAAATAAACAAAGTTGAGACTGTCCAGAAATAACGAGAAACATGAAATAATGACAAAAGAAGTTAAGCTGACTGAGCCAATAAACATACACAAAAGCATATCCAAACCTTATCTAAATAACTTCTCACTCTGAAGAAGAAAGACCCAAGCTGCAAGAAAGATTTTCATCACTGCAAAAATGGACACGGCCAGTTAGATAAAACTGCCACACTTCTCAAAAGAGAATGCAAGCTGGCATTTCTATAGTAAGGAATAATGCTTTTACTTGAGCTGTATAAGGCTCGACTTTATGATGACACAATCCTTTGAGGTGATGGTACAATAAGCCAACAGGCTGACGTGCAATAATTCATTACGATTACTTTAAGATACAATTATGTTTCTTTATATAGCCAGGAACATTTTATTCATTAAAGCCCAATGATTAGGAACAGCTGGGTCAAGTTTCTAACCATAAAAAAAGCCAGGCACATTTTTCAGGATATTTTTCTCAGGATCGAACTGAAAACCTCTTGATTGCTAAGCAAGCATTATAAATAACCACTCACCTGCTACCCAGCTAGCCAAAAGCAGAGTCCCTAGACCACATTGGTTTATTTCGGTATTATTTTTGCTACTGGCATTTTTTACATTTTTAAAAGGGAGTGGTCGAAACCCTCGTCTTATTATTCCACATTGAATGCAGGGCCTGATCATGTACAATACCCTCTACCTTGAATAATAACATATAATAAGAGGTCTTACACCACCTTCTTTCATTTGTGTATCTCCTAGAGATATTAGCGACAGCAACCAAATATAAAAACAAATTTGGAACACACTCACCAGCCTCTCTATACTGGCTGAAGATCCAGTCGGAGTCATGTAGAGCCGCAGCGCTGCCCACACAATTGGCCTCCTCACCGTAATGAGTCATGTAGAAAGAGATGCGACCTTGTCTCTGAGCATCGTACAAAATGCGATCCATTGTGTTGAGCAGCACCATGCACTTATACATCTTCAAGTAGGTGGTCGGCTCCAACTGAAATTTGACACAGGTTTAGAGGAAATCATAGAACTAGGCATGTAAAACATTAGTGATACCTACCATAGACAAAAAGAATGAAATATAGACTGTCAGCCGTGCTGCGGTTGCCATGGTTACCATAGGTTCCGGCGCACACCGCTGTAGTTTACGTAGCGCGTACACCGTAACTACGGTGGTGCTCCAAGCGGTGTGCGCCAGAACCTATGGTAACCGCAGCACAGCTGACGGTCTATATTTCATTCTTTTTGTCTATGTACCTACACAGTGTTAGAAAATAGATTTTTGCCTAAAAAATAGGAACTACAGGTGCATACAACCATCAAACAAAGAAAGTTTGGATGGATTGGTTACACAAGAAGACCCAACTTGACAGTCCGCCAACAAGCAGTTGCAGGTCAACGCTAGTAACAAGAAGAGGGTTTGGATCCCTCCCAACGTAACAAATGCTGCTGATATAGGAAAAAACAAATAATGCTCATCATGCTGACTATTTTCACTACTTTTAAAACAAATGTTTTAACCTTGAATGTAATGTAATAGCAATAGCCTATCCTATTACTAACCTGGGGATCTTGAGAAGAGTTGAGAATGCGACCTTGCAAGTCTAAAACTCTGTACATGGGCATCGTGGTGTAGTCTTCTGGCCTCAACAGTACAAATTTGTCGGTCCATGGTGTGTTTAGAACTTTGCTTGGTAGAGGAGACACAGCAGAAGTAGGCTGCGAAGCTACGGATACCGAAGTGCTGAACTGACAACAAACAAAATTGTTCATAAATTAGGCCTACATTTTTCAATAAATACATTTATTTTGCAAAGTTTGGTTAATTTAGATTAGATATTTAGATGGTGTAAATTAAGATGGCATGCAGAGCTGGCCTTGGATAGTGCGGAGCCCAGTGCCAACATTCAGAGCAGGGCCCTTACTACCAAAAAAGTAGTATCCCAACAATACTTAACACAAAATTATATCAATGTATACAGTAATGTTAACACTGCTAAGTTTACTATCCCCTTTTTCTTTCTTCATACTCTAACTGAGGTAAACTTCAATGACATTTTACATTTTTTATATATTTTTCACCAAGCGCGGGGGCTCCAATGTGCGGGGTCATGTGCGGCCGCACCTTTCGCACGAGCCTAAGGCCAGCTCTATTGGTATGTGGGAGGGATGAGAGGGGGTGGCTCCCGGAACAATGCTGAGAGTCACACAACTATAAAGATGGTAACTTTATTGGTATATTAAATTAATCCAACAGGAAGTATTTTTTGTGATTCCAGTGCAAAATGTATATAAGAATACCCCTGCCGCAGCAAACCTGCAGACTAAGCGAATTTCCATTAACCTGATTGGATTTAGACTAAAATGCCTTAATAAAAATAGCACATTTATTTCCTATTTAAATAGAATTAGTTTAACGAGTACTTAGGTTTGCTGCAACAGGGAGGGTAAAAAAAATTTTTTTTATAAAATGATAATAGTTTAGTAAAAATTAAAAGTATTTCCCAAAATCAATCAAAATATGTTCATAAACAAGCAAACTACAACAGTTGACTTATTCTCCATAAGGATAACATGGGAATTTTAAAATTACAATTTTTTAGAATTTTCTCCGTAACAATTAGGCGCATAATAACGCTTCAATATACTAAATTATTTGTTTTTTTTAAGCTCTACAAAATGGTTTAAAAAGAAATTGTAAAAATTTGTGTTTTTAGGGTCAAAAATGGGAAAAACCTATTTTTAACCCATAAAACCCCCCATAAACCCCCGTTCCCATAGTCCGATCATGCTGGTTCGCGAACTCATTCAAGTTTATCCCGCCTTACACCTTCAAACCAAATTTTTCATCAAAATCGGACAAACATTACTCAAGTTATCGTGCGGATGGACATATATATATATATATATATTGTATTTGATATTGTTCACGTTTAGGGCTACTGTAATTAATATTAATAAATAATACACCATAGTACCCTTTTTTTTTTTTATTATTATTATTTTTTTTTTTAATAATAATTTAAAAAAAAAGGGTACTATGGTGTATTATTTATTAATATATATATATATATATATAGATATATAAAAATTTGAACGGATGGTGTTTTTGGCCTCTGGGGACATCAAAATGAAAAAGTAAATCGGTCCCGGGCTTAGGTCTTACCATGAGACCTACGGTAATAGCTACCTCCCTATAGGGAAATTCGCTAAAAGCAACTGTGGTAGGGAAAGGTTCTTTTGTACTATTGCACATTTTGCTCAACACTCTTAATAATTGAAAGGTACGTGTTCTAAGTTATTCCTATTCAGGTGTTCAGCCTATTCTCAGCAAAAATAGGTTAAACTTTTAGGAGGGATTGCAATGTGTTATTGCATGCTTTAAATGTCTGAATTCATAATAATATCTTTTGTAACTGTAAAATAATAAAATACTACGATACCTATGTAAATTTGAGAAATTGTCTTAAATGCCTTAGGCTAATAAACTTACCTTGGTGACAGTGGATAGTAATCCTCTTCTTGTAATATTGTTCATTATAATAAAGTGAAAACGATTCCTAATTAGTTAACTTAGCTTTAACAACTTTAAAAGTATAATTTTGTACAACACACTTAGGTAAGGGGACAATCCACAAAATTAGAGTCAGGGCACAACGACCTTCGGTGGTGATAACGAGTGTCTGCACAACACAGTGCTTCTGATAACTGATAATGAGATTGTTTACTCTACATTTTGCTTTATCACTTTTTAATTTAAATTTCCCCACGTCAATGGACAAAAATTCAAAGTTTGGGAGCGTCAGGCAGTATTATCTAAACTTAATCTGCGCGATTTCAAATTGCGAGTCTATTTGACATCATTTGATTTCACTGAATTTGACAATTTTAAAGTAAACCAGACGATTTTAGGTTGAATAGTATGAAAGTAAAACCAAAACCAAAACAACTTGTTTTCGTTTCGCGCTCAGTGATTTCGATGCGTCACTCACGCTGCGGCTGCACGCAGTTCAGTTAGTTCCAGTGTTGCCACACAGCTCCGGAAGAAATCCGTCCTCACAAGCATAAAAATCCCGCTTTTTCCTCTCTAATCCGCGCACAATACGTTAAAAATACGTCCACAATCCGCGCACTCTGTAAATTAACCTGAGTCTAATAATATATTCCTAAACGACATGGTATATCGTGGTTAGGCGCTCACAACGATTGCGTGAGAAGAGGAATAACCTTGAAAACGCCGCACGTTGATTTTGGTGCGGCGAAACGTCGGTGTTGAGAACTTTTGTCTGATATTTTAAATTTGGATTTATTTTTATTTTTATTTTTATTTTTGTATATTTTTATGTGCAATGAACTGTGTATGATTGTGACATGACAAGGACTACGTTCTCGTGACTTCAATAAGGTGAGTGATGCCCAACAAAAATATTATCATACTCTAATAATATAGTGCTACAAAACAAATTTTCCATTAATTTTTTCACCTATAACGAAATGTAACACTCAAAATATGTTACAGGATGTTTACACTTACCGTACTATGTATTTGCTTTCAATAACAGATACAAAAAAAATATTCAGTGAAAAAATAAAATGCTATTGCATTAATACGAAAATTTAAAAATTATATGTTCAATTAAACTATACTTATTGTTCTGAACAAACTTTACCTATAGCAGTTAACAATTTTAGAAATCAATAACATGCAATATTATATATCTCCTAAAATATGGGGTTAGAGGTATCAATAAATTAAGACAGGAGTTGTTGGTTTTCTCTTATCTGTGAACCATACAAACAAACGAAATTGGAAAACAAAATGCACACAAAACCTAAACCACAAATAAAAAATAGACCTATTACTTTTTTGTTTTCAAACTAGCCTTAGCCTTATGGACGATGATACCTTTGAGAAAGAAAGTGCAGTAATTGTATGTCAATTCTTTTCAAAACTAACCTAATACATTAATTGTAATAGCATCAAATATTATAAAGCTGGATAGTTTGTTTTGTTTCTGTTGGTTTGGTTGGTACTTTGTTTTGTTTGCCTGTTTGGTTAAAGTTAGCAGTGTTTCCACAAACCAACGTTTAGAGGAATATCACTAGAACGAGTAGTAAAATATCCCTATTCCCTAGAAAACGACTGAATCTCTAGAAGTGACAACGACAACCTAGAGACGTAGACGTAGAAGTAAAGGGAGTGAAGAGAACAATAAATGTACACAAAAAAAACATCATCGATCATTCTTGAATGCACTATAATCCTTGGTTCATATACTCATAAAGTGCTCCTCTTGAGTCACAAAGTACAAAGTGTCCCGATTTGCCGTTGAAATTCCCATATATTTTAAAATACTTTACAATTGGGTGAAATCCGCGCAAAATCCGCTCACGAGCCTAATCCGCACAAAAATCCGCGCAGCCCCCCAAAATCCGCGCAAAAAGCGTAATTACGCGCAAAACGGCAACACTGGTTAGTTCTTCTCTTCAGTAGAGTGGGAGTGAGTGAGAGAGAAGAATGATGATAACATATTGACAGGCGAGTGACGACTGAAAAAATGGGCCGATTTAAAAACTCACTGTGTCATTGGTTATGGAGCACTAGTTTCATATTACAGGAACTATACAGGGTGAATAAAAAGTCAAGACCCCTCTAATCCCTTCTAAGACCCTTCTAATATTTTCCAAGTAAATATACAGAGATATCCTTTTAATGGTCGTGCAATCTTAGCAGGAAGTTTCATTTTATGATTTTGAAATTTTTGAGTGTCCGGAAAAGGGCGGATTTGGGGGGCAACTCAAATATTTTAGATATAAACCCCCTTCAAGTGAAACCTCATTTTAAAGGGTTTACAAAAACTTAAAGAATGGTGAAAACTACAGGTCGCTATCTCTTCTCTATCCAAAATGGTAGCCCGTCAAATGTTGTGGAAAATCAATAGTGAAATTGGTTCGTAACGGTAATATTGGCTACCATTTTGGATAGAGAAGAGATAGCGAACTCTGGTTTTCACCATTCTTTAAGTTTTTGTTAACACTTCAAAACGAAGTGTCACTAAATGGGGGTTAACATTTAAAAAATTTTTGAGTGCCCCCCAAATGGAGGGATTTGGGGGCAACTAATGATTTTTCTATGTAAATCCCTATCAAGTGACATCTCATTTTGAAGTGTTAACAAAAACTTAAAGAATGGTGAAAACCAGTGTTCGCTATCTCTTCTCTATCCAAAATGGTAGCCAATATTACCATTACGAACCAATTTTACCATTGATTTTCCAAAACATTTGACGGGCTACCATTTTGAGTAGAGAAGAGATAGCGACCTCTAGTTTTCACCATTCTTTAAGTTTTTGTAAACACTTCAAAATGAGGTGTCGCTTAAAAGGGGTTTACATTTAAAATATTTGAGTTGCCCCCCAAATCCCCCCTTTTGGGGGGGGACACTCAAAAATTTCAAAATCATAAAATGAAACTTCCTGCAAGATTGCACGACATCAAAAGGATATCTCTGTATATTTACTTGGAAAAATATTAGAGGGGTCTTGACTTTTTATTCACCCTGTATGGATAATCAACAAAATTAAACAGATTAATAAATTAATCTGTAGGGATAAGAATTTAGATCGAACCTCAAAATTAGTTTCACCGAGTGGCCAGACATGTTCAAAGCAAATGTTTGTTTTCGGGCGTGCCTGCGAGGATTGTTTTTCCACAGCAGCACAGACTGCTATATCGAATGTTAGTTCTCTGACGTCCTATCTGACTTTGGGCGGCTTGTTAGCTTCTTTTTGAACGCAGAAGCCGTTGTTCTTAAGTTTGTAACACTCCTCATGATTGTGCCACATGACGGGTCCCCCTAATTTAAAATAATAATGCACGGAATTGCCACTGAGTTGCAATGACTGAATCATTACTTTTTAAATTCGACTCGGTAACAAACCACGGCCGCCTTTCCGTGTAACAAACGCACGATGCTCAGGTGACCACTGTTCTATGACCACAGATAATGGCATCGAGTAGACTTTCCAACAAGCCTAAGGCCCTGTACACATGAGGGTGACCAACCCCATCACTCTCAGACGACCGTTTGCTGAACAGTGCGCTACATAAATAGATCGTTTTTTGCCGCACTCTGTATGATACGTGAAGACGATTTCTACGAAACACTATACTCTTCCGTTAATAATGGATGGATTTTACAAACGAGGTGTCAAAATTAAGTATTTGTTGTGTCAGACGCCCCCTTTCACCAATATTCCTATTCCTGAGATATAAGTCCTCGCGCTTTGCCGCACAGGCCATCAGAATCCCAAATGTATATTTCTTATGAAAAAAGATTTTGTTTACTTAAAGAGACATCTTTACCTAGTTCTTGTTTCGAGCAATTAATTAATTGCGAAAGATTGAAAGTGATTCTTCTTTTACAATGATGATGGCTAGAATTGCGTCAATATTCCCTTCCAAATTCTTGGTTCCAACCGTACCCTCATATTTATATCATTGATTAAATAATTGCAATACATCGTCAAATTTTGTTTTTTTAATAATGGCTGTCATGTATAACAGCAAAATAGCTATCTCAATATTATTTCGTCTATAATTCTTTCCTCCATGGCGTTACCAAAAACCCTTTCCTTAGCAGTAGCACAAGAAATCCCGCCTTTTGTCTAAATAAAATTGAGTGTTGTTGAAGCTGTTGATTGATCGGCTGATTTTGAAGTTTTAACTGGTGAGTGGTGAACTGTTGTATGGTTGGTTATGGTTGCTGGTGTTTGTTTGTTATTGTCGGCGTGAGTGTATATTACATTTTTGTGCAATTATTTGGATTCAACAGATGGATGTTTCTATGTTTTGAGCCAAAATTGTTTAGGTTACCTTTCTAAATTGCTTGATGAGTGTATAAAAAAAGATACTTACTCCATCCCGAAATGTCTTTTCATACAAATCAACTTCGATACATTTTAGGTTAACTTCTATTGATTTGAATGCAAACTAGGCCTATTGACAATTTAAAATTTTTTCTTTTAAGTCCTGGCTTGATAGTCTTAACCTAAATTCTAATATGAACTCTAAAAAAATAATACCTAAGACAATTAGTTCCTGTCACAAACATACTAAATCAAGGTCTGGAAGAAATAACACACATTCTCCTTCAATTAAGTGTCATGAGGAAGTGATGAGTAGATTGTCATCATGCACAAATGAAAATTGTGATGGCGATTTAGACGACTGTATTGAACAATCTTGTATTCATAGAAAGGTGAAATATAAAAGAGATAACGTCAGGACTGTTCCTTCTAGAAGCAAACTAACCAATCACCATCAACAATCTTTCAGTGCTCCTGGCTCAAAACACTCTGGGTTTGGGTCTAAAGACCTAACTCCTAAAACTGTCAGATCCAAGAGTATACCTAGTGTTCAAACGACCAATTTTAATGATTCTGTTGATATCATACCAGTTAAACTAACTTCAACTAATGACCGTAAACAGAGGCCTCAAAAGCGAGTTAGACATATTTTAGAATCAAGGCCTGGATTAGGCGTGAGAGAAAAATCATCAAAGCCACATCGGCCTACTTGGGATGAAATACTGAGAAATAACTTAGAAGTTGTAAGTAAGGGTGATAAGAGTCCTAATAAAAAGACTCTTCAATCAAACAAAATCAGTAACTGTTGTCATTCTGAGCATTCTGTAGGCAGTTCAGTAAACAAAACTGAAAAGCACTCTTCAAAAGAGATCAATAACTGTAGACAAGACGAAATAAAACAGAACTGTTTGTCACAAAGGGCAAGTGAATCCTCAAAGTCTACAGACTCCTCTCAAATTAGGAAATTTGACATTTTTCAACAAATTAATTCTGATCCTATCAAAAGTCTAGATATGCTTATAAAACAACTTAGAGATGGATTACTAAAACAACGTAAGTAGGCTTAAGTACTTAAGTTAAGCTTAGTACAGTCCTAATATTGATATGCCTTAGAAAGTATTTTTGATTTGGACACTTAACTCAATCAACCTTATCTTGATTATAATCAAAAAATATCTGCAAAAATAAGATAAAAATTTTTCTGTTTATGTAAGGTACCAGTTTTTGAACTGTGGGCACAGTTCAAAAACTGGTCTTGTTACCATCTAACATCAACATTTTGTTTGATAGCATCATTAATTTTTATAGCCTAGTAACAAATGGTAGATTTACATTTATCAATGAAATTTAGGCTTAAATTGTATTCTTTAAAAACCCTCAGGAGGTTGGAGGTAGGCCTAGCTATTTACCTAACTTCCTCCAAAGCTTTAAATCTCAATTGTATTAATACAATCGTTAGGCTGTTGCCTAATTAAAGTATGGCCTAGAAGTTATACCATTGAGTATACACGTACTAGAGTAGCTACTCAATGGAGGTTATCGTTACCTGAACAGCACTGTTCCAGAGTAGCGTCAGCGGCCCAAACTTCTCCTCCTCGGGCTTGTCGGTAAGGCAGTTTGGTTGTTTTTTATTGCAGCGATTTATTATTGCTTTCATTGTAGGTTGTAAAATTTAATTTTTTGAATGAAATTCGTTTGATTGTTTCTAGTTTTGTTGTTTTTAATAAATTTGTAATACTATAAGGTTAAAAGGTCCTCAGAGGTGCACTGCACTAACGACAGACTACCGCGACCCAAGCGTCGTCAGCGGCCCGAACTACGTAGCCAAAATCGATAACAACTAATAGCATTATGTAACAACTCTTATACTTGTATACTCAATGGTTATTCATATAATATTTTAGACCGGCATGTGATCCAAAATTGTAGTAAGCTTATTTGCTAGGCTACTGGTCTGTGTGGTGGTTCTGTGAGAGTTACCTAAGTCACAATTAGTGAATGCAGTGATAAGAGTTGCAAGGCTGTTCAAAAATCAGCAATATCTGGCTTATCAGTCCAAAACGCTACCACCAAGCTATCATTAAGCTATCTTTTACATTTTTTTTGTGAGTATCATCACAGAAAACATACTACTATAACCCAGAATGCCAACCGCATGGTAAAAAGCATTAAGTGTTTTGAGAGAGCTTTGCCTGTCAATCGTAGGCAGCGCCACCAGCGTTGCTATGTTTGGTGCATGGCAACGCTGGTGGCGCTGCCTACGATTGACAGGCAAAGCTCTCTCAAAACACTTAATGCTTTTTACCACACGGTTGGCATTCTGGGTTAGTAGTATGTTTTCTGTGGTATCATATAGGCCAAACATCAACAAACCGGTTAATTAATATGCTTTCAGCTCAAAATGACTGCCTGCAAAACATAATATCGGACATGGAAAACGCAATGCTGAAGATTTCAGTTGATGGTAAAACACATCAGAATCATCAGTTTGACAGAGAGATCAATGACAAAGCGGAACGGACGACTGATATTCAATCAGCTGCCACAAATAACACTCATGAAAAGGTAGGTTAAGAAATCATAGTTTTGTGTGTTAGTAAGTCATGGTTTTAGATTTGTATGCCTAGGTCTATGATAGATCCCAATATTTAGTATTGCAAAGAATAATGGTTAATTTAAAATTATAAACAGTAATCCTTTTTTAAGTTTGTTTACAATGACTCTTTGAAGTGTGCAATGTCGGCCAGGGCCTATAATGGGCCTGTAAGGATGCAGCAATACCGTACTTCCAAATTTGTGTTAGGTTAGGTTCGGATGTCCTATGCCAGGTAGAAAATTAACCGAAATGCCTAGTCAAGATGGCTCTTAATATGTTGAGATTATCATTGTGCCTTTGATAGCCCAATTTAGACAATTTGGAGAGAATTTCCTATTCGAAAGTGTATCATCATGATCATTGAACTTGCAAACAAACTACTGATTCCAGCTAAGCCGATGCAAACTTAGTACACATAGTAACTTAAGTAGTAACTTAACGAGGTCATTAAAAATCTAAAGCTATAGCTTCTTCTAATTAGTATTAATACTTTCCTCTTAATTTCAGGTTAGAAATAAACATGTCGACATTGTGGAGTTGGAGCAAAATCTAGAAAAGAGTTGTCGTTATTTGCAGAGCCTATGCATCAAACAAAAAGAAAACTGCAGTAATCATTTGCGGGAAAAAGAGCAACTTTCCCTGTACGTATGAAAAGTAATTTTTATCAAAAGATTTCAATACAGTATCGTTAGACATTCTCTTATCCGGATTCCTCGAGACCGAGACCATTCCAGATAACTGGCTTTCCGGTTAAACCAAAATTTCCTGAATCACTCGAAAACTAATCCAAATATTTTACTTAAATTTGAGAGAGCATAGTATTTAGACATGTGATCAGTGATCACCAGTCTCAAATCTTTCCAACGAGAAAAGTTGTTTCAGTACCGCCCAATTCCTGCCGATCCAGTCGAGTTAAATTGTGGTGAAAACAATTGTCCGCTCAAAGAGATATCACTTCTGCAGAGTGTAGTCCTGTTAAACCGATGTCCGTTTAAAAGATGTTCGAATACCGAAAGGTGGGAATCTACCGTAGTAGCCTTAAGTTACATGGAAGGATTATCGGATGTATTTATTAATTAAATATATTTCTTTAACAAGGGTTTCTGTAAACATTTTAAAATCTTGAATTTTCATAAGATATTTAATGGTTATTTTATTCTAAAAAGGTAACCTGAGCCAGTTCCGATTCAACTTGATCAATTTTTCATAAAAAATATATTATTATTTAAACAAAATTAATAATAGGATTATCTACTGTTATCACTGATTATCACTGTTGATCTTGAATCTTCAGAAGATGACTGTTTAAAAAATATGTGAAAATATTGGCTGAAGTAGATGTTGGCTTGGTAGGCCTACTTGTTGAATTGTAACTTGTCCCACAAGTAATTTTATATTTGAAACGTCAACCAGTATTTTTGCCAGTTCAGCGACTCAGTCACCTCACAAAGACCATTTTAGCAATCTAATTCGACCAAGGAAGCCTACTTTTTGTGAAAGGTTTTACCTCCACAACATTTAAACTGTTTTCCTTGCAGACAATTGGCAGAGAGCAGGCGTTTGTTAGCTGTTACCAAATCCAAAGAAAAAAACTACGAAGTCACAATAGGCGAACTGAGACTGAAACTTCAAGAATACAACACAAAAGTTGATCAATTAAAGCAATCACTTCAGGATGTACAAAACAAAAATGTGACACTAAAAGAAGAAAATAAGGTAATCACTATGAACTTTAATTTTATTGGAATGTCCCTTTTATTAATTTCGTGGGAAATTGTTTAAAGCTACTTAAGCGTAAACGAGGAGTGAGGAGTTCGCTTTCCTCTTGACTTAGGTAATTATTTAATCATATTGTTATGCTAGAAGCAAAGTGAAACGGCTCTAGACATGTTATGAAATTTTTTTTACTATTTCAGTTAGGGCCCTTTCACAAGAGAGGCCACTGGTTACTGGCCGGGCAACTGCAGTTGATGGTACAGGCAACTGACAAGCCGCTCCACCAATAGCCACCGTACAACTAGTTAAAAAAACACTTGTTATAATGCTTTGCCACGAATTTAGTTTCCTATTTTACTGGCATATTCCTCCTTTGTACTATTTCAAATTACCGGGAATTTTTCAATCTCGCAAATTAGATCCTCAGTAAGTATTAAATTTGTCTTCTATTATTTTGTTTTGTCTTTTATTCTGTTCTTCCTTTGTGTTCTTCTTTTGCCGCAACGTCCTCTTTATTTTTCTTCTGCTCACTCATTTCTTAACACAAACAAAACAAATCAACACGAAACCAATCAACAACTAGCACAAGTGCGTCCATTTCTGCTAGTGAACTGACTATTTACCTCAAAATAATTTATGCGGTTCTGCTGTGGCGGCCACTAGTGGCTTCGTCTGAAAGCTCTGCATTGGCCTCGTCTGAAAGCCCCCATTTAAAACAATGTTTAAGCTGTGGCGGGCCATCAGTGGTCTAATGTGAAAGGGCCCTTAAATCTGTTTCTTTTTTCTGCACAGTTTTAGTATTAGTTTTGGAATTAAAAAACTTAAGTTGTTTTCTCAGGCTAACCCATCTTATCCTATTGGGTTTAGAATGTTTTAGAACTCTTATTAGATACGGTATTCAAAATTAGTAAAAACAGAGGATTTAATAGGGCTACTTTACTTACTGACTGAGCTTATATGCTATTTATGAAAACCATTTATGAACTAGAATATAGTGTTAAATTAAGTGTAAAATTTGCTTAGCTTGTTGGGATGGAATTTGAATAAAGCTTCTCGAATTTTAACTATGCTTGGTCTGCAGTTTTGCTTCAATGTGAGGATTTAAGTCTATTACTGGACCAATCCAATTTTTAATAGGACGATTTTACATTTTTCTCATATGTTGTCAGGTTTTCAAGTAACATACATTTTTCCTGGACTCTTGGCGTACTTTGAAATAGTAGTTTACGCAACAATTGCGTTAAGTGAGTCTTTACGACACGAGTAGAAAATTTAAGGCACGAGCCTTGGCGAGTGCCTTAAAAACTTCTACGAGTGTCGTAAAGACTATTAACGCGAGTTGCGTACACTACTTTACCTACGACCGGTTTTTAATTACTATCAATCTGGATTTAATTACTAACAATCACTACTGATAACTTTTTAGAGAGGTTATGTTTTCGTGTATTGTCATTGCCACTGAAAGTGATGCAACGACTTGTTGTATAATCAGCTGATTTCCTTTAATTACGTGTTTGTTAAACTTCGTTAAATATTACATTGCTAGCAGCATTCTTACCATAAATAATATTGTATCAGGTACAATTCGGCAAATATTTCATTTATTTTTGGACTTCCACCAACTTAATTAAGAATACGCGAGTATCAACATGAACAAGTCGGATCAACAATTAAATTGGTCAACTGATCAGCTGATTAGTTGACGTTTGAAGCATTACAATTTTAATTCTTTTCTCTCAATACTTGAACCTCATTGGTCCGTTACCTGTGTGGATATGAGAAAACTATGCGGATATGAAAGTAAACAGCTGTAAAGTGAAACTTTTTAATTCTAAGAACTGGACTGAAATGGCTACTTTAAAAAACGGTCGTAGGTAATCTACTTTTGTCCATAGAAATGTTTCTTTTTATTTAATCCAATGGAAAATTGTAGTCCTAAATTGACACAAAATGTATTTAAAATAGCTTAATATATTTTTAGGCTATGAGGTCACTGAAGGACACCCTGAAAAGAGTTGGTGTGAGACTGAAACAACTTTCAAGAGAGAAGGAGAATCTTCAATCAAAATTGAGCTTAAAGGATTTAGAAATAGAGAAACTAAAAGTAATTTTACAAATTAAAAGTGGACATAAAGTAGATGGTCAGCAGGAGAAGCAACATGACAAATTGTAAGTATCATCTTTCTATTTTTTTATCATGTTTCTAAACATGCCTCTACGGTACTAGCTCTCAACACTCTAACTAATTTGTTTCCAATGATTGTGTGCTTTTTGTGCTCTTAACATATCAGAGCTTGCAATGGATGGGGAAAAATTAATGTTTAAGTATTATTTAGATGCTAAAATCACATGTAAAAATGCTAAAAATACTAATTTACAGATTTTCAAAATGATTTCGTAAATACTTAAAGAAACAATTAGGAAGTTTCAGTTCATCCAGGGCATAGTTTGGACCTGTGTGAATATTTGCAGTTTATTTCAAAATTTCAACACTATAAACACTTTAATAATGCCACAAGGTTTTTTTGTAGGACCATGTTTATGTGGTAACTAGCCGGCGGTTGGAACGCTCCTAATGGAAAAGAATGTGGTTAAATTAATTCTCTGTAGAGTGTGCAACAATTTTATTATTTTGTTTTACAAACTTTTTTATTCATAGATATTGATTCTTATTGTGAAATTCCTGTATTTTAATTTAGTTTGAAATAAAATTTTGAAAGTAGTACTAGTACACCCTGTAAGTGATTCATTCAGCTAAGTTTTATTTAAAAAATTGCCTTTTGTTTGTTCATATAAACGATACATCTCTGTCAGTATCGTTGGTTTTGGTCTAATGGTCTCCAGGCATCTTTCTTCTTGATTGAGACCTTCTTGGTTAAAATTATAGGTTTATTCCCACTCAGCAGTGGCGGATCCAGAGAGGGGGCGACGGCTCCCCCCATGCGAATATATTTTTTGTACTGCATGTCTACACAACAGCAAAAATTATCAAAATTTTGCCGTGATCGTAGAAAACGATGAAGTTCCGTAACCGTGGGAAACAAGGATGATGACTACATGGCCGCGGGAGATGCTCAGAATTTAACCGCGGACGTGGAAGACAACGATAATCTACGATAATGTTTACACGACCACGACCGCACAAGATGTTCATAATTTTGCCGCGATCACGGAAGACAATGATGGTGTTAGTTACCGCGTGGGTTATTCATGAATTTTCCGTGACTGCCGGAGACAATGATGGTGTCTATACAGCGGGAAATGAACGAAATGTTGCCGCGATCCTTGAAGACGATGTTTTCATGACTGTGGGGGCGGGAGATGAGTTGTTCATAATTTTGCTGCGATCGCGGAAGATGATGTAATGTTACCGTGTGGATTATTCAGGGTTTTGCCGTGACCGCAGGAAACAATGACGATGTGGGGAGGGGGTTCATCTCTAATCTAAATCTGCCCCCCCCTCAATCTTAAGCTGGATCTGCCACTGCCACTCAGGCAAGTCTATTATCACAACAACAATTAAAATTTTAACCTAGGTCTTTGTGACCAATTTTGCAGCATATTTTATCTTTTTATGTATAGGTCTACACGGTCCATGTAAGAAAACTAATCTTTCTATAGCAAAACAAATAAGAGATATCTTTTTAGCGAATTTCCCATATAGGGAATAAGCTATTACCGTAGTACTCATGGTAAGACCTGGACCCGGGACCAATTTTTTTTTTCGTTTTGAGGTCCCTAGAGGCCAAAAATACCATCCGTTCAAATTCATATATATATATACATATGTCCGTTAGCGCGATAACTCGAGCAAAAATGATCCGATTTCGATGAAATTTGGTACAAACGTGTAAACCTACGTTTATTCTAACGAGTTCGCGAACCAGTATGATCGGACCATGGGAACGGGGGCTTATGGGGGCTTTTATGGGGTAAAAATGGGTTTTTCCCATTTTTGACCCAAAAAACATAGAATTTTGCAAATTCTTTCTAAACTATTTTGTAGAGCTTAAAAAAACAAATAATTTAGTATATTGAAGCGTTATAATGCGCCTAATGGTTACGGAGTAAATTCCAAAAAATTGTAAATTTAAAATTCCCATGTTATTCTTATGGAGAATAAGTAAACTGTTGTAGTTTGCTTGTTTATTAACATATTTTGCCCAAATTTGGAAAATGTTTTTATTTCTTACTAACTACAGTAAAACGCCCATTATCCGAATTAATTGGGACCGGGGTCGATTCGGATAATCAAAAATTCGGATAATCAGACACAGAATGGTAATAAAGAAAAACAAAGTGTTACACAACGAATGAACTTTATTGAGTGGATAACTAAGACATAATAGAGATGTTAAATTGAATTTAAGTACAAGTAGAGAAACAAATGCTGATATTTATAAAAACAAAACTACAGTACAATATAAAGTTCTTTACAAAAAGTTCTTTTACAACGCTTACTTGTACATCTCGATCAGCGTAAGTTGCCGTGACCTTGTAGCTCGTTTCCGCGCAGCTAAATCACGCAGGCGCCGGACGGCAAGAAGCTGTACACCGTCGCACTCTGGTTGCCGCTCCATCCATTTGAGGGCGTTGTCAAAGCACGTGAACGCCTCACTATGTGATGGTACACTTTCGTCTCCTGCATCTTCGTCTCCCCCCGTTTTCATTACTTTCATCTCCATTGTCCTGTTCATCCATGACACTCACAGCGATTTCATCATCAGTCATTATCTGGTATCCTTGATCGTTCCTATCACATTCCAACCACTCTTCCATATCATCGACATCACACTCCGAACAACCCGCAATCTCCTTAGCCATGTTTACTAACTCCCCAACTGACGGCAATTCCGGTTCGTCTTCATCAACGCCAGCAGCTTCAGCAGTTAGTTCTCGTTCTTTAGCTTGCTTTTCAAACTCGAGTTGCTCTTTTGTCGACGTACCGTTTATTTTGTTCCACGCCCGTTTAAGTGAAACACTTTTAACCATGTTCCAGGAGTCTGCAATCATGTAGCAACAGTCTTTTAAGTTTATTTTTTTGTACGAATCCAAAACTTGTTCCTCGTCGTTCTCTTCAGCTAGGAGCAATTTACGAAGCATCTGTTGTCTGTAAAGACGTTTTGTGCACTCAATCACACCCTGATCCATGGGCTGGAGCAGACTTGTCACGTTAGGAGGTAAAAAGAGACACTTAAATCCCCCCTTTTCTCTCACGAGAAGATCTAGTGAAGGATGCGTCGGCGCATTGTCCATGATAAGCAGAACCTTTCCCTTTTTTCCTGTTTCTTGTTTAAATTTTTTCACTTGAGGAATAAAGGTTTTGTCGTACCACTCCAAAAAAATAGTGCTCTCCATCCAAGCATTCTTCTGGTTGGTGTAAGTCACTGGTAAGTTGGCTACGTTCTTAAAAGCCCGTGGCTTCTTTGCTTTGCCGATCAATAATAAAGGAAGGCGATGGGTAGAGTTAGCGGTAGTGTAGTAGAGCTAGGCGGTTAGTAGAGTTAGCGCAGACCATTATAGTGACGCGATCTTTACTGACTTTGTGTCCGGGAGCACTTTGTTCTCTTTTAGATGCTAGGGTTTTTCTTGGCCAAGCTTTCCAATTCAAACCAGTCTCGTCAGCATTATACACAAGATCAGGGTCGTACATTTCTGTTTCTTTTTTAAATGTCTCCACAAATTTATTAGCAGCTTCACTATCAGCAGAAAGTTTTTCACCGGCAATATCCAATTCTCGAATGCCGTGCCGATTCTTGAAATTGCGTATCCATCCCGTGCTTGCCTTAAAATCAGCTACACCCATTTTTTCACTGAACATTCGCGCCTTTTCACACAAAATAGGTCCTGAAATCGGTTGTCCAATAGATCTTTGTTGCAAAAACGAAGTAAAAACTGCATTTTCCAGCTGTTCATCTTTAGCCTTTTTCATCACTTTTCGTGACGAACATCCATCATCACTTTCCAACGTAGTCACAAAACTTAAAATCTTTCCACTGTTATTTTTTATGTCAGTAATCGTAGCCGCCCCGACACCAAATCTCTCCGCCAATACCTTTCCCGCCACTCCTTTTTTTAGTTGGTTGATTATTTCCACTTTGTTCTTTAGCGATAGGACAACACGTTTTCGTTTTGCACTCATTTTACTTGGTTATTTAACACACGTAACCATACAGTAATGAAGATCACAAGTTTGACAATCTCACAACTCTATAAAAAATCAGCGATCCGCACAATAGAAGAGGGAGGAGCTAACTGACCTAGAATCCGCCAAAAATCGATAGTTCGCGTGTCATTGGGTAGGGGGAGTGGCTGCAGGTGCATGCGCTGTACATTCTGCGCATCTAAACGCTGTCTCGATGTCAATTCACTACACCGCCGCGCGGGGTGGCGACGTCATTGTGTCTACGCGGCAGTCGGTCAAATTTTTGCACTTAGTTTTAATTTTTAATATTAAGCTTGGAGCCGATTCGGATAATTGGCGATTCGGTTAATCGGCGTTCGGATAATCGGCGTTCGGATAATCGGCGTTTTACTGTATTGACATTTTACATAAAAAAACACTTTTACCCCCTTGTTGCAGCAAACCTAAGTATGTGTTAAACTGATTCTATTTAAATAGGGAATAAATGCGATATTTTTAAGGAGACAATTTAGTGTAAATCCAATCAGGCAATTGGAAATTTGCTTAGTCTGCAGGTTTGCTGCGGCGGGGGTATTAAACTCATTACACTGGTCACAAAAATGCCATTGATTAAAAAAGATATACAATACTGTATCAGTATTCCCAAAATAAGTTTTGTATCAAATTTAAATTTATTTAAAATTTTAAGTTACAAAATTGTTTCAGACTTGACGAAAACATCGATGTAAAAATGTCCGAGAAAGACATGTCGATCACTTTGTCGTCGGTCAGTAGCTGGTCTGGGAGGGGATTGATCTGCTCGTCGCAAGCTTCTAGCAGTCCTAGACACTCTCCCTCGCCCTACAACTCCTGGCAACACATAAGCTCCATCGTACAAGAGCCGTCAGCCATTGCGGAGATCAACAGAGGTATTGCAGTCAAAGTACAAGACATCAACCGCAAGTATCGCCAGATGGAGCCACTGCATCTAGATCTTCAGAATCCATCATCTTGTAGCTCCTTCCGGACTGACGGTGAAGTTATTTACTCTGACGGCGAGAGCGGGAGTTTTAGTTCATGAGGGAGTTGTTCAGAACGCCAGAGAACGACGGTAGTCAATTCTACTTTGACGAGCTGTGATAGTAAAATTACAGCTGATATTTTTGAAATTGTACTTATATTGTATTTTAAATGTAATTTTAGGGGTTTATACTTGAAATAAATAAAATGTGTATACAGTTATTGGTTTGTTATGTCAAAACATTATTTTGGTTAAATTTTATCAATTTAATAACAATATAAAAAACTTCATAAACATTAGAGATAGGTATTAAAATGACTTGCCTTCCACAAGAATCTCTTTGATTATGCAAAATAAATATTTAAATCAATGTTTATGTTCACAAGCAAGAAGATACATTATGAACTCCTAATCCAATTTAAGAGTTTAAATATCCACTTTTAATAATAGCATTTACTGTGAATAGTCAATGATAATAGATTTGTTAGCTCATTATGATCAGAAAGTTAACTTTTTTTTAGTGGATGTACATGGAATATCCTTACTAAATTAATATAATATTTAAAGATTGACACATAAATATGAAATGATTCGAAGCTAAGTTTAAAACAATACTTTCAAGAATCAATGTCCATTTTGTTGTTGTAAAAAAATATTTAGACTGTTAACCCTAACTGTGGTTACATTAAAGCATTTAAGCTGCCCGAAAGTATTTTCCATAACCATTACATCTGTGAAAACTACAGCAAATTATTCCACAAAAACAACACACCAAACAATCAAACTACTGAACCAAAAAAGGGTAAAACCAAGTGAACGAGAGTTTTATATAAACTTTTATGTACAAAATATTTACACATTTAGGAACTAACAGCCATCTTGTCCACACCAGGAGCATTTGGATCGGGCTTCATGTTCAAATAAAGTCTTGCCCTCGACCCTCGCCCGTACGGCTCAGCAGTCAGCTGTCCGTAGAACTGTGCTCGTTTGGGCTTGGTGTTCCGAGCTATCCACATATCCAACAGAGACCGAGGGATGTGTCTAGGCCGGGTCGTCTGTAGAGGCGGAGACATCGGCGAGTCTGTCGTCGCTCTTATAACACTCGCTCTGTGTGTAATTTCCATAGGAGTGGGAGTGCCTGACCTTGACGAGGAAGAGTCTTTGCTGAATCTGAAAATATTTTTAATTGAATTAAAAACTGTTTTGGAAATAGGTGAAAGACCTCGAATAAAGTGGATTTTTTTTTTTTTTTTTTTTATAAGGGAGAGGAGGTAAAAATGCTTTTACGCACACAGGTAGCCAGCCTGTAGTGTGAGACTCCTGAGCTTGTCAGACTACTCACTAAAAACCCCCTCTACTCTGTTGGACACAGACCTGGGATTGTTTGTCACATTACTTCAGGTCAGGTCAACGTGTGACCTAAGCCCTCAGGGCTCGCACCGTTTCTGGAATAAAGTGGATGATGAACTAATTATTTTGTTAAATTTTAGAGACTTCTGAATTAAGAGAAAGCTCTAGGTCAATATCAAAATAGGCCTGAGAAATGGCTCTTAGTAAAATAGTATCTTTTGAAGCTTGAATTTCTTGAAGGTTAATGAAGAAAGATAACAAATCAGTCCCAAACAAATTTGAAATACTAACAACAAGTCAATTCAATTAGTAATGATCTGAAGGTAAGTCTGGCAAATTGAACAGCATTTCTTATTTTAAGAAGAGACCAGAAAAATGATCTACCCAACCAAGATTAGAGAAGGCAGCATTTAGGAAATGTAGATTTCGATTTACAAGCTTGGCAGCCGAGCGAGTTAGTCTCTTAACCTAACATTGTATTAGGCTCTGACGTTATTATGTCCTATATTGAAAAAGGTAAATGGCATTAACGAGTAAAAAATCTGCATTCTGGCAGTCATTTGATTATATTCTTCCCAGTTTGACTACTTACTGATCTAACTCACGCAGCACTGTGTCCAGTTCCACTTTCTCCACTTTCACTTTGTCGTCTTCTTTGTTACGACACTCCAGCAGACATTGCAGTACCCGTGTGTGCTGCTCCGTCTGTGTGTACGCTCTGAGGAACGTCTCTAGCTCAGCCCACATCTGACGATACTGCTCCTCCCTGTACCAACACAACATTAGAGACTCATGGCCAATTATGAAGTAAAACCGCTACAATTTTGATTCTCGCTTCACCATTCCCCAGGCAGCAAAGTTCCCGATATTTCTGTTGGGTTCGTTGTGTTCACTAAAACCAACGCAATTTTATGGTGTATCTCCCTATTTGCACAAATAGGGCTCAAAGATCTCTGAGGTAAATGCAATGCCATTGACTGGATAATAAAGTATACATCGGACCAGCTGTCGCCAATTTTTTATTTAAAATGAACATACAGTAGTTGTGTAAGCCAGTCACAGAATGTTCTAGAGTCTAAATTTCTATGTTATACCTTATTTTAGGTTGCTGACCAGGTTGATGGGTCATAACAGTTGCTACAGCTCACCATACGTCATTCCCTATGTTTGACTTGATAAAAAAGTTTGTGTATTCAACAGAATTTAGTAATTTAGATCAGAGCAATCTGTAGGTGTTCGCATCAACTTCAACAATTTTGAAGAAAAATCTGGCTAAACATTTAACATGGGGATGGAATGTCTAAAAGGCAATACCCAATACCTTTCATTTATCTAAGTTGAATTGGCATTCAAGAAAAACATTATCATACATATAAAAAATAGAGACAATTATTATATTAATAAATGCTAGAAAATTTTTCACAGTTTGGACTTTACCTAAAATTTCTGAAGGCTAAATTTTTTTTATTGGTCGACTGTTTAGATGGCAGCTGAAATCAGGTATTTCGTACTGTTTTTGTGTAAAAACCGATGTATTTGTTTTAGGTCTTAGATTTTACCATTGACAATTTGTGCTGTCATTTGTATGAACTACAGACATGTAATTCAATAAATAAATGAAAACCACTTCTACGATCGTAAAACAATTACCGTTTAGGCCCCTTGCCGCGCTGCCCTACAGTAGGTGCTTGCAGTGGTTCGTGTTTGGCCTCCAGTCCAATAAGAGAGTAGATACCTTGCTTGCACTGCACCACCTCTTCCTCTGTCAATGTATCTTTTACCATCAGGCTCAGTAGGGGCTCTGTGTACTGCGGACAAACCAAAAAATTAACCTACATTTTTGTTAACTAGGCTCTACTCCAAGAATTTTTTTCCACATTACTTCAGGGTAAGCTTAGAGGTTGCGGCATTAGATGTGGACGGATTTTAGATATAACACTTAGATAACCTATTGGTGATTGGTATGATTTGAACCAGCGACCTCTACCACTAGACCACCTTACCAAATACATTAATAATAATCAGCATGGTAAAATTCAACATACTACTCCTTTTTTATACAGTAAAATGAACAGTATACAGGGTGTTTTTTTTAAAACTTGCATCTTTATTTATGTAATAGATAGAAATATGCAGTTTGCGGGAATCATCTATTGACGTAGGGGGCCCAATTGTTTTGAATTCAACGTTACATTCACATTCCCTCCCTGCCCCCAACTTAATTTTTTTTAATAGCAAGGTACCCCTTGTGACATATCAAATGAAAGAGCATGAAAAAAGAAATTGTTTGATGGAAAAAAATTGAAAATCGGTTCATAAATTTGCGAGATATTTCCCCCCCCCCTCCCCGGAACTTAATTTTTTTTAATAGCAAGGTACCCCTTGTGACATATCAAATGAAAGAGCATGACAAAAGAAAATGTTTGGTGAAATTTATTTTTCATTTGATATGTCACAAGGTACCCGCGTACCTTGCTATTAAAAAACAAGTTATGGGTACGGGGAAAGGGGGATTATCTCACAAATTCATGAGCCGATTTTAATTTTTTTTCACCAAACATTTTCTTTTTTCATGCTCTTTCATTTGATATGTCACAAGGGGTACCTTGCTATTTAAAAAAATTAAGTTGGGGGCAGGGGGGAAAGGGGGGGAATGTGAATGTAACGTTGAATTCAAAAAAATTGTGCCCCCTACGTCAATAGATGATTACCGCCAACTGCATATTTCTATCTATTGCGGTTTTTACATAAATAAAGATGTAAGTTTGAAAAAAAAAACACCCTGTATAGGAGGGATAGATCATCTTTTAGAGTACAGTTTGTTTTAATTAGTTAGTACAGGTATGTTCGTACACAACTACTGTGCATACTTTGTTACTTGAGAGTACAATTTGAAAGAAAACAATGCAAAATTAGTTATGGTGTAAAGGCATGCAGGTGAGTTTGTTTCTCATATACATTGTATATTACATGTTGACAAGTTACCTGTTTTAATCAATCTACGTTTGATCAGGCAACAGTTGATTTTAAGAGGGTGTATATTGTACACTAAACTGTTCTAAATAAATACCCTTTCCTCAACAAACTTAATAACTAAGTAAATTATTATATTGTTTTACAATACCAAAATTAAGTTTCCACCCAAAAAGATGTTTTTTTCCAATAACACTAATAAAAAAGGCTTTTTTGGTATTACACAGACTACACCTAAAGTGGGTTAGGTTACCACACCTAAAGTGGGTTAGGTTACTACGTACCTAGGTTAGGTAGGTTAGGTTAGGTTATAATAATATATAACCTAACCTAAGGGCAACCAATTAAGGTGTTGTCGGTATAATATCAAAGTACCGAAAAAAGAACCTCACACCAAATGCGCAATCTTTATGCCGGGCTTATTTGATAGAAATAGAAAAGCTAGCTTTACTTACCTGTTTGAAATTGAAAATACATGTTGATGATATTGTAATGGGCCAGAACTTTGTCAAATTTTCCAGCCGTGATTTCACCATAGCGTTGGGAGACATGGCCGATCCTTTGTCTTTTTTCTTTACAGGTATGAGCTTGTTTTGTTGCATAAAAATGCCAAAATCCTGTAACAAAGTTGAGATGTAACACTCAAAATATTAGAAATGGAAATATTTCACAAAAAAATACAAATTTTAAGCTAATTTAACAAAAAAAGCTTACCCAATATTAAATAGCCTACATTTAAACATTCCTGTACTCAGTACGGGTTGAGATAAAATTGACTCAACACAAATATATGTAAATTTGAAGATCATAGTTCGATTTAGTTGATTTGATCAAGCGTACCGTACATAGGCCGATCAGCATTCATTTATCAACTATAAAACCTATTATCAGCATATAATATCCATTTATCAGTAGAGAGAGAGAGCGATTATCACACATAAAATTATTAAAGCATAATAATATTCACATTATCAGCATGTAATACCCACATTAGATTACAGTGTCACTCGGTAACTTTTCTAAATTATAGAATCAACAACTTTGAAACAATGCGAGGTGATTAGCTGAATGGATGGTTTATTTCAACAAGTCATCACATCAGTGGTCGCGGAAAAATTGTGGACATCTGCTTCTGCAATTTTGCAGATATGTTGGACATCTCCCACGATTGTGCAAACATTGTGGCCTCAATCCCCAAAATATATTGAATTTTCAATACAATAGCCTGTCTAATAATTGTTGCAATTATGTGTTGTGTCGCAAGATGAGACAGTAGCTTAAACCCTGATATGACAGACTGATCCACACTCACTGTTATTCTGTAATCAGTAACACGGCCACCGCAGCCCTCGCTGATACTGGGCGGGTCCTCCAGTATGCTTCGACCAGTGCCCAAACTGTGGATGAATATTTCTCCTCCGTGAGCCGCCAGCAGATGACTCATCACCTTGCCTCCGCCTCGTCTCACCATCTCCAACATGACCGACCGACCGTTCAGAAGGAAGTTGATGAGACACGATGACGGACGACTGCAACACAAACCAATATGAAATATTAGGATTATTAGGTTAGCTTTATACAACGCCAACACACCCATTTGTACGTATATTTTAAAGCGAAGACTAGTGAAAGATGTGCGATAGCTTTTTCACCGAGATCAGCATGTTCTAAAGCCAGAAAAGTTTATTAAAAGCCTATAGATCAGTACGCTTGGTCAAGTTTAGAGCAACCAAAAAGCTACAGACTTTAGTCACACAAATAGGCAACCCCCTAATAAATAGACGAATACTACATTTTCTCCACTAACCTGCTATTGATGGTGGAATCCACAACATTTTACACAGTAGGTATGACAATCTCAGTTGAAGGAGATTATTTTGGAAATTTATAATGTCGAGGTCGATTATCAAAGGTCAAAAGTTCAGAATCTTATTCACAACAAAATGTCAAACTGTGACACTAGGCGTACACTTTATGTGTATAAATCCCCTGGACTCTTTTTATTATCTAAGGTTAAATTTGATGTTAATTGTATGAAAGGACCATGTGGTCGTAAATTTGTCTCAAATAAAAATAAGTAGCCTATAAAAAAATAATAAATCAAAGAAGCTAGTGAGTTCTATCTACTAAATTAATATCCCCGGCTTAAAATATGCATCTTGGTGCCATGGTGTATTCAAAATCTAATCTAGTCCAATTATTATTACTTTCAGACGAAGAGGAGCAAAACTTATCTAGTAGAAGAGCTCGGGACTTCGGTCCGCAAGGCACCTGATTCCAATCACACCTATCACCAATGGATTTAAGTGATAAATGCTGCAACCCTCTAGACTTAGCATGAAGTAATGTGTTAAATGGTTCTGGACTAGATCCTAGCGTCCTAGGATGTGAAGATAGAACAACAAAAAAACAGCAAGTAATACCTTGGCGAGTAACTTAATCTAAATTTGAATGCAATGCAAGCTGAGTGTAGATTTAGTTATTTCCAGCAAACTGCTGAAACTTGACCAGATAGCATAGACAAGCGTACGGACCTGTTAACGTCGACGGGAGTTATCCTGAACATGGACGTACAGTTGTGTACCTCGGTGGGAGACATGCCGCGTGGTGTGCACCACTTGAGTGTCACCGTCTCGTAATCTGAGCCTTCCTTCATCGTCTTCACAATGGCCGTGTCTGCCGCATTGCCTGTAATGTAATTCTATGTGTACGTAGTGCGATGATGGTTATGTATTATGTTATCACTGTGAACGATAATAAATTGTTTCTTCATTTCATCCATACCATTGCCCTTTAAATAAAACCCCAACAGTAATAAACAATTTTTGTAGGAAATTAATTAAATATCTAAATAAATACAAGAGCGGTCTAGTCTGTGAATTGCACTGAAGTTTTTAGTTTTTAAGTTAGGTACATAGCCTCAGAAAGCAAAATAGAGTATTATCTCAATTTCTATCTGTCTATCAACCCTCAAGACAATTTACATTTTTCCTGTATTCACTTAATTGTTGAATAATGTCTTTGACTAGTTACAAATTGTGAAACTTATTAAAAAGTGAAATAATGAACACTCAAAAACCTAGTTTTGTGTGATTTTGGATACATATTCACTTAAGATTTAAGTTTTACTACATACATAAGTTATCCATCGGTCCCAATGAGCTATTAAGAGAATGATACTGTCACTCAAATTTTTATGTATGTGTTTTTAATGTATGGACACATACCTTAGCATCAATTTCTTCATATTGCTGCTTCATGAATGAAATGTTTTACCATAATTCTTCAATTTTAGTCAAGCCTCTTTCCATGTAGCTTACTATATAAATTACAAAATAAAAACTTTGAGCACAATACTTAAACAAAACTTATACGACCTTTCTTTAAAACCAAACATAACCCTCTTCAATCTTCATTTTTCTAGTAAATAAACAAACACCAATTCATTGCACTGACCAGCTGTTTCATGAACTAAATTGAATTATATCATTTGAACTTTTGAAATATGCCAGGGGTAGCCCTTTGGAAATTAGCCTGTGGGGCAGAGCCCTTAGGAAATTCGTCCATATCAATACTTTTCGGCAAATCTACACACTCTAAGCTTCATTTTGATGTGCCATATGCCTATATTTTTATTTGGTAAATGACCTTAACCGTTTACATAAAATTTGATTGTATCACTTTAATAATATCTTTAATAATATAATAGATGATCCGACTACTTAATTTTATTTATTTCAAAATTACTCCTTGGAAATTCAAGTCAAATTACCGAGTAAAGTAGTATGAGCATGAGAGGCATGGAATATTTCCACATCGTAGTTGGCGCTACTGCTGGCGTTCTGCTCCTCTTTCATCGGAATACCAGTGACGGTGGTGGAGGCCAAGTCGTAATGGGAGAGGATCAGATGTGACAACTTGGACGCTACTTGGCCAGCTGCCTTGGCACAGTGAACCTCTGTACTTAGCAGATTTGATACCTAGAACAATGTCTTGATAGCGTGCTCAGTCGATAGATTTAAAATTCAAATATAATTGTTTACCAAGGAAAATATTAACCCAGAAAAAAGTTTCTAGGCATTGTACACAACACAGAAAGTACATAACGCAATTAATTTGATAATTCGCTGCTACAAGAGGCTTCTTCAGAAGGAAGTAGTTAGTCCTTGTAGGAGCGAATTGAAAATTAAGTGTGTTGTGAACTGCTGTTAACTGTCCGGAACTTTTTCTTGAGTTTCAAATTAGTTGTGTACGGTATCCATTCCTCCTTCCTTATTCTGCCTATTCCTAACCAAAGTGCCATTTCCAAAAAACTAACATTGAATAACTTAGGTGTATCTGTTTTTATAAATAATATAAACAGCAAAATATATTGGTAAGGTAGAATTGATACTTAGAAAATTAAATACCCCTGCAGCAGCAAACCTGTAGATTAAGCATTTTTCATTTGAATGGTTATATTTTCAATTAATCTATTAAGTTACCCTAAATCTTTTTTAATAATTTTAGGTTAAACAAGTACCTAGGTTTGCTACTACAGGGGGGGGGGGTAAATAAAATTTGTTTTTAGTCAGATGAATAGCTTAGTAATAAATAAATTTGCCAAGTTTAATCAAAATATATCCATAAAAAAGCAAACTACAGGAGTTTACTTATTCTACATAAGAAAAAAAAGGAAATAAAATTTTTTTTATTTTCTCCAAAACAATAACCGTACAAAAACACTTCAATATACTTAATTATTTGTTTAAGCTTTTCATAATGGTTTGGAAACAAATGTTTGAATAGACGTAGGTTTACACGTTTGTACCAATTTTCATTAAAATCAGATCACTTTTGCTTGAGTTATTGTTAAACAAACCAACTATCAACAGAAATCACAAATTAATTAGCAATAAAACAGACAAATGTTTCTACTTACATTAAGCGGTGGATGTGGTGTGACTGCAACGACGTCTAGATTGTTGGGATAAACGTTGATGATAACCAGGTGGCAGTGGTGGATTGGAATAAGACTGTGGAAATACAAAAATAGTTAACACAGCTTTATCATCACAGTACCTAGGTACATTTTATACATAGTGTTAAAAGCTGTTTAGAAAATTTTAAAACTTCATTATACTCCGGTTCTTATTACGCGATCTGCTTACTAACTCCAGTTCCACACATTCATGCAAAATTTAATCAAAAACAGACCTCAAATGCTTGAGTTATCACATTAACTAACACTGTGTGTCTCAAAAGTCCCCCCTGTGTTTTTTTTTTATAAATAGAGATAAAATTATAATATTCAGGGAATTTATATGATGAAAAAAGGAAGTTTTTGGTGTATATATAAATTGTCACCCCTCCCCCCAAAAGGGGTAGTTTAGGGGTAAGTTGAAATGTTCAAATGTAAACCTCTATCAAGTTATACATAGTTACTAGCTGAACCCGGCAGACGTTGTCTTGCCTTTGACTATTTATAATTTAAGTACCGTTACGTTTAATTGTCTCGTTCGCATGGCTCAATCACGTCCTGGTTGAAGTTCGTTCGCTACGCTCACTCACCTTTAGGTTGGAGCTCGTTCGCTGCGCTCACTTGCCTTTCAGGTTAGCTCGTTCGCTACGCTCACTTGCCTTCAGGTTAGCTCGTTCGCTACGCTAACTCGCCTCCAGGTTTGGTTGCAAATTGGCAGTTGTCATAAATGTAAAAAAAATAATAGTGCTGCACCCTGTTGGTAATCCTTGTAACTTTAAAGCTATTGGACATCATAGAACAGAACCAACTTGTTTAATTGAAACAGCTGTTAAGATTCATTAATTCCATTTCTCATAAGGTTAACATGGGAAACTCCAGAGCCACTGGGGCGGAGCCGATTGGACGGATCACGAAATTGATGGTGTATAAACCTATTCCATGACATTCTACACGTATGTACCAAGTTTCGTGGCAATCGGTTCAGCGGTGTCCGAGTTTATCACCCCCCAAACAAACAAACAAACAAATATATATACAAACATCCTCTTTTATACTTATAGATAAAGGTCATAATAAAAGAAAAAGGAATGGTACAAACTTGAGAAAAGAAACCTAAAAAGAAAAGATTTGAAAAAAATTAAAAGCTTTGAAATGCCATAACTTTTGATGGTATTGATATAGAGACCTCTAGTTTGCACCATTCTTTTTCTTTTATTATGATATTTATAATTATTTACAACTTGAAATAGTAAGTTTACATTTGAACATTTCAACTTACCCCCAAACTAATTTGGGGGGAGGGTGTAAAAATTTAGATATACACAAAAAACTTTCTTTTTCAATCATATAAACATCTCCTTAATATTATAATTTAATTTTATCTCTATTAATAAAAGAAATTACAGGGGGTGGGAGATTGGACACACACACAGTTTATGACAATTTAAACAAAGACTGTTTTTATACTCTGTGACCATCAAACTCATAAAAGTAAATTGTTTCGGAGTTTAGGTATAACCATGTGATGGAGTTTAGGTATGTTACCTAATAGTAACTTCCCTATATGGAAATTTGATAGTAACGATGATAACCTATTTATGAACTTACTGGTCTGACGCAGCAGCCAGTTTGTTTGCCTGGACCAACTCATTTTGAAAAATCTCTTCCATACTTTTGATAGAAGCGTTATCTCTAGCAGAGGTCAAGCAGATAACTCGGCAGCGATTCAACACCTGCAAATTGCCAATAATTAGAATAATTTTGAGATAACAATTTTGACAATAAAACAATTTTGATTGTTTTTTTCATAAGTCGTAATTTTGTTCACTACAGGTTTATTGATTAGGCCTACATACATAGTTTTTTCAGTTATTTACAAAAAACCGTCTGAAAACCAATGATTTCACTCACCAATAAGTAAAAAAGTATTTATTTACTAGCTGTACCCGCGGGCTTTGCCCCGCTTAACTTCATAAGTATTCGCATGGCTCAATCACGTCCTGGTTGAAGTTCGTTCGCTACGCTCACTCACCTTCAGTTTGGAAATCGTTCGCTGCGCTCACTCACCTTTTGGTTGCAAATTAGCTGTTGTCATAAATTTAAAAAATTCATCCCTTTTATTGTTTAAACAGTACTTTGATAAAGGTTTTTATGTTTTAATATTTAACATTGGAGAATTTAAACGTTGTTAAGTGCTCAGGTGTGCTCCGATTAATGCTAATACAGAATGTTGTGATTATTCAAACCTACAAAACAGTTGGTGAAAGTAAACATCTGCTTTTAAATTATATTTATTTGTAAACATTGTAGATCAAAAAGTCTGACATTGGCCCACTTAATACCCTCTGGGGCAGAGCCCTTTTGACGGATCTGCACCAAACTTCACTCGAACCATCCTTGAAAGATGCTTAATAATGCCTGAAAGTTTCATTACAATCTGTCCAGTGGTTTCGGAGTCCATAACGTATATACACACACACACACACACACATACATACATACATACATAGTTCCTCTTTTATAGATATAGATTGCCAATGGATTGACACTAATTTTACAGTTGAATTACATATTTTAATTAGCTCACTACGACCAAGTAGCCTAATGTATGGTTTAACATTAAGCTATTTACATTCAGAGAAAACTTCATAGAACAAAACATTCTTAGAACAAGTAAACTTATCAATTTCCACACTTTTTTATGAAAAACTGCTCACAACCGAGAAGGGGTAGCATCCACCCCAGGGAAAAAGCAACCCCGGCACGGGGTAATTTTGAAATTAATAGAGAGGGTAACTATAACCTAAATCCAATTAATTTATTCATACAATAGTGTGCTGTATGGGATAAATACACAGTTTAAAATTTTTTTACCGTTACTGGACTAGGCCTATACCATTATTGAACAATATTTACCTATATTAATATTAGCCGTTAAAATAATAGGGTCCTTAAGACTACATTGGAGGGTTACCTTAGTAGCATTCTCTGTGAGAGCCGTTCGTTTCTCGTGCTGAGCATCAGAGCATTCACACATAGCCGAAATGGCAGCTTGTAGGCCGTGCACTATGGAATAATCAGCGGACGACGCTCTAGGTGGCACACCCACCACTGATAAAGCATTCAACAGCTGCAAACAGCGAGATGAATATAAACACTCAACATGAATTTTAGCTGCTTTGTTTTAGCGAATTTCCCATATAGGGAATAAGCTATTACCGTAGTACTCATGGTAAGACCTGGACGCGGGACCGATTTTTTTTTTTCGTTTTGAGGTCCCTAGAGGCCAAAAACACCATCCGTTCAAATTCATATATATATATATGTGTCCGTCAGCACGATAACTCGAGCAAAAATGATCCGATTTTGATGAAATTTGGTACAAACGTGTAAACCTACGTTTATTCGAACGAGTTCGCAATCCAGCATGATCGGACCATGGGAACGGGTGTTTACGGGGGGTTTTATGGGGTAAAAATAGGCTTTTCCCATTTTTGACCCAAAAAACACAAAATTTAGCAATTTATTTCCAAACCATTTTTTAGAGCTTAAAAAAACAAATAATTTAGTATATTGAAGCGTTATCATGCGCCTAATGGTTACGGAGAAAATTCCAAAAAATTGTAAATTTAAAATTCCCATGTTATTCTTATGGAGAATGAGTAAACTGTTGTAGTTTGCTTGTTTATGAACATATTTTGATCAAATTTGGAAAATGTTTTTATTTCTTACTAACTATTAACATTTTACAAAAAAAAACAACAGTTTTACCCTCCCTGATGCAGCAAACCTAAGTACTTGTTAAACTAATTCTATTTAAATCGGGAATAAATGCTATATTTTTAAGTAGACAGTTCAGTGTAAATCCAATCAGTCAAATGGAAATTCGCTTAGTCTGCAGGTTTGCTGCGGCGGGGGTATTTAATTGTTCTATGGGGAAGGGGTTGAGTAAGGAAATACAGTTAAAAAATTGGTTGGATTTTACAGGTGAGATGGTTTCAAAAATATAAAGGCCTAGCTAATGTGAAATTTTGCTTGAAGAAAATTAGGCCTATCCCTCCATAATTTAGTGTCCGTTAAATGTAAGTTATTATATTCTCGATAGGAATAACAAGTGAGGAATTTTTTAATTTTAGGTTATTAAAATGGAAAATAGTCAATTAAAAAACTTCCCCAGAAGTGAGAGTCTAAGACCTACAGTCAAATTTGTTTACCTGAAACCAAGAAACTGAAGGGGTAGTTTTTTACCAATACAAACCCCGATAAATGTCTGTTATCAAACAAGATCCTGAATAAATAAGGTTGCTATTTGTCCGGACAGTCCTTATTAGAAACGTGTGTCTGGTTTGACGTCCGTTGAGTACAATGAATGAAATAAAACAAAAGAACGAATAATTATAAAAACAGATGTCTGTATATTTATTTGTTTAGCTATGAAACTTTGAATATAGACATATAGGATGCCAAATTCCATAGAATAGGTTTATGAACCTAAAACTAAAAGATTACACTACGATAAAAAAATAAATAACTCGGATAATGTTATGAAAACAACCTGGAAAATTATAAATAAAGAAGTAGGTAACAAAGAAAATAACTTAGTGAATGACATGACCATTGCGTACAAAGGAACAACTATTGCAGATCCCAGGGCAATATCTAATGTACTAAATGACTACTTTGTAAGTTTATCTGGAAAGAATGGTTCTGTAAACTGTAATAAGCTGTTAGATAATCACCAGCCAGTACTAACAAATTGTGTCAAATCTAAAACATTATTTCGATGTGAACCTGTTTCATGTGAGGAAGTAGAAAAACTGATAAACTCTTTAAGTAACAAACCTTCACGTGGGCACGACGAAATTCCCGTTAAAGTAATAAAATATACAAAACAAGAACTAGTTCCAATTTTTACTCATTTAATTAATTCATCTTTTATATCCGGTCATTTTCCAAAATTATTAAAAGTTGCTAAGGTTGTGCTTATTTTCAAAAAGGGGGACCCTCAGTGCGTAGAAAACTATCGACCAATATCACTTTTGCCAGTTATTTCAAAATTATTTGAAAAGGCAATGAAAATTAGGCTAGTGTCTTTTATAGAAAATAACAACCTTCTATTTAGTGGCCAACATGGTTTTCGCTCAGGCAGATCAACAATTACAGCTGCTTCAAGTTTTTTTGAGAGTATAATAAATTCAATTGATAGCCACGAAAATGTTATAGGAATATCAATGGACCTTACGAAGGCTTTTGATAGGGTATGTCACCAAACTCTAATACTCAAACTAGAAGATATGGGAGTAAGAGGTCACATTTTGGCGTGGTTCAAATCATATTTATCGGAAAGAAAGCAATACGTTGAAATCATGTCTAATAAAAATAATTGGCTGGTAAAAAACAGATCAGAAATAAAACTTAATCACTTTGGTGTCCCTCAGGGTTCAATACTAGGCCCTGTTTTATTCCTTTGCTACATTGATAAGATTCCAAATGTTCTGTCGTGTGTACCTTGTGGAAATATGTGTTTATATGCTGATGACATTAACTTAAAAATTACAGGAAAAACAGTAGAACATATTGAAATAGATACCTTCATAGAACTTGCAAATATTAAAAATTACTTACTATCCAACAATCTCAAAATAAACAAAAGTAAAACTAATTTTATATCATTTTCAACTAAGCAATGTAAAAACAAAATAGAACCGTTGATTATTTTGGATTCCGATGAAATCAAACAAGTTGAAAAAATAGATTTTTTAGGTTTAAAAGTTGATAAACATCTATCCTGGCAGGACCACGTCAATCATGTTTGCTCAAAGATAAATTCAGGGATATTTGCTTTGAAAAAGATGTCATATCTATGTAATATCAATACTTTAAAAACAATATATCATTCTCTTGTCCATAGCCACATTTCATACAGTATATCTTTATATGGAGCTACAACTAAGAAAAATCTTAATCGAATCTTAAAATTACAGCAAAGGGCATTAAGAACAATGATGGGAGTAAAAAATGATGAATGTGTTAAAATTCATTTCAAAAATTTTAAAATATTAACTGTGTTTGCCCAATACATTTTTGAAACTGCTCTCATAGCGAAAGAAAGTATATCAGATAACGCACAATTATGCTACAATACAAGAGGAAAAGCCCTAAGAGAAAATAGTCGCAACCATCTTTTATTTTCAAATAAAAAGCCCACCTGTGCCGGAAGAAGATTTTTACGGTTTCTTCCAAATCATTTAAAACCCATTGGCAACTCAATCAAATTTAAAAACAAATTAAAAAATTATCTCATAGAAATCGCTCCCTACTCCATTAAAGAGGTGTTTCCCCAATTAACCTGATTTTATTTTTAGTTTCTTAGTATTATATAAATTGTAATTTTAGCTTATAACTTTATTTACTAGGTTAGGAATCTGACACTATTCAATGTACAATGTACAATTGTTGAATAAAGATATTGAAATGAAATGAAATGAAACCCTCAATTTGTTAAGGGTTACCAGGGCTCCACCCCAGTGGCTTTTTAAAGTCTCGTTCTATCCTTATGGAAGCAGTTTTATTTACTAGTCACCAAAAAATTTATTAAGTTTACATTTTGACTTTCACAGAACTTTTGTTTACTCTTTTGAAGCTATCACCTAAATAGCTGTTTGAAGAAAAAAGCAAGTATGAATACAGCTGCTAGTATAATAGTCTATCTTATTTATCATAGTGCTTATTTAAACTCAAAAGCTAGTATATCAAGCTAGGTTAATTACAAGTTTTATGTTTCAAAACATCTTGAAACCGAAAATTTCCCGAGGGTCACCCACGTCCTCTGGTGTTCCATACCCTCCAGACCCCCCAGTTTGGCCGATGTCCAGATCTAGGATCAATAAAAAATATGGTAACCCTATGAATAAAGGTCAAAAGTGTGATAGGTTTGAATTCACATTGTGATAAGCTTAGTTACACTTAAATGAGACATAATGTACATAAGCCTTGCTTTACACAGAAGTTTAGCTAATACTACCTAGGATATTAAATGCATGCAAGAGCCATATGCTGTTATATATAAATGAGGCTTGCTATACTTACATGAACCTTTGTAGGCCTACTTAAGTTACATGAGCTGCAAAATATACTTACATGAGTTGTGCTCTGTTGAGAGATGTTCCACGAGTTCAAGGTATGAGCTTGACTATCACTGACAATGAATCTCACCTGAAAAAGATTAGTGTCATAAGTGCAAGCTAGTCTCAAGAGGAATAGCATAATTTTATGAAATATTTGACTACCTATTTTCTAAATTCCTGTAACTAAAGAAAAAGTAATAATTATATACCTATGTTTATAGTGTTAATAACAAGGAATCAATTTACAGTTTTCTCCCTGAACCAAATTAAAATAATATCACAGTTGCATAGTGTCGCCAGCAGATGGTAGTCATAGCCAAATTGTTTAATGCTTTTGTGTCTCTCTTATTTGTTTTGTTTGTGAAAAATCTTGGAAACTGTAAAGCAGTCCTGATTGTTTTAAGAACTTTTTATTCAAGGCATAACTTAGTAGGCCTAATGAACAGTACGTTTGAAACAAGTGGTCACCTAACACAAAACAATGTAGGGTACACAGGAATATTAAGCTCAAAATGTTTGTTTTCATGATTCAAAACAGGATTCCCTGACCTTAGTTGTTCGCCTTTTAATGAATTAGGCCTAGGCTAAATTAGAATTAGGAACCAACCAATCTTGGTAAGTTAGGCCTGTGACAAGCTTACATATAAAAATGTATACACCTCCTAATCTTTGTCTTAAATTATAAATTTGTACGGTCACCATTTCAGTTAAAAGTATTAACTTAAAGTGGCCTAAAAATTAAGTATTAAGAAGCCTGATGCAGGGCTAGAGAATTAATAGGATCATAATAGAAAGGTAAGTTAAGTTACCTATTAAGTTAAGCCTATCAATAGTTTCACAAATAAATAGTACACAAGGTACCGGTATTTCAACTTACAAGCTTGTTATGCTGTGGAAAAATGTCCCAAACTATCCTGCAATATTCTAGAGCCGCTTCTACAATGCATGTCCATAATGACTTGACGATTGGAGCAAGAGGTATGAAACCTGGACCTCTTGCTTTGGTAAAATCAAATTCCAACAAATCCTCACTGGAAATCCCAAAGTATGGTGTGTGGTCCAGAACAAAAATAGTTTTATGACTCGGAGGATACATCTGTTGGCTGATCAGTGAAGTCATTGTGTCTCGTTAGTCGTTAGGTGCTTCACCTAGTGAAATACAAAAATTTAATAGGCCTATTGTGTTGTACAAATTGGAATTCAAACATCAAAGTGATTTTACTTATGTTTAAGAAAATACAGAAGGCTATTAAGTTTAGGCTTAGGCCTACATATTATTATTTTAAGTGGGTACAGTTTCTTAACTGGGCTACACTAATATTGATTGAAACTATCAAATCCAAAATATTTTTTTAAATATGTCTATTATAAAATAAAACTATCATAACCTAACCTCTCAGAACCAAACTTGCTGATGGTGATAAAATCGCATGAAGGTTTACTAATCAAATCGATAATTTCAATCGATATTAGCGTAGCCCAGTTAAGTAAACTTATTACCTACTATGAAAAAGTTAAGTAAATTATGGTAGATTAATTCTATAGGAGGAGAACAATTATGCTAACCAACGATATAAACAAAACAACTCAACTAACAACAACAACAACTAAGTTTAACTACATTGTTATTGTTGATTCTAGCCTAAAAGAATTCCATAATTCCTAGAACCAAAAAATCACCTGACGAATTTTTGATGATTTAAATGTTTGAAATTAAGTTTTGGGTTCAGGGTTAGCATATAGGCCTAGCCTACTAATACTGTATTTTCCTTCCACCATGTACTAATACTGTAAATAACTATTTTTTTAGGGTTTTTCTAGGCTGCAGGCCCTGGCTCAGGCTCATTAATATTAGTTTTATTGTTTACTTTTTAATAAAAATAAAAAAGTTTTACTAATAAGAGTTGGGTGGGGAGTCGAGAGTCCAGTCGCTGACTGCTGAGTTTGAGGTTTGAGTGCTGAAATTGATACTGATAGTGCTGATGCTGATCGGCTGCTGTGCTGTGCTGATCGGTGATCGCAGTCGCCGCGCAGTCGCAGTTCACTCGTCTAGTACAGGCAAAATAGATTAAAATTCACCAAAAAAACAAAAAAATTAGTTCAGGGATGAAACTTTGGTTTTAACTTCGTTTTACCAATAGAAGTCAAGATCCGATGAGTCCCTAACAGTCCCGATGGGGGAACATGGTTTTTAGGGGGTGGGGAGGGGGAATTTTGATATAATTCATTATTCACGATTTGAAGTCATTTAGGAAGTCGTTTTTAAGGTTTGTATACACGGTGAATCGATAGGAACCATATTTAGGTCGTTAGAACCACCTCTATAAGAGATTTAGCATATTGGTACATGTTTAGTTGTTATTTTTTCTAGGAGGGGTAGGGGGAATTTTAAATAATTTATGATTTTTGACTTATGACTTGTTGGGTGTTGTTTTCAATGGATTTCTACATGCCAAATAGAATGGAACCACTATTTTGTCGATATAACTACATTATTAACAGATTTGGAGTGCTATATGACTGAAATAAAATAAATGTTTGTGCACGAAATTAATTATTTAATATTTAAACATAAAAATTAAAACTATTATCTAAACATCAAGTATTAATTTAATGAGTTTATTTTTACAATAAATTCAATTTTCCCCATTATAAAAAATACCCCCGCCACAGCAAACCTGCAGACCAAGCGAATTTCTATTTATCTTTCAGGATTTCTACTAAAATTTGTCCTTGAAACTGTCAGATTTATTTACTATTTAAATTACATTATTTTTAATTAATAATTAGGTTTGCTGTACAGGGATGTAATGGGGGTGTTTTTTATTAAAATGTTGATAGCTTAGTATGAAATCAACAAAATTACCAAGTTTGGTTTGAATATATCCACAAACAAGTTTATTTATCTACAACAGTTTATTTATTTTCCATTAGAATAACATGGGAATTTTAAATTTACATTTTTTTTTTATTATCTCCTTAACCGTTAGGCGTACAACAAGGCATATACTAAATTACTAAATCTTTTAAGCTCTAGAAAGTGGTTTGGAAAGAAATTGTGAAATTCTTTGTTGATGGGGTCAAAAATGGGAAAAACCAATTTTCTCCCTACAAAAGTCTCCATAAACCCATAATACATTGTAATACATTGACATTAAGTCAGGGTTTAAACCATGTTTTATGATTTAAAGTTCAAGTAAATATCTATTAACCTTTGCGTAGCCCCTACAAAGTTTGTATATATGTTTTATATGTTTTGTACATATGTATACTGTTTTTATATCCTTCAGCAAGTCAAAGGAATACATTCTAAGTTACAACGAGGTTTTTAGTGAATTTCCCATATAGGGAATAAGCTATTACCGTAGGTCTCATGGTAAGACCTAGACCCGGGACCAATTTACATTTTTGTTTTAAGGTCCCCAGAAGTCAAAAACACCATCCTTTCAAATTCATATACATATGTGTCCGTTTAGGGTGATAACTCGAGCACAAATTATCCGATTTTGATGTAATTTAGTGCAAACGTGTAAACCAAAATTTATTCGAACGAGTTTGCGAACCAGCATTATTGGACTATGGGAACAGGGGTTTATGGGGATTTTTATGGGGAGAAAATTGGGTTTTCCCATTTTGACCTCATAAACAAAGAATTTCACAATTTCCTTTCCAAACCACTTTCTAGAGCTTAAAAGATTAAATAGTTTAGTATATGCCTGGTTGTACGCCTAACGGTTCAAATCAAATCAAATCAAATCAAATTATCTTTATTCACTTTATACATTTTACATACATGAATAGTGTAAACGCATACAAAATTGGTTATACAACTTAATCTAAAAGACTTAACCATACAATTTTACAATTATTTTAGAATGTATACCTAGCTCATTCATTTTTTATTTAGAAACTCATCTATACTATAAGGAGCCAGATTAATTAAGAACTATTTTAATATCTTTAAAAATTGGGTTTGTTTTGATCTTTTTTAGTTTAGGCAGGCAAACTTCTTATAAATAAATTGTCGATATACGAAGGTTTCATTTTTGAAAGATTCAGCCGATGATGACTTTTTACAGTAAGATATTTCCACCTTGTGTTGTATTTATTCAATACTTCAGTGTTTTTATCTTTATAAACATGCTGAATAGTTTTAAAAATATACAAACCATACACTGTAAAAATTTCATTCCATCATTACATTGTAAAAAAGTACTTTAATTTTTTTTATAAAATAAGTTTCTTTTTATTTACGTTTCTTTTATTTACTTTGCGTAAAAATTAAAGTAATTTTTCACCGACTTCTTATCCTTTAAGGTTAAGGAGAATAAAATATGTAAATTAAAAATTCCCATGTTATTCTAATGGAAAATAAATAAACTGTTGTAGTTCGCTTGTTTGTGGATATATTTAAACCAAACTTGGCAATTTTGTTTATTTTATACTAAGCTATCAACATTTCAATAAAAACAACCCCTATTACCTCCCCTTTAGCAGCAACCCTAATGACTCATTAAAATTAATGTTATTTAAATAGAAAATAAATAGTAATCCTGTCAGGTAAATGAAAATTTGCTTGGTCAGCAGGTTTGCTGCGAGGAGGTATTTTATTATAATAGGAAAAATTAAATTTATTGTAAAAATAAACTCATTAAATTAATACTGGATGTTAAGTTAATTGTTGTTTTTTTTGTTTAAATATTAAATGATTAATTTTGTGCACAAACATTTATTTTATTTCAGATAGCACTCTAAATCTGTTAATAATGTAGTTATATCGACAAAATAGTGGTTCCATTCTATTTGGCATGTAGAAATCCATTGAAAAAAACACCCAACAAGTCATAAGTCAAAAATCATAAATTATTTAAAATTCCCCCTACCCCTCCTAGAAAAAATAACAACTAAACATGTACCAATATGCTAAATCTCTTATAGAGGTGGTTCTATCGACCTAAATATGGTTCCTATCGATTCACCGTGTAAACAAACCTTAAAAACGACTTCCTAAATGACTTCAAATCGTGAATAATGAATTATATCAAAATTCCCCCTCCCCACCCCCTAAAAACCATGTTCCCCCATCGGGACTGTTAGGGACTCATTGGATCTTGACTTCTATTGGTGAAACGAAGTTAAAACCAAAGTTTCATCCCTGAACTAATTTTTTCATTTTTATTTAGTATTTTTCCTGTACTAGTCTGTTTCTCGCTACGTTGGGTTTTACAGGCGAAGTTTAGCTCGTGAGTAGAGCCATGCAGCTGTAGAGATAACAGTGTGATTGAATCGGTTAGATAACTTTATTTTATAAAAATTATAAAAGCAGGAAAAATACCGAAAAAAATACAGGAAACATATAATTTTGCGAGATTACATTTCCTGCTCTCAGTCTCAAGTACAATCAAGATGCTTTGCCAACCTTCATATCTCCACAGGTAGTCAGTGGTCAGGTAGACAGGTAGTCAGTGGCGAAATATAGTCAAAGTTTTAAAGTTATAATTTTTTCACTAACGCAATCTATCCAGCTATGGCTGGGCAACGATGAAGAACCGGTAAAGGTAAAGGTAAAGCAACTCATGGAGAAAATTAAAATGCCCCAACCTCTATTGATGGGACAAAGAAACTTGCTAACATGAATGAGATTAATGCTGCCACAATTCCGTGCAAGACGGCATGGAGATGGAATTTAATGAATCGTGTATCTAAGCCAGCCCCAACTCTTAAATGGTGGTAAAGGAGTTAAAGATTGTTGCTAGTTTGGAATATAATTTAAAGGCGGTGACACACTATCGATCTTTTCTCCGATCAAGACCCGGGGAAAAGACTCGGTTACAGTTAGTACTTACTTACTTGAAATACTTGTCTTCTACATCGTTGACCGACATGTCGGATAGATTGCGTCATGTTACTATTTACATATAAACACTATAAAACCATTAAAAAATAACTACATATACTTTTACTTCTACTTTTGTGGCGGACGTGTCACGTTAAAAAAAGGGGTTCACTCTCAAACTCATGCAAGGCGTACAATGGCCTATTCAGCAGTCCATCACGTATCTCCCTCTTAAAGTCTGGCAGGTCCATGTCACGCACTCGCTTAGGCAAGGTGTTGAATATACCCTAATTGCCGAACGCGGGTAACTCCTCATTGTCTGTGCAAGTCGGCACCGAGGCATGTCAAGGTCTGGGGCTCTGCGGGTATTGTGGGTGTGGACCTCCTCCCTCCTGCCAAAGAGTCCCACCTTGTCTTTGAGTAGTACAAGGATGTCGAGGATATACTGGCTGAATACAGTGAGCACCCTATGCCGGATGAATATAGGGCGGCAGTGCTGCTTGTAGCCAGCAGATGACCCTATCCTCATGGCTTTCTTCTGGATTTGAATTGAGTAGTTGTTAAAGTTGTGTTCACTATCAGTGTGCATTATTATTGTGGTGAATAGTGGTAATGGGGTATAGTGTGGTGAAAAATAGCGTTCATACCATGGACCGAAATGGTTTTGCAGCTCTCGATCCTTTTAAGTTCTCGTCTCGTCTCGAACTTAAAAACTATCTCGAGGCGGCAAAACCTCATTTTCGGCCCTAGGTAGGTACAAAATATACTATTATGAGTTGTTTTTACTTAGTTTTAAACTTTATTGCCTGGTCCTCTGAAAACTTTTCTCTAACGCCCCAGTGATAACATCCAGAGTAAAAAAATGAGACCATTCACGGCCGCCTTTAACTCGACCATTGCCATAAACAAGTATCTTTATTCTCAGCTTGTATTTGGTACAATTTTAAGTGATGATTTGTCTCATTGTAAGGAATCAAGCTGGGTTTTATTAAAAACTGTTGTCAGCCATTTCAAGGAATTTTGTTATGAAGATTTAACAAGCTTCTGGCTTAAAGCGGATTGTGTTTATTTTAGAAATAACCTATCTGCATTGACCAGAAATAGAGTTCAATTATGTTCTATTGATTGATTGATATGAAATATAGCACAAAGTATGGCATTAATTACAAAAATGTTAAGATAAAAGAGTATAGATTTAATTACCTATTATTTAGTTATAGTATGTCTTTACTGAATGATTGGCGGGAAAATTAAACATGCGCGTGACTTTCTAGACTGGAAGTACAACGCGCACGAATGGTCCTTACAAAGGATCATGGGAGAAGTAGACGCCATCTCAGAATTTCAGTTCTGAAGGGGAAATTTGTGGACATTATGGCGGAATGCTTAGTTATTCGTGAGGTAATTTTGTAGTAAATCTCTGTGAATTTGTCTCATAAACTCTGTAATCCGTGAAGAAAGTATAATTGTTGCTTGAAGAATTATTAGTGCAACTGTTTCTGTGTGGTTTGGTGTCTCAAATTCGGCTATATTAAAGCCTGAAGCTCACCTAAGAGTCGGGTCTGTTATTATTTTGTTGCTTTTTGTTGCCAGAGTAATTGTTATGATGCTATGATATTACTACCCCATTCAACAATATGATAATATTAACTCAAGAAAACAATCTTCTTGAGTTTAAAATTCGCATTACAAGAATACTTGTTAAAAATTACTTGCAAGAAGATGTGTTTCATGTCACAATTTCATAGTCATGCAAAAGGCTTGTGGTGGTCCTTGGGTTCTTAGTTTTTGTCCCGTTATGAATTGTAACTTTTTTTAGGGAAAATGCTTGTTTTGCCCTTACTAATAACACTTGGTTACAACTTTCATTAAATAATGCTTGAGGCAATATTGTATGATATGCCCAAGATTTTAAAATCATCAAAACAAAGAACAGGCATATAGGCTAGCCTAGGTCCTAGGCAACCTTTATATAAAACATAATCTATAATTTATATTTAACATATATTTAACTCCATAGCAGCCAAATTATAGAGTAACTCAAGGTATTAAGTTAGGTATTCCTATTTGGGCTATAGGCATAGGCCTTGAAGTCTCAATAGTATCTAAGTTATTGTAGGCATACCGCATTTATCATCATCGTAGCTTAAACACACAGTAATTGGTGCTTGGCCGAGGACTCTTAACAGATCTCCTCTGTCTTAAATTAGGCTAGGCCTAAGCCTAATTGTCATTAGGTTGTAGTCTAGTGTTTTGGGGTACACTTCCATATAAAAAACCGAATTAAAATATCGATCGATAAATTATGAGTTATCAAATTCAATCGAATAGGCCTAATCAATATTACTCATTTGGTTGTTTGTGCCGATAGATGGAAGTGTAAGTGGGCCTACCAGTGTTTGGAGGTAGCCTACACTAGGCTAAGTTAATTTATTTTCTACTTTCTATTGTGTTTATATTTAACTTATCCTTGAATGTCCTAAACTTAAACAAAGCCCTAGTAAGTTAATTGGCCATTTTAAGTTTTACATGACCAAATACTGGTAGCCTACTCTTTTCACCTGATTACACTTTTTACTTTCTAAGACCAATAAGTTAAAACATTTGTAATTTATTATTGGGTAATTATTTACCCTATTTACACTGGGATTTGATGTAATTTTGATATGTCTACTTACAGTAGGTATTTTGAACGCTGAATCCAAAAATGCAATCAGTTTTGGTCGGAGAGATTCCTAAGTGGCCGTACGCTTCAGTTTTGTTGATTTACTAACATATTTGTGGTATGGACGAGTCCAAGTTCTAGTGGCGACTAACACTAAAAGGGGTGGAAGGTTTGTGGAGTGGAAACAGCTGTAAGTTTACATTCTATACTAAACATACAAAACCACACACGACGCCATGAGAGCAAAATCAGAGTTACAATATGCAATAACTAGATTTTAAAAAGAAAATGGACTTTGGTGCTGTTTATAAAATACAATAAATCAACTACCATACATAAACTATTAATCACATGAACATAAATTATAAAACAAAATAGAATTTATTCACGTAAAATATCAGTAGGCCTAATAGAAGCTAGGCCACTGCCGACATGATCATCGTCCTCATTCCAATCCTCAACCATTGAATAATGCCTCAACGTCTGGTAATGAACGTGCCATAGTGCATAATCCCATGGTACATAATCCCATTGTGTCTAAAAGTGAAAACGTGCCACAGTGCATAATTTAATGTATCAGCAACTAATAAATGAAGTTACATATATTAATCTAATCCAACCTAACCCAACCCAACCTTAATATTAATGTTTAAATCACATTTTATGTGAGAAAAGGCATGTGAGGAAGATAGGTCAGGTTTTATGCGGATTTTATGCTTGCGCATTTTTGATATCATTATTTCATTGTGTTTCACCCACTATTTAATTGTGCAAAAACAGTCTGGAAGTTGCATAAATTAATGAGTCGGTTCATTATAACCTAACCTTTACCTTCCTAATCTAACCTCACTTCAAAGGACTTTATACAGTCACGAATCCGCATAAAGTCCGACCTACCTTCCTCACATGCCTAAATAAGAACTGAACTGATTATTTGGTTTCAAAACGAATACTTTATTTCGCATTAGATCAAGTAAACAGTTGTTTGCTCTTCTCACTCAGTCCTCACTCCTCACTCTTCAGTCTTCACTCAGTACGGACCCGTCCAGACCTTGCCGTATTACCATTACCTTCAGTACAGTACCGCAACCGCACCGCTCAATTATCCTTAGATTCGTAATCCTAACCTTCGTTTTACGGCCACTACGGCCACTTAGGAATCTCTCCGACAAAAACTGATTGCATTTTTGGATTCAGCGTTAAAAATACTGTAAGTAGACATATCAAAATTACATCAAATCCCAGTGTAAATACGGTAAATATTTGCCTATTATTGTTACCAGTATTTTATTCTTATTAATGATTTATATTTCACCGTTTATAAATAACATAATAAATTGGTGCTGTTGTGATATAGGCATAACCTAACCAAACCAAACCTCTAGAATGTTAACAAACTCCTTTTGATGTCAGAAAAGGCATGTCATGGTGATTAGCCATGCTTTATGTGAATTTGTCACTGCATTAAGACCTTTGAAGGTAGGTTAGATTAGGTAAGTTAATGTTAGGTTATAATGAATCGAGTTGTTAGTTTATGCCACGTCCACTCACAGACTGTTTTTGTAAAATAAAATCATGAGAAAAACACATCAAATTACCATTGCAATTCAGTTTGCATTTTTGAAGTAGGGAATTTGATGTGTTTTTCTCAGGATTTTAATTTTACAAAAACAGTCTGCAAGCGACATAGGCTAAGCCTAAACTAACAACTCGATTCATTATAACCTTAATATTATCTTACCTGATCTGACCTAATTTCAAAAAAACTTAATGCAGTCAGGAATTCACATAAAGCACAACCTACCACCCTGACATGCCTAAGTAAGAACTAGGCTACATGTATAATTAGTCCACAAGTCCATCTATATCTCCATAATTTGATGAAATTCCTTATATAAAAAACATTATTGACTGCAAAATCACTTGAAATGTTTCTATAGTTAATGATGCTATTTAATCAACGATGTTATTCTTCTCATCAACCGCGTTACTCTCTTCACTTAACCTGAACTTGTGACAGCTTAGCAGACTTACTAGCACTAGTATAAGCTACTAGCATACTTACTATACACTACTAGACTTACTATAGCACTAGCATTAGGCTATAGTATGAGTATTTTTGTTTTGTGTTCTAGTTGTAGTGAAGTAAAGTGACGTTACTAGGCCTATTGCCGATGACAGAATCAGAGTGAGTTAGTAAAGTTCAAAAGTTGTTGCTTCCAGTTGCTTGTCATGTGGTTGAAAAACAATCAGCTAGGCTTAGTTAACCTAAAGTTCATTCCACTTGTAAATGTCATCCGTCTTACCTTGTTTATTGTAATGTTGTATATTTTTACGGTGATATCTTGAGAAATATTCATCAGCGGAGAAAAATAATGCTATATTTGGATTCAGGAGGTAAAAAACTATATAGTAAGATATCAAAATTAAAAAAAAATTTTGGAGGCACCTATAGTAAATAAATGCCGAATAGGTAAATTAACAAATACTTTAACAATTTTCATAAATATAAACAAGTCTGTGAATTATAAGGCTGACTAACTTACTTAAGTTAGTTAGTAAGTTACCGGAATCTGGGTTAATGAAATAGGCTTACTAAAACCAATTTTAATTCAAACAAGATTAATAAAATGACTTGTAATAAGGGTACCTACTTTGGTACTATCCAGAGGCCACCCTTACAGCGCGCGTTTGTTAGGTTGGGTTACCATAAATATGTTTGTAGGACTTCCCTCGTTTCATTATGATTCAAACAATGCCAGATGAGCCATTATTTAGCTGCCTTCTGGGAGGCAGAATTCAAAGGTCGCTAATTGTAATCATGTCAAATTTGGGCAGTAAGTCAATTAAAGTATGTTCTCCCCATTTTTGACAAACCAACCAAACATAATGGCCGCAGCGTGCTGTCTAAGGGTGACCTACGGATAATACCAAAGTACCTAAATAAGTACCGGCATAACTTAACATGATTAGAATTTCATTGTTGAAAAATAAGTCACTCAAATTGTGTTATCCAATTTATCCTTAGGCTACTAAAATTAACGTAAGAGTTCCAAGTAGCATAACCGCCAGGAATCAAATATGATGCTGTATGATGAAAAAAACAAAATAATTTTTACGAAGGAAGGAGATAACCTCCACTACTTTCCATGGAAAGTAGATAGGCAAAACAAAACAAATCTGTGGCTTAAATTAATAGTGAGGCCTACTAAGTTAAAGCTGTTACCGTAATAACAGGGTCATCCTAACACCATTAAGTGCTTCAGGTATACTGAGCCACAACAATACCTTAGGTAGCAAAGTAAGGGTAGCAGGGGTAAATAAAGTACGGTAAAATAAAAATAGTTGTAAAAGTTTTCTAAAAATTATTAAAACTATTTTAAATATTTTGCTCTTAACAACTAAGCCTAGTTGAAAGCTTTTACAGTAAATTGCACAGATGGACAAATTTTTACAAAACATCAAACTTTGACTTGCTCTTTTGTTTGTATTGTCATATTGCACCTTTTTATGTTGTAAAACATATCAGTGTCTTTTTAAAACCATATAGACCTGCATTAGGCCTATCCTAAAAATATCCAAAAATAATCAAGAAAATCTTGGTGTAGGAGTCACAAATATTAAATGTTTTGTCGGGTTTCAGGATAACTTATAATGAGTGCCATGAGTGCGTCTCCAGTGAAACCAGTCCTGCCCCCAGCCGGAGTCAACGTGCCTCCTCCAGTCGCCACCACGCCACCTAAAGTGTCGACCATGATGCAGATTCCTCCCTCGCTAACCATCGCCCCATCAAAACCTGCCAACGTGAACCACTCCAACACACCCATCAGTCTCACCATGTCAGACATCCGTGCACAGCAGTACGTCCCTCCGAACCAACCCGGCATCCCTCCGATGCCTATTTCACAACCACTGCCTCGTACGCCTGAAAAACCTAAAGATCTTACAGCTCCGATATCTATGTCTGTGAAGCCAACGTCAAATGGTATGGAACCACAAAATCAGCCCCCGCCAGCTCTTGCTGTGCCTACTGCCCCGGATGTGCAGGTCTCGGCTGTGCCGCCGCCCCCGCCCCCCAAAGTTGAGGCCCCCGTGGTCCCAGAAGTACAAGAGAACAAAGCTCCACCGATTCAAACACTGCCTGAAAACCTAGTTGCCGAGCCACCATCTGCTTCTACAGCCCCTCCAGTTGAGCTTGGTGAGTGATTTATTGTAGGCACATGGTCACTTGTGCTGTGATTATCGTTGTTATTATTTTATAATAAAAAATGGCTGTATAAATTTGTAAGTTTTAAAGATACAGTAAGGGTTTGCCCCCTTACTAGTTTTGTTATCTTTAAATACCATCTAGGAACTAAATCACTGAACTAATCTAGTAAAAATCATTATCACTTCTTTTTTAGTTAGGGTAAGCAGGGGGAATTGGGAGGTATGTTTTACAAATGTATCTGGTTAGGCCACTTTTCCTATTTTTGTTGTTAAATGGCTACTTAATTAATTTTATAATACAAAAAGCTATCTTTTTCATGTTTTATTTTTTTCCCGCAATTCCCGAAAAAATTAAAAAAATTAAAATGTGTTTTACCACCCAATTACCCCCATGGGGGTAATTGGGTGGTAGGTCAACAATCCATAAACACTAAATGCTAATTAAAGTTGGGAAATTGGGTGTTATAAAGGAAACTAAAAGCAACATTTTTAACTAGGTTTAATAAAAAACAAACAAAATTTACCATAAATTTTGCGGTAACAAACATATTTTTCCTGAACTACGCACATTAAAAAAAATCTTTAACCACAATTAAATATTATGGCCTACAGTTTTTAAATTCATAATATAAAGAGTACATTAATAATATTAACAGGAAAATAGGGACAGATTCTTCTCTAATAAGGTTTAAATTATGTAATATGGTCTCAAAACTTTAGAAAATGAGGCACGATTTTCCAGTCCTTCGCACGATATAAAACAAGGGATGCTGTATAAACTAAGTAATGTAGGCCTAATGCACTAGTTTACTACATCAGCTCAGTCGCTACTGCAGTCTCTATGCCTATTTAAGTAACTATAATACAATTTTGTGACTTTTTTTAGGTCGTCTGGGTTCAGTCCAATGTGACGTGAACTCACGGGTATTGGGTGGTATAGGGTTAATGGTATTGGTATAGGGGTAATTGGGTGGTAGTGGTGAAATACCAAAACAAAAACTCTAGTGTGAATTATATTCACAAAATATTATTATTATTGCCTTTTTTAATTAAATTAAGCCAAGGAAACAGTATTAGCTCAGTTTTAAAATTTACCACCCAATTTCCCATAAGGGGGTAATTGGGTGGTAACATTTTTGAAAAAAAAAAAATTAGAAGTAACTTAGTTTTATTATGAAGATAAGTATTGTGCATGTTCTTTGGTATATTGTTATTCATTTTATGGTGAAAAATAATGTAATTTCACATGTATGAAAATTTTAATGCATTTTATATGAAAGATTGAAAAAGTTTGCATACAACTTTTAGAATCGCGAAATGACAAGGGTCCCTAAAACTATTTCCCTCCTTTAAATGTTTAAAGGTACAAATCTGAAAAGGTTATGGCTTATTCTTGAGGAGATTGGCTGTCCATACATGTCATTTAAATGTTAAAATATCAATAAATAAAAAATATAAAAATTGTTAAAAATTTTACCACCCAATTACCCCGCCCACCCAATTCCCCCCGCTTACCCTATATATGTGACAATAGGCTGATCAACACACGTCATTGCTAATTAAACTTCATTTAAAAACTAGGTGGCACATCACACTTAAAGAATGCATTATCCTAAAATTACCTTAAGCAAATAATCTGGTAGGCCTATTTATTTTTATAGTGTAGGTTAAGTTTGTTTTACTAAATTTAATTCAATTCGATTGTATTAGATTTATTTGATAACAGGGTGTCCAGCCGACCTGGAAAAACCGGGAATTGTAGGCCTACATACAAATTTGATGACCGAAAAAAATATCTGAGTTGTAAGTTACGTGAATTTTGTGAAGAACCGGGAAATTTATAAGAATAATAGCTGAAAAATCGGTTTGAAATCACAGATTGTTCTTGTTTTTCTTGTAGTTGAAAAAACTCTTGATCACACAAGAATATATCATGAAAATGGACATTGCCATGATCACAAGAAATTATCACGGCCATTGCTTCCATCATAAAAATTGTCACGGGGTTCAGATAATTGCATCAGATGACCTTGTCACAGGTTTTATTCACGATCGCGGTAGGCCTATATTAGATCACAGTTATTGCTGCGATTGTGAGAAATAAACAAAGGAGTTGGTATGATCGCCGGGAAGATGAACGGATGTTGCCGAGATCGATAGAAATCATGTGGCCTGATCGCGAGAAATTATCACATATTTTGCTGCAATTGCAAATAATGATGACTAAAATTTTGTGATGGCGGAAACCATCGCAAATTTTGTGGCCATTTCAAGATCATGGATAGGTATCATGGATAACTGACAACAAGAGAAATCATCACAGCATCCACTAATGTTGCTGGTGTGATGGCAGGAAATTAAATAATAATGACGGATATTTGCCACGATCAAAAGATGTGATCACTGATGTGGTTGCGTTCGCTATAAAATAATCATAGAATACGTCAAAGGGTTTTTAATGTACAGTATTAGGGGGTAGCCTATTTACAAGTTAGTAAGTTTTTCTTAATTTAGGCAGCAAGTTCTGTGCTGGAAATTTTAAATTTTTAACCTGGAATTGTCTTTGAATTTTATTTTGATGGGACACTAGACACCCTGAGTAATAATAATTCACTAAAGTAAGTTAACTTAATTTTAAATAATTTGTTTTTTAAACTAGATCTCCAGAAAAAAGCAGAACCAGCCCCACCGAAACCAGCTGAGCCAGTGTCCAAAGCGATAGTTGCTCCGCCGCAGCCTCCGACTGCCCCTACTCCTACACCAGCACCAGCACCGGTATCACAGCCTCAAGAAGCTGTTCCAGCAGTTCCCACCCCCACTCCTGCACCTGCTGTGCCTACTCCTGTCCCTGCGACCCCAGTAGCTGCCACAGCTCCCCCCACCACCCCTGCTCCTGCTCAGGCCCCACTTCCTCCAGCTGAACAACCTGTGGCTCCGTCGGTGTCCAGAAGTGAGGCCAGTTTGCCACCAGCCAAGCCTGAGATGAAGGTAGCCACCATTCCCAGGCAGGCAACTAAGAGGAAGAGAGAAACTAAGGTAGGTAACTACTAATTTCAGCAACAGAAAAAAGTATGTTTGAATCTATTCTGCATACCATTGTTTTTTATATCCTATATTTGATTTTATAAATATTATATAATAATTGAATTGTTCTGGTGCCATGTTAAATTTTACTTCAAGTTCAGAATCTTGCTTGTAGTAATGAGGTTATCAATTCCTAACCATTAAAAACATTGTTTCGAGTGATCTCTGTGCTCACATGAAATATTCTTACTGAAAGAAACAGATTGTAAAACTACGTAATGGGGGAAGGGTTCTGTGTGAATTAGGCAACTGTCAGCAAAATGTGTACTGCAAGATCCCTATTTGGAAGTATTAGGTATACTTGCCTTGTTATTTATTTAAGATAAACTTACTAAGGATTTTGCACTGTTGAGCATATAGGCTCTAATAAGTGACCGATTGAGCATTCTAGGAAGGTATGAACAAAGTGTTGAGCACTGTATTCCATGTTTTTCTTAACATTTTAGTCCTCTTTAAAATCTATTTCTATATATAATTCAGTTTAAAAAATCTTTGTACAACTAAATATAGAGTTCTACTGGACCGATTTTATTAATTGATGGGTCGTTGGAAAGCTTAATTCGTGTAGATTTGCAAATAATTATGAAAGTTTGTTTTTATTTTGATTTATGGTGAAAAATTAAAAAAAAACATGTTTTTCATGAGAAATACATTGGATAAAGGGGTTTTCAATGTATTTTTTTTTTATTTGGTTTAACTGTTAGGTAGTTTTTATTTGGGTGAGACTTTTGGCTGCCTTTTTTGAGTGTTTCCAAGAAGTGTATGGTATCAATTTGTAGGAAATGTTATTCTCTTTCAGAATATCACCTTTCACTTTGTCGATTTCCTCACCATTTAAAAGTTATTGGCAAAAAAGCTAAGCAACCTCCGAATTTATAATAATGAGAAAATACTGAGTTAGGGATATTTTTGTTAAACTTTGTACAACTACATCTAGACTTCTACTGGACCGATTTTGTTAATTAATGGATCATTGGAAAGCCCAACTTGTTAAAAATAATACTGGAACAGTAGATTATATTTTCAAATTATTAGTAACTATTCCTATGCATTAATAAATACTCTAGTGGTCGTTGTGGTCGTTTTTGTTGCTGACAAAGTTGATGGGTCATAACAGTTTTTATAGCTCATTCAAAAAGTTTGACTTGGTAAAAAATATCGTGTATTCAACAGAAATTTAGTCATTTAGATCAGCGCAGTCTTTTGGTGGCTCACATCAACTAGAAGCGAAGTTCAGGCCTCTCTATTTTTACCCGACGCTGTAAATAAAACATGTGATTGGAATTTCTTCCATTTGTTTTGATTTTCTGTTTACATTTTATTGTTATTTCGTCACCAGCGTGGAAACCCATAAGCCCATGTTAAATTTTAAAATTTAAACATCTTTGCCACCAAGACTGATATTCGAATATATAATAGGTTACGTACCTTGTTCCGTCTTCAATCTTAACTTAGTCTATGAAATTTTTAAAATTTCAAATCCATTTTTTGTGCTTATTTTTGAGCCTATTTTAATTTTTAAAGGGATTCTGCACTTCTACAGGAAAATATCTTTCTAACGGTATGCGTAGATTTTCCCTGCGATGCTCACGAGCTGAGAAAAAAGGTTTTAAAAAAACAAGCTTGCCTAATAATATATAGATAGATATCAAAAGTCCCCAATGTAATCTGTATGGTTTGAACTTCAAAATATTCACATTTAACAACCTCATTTAATTAATCGGTTTAACACAGCAACCAAGCAAGTTAGGTAGTTTATTTGTGAAAAATGAACATTTCTCTCATGCGGTGTCTAAAATGTATTTTTTACGCCTAAGAGGAAGTTAAAAAATGGAGAGGGATGCGTCCAGCCCAATGGTAGTCAGTAAGTTCTTTAGAACCTAAGCCATAAGCCCTAATGTTGCATGTTGCATTATTAACCTAAACCCCTAGACTAGTTTGTTAAGTGTTCGAATGTATTGTTAAAGGTTGTGCCAGAGACTCCAGAGGTTAAGAAAGAGGGTAAGGATGAGGATCGCAAGTCAAAGAGAGTTCGTCTTCCCACTCAGCCGTACCAGAGTCCTATACCAGAACTCAACATTATTGCCAAGATCAACAAATCTTCCAAGGCCACCCCTTCGAAGGCAGCTGATGATAAATTAATCGTATTTTACAAGTAAGACCATTTTTCTTTCAAATTTTGAAATTTGAAGACTTTTCCTTACATTCTGAATTTAAATTCGTCTAAACTTCTCATGACTGCCTGTTGAGACTATATGCCTAGACATAGACATATTTTATTTGCACATAACATTCTTTACATGTGTTACATACAGAATAGGTGCATTGTCAGAGTTCGAATTGTCAGAATATTAAAAATAAAATAGTAATCAAGATGATAATATAAATTAACAAAATTGAATGATAAAACTATTCTAAACTAAAGGGGCATTGTGAAAATCTGCAATTAAATAAAAGGCTCTGTCAATTAAGAGTTCACCTATTTTATCTTTAAAATTATTTTCATTTAGCAATTTATAGTTTGCAGGCAGCACATTGTACAGCCTCAGCCCAGCATATAGTGGACTTTTTTCATAAAGGGTCAAATGGTGCCTTGGAAATCTAAAAATGTTTTCATTTCGAGTATTATATCTATGGTTGATTTGAATTGATTCTGGGAGGTCGTTTTTAGCTGAATGAATGTAGTTTAGTGATTCCAAGATGTACAGTCCTGTTAGGGTGTGGATTTTTAAATTTCGAAAAAGATTTTTGCATGAACTACGTGGATGAGAGCTGGTCATGCCTATATTTCTTTGTGTGGATACATTGTCCTTGTAAACTAAATTCAGGCTGTTTGGATGTTACGTTACATATTAATGTTTCCTAGTAGGATATAAATTCCTCAAAACAATTATTGATGTCATTGTAAATAGTGAATGAAGGCTTTGTCATGGATACTGGCAAGTTAGATGAATAATAAATATGGGCCAACTGGAGGCTTATATATTGTAATTAGTGGTCGCCCAGTGATTGAAAACTCGACCAAAAATATGTAAAGTACAGTCTTCTCTATTTTCACCCCACACTGTAAATAAAACAAGTGATTGAAATTTCTTCATTTGTTTTGATTTTCAGTTTATATTTTGTTCTTATTTCGTCACCAGCATGGCAACCCATATCACCTATGTTAATAAAAAAGAAAATATCTTTCAAACAGTATCCGTAGATTTTCCCTGCGATGCACACAAGCTGAGAAAAAGTATTTAAAGAAACATGCTTGCCCATTAATAATATAGATGTCAATAGTTATTTTAAAACCTTCATAGTTGAACTAAACTAATATCCTGCTTATTTTAACTATAAATAGAAAGGAATTAATTTCTTTTTGTTTAACAGTTTTAGTAAATTTGTTGTAACCTTACTTCTGGCCTTTAAAAATAACCATTGAATGAATGAAAGTATATTTATTTTGTAAAATATTTAAAAAATGCCATTAATATTTTCTTGCAAACTTGTATTGACATAAAAGTTTTGTATATAATATTGTATAATACAGTCTAACCTTTTTTTGCAGGAATGAATTTTTAGCCGTAAGAAACGCTGAAGGAGGATTTTACGTTTGCCAAGCTATGCAGAATATCTACAAAAGTAGTCCACGCATTCGCATTCGATGGTTGTCTCAAGAAGAAGGGAAGGATACATACTCCCCTGACTTTTATGATCACACAGGTAAATAAACGGTATCAGCAATCTGACATATACTTTCTTCCATTAGCTTGTCAGCTATTTGTATCATACGGTGAACGCACCACACACGATACGTGGTGGCGGTTTTATGCTATTTTACGGAGGGAATCACATAAGTTGCGATAACTTTTGAACTCTAATCTTTACGTACCATTGCGTTAAAAGTTAGAAGGGCCGTAACATACTTAAATTTTAATCAAAATTGATCAAGTTGTATTTATTTTAAATCCGATTTTCTTTTGTTTGAATGGGCAAATCACATAAGTTACTTACAATAGTTTTTGAACCATAATTTTTACAGCAATGGGTTTGTACAGTTTTGTTTTGAGTTAAAAGGACCACAAAATACTAAATTATCAAAATAGTTTACACTGGTTTAGTAAAAATTTTATTTTCTTACGTACAGTAGAACCCCAGTTAACCGAAATAAAGGGGGAGAGCCGTTTCAGATATCAAACTGTTTGGTTACTTTTATACTTTTTTCTTTAACCTGTGATATGCTAAAAATAGCCTATGTACTTCCATGTTGTATGGAAAAATGAATTTAAAATAATCTCTGTACAATACAGCAGTTTATTTCAGCTACAAAAATGTTGCAATGGGATAGAAAAGGCCCCTTCTAAAGAGAGGGGCTTGGCACTACGCCTTGCTGTTTACATATTACATATTGTACTAATATTTTAGCCCTGTATCAATTTATGGAACTGTTGTGGTAATCCGATTTCGGTTAACCAGGGTTCTACTATATTTAAAAAAGGTAGCACATTAGAAGCAAGCAACTACAGACCAATTTCCCTCGTTTCCACCTTCTCCAAAATATACGAAAAAGTTGTTTTAAAAAGACTTTTAGACCACTGCACAAATCACAACCTACTAAACAACCTTCAACATGGATTTACAAAAGGGAAATCCACAACAACAGCAATAATTCAGATGGATTGAGTCCCTGATTGACAGCCTAGATGAAGGAAATCTAACAACAGGAATCTTTCTTGATTTCAGTAAGGCATTTGACTGCCTTGACCACCAGCTAATCATTAAAAAGCTGGATTCCCTGGGGGTATCAGGGATAGTAAGAGAATGGTTTCAAAGCTACCTTACAGACAGGAGTCAGTTTGTAGAACTAAGGCACAGAGATAACAGCCTAATAAGAAAAACAAGATCAAATTTTCAACCAATAAATCGAGGAGTTCCCCAAGGTTCAGTTATGGGTCCGGTACTGTTTATTCTTTTTACCAACGATTTGCCGCAACAAATAGGAGACGCCTGCCTTACTCTTATGTATGCTGATGACACAACCTTAGTGTTTAATGAACCACTAGCTGAAAATCTAGAAGTAAAATCCTATGTGTCACTCAGTATGGCCTACCAATACTGCTATAACAATGATCTCGCAGTAAACACGTCTAAAACAACTCAAATAGCTTTTGGCCGTAAATCTCAAGAAGTGCCACGACTCCCAGATGTAGAAGTGGAAGATGAAGCTAAGTTTTTGGGCATCACACTCGACAAGAATTTAACCTGGACCCCTCATGTGGACAATATATGTAAAAAATTAAGTTCAACCATCTATGCTCTTAAACATATAAAAAATGCAACAGATGACATGACAACAAAAGTAGCATACTTTGCACTTTTCGAGTCGCATATGAGATACGGACTTGTAGCATGGGGTGGAACCTCTGCCACTAACATGCAAAGAGTTCTCAGAAAACAAAAAAAGGCAGTCAGAATAACTGCAGGACTCCACAGACTCGACAGCTGCAGGGAAGCATTCAGGTCACTCAAAGTACTTACCCTTGTAGCACTCTACATCCAGGAAGTTGTGTTATTTGCAGTAAGAAATAACCCTACAAGGCGTGGCGAAATGCACCAACACAACCTGAGAAACACCATGCAGTACAACCTTCCACAACATCGCACGGCACAGTTTGAAAAGAAACCTTCATACGCAGGAATGAAAATCTACAACAGGCTACCTCCAGATCTAAGAAGCAAGTCAGAAGATGACCTCAAACCAGCTTTGCATCAATGGTTCATTAATCGACCTTTCTATTCCTTAGAAGAATACCATCAACAGGTCTTTGACTAAACAACACCTCAACCAAACATTTAGAAAAAATTGTAAATTGACGCTACTACTATTCTTAATGAATGTGTAAATAAAGATTATTTGTCTATTGTCTATTGTCTATTGTCTACTGTATTTTACAGTGGAAAACAACAAAAACTTTACTTTCTCCATTCATACTATGCAAGCCCTTGGGGGATTAAGTAAAAATATACACATGTACCTCTAAAAAGCCTACTTTTCATGCAATTTCATATCCTGTTCACTATCACATTTCAGAAATTATATTTTTGTTTGGAGTAACACACCCTCTTTTGTATTGAAACAAACTTGTACACTCTTTAAAAAAGCCGTTTGATCTTTTTCAGATTTTGATTGTATATTAACAAATCTTAACTTGGACAAGATAGACAAAGAGAAGTTCAAATTACCAGCCGAAGAACAGCAACGCACAGAGAGTATACTCAAGAGAGCCTTAGATGTGGAGAAAGGCGTGTCAGAGAAACCACCAGTGACCGAAGAGCATCCTGACGGATGTGAGTAGTTGGTTAAAGATTTTTATTGTTTTATTACTTTTATTGCTTTTGGTTTATTAATAGAATTTGGGGAGCGAGCTGGTCTAGTAGTTAGAGCGCATGACTTCGGTCCTAGGTTCAAATCCCACCAAATCACCGATGGATTTTATCCAAGTGATAATGCCGTGATCCCTAGGTCTAGACTGAAGTAATGTGAAAATCTATCCTGGGATTGTGCCGGATTTGGCTGTCTTTAAAATAGAAAAACGTTAGTGGTTTCAATTGGAAACACTCAAAAGTCTTTAGCAGATCTGAGAGCGGAGAAATTTAACATTTTTTTAAATATTTTGAACATGTTTAGTAATCAGTTTTTAATTCACTTCTGTGCCATCCAATATTGCCACTTCATGTTCTGTTTGTGAATTGGATCTCTACTGTAGCAATCTTAGCAATACAACACACACATCTTACATCTGTACATCTTAGCAATCAAGGAGCAATTCTTTGGGCTTATGCAGTTAGGTGAATGGGTGGTACATAAATAGGGGGGGGGGGGGGTGATAGGAACACTACATAGAACAGTTGAAAATAAATGTATAGCAAGCGTGCCAATGAATGACCAGTTAAGAATGGGATGTTTAATCGACTTAATTCTACTCATTATATCATGGCCTAATCGGAACTCTTCAGTCAGTTTCATTTTCATCTCCTGAGGCTGATATTTATTCATTGCGAAATCACTCCCTGTTCTCTGTCAGTTGACCTCAAAATCGACAAAATGTTGTGTATCTGTAATATATCCTTTCAATTCTGAAATCAATATTTTGTCTGTTTGTTCCATAACTTTTCTAATTAGGCTAACTAAGTATATGTCCTCAGCAGCTCTAATTGAGACCAAAAAAATAATACTATTCATAAAGTAATAGTGATTGTATGTTATTACTTAGTTATCATGTAATGTTTGTTTATAGTAGGCCTAAATGAAATAATCAATCTAATTCATTAAAAGGCGTGACCCTAGTGAATGATAGATTGATTTTGACTGTGTAAACTGTTGAACATTTTCAAATGCCTTGATCTACAAATAGTAAATTATGTTCCAGTGGACCTTTCTCTATTCCGAGACGAGTCTCAGCTAAAGAAATCAAAAAATAAATCAGGGAAGAGATCAGTCAAATCAGACGGAGGAGAATCAACGTCAAATGAAGAGGACGATGAACCAGAAGACGACGACGATGAAGAAGAAGAAGAAGAAAAGGAAGCTAAAAAGAAAACCTCACCGAAAACCAGTAAAAGAAAGAAAAAGAGTGCCAAAAGGAAAGCACCTCCCCCAAGTGAAAAGAAAGCAGCAGCAAAATCTGCCACAACCAATAATAAGAGCACAGTTCAACCCGCAAAGAAGAAAACTGAAACAAGGGTAGGAAGTAAGAGGAAATCATCGGTTTCATCAAATACGCAGCCAGCGGAAAAGAAAACGAGAAAATCTGAAGCTAGCTCGCAACCTGAACGAACAAATAAAACAAGAAGTGAGTAGTCATGTCTTTTCAAAATTATTTTGCTGTTTTTAATGTAGGCATTCTTAAAGAGCTAGAATCTCTTCAAAAGATTGTACAAGCTCTTTAATCTTATTGGGCGTCAGGAGATGTACTCTTTCTTGTCTCAATAATTGGTTAAACTATGCAATTTAACCAGGGTGTCCAGTTAGGGGAAAAGCAATACTTTTTTACTAATATCACAATGTTCCATGTAGCCAAAAATGTGCTCAAGTAAATTGAATTTCTTTGCTTCTGGGGGTTAGTGGATGAATTTTGGATCCATAAAATTCTAAAAATACCTCAAAAATTACCACGATAGTTTATGTTCATTAGTATAATTTATTCTGTAACTTGTATTTTTAGTAGTTTTTAACACACATCTGGTTGGTTTTTTGTATTACCCAAAGTGGGACAATGAATCGTAAAGACTTGATAAATTGATCATGACAGCTTTTGCTGATCATGAAGCCATAAAACACGACTAGATTTGTTTCATTGTCAGTCGTGTTCAAAGTTTGTATCAAGCCTATTAATTATATAGATTAAGCTTCTGTACGCCGCTGAGCATGAAGGTATAAAAACAAAGATTGCTGTGATACATCATCATCTGCTTTTATCCAGTTGTGTGGTTTAATACAATTTTGCATTTAAACTGACGGGTTTATGTACATCTAAATTCTCGAGTTTTCTTGGTGATTTACCAGACTATTAACAAAAATTGTACCCTAACCAAATAGTATTAGTATTTTTCATTTATTTAATTTGAAACAGTACATTTTCTATAAACCCAGATCTTGTGTGTATTACTGCATTGACTTACTAAACTAGACGTTCCATCCCTATTTTGAAGTGGTAGCCAGTTTTTTAAAATTAAAATAGACGTAGTTGAATCAACACCGAATGTGTTGTTGCAAATTACTATTTTACGACAAATATGCCTACTGTCGGGGAAAAAAGTTTAGACACTCGAGTTTGGAGCTCTGCAGAAAAGTAGCCTACTAACTTAGAAAAACACGTAGTATATATAAATTTTCCTTGTTTAATTCTACGTATTCCTGTGAAAACAAAAATTTTTTAGCTCGTTTAGGAATTTTTTTATGACAGTCGGAAGGCAAAAACTCCCTGTTTTTAGAGTAGCAAAAACGATCTTATGACTTTGAAAATTCGCACAATGTAAACTAAAAGTCAGAACTTTATCAAACTTTAATACAATATAGACACATATATAATGAATTAATTTGTGAAGTTTCAGAATTTTTACTCTACCCAAAAAGTTTTTGTTGTAACTTTTGTAAATTAACTTTTTCTCAAAAACGGCAAACGCTAGAAAAAAAATGAAAAGCTTGTTTTGAAGGTCATTGGTTTTGTATTTGAAATATTGATACTGCTCAACCACATTGTTACGCATATTATTTATATAAGTTAACATATAATTTGGATGCAGCGGCCGAATACGGCACTTCCAGACCGCCGCCGGCTCTGGCTGGGCGCATACCCTGTACAGTGTTGCCAAATTGAACACCAGGACACTGAGCAGCGATGGGCTGCGAACTGTTGAGTCAAAACCCAAAACTGAACAGAATATATTATTAACCATTTCCCATCACCTTTTCTAATGAGGGCATTGGACCTCCAACGGCAGGTTTAAAAATGGTTTGCTTCCTTTATTGGAGTTGTCCAAAAAAATAATAAAAATACAATGCAATATTTACATTATGTACAATATTTACATCTTGTACACCTATATTTACAAGTTGATTGATCAAATTAATCAATCTCGTATTCGCTATCTGACGATTCCTCTGACGAACTTACGTTGAGGTTTATTATTACAGGCTCTACATTGGGGATATCTTCTGTGAGTCCATCTTCTTCCCAATAACGGTCTTCTATTTTCATCGCATGCTGGACACATTTCCTCCATAATTCTGGTGTTACAGAACCTAAAGCCTCTTGACACAGAGAGTTCATGACTTCCATAGACCGCCCTTTTTCCGCCTGGTTAGACATGTTTACCTTGGCGACCTTGTTTTTTACGTACGCCCAAATGAGCTCGATGGGGTTTAGCTCGCAGTGTGCTACGGGTAGCCACACAAGTTTAACATCTGGACGAACACGATTAATAATTTGGTCCAGCTTCTTTTCAGGAATACCGAAGTATGGCCTGGCGTGAACGATAAGCTCTGCTTTTGTCATAGTGTTAAAGTCTAAGACGTCAGGTGGAAGTGGAATATTTTTCGTCACCATCCAGGAAACAATAGGATCTTTTCTCCAAGACATGTTAGGATTTTTAGTTGCAGGATCAACCATGGTGTCCTGTTGACACATCTCTTCACTGTTGACAACGATCTTCCCAAACACTCGTGTACTTTTTGATATACTGGATATCGCTTATCCCCTAACGTTTCTCCCTCACTTCTAAAAAAACATATCACACTGACAATCATTGCGTATTCAGAATCCGACAACTTAGATTTAGCACCCATTTTTAGCAATGTGACAATATCTAAAGTTGAGGACAGACTGAGGTGGATTACTGATGACATATTTGGACTTTGGAAGAATGCAAAACACGATATTTCCTGTGAGTCAGTCATCACTTGACACACACTGCGTGAATCACCTTACGCTCGGTCAAGGTCCATTGTGGCAACACTGCACTGGATTCCTGCGCGGGCGATGGCGTCTGCACCCCTTGCAGGCGCGAGATCATCCAGTTTTTTGTTAATTTATATTAATAACATGTGTAACAATTTGGTTGAACAGTATTAATATTTCAAATAAAAAACCAATCACCTTCAAAACAAGCTTTTCATTTTTTTTCTAGCGTTTGCCGTTTCTGAGAAAAAGTTAATTTACAAAAGTTACAACAAAAACTTTTTGGGTAGAGTAAAAATTCTGAAACTTCACAAATTAATTCATTATATATGTGTCTATATTGTATTAAAGTTTGATAAAGTTCTGACTTTTAGTTTACGTTGTGCGAATTTTCAAAGTCATAAGATCGTTTTTGCTACTCTAAAAACAGGGAGTTTTTGCCTTCCGACTGTCATAAAAAAATTCCTAAACGAGCTAAAAAATTTTTGTTTTCACAGGAATACGTAGAATTAAACAAGGAAAATTTATATATACTACGTGTTTTTCTAAGTTAGTAGGCTACTTTTCTGCAGAGCTCCAAACTCGAGTGTCTAAACCTTTTTCCCCGACAGAACTTTTTAACCAAGTCAAACTAATAGAGTGACTTATTGTGAGTTTTATCACATCAACCATCTCAGTTAACAAAACCTAAGGATGAAAATTGAGTTGTAGCCCCTAGAGCAATCTGTGAGTGCCTCAATCAACTATGTCCTTTTTGAATATACAAATTGGTAACAGCTGGTCCACATAGATGGGATGTCTTTTCCATCTAAAAGTCAATATTTGTCCCCCCATTTTAGAATGGTAATGAATGTTGTTGAATTCATCCACTGGCAAGAGTTCAATGTCAATTAATTGTATGTCAAGTACAAACTAGCTGAATTGAAACAAGCACTGAAAGCTATAGCTTTATTCATGTCAGATAATTTATCAATGCATAAAAAAAGAGAGACAATAGAATTTCAACAGTAGTACTCTCTGTGAGTGGCTTGTACAACATTCCGCATAAATACAAAATTGGTTTCAGCTGGTTCCCATAAAAGATGGGATGTATACTTCAGTATACAAAAGTAGATTAGCTATAGACCTAGTTAACAAAAATTTGCAAGTAAAATCATATTGACGTGTGTAAAGTTTTGTCTGCTATCTACAGGTTCGGGAGCGGAGGTAGTGGTGGGGGTTAAGTCTACACGCAGAACCAAGGGTCGCAAGTAAACTGCCAACACTCAACACTCGTCAGCTGAAAACATTGCGCCCGTCAACTCTCACCCTATAACACGTAGTTTGGGAGATGTCGAAAACAATGTTCCGTCAACCTTTCGGAATTGAAGTGAAACATATTGGAAAACCACATTTTAAATTAATTATGTATATAATTGTATACAGATTTGTTTTTGTAAGGATGTGAGGCACCTATGCTTCTGTCTAGTGGTAGAGCAATTGCATTTGTAGGGGAGTGAAGTGTTTGTGTCTTCTGTATTCACTGTGTCTCTCGAGAGACTGATTCTGTGTTTCAACTTTTTCTGTCATTCAAACCGAACATGATCTTTGATCTTTACAGACGGTGAACAAATGTGCTGTATAGCTGTGCGTCTGAGTTGAGGTTATTATTGTCTTGTGTGAGATAAGTTGTCCCTAATGGATTTAATAGTTACGGTATATATTGCGTATTAGTTTTTTAGTAATTTTTAAGAGAAATATTTTTATTATTTATAGTTAAAAATTGTTTATTATATTTCTGACTTAATATTGATCTTGTTCCGTTGGCGGACGACGCTTTACAGGTTTTTTCGCTGTATGTATTTTTATTCTTATTGATTTTATATATTATATATATATATATTTGATATATTTTTGATTGTGTTGATTATTGTTACTGATAACTTTTTTGTAATTGGCCGGTTGTATCGTTTGTAAGCATCACTGGTGTTAAAAGCCTGGTAAACATTTTTGTCTCATATCAAAACGACACTATTAAGTCTTATTTAAATTATGTTGTTGGAATCTATATGTTGTCTTTATGTTAATTATAAATATAGGTAAATAAACAGATTATACAACAAATAGTGTGTGTGAAACATGTAATTCTCTTTCATTTAACTTAAACTATACGGATAACAAAAAAAAAAAACAAAAAAACAATACTTTAAGAACTGTGCTGTAAAACGTGCCAGAGAACAGGTTTTTCGGTAATAGATTTTCAACTAGTATTAAAACAAATTAGGGATAATTTTTACTCTGTGAAATGTTGGAATTACCATTAAAGTATTGAAAATGGTGATGAAGGCGGGGGGTCTTCATCTAGTCTGTACAGTACAAATGGTGCAATTTTAAATTAGTTTGTTGGTATGAGAAATAAATTTATTCCCCTGATAAACTGTTTGTCTTCTTGTGCCATTTGGACACCATTTTGGTTTCATATGTTTACTAATTTCCAACAAAAAAGAAGGCTCCTATAACTTGTACTGCATGGCTAAAGATTTTTCCAATGGCAAAACCCCTATTTTTACTGCAAACCCCTAAGGTTTGGTTGATTCATTGAAAACATCAACCGCCTGTTTGCATAATGTTGTTTTAACCAAATGCAACTTCATAACTCAACTAAATCAACAAATTGTACCGAGCTAGTAAAAAAGTATCTGTGTTTCATATGGTTTGATTTTGAGAAATACCAAAATATTGATTGTGGCTAGCAGTACTAGCTATACAGTTGTGCTCAGTGATCCGTATTCAAAAAGTGGCTTTACAGGGTTTTAATTTAATAATCTATGTTGTTATTTCATAACTATACCTTGGATTATCCAATATTGGCGATAAAAAAACTATTTCTGTAGACATTACTTAATTAGCCTGCACACAAGACCACAAGCACATTTGGTCAGTGTGCTTCTAACACTGGCATTTCCTACCATGGAGTGTATATTTTTTATACCAAACATGTATTGGGGACATCAAAATTCTAACTATTTTCCCCAGTTGTGTAGACATAATTATCGTCTTCCATGATAGCGGCAATATATGAACATACCCTGCGGTCTTGAGGAGATTATCACCGTCTACCGCCATTGATATACAATTCTGATCTTTTCCCGCGGTCGTTTGGAAATAACATCGTCTTTCACGATCGCGATCAAATTCTGCTCACCCTCGTGGCCATGTAGAAATCGTTACAGTATATCGTCGCCCACAGTCGTGTGGACATAGTAATTGCCTCCCGTTATTGCAGCAAAGTGGTAATCATCTCCCGCGGTCATATGGAGATCAACATCAACTTCAGCAAATTAGGCTGAAGACTTATCACACACACATCACACATGAACACTTATCATTTCCCGCGATCATGTGGACATTATCATTGTCTTGCGCGATCACGGTATAATTCTGATCATCCCTTGCGGCCGTGTAGAAATGATTATTGTCCTTTAGACATCGTAATCGTCTCCCTCGGTCGTGAAGACATCGTAATCGTCTCCCGCGATTGCGGCAAAAAATGTCAAATCCTGCAGTTGTGTGGAGATCATCATCGTCTTCCACGTTGGCGGCACAATTCTTGCACTGTTTCCTGCGGTTGTGTGGACATTATCATCGTCTTCCGTGATCGTGGAAAATTCTGATCATCCCTCCATATTCGTGTGTAGACATATTATCGTCTACCGTGGTCACAGAAACGTCACTATGTTGTCATGCGCGATCGCGGCAAATTGAAAATTCCAGGTACTGTAGAAATACAAAATTCACGCATAGATCCCAGTTAAAAAAACTCACTAATAATTCCTGGATTTCCCGATTGGTGGACACCCTGTTTATATATATTGGAAAGGGGCGCTACTATTAGTTGGGCCTCGGGCGCTGACAGGGTCAAACACGGGCCTGCTCATAAAGTTAGGTTAGGAACAGGTACTGAGTAAGGTATGTATAACTAAAATATCAACACAATACATACAAAATTTATTGATAAAACAGCCACATGATTGACTTAACGGAACAAATATAATCTAAAAAAACCGAAAGTTTTACTTAAAAACAAACACTTTGTGCATTAAAAAAGGGGTGTTAGTAAAGCTTTAATAGTGGATGGGTGAGTATAATTTCACCGCTTAGAGAACAAAAACAAACTACTTACATACAAACAAAACACATTTATTCAATTCAAATTAAATTTCACAGACCATCATGACTAAGTACAGGCTGCGATCAAGCAAACAAAGAATTAAGGATAATTTATTTTCAAAATGTCATTGATGAACAAAAAAGTGCAAAATGTAAGATTTGGTCAATGTTTACTGGATTAAAAATGCATCCAGCAAACCAGAATGTTTCCGTCATCAAGAATGAGTTTTTAATTTTATGACTATAAAGTGTTTTGCAAACTTTCCAAGTCTTTTTAAGAGGTTGACAGTCTCTTTGACATCTTACATTAGCCTGTGCAAACACACAACACCGCTGCAATGGATTTGTAGCCTGTCGCGCTACCAACAACAATTTTTCCAACAGTTATCCGACAAAGAAGGCTTCCTTGCACTGGTAACAGCATGCAAAGTAGCTAATTTCTGCATTTACTTAATTTTTCTGCACTCCAGTATTCCAAACAACACAAAACAGTGTGCTTTATAAGGCACATACTAAGTGTAAGCTTGAAAAGAAGTTGGCAACACTTAAAGATACTACAACTACAATCAGCTGGTGCAGCGTTTCACAGCCTTTTGAATTTTGATACTATGACTTAACCTGGTGGTTAGTGTTTGAAATACTATTTATATGCTTTTTAGTAACTGTAGGACAAATATGTTTTTTAACACGAGCGCAAAGTGCCACTTCGCACACTAGTTACACAAATAGCTATTGTCATACTGCAGAAAAAACCGCCATTTTAATAGTACATGTGTTGCGAGTCTAAAATAGTGCTTTTGCTCCACAGGGATATGGAGTAAAAAACCATTTTAGCCCCTAGGGAGTAAAGTCAGGTGTTGTATACTTCAATTGTAAGTAATCGCATATTTTAAATTATGTATTGATTGATTTCATCGGTTGTAGCATTTTTGCATTCTTGTCAATAGTTCAATATATTGATAGTATAATATACACTAACACCATCATAATAGACAAAATGATTGAGAGGTTATCTTTACATGAGTAGTATATTATGTTACTAGTCCTGAAAATAGGTGTTTACGGGACGAGTGACGTACGATATTTTACGCCATACTAAGTCCGTACAAATCCTTATATATTTCCACCGACTAAAGGACTAACAATCACTAGTCATACCCTCTAAGAGAAGTTATGTTTTTGTTTTATAAACTAACCGCTCTTGCCAAGTACATCATATAATCAGCTGGTTGGTGTCGGTAAAACTCATTATAGTACAGTAGTATGTAATGAAACCCCATTTCATTAAGCTGGCGGCAAACAGCTGTTTTCTGGACTAAATCTTTGTGTGGGAAGTTTGTCAAAACAACGTAGTGTGGCGTTAAACTTTTTACATCATAATAAAGGTACTACAAATTACAATAATTTTGCCTTGGAGATAATTAGGACTTAAATGGTACATACAATTCTACTCAACTTTCTTATCCATTTTGTGAAATACAACAATTAATTGACTGTACTAACCCCATTTTGGAAACAATCCACCAACTGTTCAGAGGTTAGGCCTCTAGCTCAAGTAGTGACACAGTAAAATGTATTTATAAACAGATAAGTAGTGACAACTCTCAAGTCGCAAAGACTAGTGCTTGCATCTACACGTCTGTAAGCTGTGAGAAAGAAAACCATTTGTTATTGGCTTCCTAGAAGGGGGCGGATAAACAGAGGACTTTGGGTAAAACCAAGGCCGGATATCAGGGGTTCTACTGTACTTTTAAACCAAATATTAAAGTAATTGTTGAGTTGCGTATTATTCTACCATTGAAGGATTATAGAATTACTGTAACCACGTTCATAACATTTAATGCTTTAAAACTCACCAATCCATAGGTTAGGCTTATGATGTCATATTCAAGTTGAACAATAACACTGCAACAGCTGATCCGCAATAATAATTAACACTGTAACAGCTGATCCACAATAATAGTTAACACTGAAACAGCTGATCCACAATAATAATTAACAGTGCCAGTGATGCAGAATTATTTTTGCTGGTACACCACATTGCATGGCTTATATGCTCAAAGTTATAAAAAAGCAACAATTCACTAATTGCATCCTTGCAAAAATATCCTTGTTTTTTTTTGTAACTAAAGCGATATTAAATTTAATTGTTAACTTTTACTTCAAAATAACCATGAGTCAACCTGATCCACTTTAAGAGTCACATTCAGAGTGACATAGTTGTTCCAACCATAATCTCTCAGCTTAAAACCTTGATCGTTACTTAATTATAACCAAGTTTTCTGATAGCAAATTTTAAGGTTTGCTTTCCCATGCTTAGGCCATATAAAACTACACTTTTCGGGGTACTTGAACCGTTCAATAAATAGGGTAACGTTAATAGTGCATACACCTTAAAAAACCTACGAGAAGCTAAATGCAAGTTCTGATGTACAGCTGTGTCCACAATAACATTAGAAAATTCCCTTATTATATTGTTTGGCACGATGGAATTTATCACTGGCGACTGTGTGACACTTGGAAAGTTACATTTACAAACATTAACCCTACTTCTGCCACATAGCCGAATTAGACAAGTAACAGTGACTAGAGCAGTATCTTACAGCTACAACGTAAGGAACGTGAGAAGACGTGACGGATTTCCATGCAGATCCGTTGCAGGAGGTTGTGACGTAGCTGACAGGCTGAGACGAGAAGCAAGCTTTGCCGCAAGTACAGAACGTGACTCCCTCCAAGTACTCAATCACAGTCAGAGGCAGTGTATCGGCTGAATATTGTAACCTAGAAAACTTGTAGCTTTAGTACACTAAAACAAAGTTAATATCTGAAACAAGAGTAAAATATAGTACAATCTCAATTAGCAAGTATTTCGTGGGGATTATAGAAGTATAATCCCCACGAAATACTAAGAAATCAATAAGAAGTTATTGAGGATGGCAATGAATAACGTGATTATGAGTTAATACAAATTAAGGGTATTTGAAAAAGACGTTGGCAAAATCCTTCTATTGTTAGGGTAATAATTACAAAACATAATGTACGTGAATTGTCAAAAATGTTTTTACCGGACTCGTATGGTAATCCTGCACTCGACTTTGTCTTGCTCGGGGACTCAGTTTTTCCGGGTTAGTAACGTAATATACTACCATAATTCATAACTGCTTGTCCTTAATATCATCCGCGTAATATACATAACACCGCAACTTAGTATCGTTAATGCGTTGTTATCTGTGTATTTTTTTATATTGTGTTAACAATATCGGATTGTTTGATTATTTAATACTTAAGTTTCTTAGCCGCAAAATACGGCTGTCAAATGTTTTTATTAGTGAAGGCCTTAAAAAGATGGTACTGGGGAAACCTGCTAGTCTAAGACAGAATAGAGCGATTATTTCATCCATTCAACCCTCGTCTTCGTCTTAAGATGCAGCCTAGAGTACATTGGTGCGAAAATCTTATCTGATTTGGCATGGAAACTCACTAGGATTTTGACTAATAAACATGGAAAACACCATTATAGTGATGAATCACCATGTACCACAATAATTTAAACAAGCTGCCTAAAGGTTTTGTCATGCTTTGAAATACCTACTTTGTATGGTCGCCATTTCAAAGAAAAGTATTAAAGTATTAAAGAACTGAGTGCAGTTTTCAGAGATGTTGTGTAAGTTTCTGTCTGGTATTTTTTTTACTATAAAAAAAAAAATAAAATAATCTATTATCACAATCGATTGTCTTTCAGTAGTAAAAAAAAAAAACCTAAAAAGAAAGAAAAACATTCAGATATCATTATTGCATTTATACGAAGAACATACCTAAACAGACACAAAATTTCACGATAGCATGAGAAGTCTACTAGCTTTTTCCAAAGTCAATTCCAGTACTTACTTATGGTTTATCACACTAGAAGCTGCGATGTCAAACAGCTTGGGAGTTGTCATGAAGTCGTTAAGTCCTGGTTTACTCTTGGCCTTACAGTATCCAAAACTGTTATTTCCACTTAGGTCTACATCTTCTAGCTTCAAGTCAAAGATCCCTCTCGGCACATAGCACAGTTCATTATCACTTGCAGAGAAATACCTGAAATAAAAAAAAATTGTGGTTGGCTTAGTGACAAAAACGGTGTTTAAAAACAATTTGTATGGGTATCAGTAACATTATTTGCTTTGTAAAGTATTTATAGCTTTGTGAAGTTAAATTAATTGCGATACAGTTTTCACTTTGGCATGTTTTTCAAATGAAGTGATTATGAAACAGTAGTGTTCCTTAATATTGTGTCAGTGACGGTCCCCGGAATAATGACCCCCCCCCCTGAAATATCACTGTAGTATAGTTCGGTATTAACTTATAAAAGATGAAGTAGGTAGTTGGAAAGCAATTAACCGCTAACATACAGTATTTCTTTCACTATTAAAAAAGTAGTTAGACTACATCAAAGCTGAAATGTAACTCACAAACACCTTTTTAGGCTTTACATTTAACCTGAAAAATCAATGTTTGTATCTGAAGTCAACCTATTATCATAAATCATACAATTGACCCAGTGACATCTGTGTCTTATTACATTTTTTTTTTTCATTTTAAATTTTACAGAAAATCTACATGTTATTTAAAAATAATCCTAATTGAAGCATGACACAGATACAACACTTTATTTTCATTCCTTAAAAATGTGTACTACAACTTAAAAGAGATCACTGATAAGTGATAAGAGTGTTCAAGTTGTCCATTGTATAGAATTATCAGGGTAATAAACAATAATAAGTTAATGTGAACAGAAAGTCTCCCCTTCATTGTTTCTAAGTTGACCCTTCAGTTACATGTCAGGGACCCAATGGAACACACACTAACTACTCCACCACGTAAAGTGAATTCCTTTCTTCTATATCTATGGTAGGCCTAAATGGTGCCAATGCTTTAATATTGATTTTAATGAAAGTAGCAGTGCTATTATACTCACCTCAAGTTCCTCATAAGATCAATACCATTGGGAAGGGTTCTGATGGAGTTGTGGTCCAATTTTAAAGTCACCAAGTTCACAAGCTTCACTATTCTGTCAGGAAGAACGGATATCTGAAAAACACAGATGTGCAATAAGATTTGGTAAGAATCTTTGCAGCTATTAAACAAATCATTTTATTAGTTATTGTTAGGGATTAGAACATAAGTAGGCTACATTAAATTGAAATAGTATGCCTATCATCTATATATATAAAATCCAATGTATGTTTGTTTGTTTGGTTGTCCTTCCGAAACCGCTCGACAGATTGTAATGAAACTTTCAGGTATTATTAAGCATTATTGAAGGATGGTTTGTGTGAAGTTTGGTGCAGATCCGTCAAAAGGGCTCCGCCCCAGTGGCTCTGGAGTTTCCCATGTTAACCTTATAAGTACTCATATTTAAATGGAATTAAAGAATCTTAACAGCTGGTTCAACTAAACAATTTCATTCTGTGATGTTCAATAGCATTAAAAATTTAATAGGTTTACCAACAGGGTGCAGCACTATTATTTTTTTAAATTTATGACAACAGCTAATTTGCAACCAAAAGTTGAGTGAGCGCAGTGAACGAACTTCAACCTGGAGGCGACGAGCTCATCTTGAAAATGAACGAGCATTTGACATAAAACCACATTAGGACAGGACGACGTCTGTCGGGCCAGCTAGCTAGTCATCTATATAATCCAATGTATGTTTGTTTCTTTGTTTGTCATTTATGGACTCCGAAACCACTCGAAAGATTGTAATGAAACTTTCAGGCATTAATAAGCATTATTCAAGGATGGTTCGTGTGAAGTTTGGTGCAGATCCGTCAAAAGGGCTCTGCCCCAGTGGCTCTGGAGTTTCCCATGTTAACCTTATAAGTACTCATATTTAAATGGAATTAAAGAATCTTAACAGCTGGTTCAACTAAACAATTTAATTCTGTGATGTTCAATGGCATTAAAAATTTAATAGGTTTACCAACAGGGTGCAGCACTATTATTTGTTTTAAATTTATGACAACAGCTAATTTGCAACCAAAAGGTGAGTGAGCGTAGCAAACGAACTTAAACCTTGAGGCGAGTTAGCATAGTTTGCAGGATGTGATTGAGCCATGCAAACGAGCTCATCTTGAAAATGAACGAGCATTGACATAAAACCGCATTAGGACAGGATAACGTCTGTCGGGCCAGCTAGTCATAAATTACAATACATACAATATCTTAGTTCTAAGCAAGATGTATCACTAATAGTATTTAAAAGTTCCTCTTGAGTGTAAAATGATTTTAAAAAGCTAGTAACATTTATTTAAAATTGCTTTAAAAGTTGAGAGCTTGTTGAGGCAAGTATATCGCATATAAAAATGGCTAAAAGATTTTGAAAGTCCGATTTGAGATGTGACAAGGTTAGTTTTTGTGCCTAGTGCTCTATGAATGAGAATGACTGAAAAATTTAAAGGTTTTTTTCATAGATTATGATGCAAAGAATGAAGTTAGATTGCAAGGTTATCAAATTTAAATTAGAAAAACGCTATTGACAGGATTGTTGGATCTTGCAATCCTAGCATTGGCTCTAAGGACAAAACTGGTTAAAACTGTAGTACAATATCGTTTAAGAAAAAGATGTAGATCTACAGAAGTCAGTGTTATGGGTACTACATAATGTCTGTACCGGTACAAACTTCTGACCAAAATCAGTTCTCAGTTTGTGCCTAACTAGGCCTATGTGTATTCATGAATTTGTAAGTCATTAGTAAGTATTTACCTAAACGAAGTTTGAACCAAACAAATCTAATTGAGGATGTCTACCGTGTGGTTAAGTTGCTACGCTCGTGAATGATTTTAATAGATTTCTATTTCTATCTAATAAGTCGAAACTCACTTTGTTTCTACGCAGATCTAGCAATCTGAGCTGTTTTTGTAGTTTGTTGTTAACAATCCACCTCCAATCTCGACCACAGCCAAAGTCATTGTTAGCGATACAAAGCTCCGTGAGGTTCGGAAGAGACGACCCAAACTGCTCAGGAAGTGTAGTCAGAAAGTTGTTTTCTAGATTTAACACTCTTAAGTTTCTTAGCCGCAAAATACGGCTGTCCAATGTTTTTATATTTGCACTATTAATCTGAAAATAGACATTTTTGCATCAATGTTATAATACAAAACAGTTTAGTTACATGATTAAGATGAGAAAATTTGATAAAAAAACGTCAAAAGGAGAGCAAGCAAAATAAAATAGAAAAAATGTTCATTGCATTCAGAGAATGAGTCTTCGCATAGGCCTAAACTAACTATGTCTTGCATGTAGAAAAACTTAAACATATTTTGAATTATTTTTAAGGTTGATAAGATGATTTCTCAATTTAAAAGTAATGTTTCAGAAAACAGCTAAGTAAGGAAATTATTTTGGCCTGCTGTTCTAAGCCAGTGATACAAGACTGTGTATATAAGAGTTATCATTTTTATCTTACATTAAAAAGCTCATCTTCAGAGGAGAACGGAAACCAAGTGTGTATTTGTATGGCAGTATGTAGCTTGAGTGAAAATAACAATGAACATAGGTACTCCAAGTACTACAATAAAATAAGCGTCTGGTCTCAGAGTGTAAATCCGCTTCCCCAACAATTGTGGCAAACCATTACAGAAATTCTATTTTTTTATGCCATTTTTGTGAATATTTTACTAAAATTTCAATTAGGCTAAATACACAGTAACAACCAACATGAAGGAGAGATAAAAACTTAAATCCAACATTCCAAAATTAAACTGCTAAGTGTAACTTATGTGCCTATTTAACAAATAAATGTAAGTGAACTTACAACCAACAACTCTAACGTCCGAGGAAATCCTTCTAACACTGGGTAGTCATCTCGACACGAAACTATCATCTTTGTCTTGACAGGTTTAAGGGCTTTACTCTGAACACAGCTTCCTATTGTAGACAACTGGCTTGACGGAATCCCACCCAAGCAACATTTCAAAGTCTTTAAAAATGCTTTAAGTTGGACAGGGTCACATTTTATAGCTAGGTCATATTCTGGTTCTTTCAGACGGATCGTGGATTTCCCTTCGTTAACAAATTTGGTGAAAACTGTCTGTATATTGTTCAAGACCTAAAACAAAGAGACATATTTTTCTAGCTGTAAAAGTTATCTTTACTTCTAATTGGATAGGATGTTTGGTAAATAGCCTAACTGATTTGTGTTAGGAACCAAAAACTAAAAAACCTAGTGTTTAGCCCTAGCAAAACTATTTGAATCAAAGCTAGACCTTCTTAGTAGCCTAACTTCCTCTTCAACACATTATGAGAAAACAATAACAAGACAATCACTTACTAATATTTTTAGGTAGCCTACATTAAAATTCAAATGACCGGTTGTGAATTAATTCCCAATTAAAATTACAAAATTTGACTTACAAGCTAACCTTCAAATAGGCCTATATAGACTACAGAAGAAGCACTTTAATACTTTTCTATGAAATGGCGACCATACAAATGTACTTACTTAGGTATTTTAAGCCAAGTATGAATTTAACGATCACCCATAGGACCGAGACAATTAAGGATAACTAACTAAAATCAACAAACAACGGAAATTCCTTTGATTTACAGTAAATGATTAGGATACAGTTTCGCAGAGAGCCTATGAATATATTATCAGATGAAAACAATACATATATATAACTTAAATACGATTCAATATTAATATTGCATATTCAGCGCACAATTATCAAGTAGCTTAGGTATTACGGTATAGAAAAAACTAAGTTAACAGCAATTATTTAACATGTCTGTACATTAGGATATTATGTAATTTTTAGATGTCTACTTTCAGTTTTTTTCATGCTGAATCCAAAAATGCAATCAGTTTTTGTCAGACAGATTCCTAAGTGGCTGTAAAACGGAGATTAAAACTACGAATCTAAGGTTCAGTTAGCCGTACTGATGGTAATATGGCGTGGTCTGGACGGGTCTGTTTGTGGACTGAGTGAGGAGAGCACTCAGTTAACTTAGACATCAAATAATAAATCATACCTAGTAGACATTTTAAATAATTACCCTAACCTAATTAGAGATACCAATTTAGGTTGGCCTATCATCTAGTAAAAACCAACAAAAATCTACAGAAGAAATATCAAAATGGGCCTACACAGTTTCGAGGTTTTATTGTACTGTAACTTAGGCCTATACACCCAACAACAATACAATATAGGTAACAATACTGTAGAAGTTTATTAAATCAATCAAACATAAAAAGCTGTCGATATAAATCTTTCCAATACTGTGGAAGGAAACCACAGTTTCTGATTTTTACTGTGCAAAGTGTGTGATCAACTAAGTGAGTGTCCAATTGTTTTAATAAGTTCTTTTTTGAAAGGAGGCTACCTATATAAGATAGGTACTTGTATCTACAGGTCAATATTTCAGCTAAGTTATTGATGCGAATTTGTTCACCTATTAGGGGAAAACTATTAGTGTTTGATACAAATTTTTATGAAAATTGTATATTGCTATTTGTTTTGACAATGCCTATTGCATTTCATGCCTTAAGGATAATAAAGCATTTCATTTCATAACCGTAATTAGGCCTAGTAATTAACTAACTTAACCAGGATTGGTCAGGGATGACTAAGTAGGCCTAGTCATCCCTAAGTTGACCACTTAACTTGGTACTAAAGTTTGTCAGTTAATAAACTTAGGCTTACTTCCTACTTACTAACAAAATTACAATAGGCCTAGGGCCTAGCATAGACCTCACTCACCTTAAATTTGTTTCCAGGAACATTTTGATTCGTCTGATGAAGCAAAAATATACTACCATCAGGAGATTTACCAATAGTTAAGCTACTTTTTACTCCCTTTTTGTTGGGCAAACTTAAAGAAGGAAGAGCTCGGTTTACTATTTCAACTGTACACACTATTTTCATTTTCTTATCCCTGCTAGGGGTTTTCCAGTTTCCAAATCCGAAATTGTGTTGACCATTCAAAATTGTCAATAATTTAATATCTTGCTTGAATATTTAAAAATCCCTGTGGATCACAACAACACAGTGTATTAAACAAGTAATTCAGACGAAGTCTAGCGATTAATGAATATTTATCTTTATTAATATCTTGCTTGAATATTTAAAAATCGCTGTGGTAAACAACGCAGTGTATTAAACAATCAATTATTCAATTCAGACGAAGTCTAGCGATTAATGAATATTAATCTTCATCCGTCGAACGGATACGGTTTGGTATAAATTCAAATTCGATCTCCGTTCTCTTCTCCCATTAAGAATTTGAGGTTATGTTTTGTTTACTGTTACTGATTGGTTTACGACGACGCTTTTCGTTTTTGTCGTTACGTTACCGCAAACAAAATGGTGTGAGGTGGGAGGGGCCGGTTGTTTATATCTTTGGGGTTGTATTCGTGCCTTCTTGGTTGGTAGCACGATTACTAGAAAAATACCGGTATGGATCATAAACATAAACATTAGTTATTTTCCTACAGTTACCTAAAAATGTACATGTTCTCTCACTGATTTGAGAAAGCAAAGTGGCCAATTCGCTCATCAACATTGTCTCACTCTAATTACTTTGTCTCACTCCAGATTTGCAATGTGAAGGCACGAAATAGTGAGCACGTAACATGCAGGCAAGAGGCAACGTCGTATGCGCGCGAAATACGTTGGCAGCACTGGCTGTAAATCAGCTGGTCAGCTGTTGTACTCAAGTCTAAATACGGCTCATCTTCAGCAGCATTTTTCTATGTACAATTTTTCACATCGAGAGATGATTGTCGACTATATACAGACCACATATACACACAAACACAGAACGTTTTAGCATGCTATTTTTATTTACACGTGTTTTTGTAGCGTACGCTCGTTGAGATAATACCCGACCGGACGACATTTGTAAATGTCGTCCGGTCGGGTATTATCTCAACGAGCGTACGCTACAAAAACACGTGTAAATAAAAATAGCATGCTAAAACGTTCTGTGTTTGTGTGTATATGTGGTCTGTATATAGTCGACAATCATCTCTCGATGTGAAAAATTGTACATAGAAAAATGCTGCTGAAGATGAGCCGTATTTAGACTTGAAACATGTACAGCATAATTCAAGTATTAATAATTGACACCTACTGGCATACGTGATACGTAAGTAGATTATTATCTATTACAGCCAGTGCTGCCAACGTATTTCGCGCGCATACGGCGTTGCCTGCATGTTACGCGCTCACTATTTCGTGCCTTCACGTTGAAAATCTGGAGTGAGACAAAGTAATTAGAGTGAGACAATGTTAACATTGTCTCACTATTGATGAGCGAATTGGCCACTTTGCTTTCTCAAATCAATGAGAGAACATGTACATTGTTAGGTAACTGTAGGAAAATGACGTTATTGGCCCGAAAATAAACATTATTTAACATTGCTTAAATGGAACTGCCAAAACATATGTTCACTGATATTAGTATAGGATTCGGGCCAACAACGTCATTTGTTTATGTTAATGATCCATACCGGTATTTTTCTAGTAATCGTGGTTGGTAGTAGGCTGTCACACCTGTCGCTCCAACTCCAAGCAAAACGTACCTTTAATACGCTGTCGCTGTCAGAAGGACTAGTCTGTCTTGATAACAGGAGAGCCTGAGAATAAAAGGAAAACACTTGTACCGGCTAGTACTAAGCAAGGTGGAAGGATAAAGTACTAACATAAAACATACTCATTGAGTATGTTTTATCTATGGTACTAAGCCTAATGTCAATTTTGTCAAAGTGTCTGTAAAAATTTAGATTACTGTCCAATGACAACTCCTAAATACGTTACACACTATAAGCAACCAATACAAAATATAAGCCATTGGAAAACAAAATATTCCCTATAAATGTTTAGATTTCTAGCTTTGAAAAGTTGGGCTGAAAAAATGAGGGAATTATCATTGTCAGTGTTGTAACTTGGAATTATAAACTACAGAATAAGTCAGATTATTGATGGACACGAAGAAAAAAGGACGGGCCAAAGCTTGATCGGACCCCTTTGGTACCTGGGGCCCGTTTCATAATAAACTACAAGTTACAACTTGTAATTTCCATCAGATTTGCATTGGGCGAGCAGCTGATTTACTAATAATATTAGTTTGTAGTTTATTATGAAACTAGGAGAAACCCGTCGAAATCGACGGTTAGGGGCCTCTTCGTTTATATGGGCGTGCGGCTTCATTGGCAACAAATAATGCAAATAAATGACATAGCAAAGTGGCATTTCCAAAAAGAAAGAATACTGTAAATTGGCTGTTACGTAAATATTAATGTTAAAATGCATTGTTAATCAACGTATCGTATAAAGGATGATGTGGTCTAGTTTAAAAGGAATATGACCTTTCTGTCATTACAGTAGCTGATCAAATAGTATTTACTCATTGGGCCATTTTTTACAGCCAAAATGTCGTGTTATTTTCAAAAATGCTACCAACCCAGTGGGTCACGGTCCGTAATATAGGCCACTGCAAATAATTTGTCAAAGATAGGTACCGGTACGATTCTAGGCAAGGTTTCTGTGTTCGGATGTTATTAGACACGATAAGAGCTCAATGAACTTCTTCTACAGATAATTAATCTGTTGGGGAAATATATAAGCCGAATTATAAATGCGAGTTTGGGCATTTTGTTACTGTATAAGTAAGTTACATAGTATTTTTAGGCTGCTGCTCAGTCCACTAAAGACTATATTTTTTAGAGATAAATTAAATGGTGTTTGATGCTGAGTAGCGATATTTAACATGCAGAACCCTCTTCGTTAGTCTAATAACATTCAAAGGCTCTCTAAAAGTTGAAGTTCTTATTTGTACACATACCTTTATTATGTTTTCACTAAGCTGAATAAATACATCGAAGTAACCACTCTGAAATGTTTGCAGTATATTGCAGTTTTCCAGCTTAATGACTTTTTAAATCATGCACATATGTCTACATAAATATTGTAAAATTTTGCTGTACACTAATATTTTAACAAAATATGGACACGGCTAATATGGACAACGTGCCCTTCGGCATTTTTTGTATTATTTTGTATTGTATTACACAATCAAAGACTTTTCCAATGATTGAAAATATCTATGACAATAATCTCATGAACCTATGATGATCTGTCTAGAATAATATGATAAAATATAGGCAAAAGTGGTAATAAAGGCAGACACCAACCCGTACAATAGATATAAGAGATAGTTCGATACGAAATAATTGTAAAAGTTACTATAAATGATTGTCAACTGATTTCGTAATGGAACGTTATATTGCAAAACATGGCATGATACAGAAGAAAATCAATTTTTAAACCAGTAAATAACATTACAAATACTTCTTTTTAGACAATTCAATAGCTCCCAATAAACGTGTGTTGTTTAAAATACAATTTAAGAATTGACAGCTGTTTAATTCAAATCAAATCAAATCAAATCAAATCAAATCAAATCAAATCATTTATTATCATGGACATTTACATGCATTGACATTGTCAGTGGAGCAGAACATAAAATTTCAATGTTCATTGTCTAAATAATCAGAGGTTCAATTAAATAATTCAAAATAAAATAATAATTCAATTAAATAATTCTAAATAATTCAAAAGTATTATCCACATGATGGAAATGTAAACAAATCTGTGGAGGGATCTTTAAAGGCTTCTGGGGCAGAGCCCTAACGGGATTCACCTCGTGTTTCTTTTGGTAACTTATCTAGAGACCAAGACCTTTCTTTGGACACCTCTACCAAGTTTCTACGCCCAGTCGTTCTCTCAAATTAGTGGAGACAAAGTTTCCAAATAAATGTTTAGATTCCCCCATGTTAATCTTATGGGAGAAAATCCAACTTTGATGGAAGATCCTGCCCAAACTAATAACAATTTCAAAAAATTAAAAAGACTTTGCAAAACTACAGATCAGGGCCATTCTTTTGACACTTTAATGATCAAAATCGGTCCAAAAATGAGAGAGGAGTTCTGTTTACAAAAATCGGCTTAGCGTATTATATATATAGATAGATAGATTCTTTTGACACTTTAATGATCAAAATCGGTCCAAAAATGAGGGAGGAGTTCTGTTTACAAAAATCGGTTTAGCGTATTATATATATAGATAGGCCCCCGTACTTACCACACAGTATACCGGTAGGCTACGCTCATCATAAATCCTACCACAAAAACAACCTGAAGAACCAATATGTAAGAACGGACTTAAAAAAAAACTATTTTTTCGCCCCTTAATAAGAACAACTCCAATTTATGGCCACTCCACGGATGCCCAGCCTTTCCAGCGGGTCGCCGGGATTTTATCCTCCTGGAATTTTACCCCCTGGGCAAAGCTGATGTCACTATGACGCAGTAACCTGAGTGGCCAAAAGTTTGTTCGCGGCCGGAATTTTACTTCCACGGATTTGGAAGTCTAATGAAAATAGTCAGAGCGTGATAAATTAGATTAGCGAAAAAAACCGGGATTTTACCCCTTGTCCATATAACTAGCGTTTAGACAATTGAAGATGAACGGGCCGGATTTTTACCCCCCGGAATTTTACTAATAAATCCGGGCCGTACATTCTAGGTTTTTATAATTTGATGTGTTTTGATTGAATTCACAACCGTGAACATATATGTGTAATTCCGCGTTTAATCCATCTATCAGGTTACTTAATAATAAAATATTTACTTTTAAATTAAAACAGAATGAACATAATTAATCATTCTCACTAATTTATATATCTGGCCAGGGGGTAAAATTCCGGGGGTAAAAAATCTGGGGGCTAAAAATCCGGGGTTAAAATTCCGGGGGTAAAAATCCGGGGGGTAAGATTTCGGGGGTAAAAATCCAGGCCGTACACTTTAGGTTTTTATAATTTGATGTGTTATGATTAAAAAATTCACAACCGTGAAAATATATGTTTAATTCCACGTTTAATCCATCGATCTGATGTCGCGAAACTCAAAAGTTCGTGGCCGGAATTTTACCCCCTGGTTTGTGACGTCACGTTTGCCCAGGGGGTAAAATTCCAGGGGGATAAAAATCCGCTACCCCTTTCCAGCTTATTTTGAAGCAGGTTATGATCAACAACATTGAATGCCTTTGTAAGGTCAACGAACAAACCGGAGGCAGACATGGTCCTTTTTGTGTCTATATTGGTGTCTGGTCTCCTGTAATGCAACTCGTTTAAACTTAAACAAGTAATTACTTCAATAATTGTCTATTTATTTACAATTGCATTACATTGGTAATAAAATATTGATAAATTTCGTCTCAATTGGCAGTACTGTAATAATATTACTGTTTAGAATTCAGCAAAAAGCTATGTTCGCCAAATAATAAATGGGAATTCAAACTGTCACAGTTCTCGCATATCTGTTATTGATATGGTAGGACTATACTTGTCAAAAGGATCAACTTCAGCTAAATTCAATACCAAACAATCAAAAAGCTTTACATCCACTCGGGAAACGTAAATCAATTTTATTATTAGTAGTTATATTCCCTCTAAATTCACCATGTGGTGATCAGTAACGTAGTACGTAGATTAATAGTTTTGGTAAAAATTTCATCTGACTGAATACGACAAATCCTCAAATCAGATCCTGGAACTGAATAGTGTGAGGAAGTAGGTTTAATCCATGTTTAATCTCAGCTAGATCTAACCAATGACAATAATTGACAATATTTTACTGGACCCTCCTTAGGAATAATAGGTAAGATCCTTTTTACTGTCTTCTTCTACTTGGTCAGTTGTGTTTTCATCATTTTAATCATTGAGAGATCAAAAGATTATAACACCTCAGTTGTTTTATTCAACGCTTCTCGCTTCATCATGCTTCATCACCTCATTGGTCTTTCGCTTCCTTGATTGCCGTTGTCTGCCGCTTAGCGAGTGAACAACACATTTTGCTTCTGCTTTCCGTAAACGACTGTAACATACAGCCAGCAGCAACAAACGGAACGGAACAAACAGAAACAAAATTACAAAGCAGCTTACGAAACGCTACTACACTACAGCAACAGCACTACAGACAGCAGCAGCAGCACAGAGACAAGACTCTTACTTTACTTTATTTCACCACGGTTTCTTTGATACTTTTCTATTGTTAAAGTAGTCCATTCTATATTTCCTAGTTAAAATAGAACATAAATAAAATCAACTTGAGTATTGATAATTGGAAGGCTTATTGTAAATTGTAAAGGAACCAACAACCATGACTTCTTACAGGGTAAGTCAAAGTGAAGATTCGGCTTCAGCCATAGCATAAAACTACACAGAAAGACAGAAGTACTCAATGTACAAGTGGTTGGACACAATTAGTTGAACATTATGTAGCCTATTTAGTAATTGTTATGTTTGCTGTGCTCTTAGCTAAAAGGCTAGGCCTAGGCTAGGTTTTATTAGGCCTTGACTAGATAAGTTACAAAACAGTCTGGACTAGGCCTAGGCTATGTAAGAAGTCCACATGGGTATGATAAGCTTTTAAGTTAGGCTTTTTACAAAATAGGGAACTAGATAAACCTTCATAATTTAAATACTGAAGGGACACGAGCTAATTAGGCCTAGCTCTGTGGTTACAGGCCTATAAAATTCTCACATATTAAATAAGCTAATCCTTTCTTAGGCCAAACAGGTAGGCCTACACTTACATCTGTTGGCACAAACAACCGAATGAGTGCATAATATTGATTAACCCTCCAAGTGTCTCTAGTTTTGGTCTTAATGTTCGCCCGTTTATTGCGCAATCCCAGAGTTGTATTAAACGCAGAGGATACCCGTCCGGTAACAGGACGTGGATTAGGCGTCCGGCAGTTACTGTCATAATCTAACCTAACCAACCAAACTTGCTGATAATGAAAAAAATCAAATGAAGGCTCAATTCTCTTCTTAACATAAAATTAAAAATGCCAAAAATTCGAACAAAAGATACGGTTGAGAAGAAATTACATTTAAAGCAAAATCTGTGACTAAAAGTTAAAGAAACCGATGGGTTTCGAACCAGGAACCTCTTGGATATCAGCCGAGCATTCTATCCACTACACCACGAACAACGCTGGCCGAACATCGTATCGTGGTAATGACGTTCCGGGACCCCACAACCCGGTGACGTCACTACCGGACGCGTAATCCACGTCTGGTTACCGGACGCGTATCCTCTGTGTTTATTAAAATGTACGGTATCTTAGAAATTTAAAAACAATGTAAAGTATACTGTTTTATATATCATTTTGTTTGGAAAACTATGGGCTTTAAAAATGAAACATATAAAACATTACAAAAAAAATGTTCAACAATTTTTGCGGGGTTAACATTTCTCAAAAATTATAAAATAAATGAAAAAAATTGGCTGCACTTTACTTTAGGTTCTACACAAACAACCGAATGAAAATATCGATTATTCGATTGTTTCATTCGATATATCGTTTGGTTAGTTAGGTTAGGTTAACCTTTCCTAACTAACCAAACGAATAATCGATATATCGATCAATATTTTCATTCGAATGAGTGTAGGACCTTAAGTAATGTGCAGCAAAATATTTATGTTTGCGCTCAATAAATTGTTATAATTTATAGGTCTACAAATATTTTAAAATAGCCACTTTGTTCAGAATTTTATGAGGATTCCAAAAATATAATAACATAAGGAAGTAGGTTTGCAAATAAATAAGTTATGGGCGAAAAACAGATTTCGGTCCATAGCGTTTAGCTAAGAATGCATAGGCCTAGCCTAGCCATAGCTAGGAATCGGGCTGATAATTTACATCAATATCACTACCTACTTCTTCAGGATCATCAACCATCCCTTCAAAATCACTTAAATCTTCTTATTATGCACCACGTATATCACTACTTTTGATTTTTAACACTAAAACAATGATAAACTTAATAAAACACATCGGTCATCGGTGCGAGGTTAACCAAGCTGTTTACAAATACGCACGTCAGCTGTCTGCTGCAATATTTTCGGAACTAAAATGAAAAGCGTATAGAAACAGACATCAGGAGAAAGCTCTGAATCTGCTGAAAAAAAACGATACCTAACTCGATCCAGTTCAATCCGATTCAGTCAGTCCCAGAGCCGTCGCCGTAAACAGTGTTTGTGAGTCACAAAAGCGACACATAACACTACAGCGGATGTGTTATGAGTCGCTTTTACGACACGTAACACTCGGAGGGTTAACTTATTCAAATGCTTAATTTGATCCATATCGATTGATATTTTCATTCAGTTGTTTGTGCCTACAGATATGGAAGTGTACCCGGCCAAACTAAATCTAAGTTAGGCCTAGGCCTAGCCTAACACTGGTTTTAATTTTTTTTACTGAAAGTTGAATGGCGACCATACAATGGTAGTTATTTAGTACTTACTGTATGAATGGAGATGAGTGTAGGAGTGGCGCGATCTTGTAGTCATGTTACGGACATGTTCCTTAGACAAAACTGTTAATTAACCCTCGAGTGGGCGCTTGCGGAGTTTTCCTCCGCACTTGTAGTTTTTGTTAATATAAATTATGCATAATGAGTGTCTGCAGTCGTGTCCGGCTCCATGCTTCACGCTCCTCATCCCGGAAATGCCCTTTAAGCTATTTTTACCTCCTTATTTTGTAGTTAATTGCAATTCAGTGACATGGTGTCAGTATGCGGAGGTTTTCTCCACGTGCGCCCTATCACATATGGTAGAGTTTATTTTCTCATGCGCTCTTGTCAAACTGTGTGTATATTTTATACATACAAAAATATAAACATTAAAAATTACGGTTCAAAAGTTATTGCAAATTATGTTATTTTCCTATAAAAACCCCATAAAATAACAGAAAAATCTGATTTTCCCAAAAATGGCCTGAACGATTTTGTTAAAAATTTAGTATGTTATAGTCCTTTAAATTATGAACAAAATTGTACAAATCCCATTTCCGTATATTTACTCTCACCACTTACACATGATAAAGGTTGTTGACAAACTAATGGAGAAATTATGTGTCAGAATGCTGATACCGTTTATTAGTTGTACCAAAGATTACATATGCTAACGCAAAATAGATATTGCACCTTACGGCAAAATTGTGCCAAGTCGTTTTAGGATGGGGCCACCTTCACGTAGTTGGGTGGTCCCTCAACAGAGGCGCTGTGTCAAGTCTCGATCTGCATTACCATTCAAGTTCGGGTGAGTTCGGTAATGTCCGCGTACTCGGGATTAACTTGCCTGTACATTGACTAAAGACTATACTGAGGCCTGTACGCAACGCGCTCGCCAACCCGTCGTCATCGTATCTCTTGTTGAAAGCGCACAGCTATCATTAATGTACCATAACTTTATCTTTTTACTAAAATAACAGTTATTTAATTTAAAATTAAAGTGACCGCGTAACAAAGAGCTAAAGGATACTAAAGTTTACTGATATAAACATTAATTTATAAACATCTTCAAAAATTGCTTTCACAGTGATATAATAAGCTTACAATGTTATATTAGTTTTTCTGCATTGAATTTTAACGTACATTTAGAGAACTCTTAACAATTTAGAAATTTATAAATCTTGCAAGTTTTAATAATTAGTGACAATTTGTGAGTTCGTAATTTTGACCCACAAAGTTTGCTTCCGGATTTCTAGACTCACGTAATATCTTGCTACTAACTCACTATGAGGAATGTATGGTTAGTCAACTACTACCTAACCATTCACTGGCTACTTGACCTTTTTAAACATAGCAATATACACATAGTTTGTAGGAAGAACATTTATCTACAAAGATCGGCATTTGTTTTCAAACTAAGTATTATCTCGTCACATTATTGGTGTTTTTTAAGTTCCGTTTGCAACAGAGCTTTGAAGAAAATGTACAGCATAAGATATAAAATATAGATTTTAAATTTGGATTGTTTTATATAACAAATCTTTCAACTGACAACTATATAAAATAAATTTAAAAACATATAGTTTTAACAACAGCGAAATGTTAATTGTACATAAATTAAAGAGGTTATCTTTACCACGTAAAAACGATATTTAGGTTGGTAATTGGAGGTCAGTCACACTCTCGCAATCACACGAAAGTGAACTAACCCGAGTGACCCGACATCCCAATTTACCGGTATGGCCTGTTTTAAACATTATATTTAACAATAGGTCGAATACTTTGTACCGGAAGCCTGTGACTACATTTTACAACAGCCATTCATGGTAAGTTCCTGAATCAACATTAAGGCATTGTATTGGCATAGTCAGGTTTGGATTGGAGCGCCCTGGAGCAGAAATTGCCTAACCACCCCTCTCCAAATTTGAACCCCATAAATATATAGCCTAGGATACTTTATTTCCCTCTTAGTGGTCTTCGTTGATAAACACTTAAACCACGACGTTCAACGTACGTCTATTTTCAGTTGACAATAAATTACAAATTATTGCATAACAGTATGATGAAGGTAGTTAATAATATATTTCGGAACTGTATCATAACTGTTATCATAAGGCAGACTCTAAAGATATTGAGACATTGCCAATAGAAATACTGGTGAATTTATCGCTATGTGATGAAGGGGCTGCCGAGAGACGGTTGTGAGTGGTGATCGTCTGTAGAGGCAGTAATGAGCACAGACTGCTGAGTAACAACTGATGTACATCCATAGTTTGTTAGTACATAACTAGTCATGTTGGTACAGCTTCCTTTTTACTTCTCATATTATTTATAAAGCAGTTAGGTTCAAAATGCAGTTCACACACTAAACGAGAATGTAAAGCAGTGTCGGGAAGGCCTTGCCGTTTTTTGATTGCCGTGTTTGCCATTTATCACATAGGCAGCTACACTCGTCTTAATACCTGGTAGTTTTCATGAAAATATCCACATCATAATACAATATTGTAATTCACTACACATAATACTAACACTTCTTCACTATTGCTAATCCATCTTCTAACAAACCTCCCGTTACTTACATAAGCAAAAGCAAACAACCATAAATAAAGGTTAACCATAACAATAAACATCAACAAAAAATACGTAAATAACAGCTGGTCGTGTCGGCAATGAAGTCTTAGGTTGTGAAGACATTCGCTAGGCTTCGCATGGAAATTGATATCACAAAAATGGCTTGGCTGCAATATCTATTTTGCGTTAGCATATGTAATCTTTGGTTGTACAAATTTATCTGGCCTGATGTCTGGATCGGTGTACATTATTAAGCCTTCTCCCTGCTCAGTTCGGGGTCTTGGAAGGGGAAAGGATCGACAGTGTGTCACCATCTTAAGGATAAATTAAAGAAACAACTTTATAAATGTTTTATTTACTGTATTAATTGATTTATTATACCCTAATGGTAAAATTAATTTTAATTTGACATTTATATCGAACCAAATCATAATCAACATACATTAATCCGATAATACATTGTAGTTTTTCTACGGAACTGCACCCACATAGGCTGCAGTGAACTGAACCTTGTTAACTTGAAAGAATATTATCTTAACCGGATGACCACGGGATGGCGTGCATTAGGCCTGGGTGCAGCAGAGGGTGTATGTGTGTGTGATTGTATGTTAGAGAAATAAATTTATGTAGGTACTGTTATTAGACCTATTTGTTTATTGTAAACTTTGTTTTTTTTTTATGGTTTATTATTATTGTTCATTTTTAGAGGTTAACTGTAAGAAAGGACCATGAGGTACTAAGTTCGCCTCAATAAAGGATTTTCTTTGTATTTCAACCACATATTTTTTTACTTCTAGGTTCATAAATTTTTAACTGCACTATTTAACTAGCCTACAGGGTGACACATGGGAGACGGACAGTTTTCATCCGCGTTGTAGGCTACTGAGAGTGCAGTGGTGGGAGTTGGTTGTGGTTGGCCTAGTTCTGTTCTATTAAAGACGCCGTTTCATTTACTCAGTAACTATGGAACAGTGGGACTTGCAATGTTGATTGTTTGCCTATTGCAGTTTCATGAGAAGTTGTGAGTCATTACAGATACACGGGGATTGGTTTAGTGTTGGTCGACATTGAGCTGTTCCGAGCCATAACACAATCCTTAGAAGTTTGAAAAACTTCAGATTGACTGGAAACATACTGGATTCAAAGTTCTTCTAACCAATTCGTGATTAATTCGTAGCTCATGACGTCTAGCTGACCGTCCTGGGCTTCTGACTACCTTTTCCCTTAACCTTTCAACGTTTTATGGTGTCGTTACAAAGTGTTTCGGGCCAGGTTGCTTCTTATCCAGGATGTTTCCAGTCAATTGTTAGTTTTCACCCATCTGAGGATTGTGTTACGGCTCAGAACAGCTCAATTTCAACCTTCATTAAACTGTGCACAAAACAATCACTGTGTAGCTGTAATAGACTCGCAACTTTTCATGAAACTGCCATAGACAAACAATTGACGTTGCAAGTCCCACTGTTCCATAGTAACTGAGTTAATGAAATGGTGTCTTGTTGTGTAGAGAAGAACTATGCCCACCACAACCATCTCCCACCACCGCACTGCACTCTCAGTACCATGCAACCCAGATGAAAACCCTCTGTCTCCCGTGTGTCACTCTGCATATTTGGCAGCTTGTATACATTTTTCTAAGCTCAGTTGGTTATTTTTTAGAATTTAGATTCAAAGAGAGAGGAGTTCCGCAAATATCTGGAAAAAGCAGGAGCCTTGGACGCCTTGTCAAAAGTCTTGGTGATGCTCTATGATGAACCTGAGAAACCAGCTGATCCATTGGAGTATCCTTTTAAAATTTGCGTAGGTACCTACTGCACTTCAATTAGAGGCTTCGGAAAATTAAGTTGAGAAATTTGTGTTGGGCTTATTGCACCGGGCCCAGCCTGCACTCTTAGAACATTAATGGTTGTCCACAGAACATTAGCATTAAATGATAAAACGTCAGGAAAGCCTGAGTTAAGATGAAAGTTTTTAAGCTGCACTCAAGGTGCCATTCTCCTACAATTTTCATACTTAGCATAAATAAATCAATTTAACTTACTTTGCTTCCTTCTTGAAGTTTGGCTCAAAGAGTGGCAAAAAGTAGTAGGCTAAACGTTTTTATGTATAAAAATATTTATTTATGTAAATAGGCCTTAGTCTACAATTCAAATTTGCACTGTTTACTTACGGTACATTTCTATAACTATTTACATTTCACATGATCATAATCAACATTTAAGATAAGCCCAAATCATCAAATTGTAGCCTAATAATAATTTTCTTTTATCGTATGCCTATTCATGATCGTAATTGTTCTAAAACAAATCATCAAAATAATCATTATTGTACAAAACATTCAAAATAAATTAGGCCCCTATGCTTTATGTTACCTATATTGTTTCTAACATCATACAAAGCTAAATTACTAGTGTCTTGATGAATTTATACTAGGATATACATAATAGTTTACCAGAATGCTTTTTGAGTACAAAACTGTTACCTAACCTCTTACCATAGACTAACTAACACAAGTAGACTTCTCATCCCATGGTAAATTTTGAAGTTCGTTTTTCGTGTCTAGATTATTTACGTCGACATTGATCGCTAGTTTAGGTAGATGAAATTTTGTTTGTATTATTTTAGGGTTATTTTCATTGTTTGTGTTTTACTGTTTGGTTATATAACTAGGAGACCAGTTATTGTTTATGATTAAATCATGTTATTTGGTTAAACAGAGTTTTAAATGACTGAAATTGTAAACAAAACATGACCTCTACAGCACAACAATGTACAGAACTAATAATAAAATAGGCTTCAGCTGTGCCATTAGGATGAGAAATCTACTAAGGGATTGTGTTTTGTCCATGTTCACCTATTTGTCCTTAATAAGTTCTTACCAGTTACATCATAAAACATCTTGGAGATAGCAGCAAGCCAGATGAAGCAGAGTTGAATATGATCAAGGCAGAATTGGAAGAATGTCATTTGAAAATTCAGACTCTCGAGGATGAAAATAAATTGCTGAAGGAAAGACTGGCTCAGATCGAGCCACAAGAAGGCGCCGCAATGGAGGAAGGTGAGGCTGGTGAACCGAGCACTGCGGCCGAGGCTGTGACCGAGGGTGAGGGTGAGGTTACGCAGAAGCCAGCTGCTGAAGAAGTAGAGTCTGCCACCAATGCATCAGCTGCAGGAAGCCAACCTTCCCCGCAGTAATGAGTTTTGCAATCCCTTGTTTACCAAAGTTCCTGTGATAAAGACTAAACCTCGTATCCAAGACTTACTTGTTCTGACTAAAGAATAAATTCAGTTGGTATCACAGCACATTAAATTTCATGACTTAGTGTTTCTAGTGAAATGTTTCGTGTTCTTTGTAACTATCGGGTCAGTAATGTAATTTAGGTCAAATGGACCTAATTGTTTTTGTAGTTATATGTTAAAAAAAAAAGTAGCGTTAGTGATTCAAAAGTAGTTTTTTGTTGCTCAAATGTCATTTGTTAGTTAGATAAAAGTGTAATTCAGATAGTAGTAATAACATGCAATCTTTTCGCTAGAACGTCCTAATAGGGGCTTTCAAAGTACGTTTAACATGTTTTGATTTATCGATACACAAGTATTTTGATTTAGAAGTATTATTTTTGTTTAGTTTTGTTGTTGTAAGTTTTGCCTTTTACGTGCTAACAACCCTTTCAGGATTCCCAAATGACTCCAATTATGAAATGGTAGCCATTATTAATTCATCACAATTCTCAAATAATGACTTTTTAAATATGTAGCATTTTCTAAAAGTTAAATTCACTTGATTAGCTAGAAAATTAAATTTACACATGATGCAACTGCTGACTTAATTAGGAATATTAAAACAACACTATTGTCAAGGCACAATAATCATTTTGTAGCTAGTATTTTAGTGACATGAGATTTTATGTAATTTCTAATTTTAAACAATTTGTTAAAATCCAAACAGTGTAAATTTTTATTGGTGGTCAATATACATGACAAGTCATTATTAAGCATTGTTTGAAAAGGGGGCCAATACACTTTTAGATTCAGAATTTAAAACAATTCCTGAAAGGGTCTATAATTGTTTCTTACTCACTTAGTTTAACACATTATTATTGTTAAGGGCGTGTTTGCAATAACTGCCAGCCAGGCTTATTGATGTGTACTTAGCACACTATTACTATCTATGACATTTATGCGTAGGACTTAGTTATTTGTAGCTAAAGGAAATTTAGTTTTTGCTGAAAATAAAGAGGAAATTTATTTTAGTTAACCAAAAACTGTAGTTTTCAAGTTGTTAAATGGATAAAATGTGTGTTTGTAGTTTTTGCTGTTTTATTGAACCAACCACCTTTTCTCCATCAAGCCACACACTGTGTTCAGCAGAAGGATAAAAGAAAAAAAAATTTTCCACCTTCCAATTATATTGCTGGTTCTGGGATATACAGTTCGTTCAGGAATTGAAAATAAAAATGAACTTGTTAAACCTTTTTTTAGGCCCTAAAATTGTTTGAAGGGGTTGGATTTTTATAGTAAGATTTTTAAACTAGCCTAGTATACAGTATACCAAGGCCTACGCGGCATGTTACTAATTAGTGACTACAAAAGAGAGCTGTGATATCCTGCATGTTCCAAGTATACACATTTTCCAACTATTGCTGGATATTTTCCCCAAATTTCACTTCAACTAAATATCAAAATTGTCTAGGATATCTTATCTTGAAACAAACTACAGTAACTACTTTCTCTCAAGGAACAATAACCCAAAAGAATTTATCAGCTCTAAATAAGATAAGATAGTCATAATTATTTCTAGATAAGATGGTTATAAAGCAGATAACCACCAAACCAATTGATTTTACTTCTGGATAAGTAAACAATTATTATTGTCATTCAGAGATAGTACTGAAAATCTATATAAACAAAATTACAGTTTTGTCTGTACATTGCTTAGAATCATGCAGTTTTTGGTTATTTTTACGTTTCATAGCCTAAGAAAGCCGAAATGAGTCTTATCTAAATTTCTGTCTGTTTGTCCATTCTGTCATACCGTCTGTGACGCCAAAATGTCATTTTACGCGGCCTACTCCTAGAAAACTTTGAGTACCGATCAAGGGTCTAATCATTTTTCTGATATCTGAGTGTCTTTGAATATAAAAACATGGCCCTGCTTCTTTGAAAACAAAATAACGAACCATCAAAAACCCAATTTTGTTCGATTTTTGTCAAATTTTCTCCCAATGTTTACTATTACATTTTATGAAATAACAATCAGCTGTTTGGATTAGTTCTCACTTCTAGCTGCCACTGATATGTTTACATTAAAAGTTGTTTACAAGTACTGCAACCATTTCCGATCAAGTTTTGTTAGCACATCCAAACCAAGTGAGATTAAAAAACGTTGTGCCTTACTTAACCGGTTTAATTAATCGCAAGTGCAACGATTGTTCTTGAGTTTTGATAACCAGGGAAAATACTGTGAATCAGTGTTGTATTAGTGCTGGGAAACTTAAATTTTTTTATAATCATCATCACCAATAGCTTACAAAAAAGGTTTCCACTCATTGACGGCGCTTAAGGACAGTTGTGTAAAGTGCAAAGTAAAATACCCCCGCCGCAGCAAACCTGCAGACTTAGCGAATTTCCATTTGCCTGATTGGATTTAAACTAAAATGTCTCCTTAAACATATCACATATATTCCCTATTTAAACAGAATTAGTTTAATGAGTACTTAGGTTTGCTGCAACGGGGAAGGTAAAAAAGTTTTTTTTTTATGTAAAATGTTAAAAGGTACTGTGGTTTAGTAAGAAATTAATGTATTTTCCAAATTTGATCAAAATATGTTCATAAACAAGCAAACTATAACAGTTGACTTATCCTCCATAAGAATAACATGGGAATTTTAAAATTACAATTTTTTTGAATTTTCCCCGTGACGATTAGGCGCATAATAACGCTTCAATATACTAAATTATTTGTTTTTTTAAGCTCTACAAAATGGTTTAAAAAGAAATTGTGAAATTTGGTGTTTTTAGGGTCAAAAATGGGAAAAACCTATTTTTACCCCATAATCCCCCTTTCCCATAGTCCGATTATGCTGGTTCGCGAACTCATTCAAGTTTATCCCGCCTTACACCTTCAAACCAAATTTTATCAAAATCGGACAAAAATTACTCAAGTTATCGTGCGGATGGACACACATATATATATCTCTATATATAGATATATAAAAATTTGAACGAATGGTGTTTTTGGCCTCTGGAGACATCAAAATGAAAAAGTAAATCGGTCCCGGGCTTAGGTCTTACCATGAGACCTACGGTAATAGCTACTTCCCTATAGGGAAATTCGCTATAATCACAACTGCAGTAGGTGATCGTGGATGTTGCTGCGATCTTGGAAGATCTGGAAGTAAAACTACAAACGTCCAAAACCCCAGATTTGTGCGTTTTTTGTCACATTTCTTCCGAATGTTTGCTAGATATATGTACTGATTATCGTTTCGAGATTACGTAATCTTTAAAATAAGAAACCTTTGTTTGGATAACGGTTGTTTTTTCAAACTGTCATTAATATGTTAACATTAAAAGTTGCTTACAAATAATGCTATTAGTGGGAAATAACTTTGATTTTCAAAAACTAAAAAAAAAATTTAAACCAAGGGAGATTAATAACTGGTACTGCACCACATCAAGTGAAAGTTTTTTTGAGCAAACCATAGTGAGTTTTTAAAGCTTTAGGTTTTTTTAACGTTACATGTTTTGTGGCCTGTGTTCATTTATTTATTCATATCGACCAACGGATTAACACCTATAATACAGTTTGATTAGGACAGTTTGAATTGGTCGGAAGTACTGTAGTTCTTTTCTTAAATGTAAACGTTGTTTTTTGGTACTGCTACTTTTCCTTAGAACCGGTGGTAGTCATTGAATAGTAATTTATTCAGTCTTTAAACAATACATTATTGTAATTGACATCGTCATTATTATTGTAAAGATATAAGATGCGATACTTATAGAATTAATAAAATTAACATGAAAATTCCAAAATATAGGCTGCCCTTAGTTTAACATTTAACAGGTTTAAAATATTTTAAAATAGGCAAACTTAACAAACTTAAATTATGAATGACAGTGGGTCTTTCTTAAAAAAAGGCTAATGGTTATCACAGGTGTAACAATGAACAAGATTGACAAAATTTCTAACATTAGGCTATCACAGATGGAATATGGTAAAAAACATATCAAAATAAGTGAACATGAAGTATATGAAAATTAGCAGTAAAAATCATTTTTACGTACAAACACATCACTATTTACAACTATAGTTATTGTTAGTGCTGAGCTTATTTCTTATTAAATTTAATTGATGTCTTACTGTATAAATTTTAGGTTTTCTGTTTGGACTCCAAAATGTGAGTTTATGCTATGAAAATGATAAAACATTGGTGAAAGATTTGTTTAGCAAACCATCATGAATTTTGTAAGCTTGGCGTTGTTAACGTATAAATGTTTTGTGGACTGTGTATTTATTATTTATTTGCCAACTTGCAAAGACTTCAAAAGTGGTTGATAATTTCAACTAAAGAAATGTAATCACAGAAAGTGATCAATACTGACAGGAACGTAGATTTTCCTTTAACACGTTCGCTGCGGGCCATCAAATGGCAGGCGTAACCCCAGTGCGGCGCAGCCCGCAGCGTCGAACAAACCCGATTGCCGGGTGTTTGGCTCTCATATTTCGGTATGACGAATAGCAAATAACGTGCGGTGATGTCCTGTTTTATAACAAGAGTCGACGTAGTTCGCTAAACACTCACATATAGCAGCACTGCTTGGAACGTAGCCGGTCCCATCGTATTGCCAATTGGAGGGAGAAAGACGGGACAACAAGTTGATTTTTAAGTTTGCCAGACGGGGATTTTATGGGGAAATTTTACTACCAACCTACAACACAACAAAAAGCAAGTCACCCACTACACGCTAACGTGGAATAGGTCTGCCTTCGACCGACGCTAGAGCAAAAACGATGATATACGAAAGGCATTGCCGAGCGTATCCGATCGGTTACGGCAGCGTCTGAACAGCGCTCGGCCCGTATCCGATCGGATACGCCCGCAGTGAACGAGTTAATTTGTTTTCAGCCAATACAAAGAATTTTCATACGGTAGTCATGTAACCTTTTACATAACGGCGGGATTAATCTAGAATAGTAGTGAATAAAGAATACAGCGATGGTCTCAGAATCGAGCTAGCTGGCAAGTATACTGTAAATACGGACAGAAAAACCAGGTCTTTGACAGGAATAAAAAAAAAAACCAACGTCAGAATGTTAAGGAAAATATTTATTAAGCTTGTTGCAATTATTGCATGCATTGTAAAGGTGACAAAGTAAATAACAGAAAATAATTAATACATTATCAAAACAAATAAAATAAAAGTTAAAAAATTAGTAGACAAATTAGTGTTGATTCATGATGATGCTTTTGCGGCTTGCCTCCTCTTTACGTCCCAGTTGTATACCCGGGCCATGTTTACTTCTGTGGTTGTGAATTGATCTCTGGAAAAAATATTAAATGTTTAATTTCCACATTAAACTTTAAAGTACAAGGTACAAAAGTTTTACAAGGAAATTTTTCACTTTTGTCACTATGAACGGCCAATCGTCAAAATTAAGATCAGTTTAACAGTTAATAATACACTCTACTTCTATAGATTATAGAGCTGGAACAATGAGTACAAACCCTTTAAGAAGCACAATGCCTTTGTAAAAAAGGCAAATATTCAGTCTGGAAATAATTTGAATTTTGGATAGTTCCTGCGACGGCCGTTAGGTAGACTGCTGACTGAGTGAGTGAGACAAAGAATTGGCTTTGAGAGAGAGATAGTAGCAAGCGATCGTAGCGGCAGCCGCGTGAAGCTCATTTCGGCGGCAAAATTACAGTCAGATTATTCTCCATAAGCATTTCACTTCTTAAAGGGTTTGTATTCATTGGATGTAACATCTTATCTATACTATTATAAAGAAGAGGTGGTGTCTGTGTGTGTGTGTGTTTGTATGAGCTAATCTCAAAAACTACTGAACCTATTGGGCTCAAATTGCACACACATGAAGCTACAGTTCCGAGGATACATATAGAACTATTCCCGCTTCAATATTGTCCTAGGGCTATGCCCCGTGGGCTTTCAAAAATCGGAGGTGAGAGATTTCAAAGTAAATTTTGATTGATGGTATCCATGACAACAAAGAACAAACCTACAAAGTTTAAAAATGTAAACAAGCAGTACTAACTGTCAAATTAATTTTGATTTCACAATTCCATACAGCTGCTTCAAACATTCATTTAAATACTGCATGAATATTAGAACAGAGAGGGTAAGGATCATATTTAAAATAATGATGTCACTATCCTGAATGTAAACATTATTTAACATTATTTAAATGGAGCTGTCAAACCATACGCTAATGTCATTTCATTATAATAGGATTCTTTCAGTTACATAATTTGTTTATTTTTATAATCTATTATCATTGACAGCTATTATACTGAGTCTGTTCTAATATTTGTGATATGCTGTAATAATATTTTACAGTGAATATTTCATTGAAAAAGAAATAGGCACAGCACAACAAAGACACAGACAACAGCACAGAAACAGGGTGCAGCACTATTATTTTTTTGCATTTATGACAACAGCTAATTTGAACCAACAAGCCACAAAAAGCTGTGGTACACAATGAGACCTCACCCATAACTGCAATAAGCATTTTATACTTATATGCCAACCCCGTACGAAGGACGGGTACTCTGCTAGTCTTAAATAAAGATTAAATTCAATGCTGCAGATTGTTTTTTTTTACGAACCTATCATGGTCAAATTTTATATTTTTTAGATTTTACTATAGGTTTTGGAAATCATTCAAAAGGAGGGAGACTGAGTTCCTTGTAGCAAAGAATTTGTGTTTTCATTGAACCAATGTACTGGCTTTCAGTATTAAATTCCTTTTATACCTGTTTGGATGAACACTCAAAAGCAATTAGGAATTCGCTTAGTCTGCTGGTTTTCTTCACATTTGTGTTTCCCTTCTATTCTATCCCATGTGAATGTACCAACTGACTTATCAAATATAAAACCTCAAGTAACAGTCTGATATGGCGTGTGCATTACCAAAAACATAATTCTACAAAAAACCATGTGAAATATTAAAATATGTTTACCTTACTGCAATAAAAAAATATAGAGTTAGAGAATAGGCTGTTACCTGAGAAAATCTAAATCGTGTTCAACATGACTCAGATTTTTCTTCGCTGTTTCGATGTTTTTGTTCAGGAGTGCCATAGCGTCTTCTAACGTATACTCCAACATGACATTAGCCTAAAACAAATCAGCTAAAATTCAATTCTAGGTGTTTAGTTTGAAATGAATAAATAATCACTTTGGCTGTTCTAACAGGACCAAGCTATCCATGGTCATCTGGATTCTGACTCCGGCAATCAAAGCAAGTTATCTCGGTCAATACAATAACAAAGCTATCATATTATCTTATCTTTGCTTTAAAATAAAACGGCATGTTTGCCCAGTAATATCCTAAATTAACCAAAGTAGTAGGTCTTTCACACCGTACAATAAGTCCCTCTCTTTCTACATTCCTCCCTTATGGGAGTTTACTCATCCAGGGTGTCCACAAAAAATTTGTCATTCATTTCCATGACTTTCCATGACTATCCATGACCATTTACCATTGATTTCCATGACTCACGAACTTTACACGCAAATTATAATATAACATACACACAAAAATAATACTGCCTGGATATGTTATTTTGCAGAAAATACTGAAATATGTAATAACAGATAACAATGGAGTACAATAGGTACAACAATGAACTAAAAGAAACTGAAAACTCATAAAATAATACAACTGTAATAAATTGAATTGTCGAACATTTGTGAAAAATCCTGAAAAATGCTACAACAGTCCGGGTTACGGCTGACTAGAGCATTGAATGGTCCCCTAAAATCCATCCATAATTGGAAATTTCCATTACTTTCCATGACTTCTTGCCTATTTCCCTGACTTTCAATGACCAAAATTTTTTTCCATGACTTTCCATGACTATCCCTGACTTTCCAGAATGTGGACACCCTGTCATCATGGAAGCCATATGCAGAGTTTGATCCTCAAAGCTCTCATTTTTGGAGAGAGTCACCTCTGTGACACTCTCCCTTTGGCTGGATGTCTCTCAACGGAGCACTCGGCCAAGGCTACCACAAAGAAGGTTGCCTAAGACGTGACTTGCAACCGCGCTTGCGTGGGTTGCTGTGAGGCAACCTAGACAGTGATATTTTTAAAAACATGACTCGTATATTTCCCTTGAGTTAACCGTGAGGTTGGGAGGGCTTTGCACATTTTGGTCCGGCATTGTACAAAAAACACCCAGATAGCATTAAATGTCAATCATGTGCAACTTTAAAACAAAATCCAAATTTTTTAATACCAGTTAGATTTATAAAATTATAATGTTTTTAGGCTATAGTAAGTTGTTCGATTTGAAATGTAATATTTACTGAGCATTTGTATTGAAAAATAGTATTGAGGCGAGAATTATAGAAAATGCCTTTTCATTTAAGTGGACCATTAGGCCATTTATCAAACAAAGCAGTAAGACATAGGTGCACATAAAATAAACAGGGAGTTGACCTTCTATTAGCTTAACTTTGCTTGAAAGTTTGGTGAAATAAGTCCTACTGAGTGGTCTACTTACACCTAGCCACAAACAGACTTTGTCCGTTGGAGGTATTGTGGCCTTCATGTAAACTTGATCTGAGAGGAGGAACTGAGCTTCAAATTCTTCTGGGGAACTCTTCTGATTCTGCAGCATTTTTACCATCTTCAAAGTGTGTTCAAGGTCGGGTATTTGAACCCTCAACCTGAAATAAATAGATGAAAATTATTTTGATGGTTTTATCAAATTTGACACCCGATAAATTGGCGGTTCAGATTTCTCAGTGAACCCAAAAAGAACTACCTACTTAACACAAATTACCCAGAACCTTACGCCGGTGTTTTCAGTACAGTCATCATCAACCCTGTAGGCAAACTACAGAAGTATACACCAGTACACAGTGCCTTGGCCATTTGAACACTCTTGTCAGACATTAAGACTCATGGTATGTTGAGACGCAGGTGTCACAACGAAAGCTACTGTATATTTCTCAATGCAAGCCACGCAGAGAAAGAATGTTTGACCAGCGCATGTTGGGGCGCAGCAGAATACTTGTTTTTAAGCTATAACAAATTGTTTCAAAAGATATGGCATAATGTTGTGGCTTGAGGGTACAAAATGGGAAAATATATTTACAAACTAACAACATTTGTGGATTTTTATAAAACCCCTTATAAAATCTCATTCCATAGTCCAATCGTACAATTTCATATCATACAGCACAGATAATTCGTTCACAAACTCAATCAGACATTCGTTTGTTGCCATCTTGCACCCGAGTTGCATCGCATGTGTTGTAAAATCTGTTTCTGTGTTTCAAACTGTGACATCTGGGTCTACCCGACCACAAGTGTGCCAGACACATACACGTGTACGTCTCAGCTTAATTGGCACCGTAAGGAAACATGGCGGCACAGTTTTCTGCCATGGGGTGCGTAGTGTCGCCTGCGTCTCAGCATACGCCCAGCCTAAGACTGTAACGGGTGAGTTACACATTCCTGATGACCAGAGCAGTCATAAAGCGCCACAATAAATAGCGCTTACAATCTTTTAAATCAAAGCCAATCTTTGACAAGCAGGGGCTTTGTGAGCCAGTCTGATTTTTTTTAAGAATCTAGTTTTTTCTACAACAAATTAGTTTCATGATCATGTACCAAAAAGGAATAACTTAATATAAAACATACTGGTAACCGAATATGTAGTAAACTCACCTCTTCCGTTTTGAAGCTAAATTCAACTCCATGAATTTATATTTACTATGCTGTTCATCTAGCCTTTTTAATACTGTTTCCACACCATCATTTTCTGGCAATGCCATGAAAGCGTCCACATCATCCTAAAACCAGATAATGATTTTTAAAAAGGTTAGCTTATTTTTACTTTAGAATCATCATTTGACTGGTATAGCTTTCAAGTTGTATTAAATGCTGCCGGTAGGCCTAATTGAAATTTTAACTTTAAGAACTAATTTTTAATTTATGAACTTTACAATGTTTAACTTGCAATATTGCTAGCAAGTAGGCTACTAGTATTTAGTAAGTTAACAGAGGATAGGTTTAGAATTTTTTCTCTGGTTTTGTATAACTATTAAAAGCATTTTCAATAATAGTCCAACTAAACATAGTTTGTGTCTTTTTACAAAGGAATAGGAAAATTGTAACAAAAATGAAGGCTGCAATAAGCTAAACTTAATACTAGGTACACAGGCCTAAAATTAAACTATTTTCTACTAACTTGAGGATGGTTTCTAGGCCCTACTTTAAAGATTTTTCACACTTTTAAATCTTATAACCATTTGTGCTCGGTTGGCTATTATATATTAGCCACACTGTTGTTGTAAACATTGTGGAATTGTTTCAAATCAGCTGTCTTCACCACTCAAAAGACAGCACCATCACCTTGTGTATCAGCTCGTAAGCCAGCTTGGTCGACCATCACATTTTGGCCAATGTTTTTGTGGTCTTCTGAGCATTTGATTCCTTTAGCTGGGCAACAACAGGTCATCCAAGATGCACGGACAACCGATATGTGGTGGATTGAACGCATGTGTAAAAAATCATGGACAAAACAATTGGCAAGACAACCTATGGGGTACATTGGTTTCTTAAGCTGCGTTTACGAGGCTAGTAAGTTAGAGCAGGTAGGTAACGGGACAGGTTACTTGCCTCTATGTATTTCAATTTACCTGTGAGGCAAGTAACCAAACCCCTTACTGGCCTCGTGTAAATGAGGCTTTTAGGTTAAACATTCAATGTTATGATATAAATGTGTTTCATAGCCAATAGTAAGTAGTGTACCCAATGGTAGTGTACCCAATGGCATTTTTGAACCTTTTTAAAGGGAGCGGTTCAAACCCTGCTCCTGTTGCTTTAGGCCTAAAACGTGGACTTTTGATAGATATCATCTTTAAGCTAATTGATAAGCTGAATGACAATGGTACCTGGGTCCAGAAACTAGGCTATCTTGCTTAGAGTTGAAATAAGTTAGTGGTCCTCAGATTTGAAAGTGAAAAATGGTATTTGATTGGAAAATGGTAACTTATTCAGCCAAATACTACACTTACAACAAACACTGCTTCTGGAATGCCTGCATATGACTTTATTGGTGTCTCTTCTGTGTTACTGCCCTTTTCTCCTTCCATTTTAGTCTAAATGAAATGTTTGTGATAGAAGCCTGAAAAACAAATAAACTTGTATTTAACAATAACTTAACATTCAGTAACTTAAGTCAGTACTAAAAAAGAAAAGAAATGCAGTTGTGGGGGGCAAGGCCATAGCCATCCCGAAATTTAGTGCTAGGAAAAATTAACACTAGGTTTAAAAGGTGCAAGTTCACCCTCGAGGAGGCGCTTACTCACAACTTTACTCCGCAACACTTAATAGCATGAGTTTTACCCATTTTACTTGTTGTTATAACGAAATATTATATGTAAGTGTTGAATAACCTTATCAGAAACCTAATTTCTTTGTTAATAACATTAGGCCTATTTGTTTAACTTAATATGAGTAATATTTCAAATAAACAAATTGAGCAATTTTCTAGTATAAACGAGAGAGGGCGCTTGCGGACTTTTGTTCCGCAATAATGCAATTATACATATACATGCAAACAAAATATATATTTGATAAAAATTATAAATGAAATAATACATTTAAACAAGTTTATAATGTTGTATGTATAAAATATACACGCAGTTTGACAATAGTGCATGAGGAAATAAACTCTGCGCTAAGGAATTACGCGATAGAGCGCACGCGGAGTAAACCTCCGCAAACTGACAGACTGCGTCACTGAATTGCAGCTGACAACAAAATGAGGAGGAATTTGGGGGTAAAAATAGCTTAGGAGCATTCCCAGGATGAGGTGTGTGAAGTGTAGAGCTGGACACGACTGCCATCACCCATTATGCATATTTATATTAACAAACACTACAAGTGCGGAGGAAAACTCCGCAAGCGCCCGCTCGAGGGTTAAGAATACTATGAGGGTTCAACAAAAATACTTTATTCAAACAAAACAGATTTATCATTCTGCAATATTTTACATATGTAACTATATCCACATTTTAGAAATAAGCATGGGAATTGGTGTTTGAATGAAATTGCTTGGATCTGTTATCTACAGTCATGACCTGACCCAGTGGTGGTTCCAAGGGGGGTGGGGGCTACAGGGGCTAAAGAAAGTACCAAAGGAGGATATGGCCGTAGCCTACAGTATGGTTACAAATTTATGAATGCAATCATCATTGTTTAAATTTGTGAATGTCTTTTGCTTATGACAAACAACAGGTTAAATGGGAGTTTTTTTACTATTGGAGACAGTTTTAGGTGTTAAAAATTGTGTAGCAAGGAAGGAAACTTTGACCTTGGCATGCGCAAAACAGGTGCAGGGTGGTAGGCCGCTATTCCGACTCACGCCTGACGCCAGTGCAATGTTTACAGCGCAACAGAAGGCAAAGAGTGTAATCTGTGGTTCACAGAGTTTATATAGATTGCTAAATTAAGTAAACTAAATTTAAATCTACTTGATGATAAAGAAACTTGATGCTGGTTTAATGGGTTTTGTGGCACCGTAGGGTTGAAAAGATATTCATTCACCTGGCCGGATAAAAACAAGCGATGACATAGTCAAAGAAATCCGACAATTCTGCATCAGAAGCCCCAAAAAATTGATTGCCCGACAAAGTCTTCAGTTGAACAAAGCTAAATCAACATTAAGTTAGGCCTACATGATGTTATCTGTAAAAGATAGAGTCTTTGTGCCTAAAATATTTACTTAAAACCCGTCTTTCGCCCTAAGCTAGTTAAGACTTAGCCAGTTTTACGCTCATATAAGATAGATGAAAATCTGAATTTTATTAGCCTAAATTATTCCAAATTGTATCAAAGTATGAGAAACATTTCCCTTTAATTTGATGTTTAAATCATTTAAATATCTTGAATAATCCCGAGCAAAGATCGTTTAAAATACCGGCATTCTTTTATAAACACCCTGTAACTTATATTCAACCTAAAAACAAAATATTTAAACTTAAATCAAACTTATTAGGCTAGAGCATTCAGTCCAAAATTTAAAGTTAGTTCCATTTTTTAAGTTGTTAGTTGTACAAATTTAAAACCAAACTTAGGATAACATTAAGAAGACCTTAACTTAACCCTCCGAGTGTTATTGGTCGCTGCAGCGACACATAACACACTTTGTGTAGTGTTTTGTGTCGCTGCAGCGACTCCAACGACGAAGGCTCTATGACTGACAAAATCGGATTGAACTGGATCGAGTTAGATATCGTTTTCTTTGACAGATTCAGAGCTTTCTCCGGAGGTCTGTCTCTAAGCGCTATTCATTTTAGTTCCGAAAATATTGTAGCAGACAGCTGACGTGCGTATTTGTAAACAGCTCGGTTAACCTCGGACCGATGACTTATGTGTTTTATTACGTTTATCATTGTTTTAGTGTTAAAAATCAAAAGTAGTGATATACGTGGTGCATTATAAGAAGATTTAAGTGATTTTGAAGGGCTGGTTGATGATCCTGAAGAAGTAGGTAGTGATATTGATGTAAATTATCAGCCAGATTCCTAGCTATGGTTAGGCTATGCATTCTTAGCTAAACGCTATGTACTGAAATCTGTTTTTTGCCCATAACTTATTTATTTGCAAATCTACTTCCTTATATCGTTATACATTTGTAATCCTCATAAAATTTAGAACAAAGTGGCTATTTTCAAATATTTATAGGCCTATAATTTATACAATTTCATTGAGCGCAAACTTATTTTTATTTTTTTTTCCAAAATAGGCTATATTTTTTTTCCAAAAATTTTTTTTTGAAACAAATGTTCCTTATGTTCTATGTATAATATTGAAGCCCATGATTTTCCAAACAAAATGGTATATAGAACAGTGTAATTAACATTGTTTTCAAGCTTCTCAGATCCGTTTTAATAAAACCTTGCAAATGAGCAAAAAATAGGCAGACATTAAGGCCAAAACAAGGGACACTCGGAGGGTTAATAACTTAAATAATTTGGTTACGGTATTTATCGGTTTATTTATATTATATGGTAAAATTAAATTCAATGTGATATCATTGTCTATTATATTGATATGGGGCCAATATAGAAGTAAGCTAGATTGAGCAGAATACCTAGGCCTACAGACCAACAGTGTAAAATGTGTACCTATACTTATTTTAGACTGGAGACTCAGACTGGACTATCAGGATTTCATTGGAAGGTTTTTCGTTTTTGTTGACTAAAAGACTCTGGTTTAATATTTTAAGTGGGCTATACACTAACACTAGTGAGGGTATTAGGGGCCTAGGTTAGGACTTAGTTAGGAAGTATTCAAGAACCCGAGTAAAATAGCTTGGTTGTAGATATTAAGGTAAAAATTAGTAAACCCAACGACGGGATCGGTTATGAAAAAGAGTTACAACAACAACTAAGTTATCTTAGAAAGAACAGAACAAAATATTATTAAAAAATAACCTCTAAATCCACATTCTTTCTTGGCCACTTGCTTGATGTTGATCTGATCTGATCCACTGATCCTGATCTGATGCTCGTCCGGTTGTCCGGATGGTTCCGGACTCGATCGGATGGATGGATTGGAGATTGGATTGGACTGGACTTGGGACGTTGGATTAGACTGGCTTTGGAGTGGAGTCAGTCCGGAACGAGTAGATATTCTGTTCTGTTTCTGTTATTCCCCCTGAGCTAGTTACATAGATGAGGAGTATGTTTAATCTATGCTAGTTATAATCTATAATTCCACCATGGATTATAACATATATATATATATATATATATTATCTATATCCCAATGGTTTCGTTATTCGAACAATTCCGATCTATATCTGTCCACTATTCCCACCTATTCCACTACTCTCAAACTTCTTTTAGTTTTAGTGGATCCCGTCTTATCGAAATCCCATGGTGTCGAAACTTAATTATAACTTATAACCAGATTTACGTATTATTATCATTGTTATTGTTATTCTTAATCTTCATGCATTGTTATTGTTATTCATAATCATTCTGCATTGTTATTGTTATGTCATAGTCATAGTATTATAGCTATTATTGTAGATTGTTTGTATTGATGCATTTGTTGATGAGATGTTATTTTGTTGTATAGTTTCTAAGCCAGTCTTGGAGTTTATATAATCTTATTTATAATCTAAACTGATTATTTATTGTAAATGGCATTGCCATGGAAAACAAAATGTAAAATGAATAACCATACGCATCCATAAGGTGATGATTTTACGAAGATGATTTGATCATCCCACCGCTTTTCTTTTCAATATTAATATTCAATTACTAGCTGGTGTTATTATCAAAAATAGGCTAAATATACTTTATTCATCGCTTTGGTAAGTGGGCAAGTAGTTTAAAATCATTGGGATAATAAATAGATTTAATTTATTATTATAGCCCAGTGTATAAAATACGTAAAAGCAAAGGCTACCAAACAATTGTTTTGTGGCTGCGTCATTTTGTATTCGTGTTGTGTTGCTTTTGCTTGTTGACTTCACCCTGCTTGCCTGCTTGTGCTTCGGACTTCGGATTCCTAAGCTTTTATAGGTTATTTTTTACTTATAAAGAATACTATTATAATTACAGTGTAAAAAGCTATGTGTTAATATAGTACGCTAGTTGTAGATAAAGGAATTACTTCTAAGTTAAACGATGAAAACAATATTCAAAATATACTTTTTGTTCTTCGAGATAGGCCTAGTGGAAATTTAAAAGGCACATAAGCTAGCCTAGCCTAGTTCTGGACTTAGCTCTTCATCTCTCTAACTTAGCAAGAATGAGTGCCAATTCAATTGAAATCCCTCTACGGGATACCGATGAGGTAAGTTAAGTATTTTTCTTAATATATTTAACTTAAAGAAGCGTTTTGATAAGCCTAGGCTAAGTTAGTCTGTTGAACTATAATTCAATAAACTAGGCCTATGAATCTGTATGAAATAGGCCTAACTTGCCAGATAAGTAATTACTTACTTGAATACGGTACTGCATCGGTGATCGACAAAGTCGGAAAAGATTGCGTTAAAACTAATAAGTTAACCAAAACAATAAAAACTACTTAATTTATGATGGCGGCGGGTTGCCAAAAAGTGGTGTGTCCTCTAGTTCATTTAATGAATACAGAGGTCTGAGTGCCAAATAGTCTCTCAGTGTGTCTTTGAAAGCTCTTATGCTCAGCTCGCGCACTTCAGATGGGAGTGTGTTAGAGCTTGCTGGTATAGTACAAGGGTAGGCCTAGCCCTTTTTTGAGTCCAAACAAGGCAGCATCTATGCAGGTCAAGGAGATGTGCATTTCGTGTCTGGGACAAGTAATTCCCACTCAAACCCGCCAGCAGCATTTTGATATAGGCACTTAAGTTTGGAACAAGTTAGGCTATTGATTTGGATCAGTTGCTGAAGGTCTAAGTCCCGGAAGGTCTAATTAGACCTTCGACACACATTTTACAGTTTGTTCTTGTTGCTGAGGGTCTAATCTGGCAGTATGTCGAAGGTCTAAGTCCCGGAAGGTCTAAGAGTACAGTCAATGCAAAAAAACTCATCCACTCATACTGTTTTAGACCTTGTGGGATTAGACCTTGGGCACACAATGTAATTTTGAAAATAAATGTTCATAAAATGAGAGTTGCTGAAGGTCTAATTCCTGGAAGGTCTAAGATTCGAGTCCCGGAAGGTATAAGATTCGAGTCCCGGAAGGTCTAAGATTCGAATCCCGGAAGGTCTAAGATGCGAACGAGCGTCGCCAGAGGTGAAGGCTATACAGACAGGCAATAATGCAACAACTTTTAGAGTTGTAATATTCTTAGTGAAAGTTTTGATAACTCTCACGTCTATTTTTTGCTAGCTCGTTATTAATAATAAATCATTGATGATGCTTGATGACAAATATATGCTTGTATAGCATTATTTTACGACCAAAATTATGAAAATGGGTTGAGTGGAAGAGCCAAACGAACTCGAAATATAAGTAAAAATGAATGCCGATGCTTAATGGCAAATCTGTGGTGCGTCCACCTTTAGTTTAAGGCCAAAACTATGAAAATCGGTTGGGTAGAAGAGCTAACCCTACTTGGAAAAAAACCCTAATAATGTTAATAGATGGCAATAATTGGTTTACCATCATGCATACATAATCTAATCATATGAAACAGGTGTTATTAGTTTAACAGCTTATTGTTATATTGTTATTTAAATGCATTTTCTTTGATTAAATGTTGTTAACAATTTGTATTTGTGTTTAAAGTGTGTTCCTTATGTTAAGTGTGTTGTTCTAATGTTATATGCTTAATCTGTACTATTAATATTTGTGAGTTAAGTGGTGTATGGATTTCATAACCATTATGTCGTATATAACCCCAACAATTAAATACCCCTGTTGCTAGTTTACCATAGCCTAAAAATAACATGAGAATTTAGAATTTACATATTCATTTTTTTCCTTAACCATGAAGCGCTTAACAAAACGTCCAAAAAATATTGGATTTATAAGCTTCACAGTGCGGCTTTATACGCACGCACAAACTCACAATCTTTTAGATTTATGATATTAGTAAGATGAAACTATTGATTGGCTAAGTTAAGCTGAAATAAACAAAACAGAATCCTGAACACCAAGGAAACTAATGATGTTATTTTAACACCAACATTAACTTATTTCTGCCGAATGCACAACGGTTTTTTTTACCAATGTAAACTGATGTAATGATTTATTCTGAGCTATAGCAACTGTTATGGCCCAGCAACTATGCCAGTAACAAAAATTAAAGTATCCAATAATCAATGATATAATATAAATGGAGATTATTTTTTTATATCTCCATCTTACTTTTAATAACGGGCTAGCAAAAAAATAGACTTGCGAATTATTAAAACTATCACTAAGAATATTACAACTCTAAAAGTTGTTGCATTATTGCCTGTCTGTATAGGTAGCCTTTACCTCTAGCGACGCAATATCTGTCCGCATCTTAGACCTTCCGGGATTCGAATCTTAGACCTTCTGGGAATTAGACCTTCAGCAACTCTCATTTTATGAACATTTATTTTCAAAATATACATTGTGTGCCCAAGGTCTAATCCCGCAAGGTCTAAAACAGTATGAGTGGATGAGTTTTTTGCATTGAATGTACTCTTAGACCTTCAACATACTGCCAGATTAGACCCTCAGCACCAAGTACAAACTGCAAAATGTGTGTCGAAGGTCTAATTAGACCTTCCGGGACTTAGACCTTCAGCAACACCCCCATTGATTTGATTCGATTCTACAAAAAATGATAAATTTACAAATTTCATACAATTTAGGGTAACTTATGTTAATGTCTACTATTAGGCCTAAACTTTGTGGCTCTGTTGGTCTGTGTTAGTTTAGTACCCTTAAGGATAATAAGTTAATTAACTTAAAGGGAATTAACTATTAGAAAAATTTTTAAAATTAGTAAAATTTTTAAAATTAGTAAATTAAAATTTTTAAAATTAGTAAAATTTTACTGGATTAATTCTGCCCCTATTTAAACGTAGCCTAATAACCTCGATAAAAAGTCAACCTTGATAACAAGTCTTATTTCATAATCCCCATTGAGAGTCTAATTATCTTATCGAGGTTTAACTGTAACTTATAGGGAATAAGCTTAAAAATTAAGCCAAGTTACTACCAAGTTACTGTTGGCGTTACATGGTGAGACCTGGACCTGGGACCGATTTAGTTTACTTTTTTGTCTTGATGTTCACAGATGCCAAAAACGACATTTGTTAAAATTCACACACGTACATATAAAGGCTATGTGTCAGTTAAGTTAGCTCAATAAGTAAACTCAAAGTTAAAAAAAAATCATCAAATTTTTCATCTGATGTAAATTTAAGTTCAAGTAAAGGCTAATTTTATTAACGAGTTTGTAAACCAGCATTCGATTGTACTATGGGAAAATGGTTCAGTTTAGTGAAGTTCAAATTTGTGGGCCATAAACAACTTATAATACTCTCTAGCGTTTATCAGGCCAATCAATGGCCATTAATAAACAGTGCAATATTTAAGTACCATACAGTTGGGTATACTACAGTTTTGAGTCATAACATTTGTTTCCTTAAACTGTTTTGTTTTAGGTGATTGAGCTTTATTTTGATCAACTGCCTGATGGAGATGAAGTGGTTGGCATTCTACGTGGAGAAAATGCCCAGTTGCATTTATGGGTCAACCTTGCTGTGAGTATTAGTTTGAGAATCAGTTGTGCTACGTATTTTAAAATTAAACTGATAGTGTTGTGTTGATACAGAAAGCCTATTGGGTGTTGGTTTGGCTCAGCCAAAATATGCTAACTCTATCTGAGGGATAGCAAAAAATCCATCATCAAACCAAATTGCCATCTTCACAACAAGTGAGAGTAATAACCAGATTGCATTCATTCTTTCCCAATCTTGTTTATATTTTTTACATAACTCGCTAGAATTTCTAGGCCTGAGAAATTCTTTATTGTGAAATTGTGAAAGAAATAGTAAAGTTAAGCCTATTCTGGAAGAGATGACGTTTCTCAGTTAAACAAGATGTTGATGATTGATATTAAAACCTGGGCTCCCAAGACAGATGTTCTGGGCTTCAACCACCAGCTGTTTCCCCAGGAGAATGAGAGTAAAATTAAATTAAATGTAGATAAAAACCATAGGCTATTAACACCCTGAATTATAAACCATCATAAGCCTACATGTCCTAATAAGTTGGTTGTCGAATTTAACATTTAGTACAGTAAGTTTGATGGTTTGATTTCAGCTTGAATATCACAAACAAGGCAAGATTGATGATTTTATCAAGATTTTGGAATCTTCACGTATGGATGCCAATGTGGATTATCGAGACTATGAGAAAGATCAGATGCGAGCCCTGGACATGCTTGCTGCATACTACGTCCAGCAAGCCAATCATGAGAAAAACAAGGACAAGAAGAGGGATCTTTTTGCCAAGGCCAATGATTTGTACACAACTGCGGACAAGATCATCATGTACGATCAGGTTAGTAGGTTGAGTACAAGGTGTGGAACCAGTATTTGAAGAGGTTATAATTGTGTGTTGATAGCCGAGTGATTAGCATATTGTACTTTGGTGTTTGAGGAACAGATTTTATCCCCGGCATATTTACACACATTTTAGGGAATTAGATAGCTTTTCCTTAAAAGTCTCTAGAATTTTTTAGGCTGTTAAAATATGCCAAACTGGTTTATTTATTCATTTATTTCCCAACGGTTTACACCAGTTTACAAGAATTGATACTATGTTGTGGATGGCAAAAATCATGCAGTGAAGTGGTATACAGTACAATGAAGTAGTACAGTGAGTGGTAACAGCAAGAACATAGGTACTATACTAAATAACAAGTAATGAGTAAATAGATACTATATAAATAACAATCTTGAATAACAATAAGAATAACAATAAAAATAACAATGACAAAAGCGACAAAGAATAACGATAACAATAAAAATTTGAAGCAGTGAGATAGTTTAGGATAATTAATACAATGTGGAGAGAAAAAAATGATTTGACAAGAACATGGCATGAGTGGTGATACTTGGCAACAACAACAGGAACGATTGATTGACTAGAGCTAGGGAAGGTAAGATTCTACAGTAGTGACTAGAATTATTATCACTTAAGCAGGGAGGCGACCTGGTGTTTAAACTAAGAAGAAACTCGTATTTTGTAACGGAAACATTAGGCTACCTATCCCTTAAGGTAATCACGGAGTGCCGATAGGTAGGCCTAAATCATTTCCTCGTAGATCAACACAATCTTGAGTGGAATCCAATTGATTACTTGTCACAAAACTAAAATCTCTTGCAAATTTTGCATGAAAATAAATGTAACAAGAAACTAAAAAAAATCATCACATGAGCATAAAATGACGTAGGAGTTCTGTCATTGTTCCAAAAATATTTTTGATGACAGTTCTCAAACAATTTTTAAGGTACCGGTAATTATGTTTTTTCTATTGATTTTAAGTTTCAAAAATAAATTATGAATGTAAATACCTATACTGAGCCTAACTTATTCATGTTTAATTATTTTCTGAGTGCATACTGTTAAGCAAAAGCAGTTTTTTTAACATAATAAAAAATAATCACTGTTAAACTACAAATAAGATTGCTTAGATAAATAGTCGTTATTCCACTACAGTTGGGTTTTTTACAGCCTATTTTTTTTCCAGAACCATCTGTTGGGGAAAGCATACTTTTGCCTCTTGGAAGGAGACAAGATGGAACAAGCTGATGCTCAGTTTAATTTTGTGCTTAACCAATCTGTGAACAACATACCGTCTTTGTTGGGAAAAGCCTGCATTGCATTCAACAAGAAAGATTTCCGAGGCGCCTTGGCGTTTTACAAAAAGGCTCTCAGAACTAACCCTAACTGCCCAGCTGCCGTCAGGTTGGGAATGGGCCATTGTTTTATGAAGCTGGGAAATCAGGAAAAAGCAAGGTAAATAAACTATTAATTCTAATTTGACTGCTTATACATTAAATGCTATTTGTTATTATTATGAGTGTTTGAAAACTAAACTAGGCTACAATTCTAAAAGTTGCTGGTTTTAATTTCAAAATTTTTATTTATTGTGTCTACCTACGCCAGTGACATAATTAACGTTGTTTTTTTAGGGAATGGTCCAAACCCTGATTTTGTTACTACTAAAGTCAACCTTTTTTTAGATAGCATAATTAATTGATAGCCCAATCACGAATTGCACTGGGTTCAGTTACCACCTCATTTGGAGTCGAACCAGCGACCTTCAGATTTGAAGTAAGCACTATAACCACTCGGCTTTCTAGGATATTTTTATTTAGTAACAAGCATCTTCATTTGGGCTGGAAGAAACAATAATCAGAACTAGAAATGAGGTAGCTGAGTGGTTCTAGTGCTTGCCTGTGAACCAAAAGTTCATGGGTGTGATCCTGAGGAAAGCTAGCAGCTTTTGAAGGTTTACTCGTACCCAGCTGTCCTTGATCATTTAAGAAATGTTCATGGGTAAAAAAGACAGCTAATCTAAATTGTTAACAAACCTACCTATATATGACTCCATGCTACACTCATCTTACATTGTTTACATTAAGCTTACATTTTAAGCACCTTGGTGGCAGTAGGCCTACCGTCTCAATAGTAATAATATAACAATAATGACACTATTCACTCCTAATCTAATAGTTAAACAGGAATTGATCCCTATATTTTCAAATAATGGAATTTGAACCTACATTTTCTCACACAAAGCTCAATTTAACACTACAAACACATACACTACTAGTACAGTAGACAATTATTAGAGTGTCAAAACTTTCAGACTGGCGTTTGAGAGAGCGTTGGACCTAGATTCGCAGTGTGTGGGTGCGTTGGTCGGGTTGGCTATCCTACAGTTGAACCGTCAACAGCCTGAGGATATCCGTACTGGAGTACAAATGCTCAGTAAAGCCTACACCATAGACTCTACCAACCCCATGGTTCTCAACCACCTTGCTAACCACTTCTTCTTCAAGAAGGTAAGACAGTAGTGCCGTATGTCTACGAATATTGTTGCCGTTTCATAATGTAAAACTAATGATGGTGATATTAAATTTGAAGTTCAAGAGATTATCTATTTTCTCCAAAAAATCACCTTGGCTCTACAAGAACACAACATGCCTAGATTTGTACTACCTAAGGAAACAACCTTTCGATTTCTCTAGTTTTTATATTCCACACTGTAACTTATGGGGGTTTTTACAAAAAAAAAACAGAATATTGTTTTTTTTATATTAGAAAAAGTATTAGCCTACAATTTATACTATTTTATTATACAAAAAATAAGTACATTAATAGGTACTAATCATATTAATCAGGTTAGGGCCTACAGTTCAGGCACTTCATTTTTTACAAATCGAACACTGGTCTACTCTTTTGTCTCTTGATGTGTGTTCTGTCTGATGCTGTTAACTATAATTGTACTGTAGAAGTAAGTGTGTAAAAAGTTTATTTTTTTTTAGGATTATCATAAGGTGCAACATTTAGCTCTTCATGCGTTTCACAACACGGAAAATGAAGCAATGCGGGCTGAGAGTTGTTATCAGCTGGCTCGAGCGTTCCATGTACAAGTAAGTGTCGAGCGTGGTACGTTTTTTTGCTACATTTTTGTTCAGTAGACCTATCAAATATTTTTTCAGTCAAGACTTTTTATGTGTTTTTACATTAGTGTTTCCTTTTGTACATCAGATTAATGTGAATGTCTGAAGGAATGGTGATGTCCATAGCTAATCTATGTATAAAACTACAGATGAAATAACCAACCACTTAAGTGTTTAATTTGTTGTCATTGACCATAATATTTTAAATATTGACACCATTGGAAGATTGTTTTTCCCAGGGAAAATATTTTTAAACATAAAAAAATCTGGGGTGTCAAAAGAAAAATGCATTACATGATGGGAGCTAAGGTTAAGGGTTCAAGCATCTTGCATTGGTGAAGCAATGAGTCAATGAGTAATGGGGGGGGGGGGGTTTAAGGGTTTAAGCTATGATTGATAAAGTATGGGAAAACCCCAGATGGAATAAAAAAAAATAACCTTGAACGTTCAAAGAACAGGTGGAGAGATAAATCAGCCAAATGCATGAGAATATTGAGAGCCAATGAAGGAGATATATAGATTCATGTTGTATGTTGTTTTTCTGAATCACTGATGATAAAATATATATAAGGTTACATTACCTTGATCGCCAAGTGATCCATGTAAGTCCAAAAAATAGGATCACGCGCGTTTCGACGTCAAAGCGTCATTGTCAAATCGTACAAAAACTTTCTAAACCATATATATGGTCACAACACAGTCTTTCCGACACACACAAAAACACATTACCGGTACAAAAAATACAATAGACATGTTTTAGCCCCTGAGCTGAATTGATGACTATAATATTGCTGACTAAGCTTCCGTACACGTACTCATCATGTGCGTGACAGGCCTGTCTTTTGTTTTTTATGTTTTAAATGTTTGTTATCGTGTTACGTGTGTGTATCAAGTTTGACGATGCCAAATCCGGTGGATGTATGTATCTGAGGATGGCATTTTGATGCCGAAACGGCCGTAATATATACGGAAACTACGGAGCTGTGACGAGGTAATTGTACAATTATATTATAGTCACAAAAAATACATTTAAAAGTAGGCCTACTAACTAATTAGTGGTGAACGCGACAGATCTGCTCTTCGAGATATATAGAATTAGAGAAAGTGGAGATGACTTTAGATGGCAAATGACTTATTTGGTATAAATGCCCATGGGAGTAAGTGAGAACAGTAGGCTTTATTCCCAGAAGTCATTTAGAAATTACGCTGAATCTATGATTGTTTTACTTACAGGGAGATTATGACCAGGCTTTCCAGTATTACTACCAAGCTACCCAGTTCGCTCCCCCTGCATTTGTGCTACCAAATTTCGGTCTTGGCCAGATGTACATTTACAGAGGTGACACGGAAAATGTAAGTTTAGATTTACAAGTTTTATATGTAGTTTAAATCATCCTTAGGAACAATCAAAAATATTTACTATTTTTTTAAGGTTTATTTAACCCATGCCACTCGAGATTCAAAGTTTGAGAGCCAAGCGAAAGGTTTTTGTTCTCAAATATAAAAATTCTAACATAATTAACCATTGATTGACATAAGATACCACAAGAATTTGAAAATAAATTTGATAAGAATTTTTGATTGAATAGATGTGCCGTTGTCATTTGTAAAAATTGTAATTATTATTACGTATTTCAACACCATTTGAATTTTTTAAATTTCTTTTAAAGAACATTACAAACCCTGGTCTTATTATAATCTAATGTTAACCTTTTGTTAAATAACATCATTAATCAAAATCCCGATGAAAAATGAAATCTCACAGGTTGAGGCGTTACCAAAATAAAATATTGGAGTCAAATTTTTTTAAGTTTTTAGCCCTTAAAACTTGTTGCTCATCCAACACTGCTTTCTGTTATCAGGCAGCACAGTGTTTTGAAAAGGTTTTGAAAGCACAGCCTGGCAACTATGAAACTATGAAGATTTTGGGATCTCTATACGCAAGTTCTACTAGCCAGTCAAAAAGAGACATTGCCAAAAATCATCTGAGAAAGGTAATTTTCCAGTTTTTATTTATAGATCCTCGTTTTTTTTATATTCACCATGTTTGTTTTGATTGTTTTAAAGATAAATTTAAAAAAATACAAATTCTGTTTTTTTAACAATATTGTTGCTGGGGGAAGGTTTTTTTACTGTTAGGACCTGCTAACAGTTCTAGGACAAAGCTGAAGTGTTTTTTAGGGATTGTTTTACACATTACTTCAGGCTAGACCTAGGGGTTGCGGCACTATCTCTTAGATACAATCCATTGGTGATTTGGCAATATTTGAACCCGGTACCTCGGGAACCGAAGTCCCACACTCTAACCACTAGCAGCTCGCCCCCCAGGGGGGAAGCAATTAGAGGCAATGGTAAATAGAAAATGTAGTGGTAGGTCATAGTCTTCATTAGGTTTAAGTTAGAGTTTGACAAATTTGGAGATTGACAGATCTGTGTAATTAGAAAGCTGTGAAACCAAAAAAGCTATGTGAAGTGTTTGCTGGAGAGATATGGAGACGGAATAAGAGAATGAAAGGTAAGTTTCTAAGTTATTTTACCACACAACTGAGTTAAAGTTTTGATTGAATGTAAACACAAATAAAATTAACCATTATTACTCTGATACAGGTAACAGAGCAGTTCCCGGATGATGTGGAGGCGTGGATTGAGTTGGCGCAGATTTTGGAACAGTCAGATCTGAATGCGTCGTTGGCTGCATACGGAACTGCTACCAAGATATTGAGGGACAAAGTGCAAGCAGAAATCCCTCCGGAGATTCTCAACAACGTCGGAGCCCTGCATTACAGGTTTGTTGTTACAAACTTCTTGATTATTTTCTTGTTGTTTTTCAAGTTAACATGTAGTGAGATGTTGGCTCAGTCGCTAGCCCAACAAACTAAGAATCTCTGAGCGGCGATGCTGTGGGCTTACTTCCCAACGCCCCCTTTAATATTTATCAGTACATTTAATCTACTGTCCCAAAGAGTTAAAAGAGGCTGCCAATCTTTTCTTCTATCTTAATGCTTTCCTTATTGGATTCACAGCGAATATGTATCCGATTTGTAACTTATTTTCACACAAGACTAATAGTGACATTAAACAAATGAATTATTCCAGACTCAACAATTATGAAGAGTCCCGAAGGAGCTTGGAGGAGTCGCTAGGACGAGCTAGGGTGGAGGCAGAACATGATCCTCAGTATTACAACTCCATCGCCGTGACGACCACCTACAACCTGGCTCGACTCAATGAGGCGTTGTGTCAGTTCGACCGAGCGGAGAAACTGTACAAGGACATCCTCAAAGAGCATCCTAACTATGTTGACTGTGAGTTTGATGATGAAATAGAGCTCAAGGACTTAGTAATTTTTGGCTACAAAAATAATTTATGAAGGTTACTGGCGATGAAAGCCACAGAGTATTTAGAACGAAAAAAATTGCACAAAATTAATTAGTTTATCTGTATCCAGTAAGCTTCTTGTCACATTTTTTTATTTTTGACATGAAGACAATAACAAACATTTTGACATGATTTTTTTACATTTAACATAGTTTGAGGTACTTTTTACGTTGAGGCATTTTGCAGTGGTCGCCCTGGCACTTCATTCAAAGCGTTTCGGTGGTCTTCAGGCTTAAGTGGCTGATCTTGTCTGGCTAATAGTGACTATCATGTTGCGCTTGAAAAGTGCAGCTCTAAGTTTGTTCTACATACGCAGTTTAATTCCCGTACACGTGTGATCCATTTTAAGCATCCTTATATGTGACTTAGTTCGTAGGATGCCCTAACTTAAATAAACGTCGTCTGGCTTGGGTGGAAGTTAAAGGCATATAGTGAGTTTAATTTGGATTGTACACAACACCTGTTTTGCTTCTTTTTACCCATTAAATAGGAGGAGGACTCGGATTTGTCTTTTTATTTTAGTTAAACGTGGATATGTTTTGTTGATGAAATAGAATGAACATAACCTAAAAAGAAATACAGAGACATAAATATTCCTACATCAAATGGCTTTTTAGTCATCAAGATATATCAGTAGAAACCTGTAACAGATAGAGAACTGTTGATTGTGTCAATAAGCTGAATGAAGAACTATTTATAGGTTATCTAAGGTTGGGTTGCATGGCGAGAGACAAGGGTCAAATCTACGAGGCGTCTGATTGGTTCAAGGAGGCTCTGCGGATAGACAATGAACACCCGGACGCATGGTCATTGCTCGGAAACCTGCATCTGGCCAAGATGGAGTGGGGACCCGGGCAGAAGAAGTTTGAACGAATATTGAAGGTTCGTTCACATTGTTTAATCATAGGTAGCTTCTATTAGTTGTAAGCAAACTTTTTAAATACATTTAAAATTCCCATGTTATTCTTATGGAGAAAAAGAAAGCTGTTGTAGTTTGCTTGTTTATGGATATACTTTGATCAAATTTGGCAAATTTATATATTTCACCCTATGCTATTAACAGTTCATCAAAAAACACTTTTTACCTTTCCCAAATCACCAAACCTAAGTACTCGTTAAATCTAATGTTATTTAAATAAAAAATAAAAATACAACTTGTTTATAGAAATATTTTTGTAAAAATCTAATCAGATAAATCAAAATTTGCTTTGTCTGCAGGTTTGCTGTGGCAGGGGTATTTAACATTTTTGGTTATTGAGATAACTAACTACATGTAACTTTTTTCTTTAACAGAACCCAGTGACCTCCAATGACGCTTATTCTCAGATTGCCCTTGGAAATGTTTGGCTGCAGACTCTTCATCAACCTAGCAAGGTGAGATGATATAATTAGAAGTAGTGTATAAGTTGACTAACTCAGAATAAAAGTTAGGTGTGAATTTGGCTGAAACATTCAGATTTATGAAATATGTTTAATTTTAGTTTCTGGGTTGAATATATTTGGAACATAATCTACACAATCAGAACATTTTTATGGATTTTAGTAGACTGAGTTCCGTGAAATAAGTTTTTTAGTAGCCTGAGAGACTTGGAACCACAGTCTTTGCGTTATCACATCAACATTGGTGATAGGCAGATGTTTAGCCCGGTTCTCTATAATACAACCATGCCCTAACCACTATACTATCTCCATTAAAGGGACTCATAAAAAGCTATATGTAAACCAAACATAAACAAAAGCTAGATCTTCTGGATACAGCCATGTCGCAGACAGAAATGTATTACTAAGTTGTGTTCCTAGCACCTGACATCTGATCTAGAGAAGACCACTGAAGATGAGGATGAATATCAACTAGGTAGTCACAACAAGGCAGTAACGTAAGCACTTAATAAGTTTCTGGATGTGATACCGTTGTACCCAGAATCAGAATACCTAGTTTGCATCGGTTGTTGAACGTAGAAGCCTTACTTCTTATGAACTAATCATATTGAAAATTGAACAAACAGCTCAAGTTGTTGTAAGTCTCTTTAGTAACGTGATGTCGTTATGTGCAGGACAAAGCTAGAGAGAAGGTTTACCAGGACAGAGCTCTGGCGATGTACAACAAAGTGCTACGTAGTGATCCTCGCAACATCTGGGCCACCAACGGCATCGGTATGTTTACAGAAAATAATAAAAAAGAGCTAATAACAACACAACGTCAAGAACACACTTATAAATCAATAGATTATAACTATTGTTTTTAAATTTTTCTTAAATATTTTGAAATAAAGTTTTTTTTACCTTTTTCACTAGTGATGTGTCTTAACCATTTTTTGAATGTTGGTACTGGTACCTGGCCAAAATTGGTTCCCGGTACTGGTACCATTGGTACTTAACTAAATAACTCATTCTTTAAATAGCAAACATTGAAATTTTTAACACATCTTATTCTTGGTTGGTTGAAATGAAGAACAGACTTAAATAATAGATAATGTTTGCAAGTATTGTAGTTTATAATGATTGTGAATGGATTTTTATCTTCCAAGACCTCCAACAAATTGGGAAACTAGGTAAACCGAGAATTTTACCGTGGTATTAATGACCAGGAGAAAACAAGTGAATTGTTCATACATTTAGTATAGGAAAAGGAATTTGAATTTTTGAATAATGAATGAATGAATGAATGAATGAATTATGAATTTATTCCACCCCATATATAAAAATTACACAACCAAATGTACAAAAGAAAAAAGTTCTTTATGCAAAACTAAACTAACTAACTATAACTAATTAACTATATACATGCGTAAAAGGTTGTTCCTATCTAATTAGTTCTGGAATTAGCAGACATAGGCTGTGCCTGTGCGTCTGCTAAGTTGCTATAAAGATTATGAAGTTAAAGTGGCGCAATTTAGTTTTATTATTTTGTATGAGTGAAAATAAAATTAAATGTAAAGTAAAATTAAATGAAAAATTAAATGAATTTCAGCAGTTAAGTAATACTGACTGAGTTATGTAATAAGTGACAGTACTCTACACGAAAAGAACATACAATAGTAAAGAACATGCAATAAATATCAATAGAAGCGTCGGAGAGAGAGCGGCTAGGGTGTGCTGTCAATGTCGAGGTCAAAGTCAAGTCAATGGTCAAGTCAAAGGTCGCGGGCCGATTCCGTCGCGCCGGTAAGATGAAGTAATAATAAGATCAGCTTCGTCCGTATTTAAATTAAGTAGCCATTCTTTAACAAGACGTTTAAAAGAGACAATAGATGTGGCGTCAAATAAATTTAATTCAGAATAGTATTTACAAAAATTTCGAAACACTATGTGAGATATATAAAAAGAATTTGTTGTTGAAAAAGTGTTGTATACCTGAAGTGTAGTAATGTGGACTTGAGATGAGTATCTTGTGTTATGAGAATGTGAGGTTTCATTAAATATTCTAGTGCAATTCTTGAAAATGTTAATTAGTAAACATTTGATATATAGTTTGCGAACTGTAAGAATTGATGTTTCCTTAAATAGGGCGTCAGACGGAAATCGTTTAGATTTACCAAAACCAATCTTTAAAAGTGACCTATGAGCAATATTTAGAGGTTCCAGCAAACTTTTAAAACATCCTCCCCAGGCTATAATCCCAAATGAGAGCAAAGATTGGACGTAAGCAAAGTAGGCAATTTTAATTTCTTTTAAGGTTAGAATTCCATTCATTTGTCTAAAGGCAAACATGTATTTCCTGACCTTACTCCTTACACTTTGAATATGTTCAGCCCACTTCAGCCGACGGATTCTCGATATATTATTAATTAATATATATTAAGAAAAGAATAGGCCCTAAATTACTACCCTGGACCACCCCATAATCGACAGGCATAGGATCACTGTCTGTACCACAAATTGTAACAAATTGAGCTCTGTTTGAAAGATAACTCTTGAACCATTCCAAAGCACTGCCGCAAACTCCAATTGTTTTTAACTTGTTGAGAAGTTTTAAACGATCTACAGAATCAAATGCTTTTTTAAGGTCAAGAAATATTAATATAGAACGTTTTTTGTTGGAAATGGTATCGTACAACTCTTTGTTTACATCAAAAAGAATATCTGAAATATTTTTGTCGTGACGGAAACCGTACTGATGCTCACTGAGAATGTTATTAGAATGAAGGTAAGCAACCAACTGATCTTTGACAGCCTTTTCAATTATCTTAGTAAAAATACTCAACAATGAGATTGGGCGAAAATTGTTTTTATTAGTGATTTCGTTGGATTTATATAATGGAAAGACTTTAGCCAATTTGTAACAATCAGGAAAAGTTCCTGAAGTTATGCTTAAATTAACAATGTGTAAAAGTGTAAAACAGAGGATATGAAAGTTTGCTTTAAGGACATCGGCCGATATACCATCGTAACCAGGCGCGGAACCACCCCGCAGGCCGCAGACGTAGCGTTGTAAGTCATGTGCAGTGATCGGTTGAAGCGTAAACGTCGTGTCGAGTTGATAGTCACAGTCGTCAACCAATAGGGCCCCACTTGGGTCTAGTTTACTGGCCAGTGAGCTACCGACGTTAGAGAAAAAAATATTGAAATCCTCTGCGACTTGTTTATACAATGTTGTAGATAACTGAGTGTTTGATGTAAATTTATCTATTGGAAACGAATCTTTTTTATTTATTCTGCCGGCCAGTTCATTGACTAATCTCCAAAACAGCTTAGGGTTATTAGAGGCTTCGTTTAATTTTTGCCGGTAATAATTTTGTTTAGTTTGCTTCAGTTGTTCACTAAGGTTTTGTTTAAATTCTTTATAAAAATTGATAAGCTCAACATTAAAGGGTTGTTTTTTAACTCTTTTACTTAATTTATCTCTCACTCTTATTTGTTTAATCAGTTCTATGGAAATCCATGGTTTGAGTTTTTTAGCTCTAGTTGATTTATTAATAATGGTTTTAGTAGCGGATTTCACTGAATTAATAACAATTCTATTAAAATAATTAGAACAAAAATTTATGTCATCATCACATTGAACAATGGGGTCCCAGTTGGAGTTAGTGAGGTAATGTGACAGTAGTGTATGGTCCAGGTACGTGTGAGGCACTGTGTCAGTGTGAGAAGTGTTAGTGCGTGGTGTGTTTGAGGAAATAGTCAGACCAGTGCTGTAGTGATCTGTCACAGCCGTCTGGATCACAGCTGATTTGACCTGAGAAATGTTGTTGTGTTTAATAAAAATGTTATCCAGACAGCTTGCTGTGTTGTTAGTTACTCGCGTCGGCTTATCAACACACTGCAAGAAGCCCATCCCCAAAAATACATCTAAATATAGTTCTGAGGTTTCATTTATTCGAAGAATGTCTATATTAATATCACCAAGGAATATACAAGTTTGATTTCTATTTAATGCATTCATGTATCTCTCCAGTTCACCAATGAGATTAATTGGATCACTGTCGAAGGTTCGGTAAATAGCTAGCAAATGGAAAGGCTTTCCGCAGTGCGTGAAATCCAACGCAAGTCCATAAACATCTCCCAAGGTTATTTGATTGCACGTAGCTGATAGTCGTCTGTTAATGTATACAACAACTCCGTCGTTTTGATTGCGCTGAGTTTCAGTACAGTACAAGTCGAAGCCCTCCAGAGCGGCTCCCCCACCACTCTCCCCCAACCAGCACTCAGTTAAAACAATTACATCTAGGTCATTTATCAATTGATCTAAACAAATCAACAATTCATCTAAGTTTTTGCTATAGCTGCGAATATTGGTGTGGAAGAGGTGCAAACTATCGTTGCAATTCTTATTATAAAAATCTATGTACTGCTGAAAATCATTTAATTCTAAACAATGTATAGCTTCAGAAAAATAGCCCTCTTCGTCTGAATCACGCAACATGTAGGTCAGTGACCTCGCCCTCCTGTCTGCTAAAAACCGGACTTTACAACTACAAAGATGCCTAACTTGCTTTATTCGTTAGTAATGATTTTTTCTATTGAATCACGGAATGCTTAATAAAAATAACTATAATATAACTATAACTATAACTATATTTAAATATAACTATATAAATATAAAATCGAATAATGTTTGAGATAATATGATTGCAAAAATAGTTGGAATCGTCTTAAAATAAAGGTTGTGCTAAATCTAATCTTTATCAGTAAAAACATCATAATGAATTTTCTTTGCTTGTAAGGTTATAACGAAAAACAAGATTTCCTGATTAATTATAGCATTAGCTTCTCTACATGCAAAGTTAATGTAAACAGTCTAACTATCAAATTAAGGATATTTCAAGCAATAACTATTCTTACTAAGCAATATAAAATAATGCAATCTTTGATTCAAGGATAAATGGTTAAAACGAAATAAAATAAAGGTAAAAAAGCAAATAAAAATATCTGGATGCTCCTTTAATTAACTGATTAGGTTTCTATTGTTTGTATCTATTAATTAAGTATATCTGGTGCATGCATGTTTCTTCGAGTAATAAATAATAATAATAACAATGCATAATATTCTTTAATTATTGAAAAATAAGGTAATAGTAGTGCACATATACATCTATTAACTCTAAATTGTCCAAACTCGTTAATTACTCTTCAAGCTTTAAATTAACTAATTGTCGCCAATAGCCTATTGCATAGCATCTATTGATTTACGGGGTTCTTTTTGTTTTCGTTTCCCTTGTTTTAAGGGTCATACATGACTGTAAAAAGTGTAGTTTATATTGTTTGTAAATACAAACTAATACAAATATATATGGTTTCTTCAGGGTGTGTTTTGGCACACAAGGGATGCGTTAACGAAGCCAGAGACATCTTTGCACAAGTACGTGAAGCCACAGCTGACTTCTGTGATGTCTGGCTCAACATAGCACACATCTACGTGGAGCAGAAACAGTATGTCAGTGCGATTCAGATGGTGAGTAGCGTTGGTACAGTGGACACACTGAACATTGTACGAGAAAAATAGATAATTTGAGAGAATTATGAGCAACATAGTTTTCGGTCTGACTCATTTGTAATTAAATAACTTGAATGTGAGAATGGCACATTTATGTTGTGTCAAATTCATTGAAATAAACATAATGTATATTTTACAAGTATTTGACATCCTAATGGTGGTACTGTAACCTCTAACCTCAAAATCTAAGCGACCTCTGTGTTATCCGAGATTCTCGGTAACTGAGGTAGTCTCGGTCAATGGAGAGTACTGCACTATCTAACGTCAACTTTTTGTTGGAAAGCATCATTAATTGCCTAACAAAAATGGAATCTAGTTCCAGAACCAATTCTGCTGGTAATCGAACCAGTAAATTTCAGACTTAAAGGCAACCACTATAACAACTCTGCAACCTAGATAGTTAAATATAAAAGAGAATTGATTTTTATTAGCGAATTTCCCATATAGGGAATAAGCTATTACCGTAGTACTCACGGTAAGACCTGGACCCGGGACCGATTTTTTTTTTCGTTTTGAGGTCCCTAGAGGTCAAAAACACCATCCGTTCAAATTCATTTATATATATATATATATTTATTTATTTATATATATATATATATATATATATATATGTGTCCGTTAGCGCGATAACTTGAGCAAAAATGATCCGATTTTGATGAAATTTGGTACAAACGTGTAAACCTACGTTTATTCGAACGAGTTCGCGAACCAGCATGATCGGACCATGGGAACGGGGGTTTATGGGGGCTTTTATGGGGTAAAAATGGGTTTTTCCCATTTTTGACCCAAAAAACATAAAATTTTGCAATTTCTTTCGAAACTATTTTGTAGAGCCTAAAAAAACAAATAATTTAGTATATTGAAGCTTTATAATGCGCCTAATGGTTACGGAGAAAATTCCAAAAAATTTTAAATTTAAAATTCCCATGTTATTCTTATGGAGAATAAGTAAACTGTTGTAGTTTGCTTGTTTATAAACATATTTTGCCCAAATTTGGAAAATGTTTTTATTTCTTACTAACTATTAACATTTTACATAAAAAACACTTTTACCCTCCCTGTTGCAGCAAACCTAAGGATGTTTTAAACTGATTCTATTTAAATAGGGAATAAATGTGATATTTTTAAGGAGACATTTTAGTGTAAATCCATTCAGGGAAATGGAAATTCGCTTAGTCTGCAGGTTTGCTGCGGCGGGGGTATTTATAATTTATTACCGAATCTCTATTCAAGATTGGGACGCAACCAGACAAAATTCAACTCAAACCCAAATTAAAGATATAAATAAATTTAAGGTAAGGATTTAAAATAATTAACACACTCTGGAAAGGAAGTCAGATAATAATGATGAAAGTTATCTGATGAATCTACCATTTTCATAATCAAATGCCTTATTAATTACAACTTCATCTAACATTTGTTAACGATAATAAACTTTCACTTGTTCCCATTTTTTACAGTACGAAAACTGTCTTCGTAAATTCTACATGTACCATCACGTTGAAGTCCTCCAGTACTTGGCAAGGGCTTACTTCAAGGCTGGCAAACTGAAAGAAGCAAAGGGAACACTTTTGAAGGTATACTCAGTCATCACTAATCTCTAAATATTAAATTAGTAAATAACCATTGGCTTTCTAAAGCATTTTATCTAGTTAGTGAAGGGTAAGTTTCTTTAGGTAATAAAGGAATGTTTGTATTTATCCAATATTCAGTTACTACAATGCAGTGGACACAAAAGAGTGTTCATTTTTGTTTTTGTATTTTGCGATCTCTACTTGATTATTGTTGTTGTGAACCTTAGTTCCTGATTGTGATTCATGGTTACATTTTTAAAATAACCAAAAAATGAACGATTAGTACAGTTGATCAGTGAACTACTTCCAAACATTTTAACATCTGTCCGTTGTAGGCCAGAAGAGTAGCTCCACAAGACACTGTGTTGCTCTACAACATCGCGTTGGTCCTGCAGCGATTGGCCATGCAGATCCTTAAGGATGAAAAGTCCACGCTGCAGACTGTCCTGCAAGCTGTTCACGAACTTGGCTTGTCGCACAAGTATGTCCAATACAACTTTATTCTTATGTTATCCCGACACGACCCGACGTTTAAACTGTAGCTAGTTATACAATAAAAATTAACATCTAGAATTGAGCCAATGTGCTGATGTCAATTACGTGTACTTTTCAACTCAAACCAAGCCAAACTGAAAGTACGACCCATTGGTAACTAAAGGATCCTCGATCTCCATTGATAGTTTCACCTCATATAGCCTACCAAGAAACATTTACACACAGCATTTTTGTTTCCACTGATTATCTCTATGCAACAATCTCTCTGTGTTAGTTACACCTTTTTTGTTGCAGCAAAATAACAGCTTTTTTGTTGCATCATACTAAAAGCTGTTTTGTGGCAGATACTTCCAGTACCTGTCGCAGAATGGGGAGAGGATGAGGTACGACGTGGCTGTCGCAGGGTTAGAGGCACGACAGTGTCAGGACCTGTTGTCTCAAGCTCAGTACCACGTTGCGCGCGCTCGTCGACTGGACGAGGAGGAGAAACAGTTGAGACGCAAGCAAGAAGAGGAGCGGGAGAGTTTCCGTCTCAAGCAGCAGCAAGAACAGGTATAGGGGTTTTGTATTTTCATAAATTCTCTTTTAATTATAAAGAAAGTGGAGGATGCCGATTTCCTTTGATATAATTCACACTGCATCGGAGCTATTGGTTTACAAAAAAAAGTTATTTGGGATTAAAGTGAACATTGGTATTTTTATTCACCTGTTGTGCAGTTGCCATAATACAGTGAGCCCCCAAGTTGTGCTGGATTTTTTTTTAATTTCCATTCGATCAACCTGTGCAGGTTGCTTTATATTTGCGATTAGTGGCTCTACATATTAACTTGTTTCTGAATTATAATCAGTTGTAAATTGGGTGAAATGTATTTCTAAAGGAGTAGGTATATTTCATCCATAGGTGTCACAACACAACAAAACTGTCTGAGTGGAAGCTGTAGAACTGCAACCCAAATAGTTCGGGAAAGAACCAGCTGAATTATGTTATGGATCGTCATCCATATAAAATCTACATGGGCCATCAAGTGATTGTCAGAACAAGATGATATAATACAAAAATCATCTAAGACTTCCTTGCAGCCATATTCAGTGACACAATTTTTTTTTCTTAAGCCACATTTTTACCTAAATGTGTGTGTCATCAAACGTAATAAACGGAACTATCCCACACACATTTTAAATAGGTAAAAACTGTATTGTAAATACTTTTTCTCTATCTTAAAAAGATATTTTAAATACCTAAAAACTTTAATCATTTTCGTCATTGTGTGTCTTTGCAGCGCGAACAAGAAGAGCGTAAAAAGTCTCAACTGGAAGAGATGCTGCAGAAGAGGCAGGAATACAAGGAGAAGACCAAGAACGCTCTTGTGTTTGGTGACATGCCTAGTGAGAAGAAACCAGGCAAGGGACGGAGGAAAGAGAGAGACTACGTATCTGACTCTGGTAGTGACAGGCCTCCGGGCAGTCCATCACAGAAGGTGCCTAAACGCAAGAAGTGAGTAATGTCTTGACTTTGGCATAAGGACCACCTGTAGCCAATTTTTTAAGAACAGTTGATGAGTCACTCACAGAAATTATAGTAGTTAAAATAATGCAAAAGCCGACTGTGGAAAATCTTTTTGAACAAAAGTAGCTTTTAAATTACAACCATTAATTTTTTTACTAGGCTCTAGCCCGCAAATATTACCCGGAACTTACTTTGAACTAGGCCTAGACGTCGCGGCATTATCACTTGGATAAAATCCATTGGTGATTTGGGGGATTTAAACCCGGGAACTTGAGGACCAAAGTCCATCACTCTTCCACTAGATCAGCTTGCTCTGCAACCATTGGTTGGCTGTAAAAAAAGGGTTCTCGTCCCTTTATTTCAGTTATTCATGGTTTTACTGTCGTCAGACGATTTAAAAATGTTTTCTCATCATTGAATTTTGAGAAAACAAACTCTCAATTTTCTGTAGGCCTATAGTCTAATTCTAAATGCGAGGTTAATTTACCTAGTATCGTCTTATGACTTTTATATAAAAGTCACAAGAGGATACTAAGGTAAATTAACCTCTTATTTGTGTGTTCAGTGACTCAAGACAGCACAAAATCCTAAATCATGAAAATTGTTTTACAACAGATTGTCAGTAGTGCTTAAATTTAGTAATTTCAACTATATACTATCATCAATACGTTGATAGAGATCTAACTTGTCATGTTGACACTTTTATTACATTTTTTTCAGAGAACCTGGAGAGAAGAAGAAGCGTGGACCAGGCGCTGGTCGTAAGAAGAGGGAGAAGAATGCTGAAAACTTGGGCTCGGACTCTGACAGTGACAATAAACCAAGACGCAAGAGAGCCAAAAAGGTAACTCACTACTGCTTTATGTGCAATTTTTAGTTGCTAGTGGAACACAGTGTAAAAACATTCCAGAACCTTTTCTGTGAATATCAAGAAAAGAATTGAAACAAATACTGAAATTTTTACTGTTTTAGTTGTGGTATTGCACAATTATTGGCTATGGAGAAATGTAGTGGAGGTAATTAGATGGGTATTGAAGGATGGAGTGGAAGGGTCATAGCTCACTTTAGGTACGTCATTCAAGAAAATCAACTAATAAAGATAAGTTAAATAAATAAAACACTACTTTCAAGGTAGTTTAAGGTATTATTGACCAGTTTTAGTGTTGGAATCTTATTCCTAAGACAATTCAAAATGTTTTAGGAACCTAAAGGCAGGAAGGGTAGACCAAAGGGTTCGGACGAGGGGCTGTCTGCCAAACAGAAGATGAAGATTGTCTCTAAGGCTACAATATCTACCAGTGAGTCCGACAGCGACAGCGGGAAACTCAAGATTGCCAGCGGGTAAGACATATTGTTCTAGCGTTTTTCATAAAAAATAATTTAGATCGTGTTAGGGATGCAAATTTACCCAGAAACTGCTCAGGTGGAACGTAGTTTCAGTACCTCTCTTTCGGAAGGATAAAAATATTTGCATAAATAGGTGCTAATCACATTGAATAGGTTACAGTTCCAGCACCTAATTTTTTACAAATCGAGCACTAACCACGCTCTTCCCCAGTCTTTTGACGATCCTTCCACATTTCCACACTGTATTTCTGTTCCTCAGCTCAAGCCAACAGATTTTTTTTAACTCCTTCATGGTTATTCATGCCTTCCATATCGCCAGCCTCCATTATCCCTTTCTTTTTGTGTTTCTATGGAGGCACAAATCTGACAGCGCATCTTGCGTTCTAGGAAGAGCTCAGATGGAGAAACGCCAGTGCATGGTGGAAGCCTATAGTTAAAGAGGAAAGATCATTCTCAATCTCTTGAATTGACATTTGTCATATTTTTCATTGTGCCAAAATGTTCATTGTACCTGTCGCCCATTTGAAGACGGATACAAACTTTGAACTGAAAACACAAAACCATAACATTTTATTTCTAAGAGTGGATGCTCTTGTGTAGTAAATTGTAGAATTGTAACATCTAACAATAATTGCTGCCGCAGCAACGAGAGTGGCAGTGACAGAGGTGGCAATGTCAAGAGGGGACGGAAGAGGATCGCGTCTGGCAGTGGCTCAGGCTCGTCCCGCAGCAGGTCTGGGTCAAGGTCAAGGTCGCGCAGCAGGTCCAAGAGTGGCTCAAGGTCACGCAGTGGCTCTGGCTCAAGGTCCAGGTCTCGATCCAAGAGCGGGTCCAGGTCTAGGAGTCGTTCTAGATCCAGGTCTCGGTCACGCAGTGGATCTCCCAGATCCAGAAGCGGTTCTAGATCTCGTAGTCCTTCCAGGTGAGAGAAATTTTAAAACGTACATTTACTGTTGGTACTTTGCAAATTTTGGATTTTACTACAGCATAACAACCTATGAATAAAAATTTTTAGGATGGTTAGGGGGTTACTTCCTGAATCGAAAAAGTCCACTCTGGTGCAAGAAACGCCAAAACTTTACACTGGGCCTATGTAAAAAATTAGAATATTTTACTGTCACTAGTATCACTTTCGTACAAGGAAGGAAGGTTTGAGTCAGGAAGAGATTTTTATTTGGGTCCTACAACTAAAATCAGACAGAGAACGTCTAACTCAAAAATGTAGCTCTTCCGAGTCAGACGAGGTTAACCCTTTGGCTGCCAAGAACTTTTGCTGTTTTCTGTGCGAGAACGGCCAGCTGAGTTTTGTGTGTGTAACCGACAGCTGCCAGGGCTACTAGCCATATGACAACCAGAATTGCCAGGCCAAATCATGTGATTTTGCAATGTTTTTTTTTTTTTTTTAAACTATAACTTCCCTTATAATATAGATAGAACCTTATTTCTTTTTTTGTTTTAAAGATAAATATGTGCTCTAAACATTTATATATATTTAAATTAAAACTGGTCAAAAATTTTTTGTACAACTAATAAAATTATATAAAATAAAATTTTTTATAAAATATATTTATTTTTTCAAACTAAAACATTTTGTCTAAATTACACTTAACTCATTAACCAATACTATATTTCGATTTACTATGTTGTTTTGTCATAGTACACCAATTTTCATTAATTTTGGCCAATAACGTTACAAAATCGTTATTACTTTAATGTAGATTTTCACTATAACGAATCCTACTCTCCTTATATTAGTACTTTGCTTGACCAACAACTCAGTTTTGAAAATACTTAACTAACATACTCTCTTACCGCAATTTAAAAAACAAATTTTTTGAGAAGTTCTTTAAGGTCGAGCTCCAAGATAACTTTCCAACCTCCTCTATTGAAAGTTTTCCAAAAAATTTCACCTCTTCGTGCATTGTAAAAACTAAACTATAATCTACTAATGACGACTAACAGCTAGGGGCCTGGGGGTGACGGTGGGGCACACGGGAGGGACTAAGGCTAACATATCTTGTAGTGTCAGCGTTCGCCGCTAGAACCGCTAAGTTGAAAACATTTAATTTTTTATTTTAGTTATAAAATTAACTTTTTAATTTATAAAATATTGTTTTAAAACTATAAAATAATTTTTTTTATTTTTAAAATAAAACTGTCATAACATAACCTAACCAACCAGACTTGCTGATAATATAAAAACTGTATAGTATAAGATAAAAATTTAATTAATGATTACTTATACAGTCCAACCTCAGTATAACGAATCTGAAGGGACCGAACTGAATATTCGTTATATCAAGGATTTTGTTAAAACGAGGTTCGTTATATAGAGGTTAGGTTTGCAGGAATTTCGCTAAGTCGAGGTTCAGAACCAGCGTCGGTCAATATAGGTCGGGATTTGACCTCATTAAAATACAGTACTGTACAATTAAAGTAGCATAGGCTACAATACTTTACAGTACAGTGTTTACATTGTACAGTAGAACCTAAATTATCCGGCATAATAAAGGGGAGGGATCTTGAATATTGCGAAATCATGACAATGGCATTGACCTTGGTACAGGTTAAAAACTGTAAGTTTAAAATCGCAGCTTGTTCTAACCCTCCTAAAACCTAGCCAAACACTGTATTGCGTAGTCATAAACCATGTAAAGAACAAAACAAAACAGTAGAAAGTTTTGCAAGCTACTGCTCGCGATAGGCCGGTAGGCTACTTTTAGTACTTAGTACTTACAGTACGGTACTGATTTATCACAACAGAGGAATGTCAATAATAATCATTAACTATAGCATTTGTGTTGCTAGTTGAAACAGATCGTATTGAAAACAATAAATTACTAGATAAGTCATTATAAAAGGGTATAATCATAACCCTCGTAAAAGGAATGTTAAAATAACGATGTTGCTATTCTTTCTCTTTAGTTTTGTTTTTATATTCTTTCTTAGGTTTCTCTTTATCCAAAAATTGTACAATTCACCATAGTTACTTATCGCCCAATCAAAGCTTACTAAACATTACGTCATCAGTACTCAGTGAATGAAATTAGTTCTCAGTTGCAACATAGCGCGCCCAGCGACAGCAGACAAAGATGTAAAACGGAGCAGACGAATGTTAGCGCAAGCGATGACGTGACCTTTCCATTTCATTTGATAAAGAAATAGATTTTCCCAAAACAATAATTGGGTGGGGGATTTGTTATATCGAGGGAAAGTCGTAGACAATTCGTTATGCAGAGGTTAAATTCGTAATGTAGAGGTTCTGACAATGATAAATTCGTTATATTGAGGTGTCTTATTTTAGCCGAAATCACGAAAAATTTGTTAAATCAAGGTCGTTGTTATGGTTTGTTCGTATGTAGAGGTAAAATATACATTATGTCTTATGGAGAGTTCTAGGGGATTAAAAAAAATTCGTTATATCAAGGAATTCGTTATATCGAGGTTCGTTATATCAAGGTTAGACTGTAATTTTTAATTAATAATAAAATTAATTTTAAAATTAAGTATTATATAATTAAACTGTCATAACCTAACCTAACCAACCAAACTTGCTGGTATGAAAAATTTGTTGACAAAAAGTTAGAGCTACCAGCGGGATTCGAACCCGGGACCTCCTGAACACCAAATCGTAACGCTACTAACTACGCCACGAACGCCGCTGAAATCACATCGTTTCGTTACGGTAATCGTGTTGCTTCAAGGGTATACATTAGCTACTAGAGATATGACGTCACTACACCTTTAGCCTTATCCCGTGTGCCCATTCCTTGGGGGCGGATCCCCCAGCGAGCCAAAGGTGAGTCCCTTTATAATTTAAATAAGCTCAAAGATAAGCACAAACAAATAATTCATATATTAAAATGTATTTTTCTAAAATAAAAATTTAAAAACAAAAATTTTTCTTGATGTTGTTGATGTTCTTTATGTTGTTGATAAGCTCCCAGAGGGCAAGCCGTGCCTCAGGTATCCGTATGCTGGTATGTGTATGCTGGTATCCATATGCTAGTATGCGTATGCTGGTATCCATATGCTGGTATGCGTATACTGGTATCCGTATGCTGGTATGCGTATGCTGGTATCCATATGCTGGTATGTGTATGCTGGTATCCATATGCTGGTATGCGTATGCTGGAATCCATATGCCGCTATCCATATGCTGGTATCCATATGCCACTATCCATATGCTGGTATCCATATGCCGCTATCTGAATTTGATAGCAGTTGGTTTGCATATTATCAGATATGCTGGCCAAACTATTATACATAACTTCATTTTTATGTTGTTTGTTGTTGTTCCGGATCGGTATGACAATCAATAAAAGGTTAAATTACCTGTGTCCGCCGGTCGATCCTAATGTATCCTATTACAGGAGATGCATTTCGGCGAAATTAAATCGCCATCATCAGTCCTAATATAAGGTCTTGAGCCTCCCCATTAGGTGCGTCTTGGTGTTTTTTAAATACATACACGAACTGTACACTTATACACATGACGAATAAAACATAAATACACGGTAGGCCTACTATTATTTTTACTATGGACATGTAGACGCACGTCGGTCGTGTGCCGAGTCTCGACTGAAACGCTCATTGAAAAAATTTAAGTTTCCTAGCCATATACAACACTGATTCAAGGTCTTTTCCCGGTTATCAAAACTCAAGAACAATTTTATACACAAAGAATCTCTATTTTCATTTACGGTTACCCTACAAATTATTGCACTTGCGGTTAATTAAATCTTTTATGTAAGGAAAAACGTTTTTAACTTACTTGGTTTGGATGTGCTTTCAAACCGTGATCGGAATTGGTTGCGGTATTTGTAAACAACATTCAATGTAAACATATCGGTGACAGCTAGAAGAAATAATCTTACTAATAAGAATTAGTAAGTATCTTAATTATCTTAGCTGTTCGCTATTTCATAGATGAATATGTAATAAACATTGGGAGAAAACTTTACAAAAAATCGCACAAAATTGGGTTTTTAATCGTCTGTAATTTTATATACAAAGTAGTGACGCCATATTTTAATGGCTAAAGACAATCTCACCAATCCAGTGAATGAATACATTAAAATTGATCTCGGTTTTCAGGAGAAGGCCGCGTAAAATGGCTCTTGGGCCGCGACAGACAGGAAGACAGACAGAAATTTAGATGAGACTTGTTTCGGTTTTTTAATGTACAAAACGTAAAAATAACCTACCTAAAAGTTTATGATTCTGAGCAATTTACAGACAAAACTATAATTTTATTTATATAGATATTCTCGTGTGGAAGATGACTGATTAGATATCTATCATGCTATCAACCAATAATTTAAAAATATTAATGTTTTAAATTAAACACATAGACTTATTTGAATATTATATTCTAATAAGGGGCTGTATTCTATAGCCCCGGATGCCGGGTTCGAATCCCACCGGTGGCACTAATTTTTGTCCAAGATTTATCCATTATCAGCAAGTTTGGTTGGTTTGAGTTAGGTTATGACGGTTTCATTTTATAATTAAAACATTATAAAATTGAATTTTTAACCATTTATAGTGTTGTTTTATGAACATATGACAATTTTTAATTGAACCTTCATTTGATTTTTTTCATTATCAGCAAGTTTGGTTGGTTTAGTTAGGCAATTACAGGTTAATTTTATAATTATAAAATTGAATTTGAGGCTTGTATAATTGAGTGGAGCGAGCGAAGCGAGCGTAGCTCTTTGGGATCAACTTCAATGCAAACAATAAGGCAACATCAAATTTCAACACTCAATTACGGCAGAACACATTTCAGCCAAACTTAACAAGATCACTTAGACTAAAATAGTGAGATGGTTAATAAACAAACAAATTTCAATTAGATAATGCTAATGCATAAAATAAAAAAAAATATTTTAGAAAAAAGTAGTGTTATTGCAAAAATCTGTCATTATAGGCCTACACCCCAAAATAAACATAAAACTCAATAGCGTCAGGCATTTACATGTAGTTTTTTGTATTTTTTATATTTTTGTTGCTGAAATATAATGAACATTAAGTAAAAAATTAAACTTAAGGAAATGAACAACATAAAAAAAACATATTTTACTTACATATAAGTGAAAGCGGCTCAAGAACTGGAGAACAAAAGTTTAGAAACTCTTGAGGTAAGTTCACTTAAAATCTTGAGACACACTAAATGAAAGTAAATTGACAAAAATAAAAATGTCAAGTCAATAAAACGTGTCCTTAATATCTACTATTTACATATATAATACATTTTTGGTTATTTTTTCGAACTAAAACTTGCAGTTGTGCAGCGTTACACAGTCCAAGTGCAGACCTCTCTTACACTTGACGCAGACAGTCCTGGAGCGCCTCCTCTTCCCCTCTTCGTTTTTAGATCCACTGCATTCAATACAATCCTTTTCCCTTTTTCCATCTAACTTTTCCACTCCACACATTCGATTTCCTTGCGGCGCATCTCCTCCTCCGTTCTCACCTCGTGCTTGATTTTTTTCTGAAAGCCAAACATCTGCTAGTGATTCAATGACAGCTATCTGGAATTGTAGTCTGGACATTGGTTTGTCTGTATTCATTTTATAAATTATGTAGCTGTTCAGGCACATTCTTCCAAAAATGTTAAATACAACTTTCTTCCAGTGATTCATAGTCCTCCTCTCGTCCAAATAAGTGTTCAACATCTGATCTGTGCCGTCGATGCCCCCGATCCCATGATTATATTCATATACAATTTGGGGTTTGTTTTTGATGATAACTTTCCCCGATCTCCTAATTGTATATCTTACATTTTTGGCTTTGGCATTAGTTGACATTATTATGAACTGTGTCCTATTAGTCGGTTTTTCTCTATATGCCATCTGTAGGATTGGCCCTTTTGGGACGTACACCTTCTTCCCTACATCATATTTCCCTCGAAGCTGTCTGGGAATACCTTTTCTGCCAACTCGCACTGTTCCGGTCAAATGGGTTTCATTAGTGTACAAAAACCTAGCCAGCTTAGTTGTTGTAAAAAAATTGTCCAAATATATATGGAAACCTTTCTTCAAAAGGTTTCCCATTTCCAAGAGCTTTTTGACAACAGCATAGCCGACACCAAACTGATCAGAGACACTCCTATCTTCGAATGCAGCTCCACGGTAACAATAAAATTGGAAGCAGTAGTTCGTTACAGCGTCGCACAACACCCACAACTTGATGCCCCAACGATGATGTTTTTTTTTTTTTGGATATATTGTGTGAGGGCCACTCTTTTCTTCGTACCAACCAACGACTCATCTACGGATAGCTTTTGATTAGGGGTATAGAAAAAACGAAACATTCTGTTGCAGTGGTCAATCAATGGTTGAAACCTTCCACATGGGTCATAGCCTGGATTCCCTTGAGGCACTAACGTGTTCGAGTCGACAATGTGGAAGAACTTTAGCAAAATCTGGAATCTGTTCCTCGTGAACAATTATAAAACCATTTGATGTTTTGGGACGAAGAAACAAACCAATAGCTTGGAATGGATGGCTTTTGGTTGATGCTTATATTCAAAACAACTGAAAGAAACCCCTTCATTTCAGACATGGTCACATCCACCCATTTCTTGACTCTACTGTTTGGTGACAAGTTATTTCCTCTTGATTCAATAAACCTTTGAGCATATTTGTTTGTTTCCACAACAAATGTGTTTATCAAAGTGGCCGTGAAAAATAGATCGAAGTATGAAATCGGAGGACTATTACGGGGGGGGGGCAATGTTTTGGCCCGGACAGTTCATTGAAAACAAACGAATGTTCATATTCACGGTCAACGTCATCAAACACTTCTTCCCAATCACTACTTTCTGGACGAATTTCTGGATGGCTACCTCCTCTATGACGGCCTCTACCACGCCCTGTAGCTCTTCCTCGTAGGTTTGAACAGCCTCTTGAATTAGTTATAGGAGGCATTACCGGTGCCGGATCATCTGCATCCTCTTCAGAGTCATCCAAATCAGGCCTTGAAAAATGTCCATCCCTGGAGGTCCCGGGAAGGTTCAAATCAAAATTAATTCTTGGACGAGGCAAGGATAACTGGAATCGAGGCCTTGGAGTAGTACTTGGGTCATAATCTGGGTCCTCGTCCGTGTCGTCGACCATTTCGTCACTACTCTCTGTCCCAGAAGAGTCAATGTCATCTAGTGATTCGACATCACTATTGTCATTGTCATCATCATTCACATTCACACCAGTTTCACACAAATCACGTATAAGCGTTCCCTCACTCACAGGAGAATGTGGCCCTTTATTACTAGGCCTATTCATTTTGAAACAAACCACAGTAATGCTCGGGAAACTCACAATACAATACTGTATAAACAAACACAAGGCACGCTGGTTTACATAAGCCTAAGCCATAACCTAACATCCAAAAGCATAATAATAATAAGGTATTCCCGCTAGATTGACAAATCACATGTTAAAAAAAATTGGTTCCACGCAGTCTGAGAGCGGCAGACAGCGTGACGCCCAATGCCACAGCCATCCGTATAACCTCAACACTCATGACTTTAGAATGCTATACGAAATTAATCCGCTCTTTTTTCGTTTACCAACGCATATTTTTAAGTACTACAACTCTTTAGCTTTAATTTGAGTTGTGGTAAGAACGTTTACTGTTAAATATGCGTTTGCTACAATGAATTAACAAAATGCCGATTAGATCGGCGGCGGGCATTTCTCGCGCAGACGCCAGGCGCCGATGTCATCGGCAGCTGGCATTTCTTGCGACGGAAGGTGATGCCGATCACATCGGCAGTTGGCACTTCTCGCGATGTAATTAAAAGCCGATCTAGTCGGCTTTTGGCACTCAAAGGGTTAAATAATCATGACATTGTGGATTGTAAAATTTGTAGTTATTTTCATAACAGTCCCTCATTATGTCTAATATGGGTTTAAGTTATGACCTTTCTCTATTCTGTTTCTTGTTGTACGTTATGCAAACATACTTTTTTTATAACCAGAAATCAAAATAGTTTTCAACTGAAATTCTATATCAATACATGGTTAAAAACTAAACATAAAAAGAGATGTCTAGGTTGATAACAAACAAAGCTTACCAATAGTGTACAACATTTCCTGACTTTGAAAACCTTTGTTTGCAACCTTTTATGTGAAAATAAATCATTGACTTAACTTTCATAAACTTGGCTATATTTGTTAGGTATATTTATTATTTACATTTTTTAAATTACTTGTAATTTGTGCAGATCAAGGTCACATAGCAGGTCAAAGTCCAGATCACGTAGCAGGAGCAGGTCACGGTCAGGCTCTAGGTCTCGGTGAGTTTTATAATTTTATTCACTTACATTGTTTGATAACGCCCAATTCCATAAATCTTTATCAGTTCTTTTCTCACATTTAGCAACAAATATTTTTGGGAATTTAAATATTAAGAAGTTTATGGATACAAGTAGAGGTAATATTTCACAATCCTGTTGCAAGATGCCCTGCAGTAATGCTATTTAAATAAACGGTATCAGCATTCTGACACATACTTTCTCCCATAAGTTTGTCAACAACAAACTTTATCATGTGTAAGCGCTAAGAGTATATATACAGAAATGGAATTTGTAAAATTTTGTTCAGAATTTAAAGGACTATAACATACAAAATTGTTATCAAAATCGTTCGGGCCATTTTTGTGAAAATCCGATTTTTCCGTTATTTTATGGGGTTTTTATGGGAAAATAACATAATTTACAATAACTTTTGAACCATAATTTTTACAGAAATGGGATTTGTACCATTTTGTTCAGAATATAAAGGACTATATCATACTAAATTTTTATCAAAATCGTTTGGGCAATTTTTGGGAAAATCCTATTTTCCCGTTATTTTATGGGGTTTCATGGGAAAATCTCCATTAAAAATCAAAATTTATAAAAAATGAAAAAAAAGCTATAAAAATTGTAAGTACCATAACATACTATGTTAAATCAAAACCGGATTTTTTTCTAAAGTCCTATTTTTCGTTGTTTTATGGGGTTTTATGGGAAAATAACATAATTTACAATAACTTTTGAACCGTAATTTTTACAGAAATGGGATTTGTACCATTTTGTTCAGAACTTAAAGGGCTACAACATACTAAATTTTTATCAAAATCGTACGGGCCATTTTTGAGAAAATCCAATTTTTCCGGTTTTTTATGGGCTTTTATGGGAAAATCCCCATAAAAATCAAAATTTCTAAAAAATGAAAAAAAAGCCTGGAGATACTATGGATTAGAACGTACATACCAAATTTCATCGAAATCGGACCACAGGTTTAGTCCCTAGCTCTGTACACAGACACACACACCCACACACACACACACACACACAGACATCACTCCGAAAACCACTTTTTTGGGTCCAGAGGGACGCAAAACGAATATATCCACTCAAAACTCAAACTCGAAAATTTTGACGAAAACAATACTTTCTCCATATACTATGGTATAGGGGGAGAAAGTAAAAATTACATTTTTACTAAAGTAGGCTACATTGGTTTAAAAGTTAACTGTTTTGTGAAATAAGTGCACAGAGCAATTTATAAGCCCTAAATTATTGATTTTTCAGGTCTCCGTCACCAGAAACAAGGAAATCTGTATCAGGCAGTGACGATGAGGGTTCAGGTTAGTACTGATCAGGTCTTCTTTAACTATTTAGTTAATGATATTCAAATCACAATTTTACGGTTTTTGAAATAGGCTACAGAGAAGTTACAGCAATTTATATTAGCTACAAAACTGTTTTTATCACAACCATCTGGTATAGTTCATACACCTTTATTTGATGTACAGTCACAGTCAAATCTATACCAAACACAGTGGAACGTTTTCAATACAGCGGAACCTCGGTAACAAGTGACCCTTGATAAGAAGCGTCATTAAAAAATAAAATACCCTCGATTTTATAATACTCCTTACATAGACAAAAAGAATTAAATATAGACTGTCAGCCATAGCTGCATATAGCTGCGGTTACCATAGGTTCTGGCACACACCGCTGGGAGCGCCGTTTAGTTAAGTAGCATATATGCCGTAACTACATGGTGCTCCCAGCGGTTTGCGCCAGAACCTATGGTAACCGCAGCACAGCTGGTAGTCTATATTTAATTTTTTTGTCTATGCTCCCTATCACATATTATTGGAAACCTCGATAAGAAGTCAACCTTGATAACAAGTATTGTTTAATTGTCCCCATGAGGGACTTGTTATCAAGGTGGTAGTGTATAAAAAAAAAACCTTGTTCAATTAAGCCTCATATGGCTAGGCCAGTTGTAATTGCATACAATTAACTTTCCTTTTGTTTGTTTGTTTCAGATAAAGGAGGAAAAGGTTCCGGCAGTGGCAGTGATTAAAGCAGTTTCTCGTCCACAATTTTCTGACTTCACTGTGTTTTTTATATTTCGTTGTACATTGCGTACGCTTACGTAGGTATTCAATATTTTATAGAACGTTTTCGATACTGTACGCCCTTGGTTGGCCGAGAAGTTTGGTTGTTCAGTTTTGATTGGGTCAATCAGCTCTGAAGACAAGTGACAAATGGTGATTCCTTGTAAAAAAAGATATATTTACAAATATACATAGTAACTTTTACTACGATAAAAACAGAATCTATACAGGTTAGACTATTATTATCTAAACGAATATATATTTGTGTTACTATAAACTACAACTGTTTTTCTGTGTTACATTTGTTGCAATATTTTCTTATTGATTTTAATTTGTTGAAATTAAAGTTTTATTGAGTTCTTGTCTTCCAAACAAATGTTTTTTAGCTCTAAAACAATAAACCACCCTTGGACAACTGACAGTGTACTGTATCATTTTAGATTAAGAGGTTATTTTACTGTATATAATTACAATAAATTATTGTAAAAACTAGTTTTGTCTTTCTTTGGTTATCTTTAGCCTTTTAAGCCCCTAGGATTATTTATTTGATTATGCCAAAACCTGTATCCTCACAATTTTAGAATACACAAATCCAATTTCTTGCTAATAATTACAATTGATCAGACCTAAAGAGCACTAACAGCATTGGTAAATTTAATGCCCAAGCATCAAAGAAGTCTAGTCTGTTCTAGTTTGTGTTCAGACTATTTTTGAATTTTAATAACTTCCCCAGTGTCATTTTTTATTCCTGTATGGACGTAGTTAGTGGCCCTTTATCATGCTAAATTTAGGATGTTGGTTTGGTAAGTGTAAAAGGTAAAAATAATTGTTAAAACCATTTTATTCACAATAATTCACTATTAGATGTACAGAATAACAGAATCTTTTAAGCTCTTAAATTTCTTTATTCAGTATAATCTACTAATATTAATAATTAATTATAATCTATGGTGTATCACATAAAAAAAACTAAGTAAAATGAAAATTTGGCAATTTTTAAAACTATAAACAATATCACAATAATTTTTATATATAAAAAAACGTCTTGGTTGTGTTGTGAGGGAAAAAACAAAATCCACATCTTAAGTTGCATTGTATGTTCTACTAAATGTTATAGGCTAAAAGCCTAGTCCAGCAAACCTAATTTTACAAATACAAATTGTGTATGCATCAAACAAGAACAGAAGAGCATACTATGTTGGTAACTAACTAATTTTGACCAGTAAACAAGTTTTTGGCAACAATTTTAATATTACAGGAATCATTTTACGCCACTTCTCAATGTTGCTGTTTGCTGTACAATTAGATGAGCAAAGGTCTAATACTACGATCAAGACTACCAAGATCAGGTACATAACATGTTGAGAGTCAAAGTATATTTATTTACATACAATGGGCTGTGTGCAGTTCCTTTTTTTATCCTAAACATGGCATTACAGATAATTTCGCTATAAGCACCTGTAAATGGGAATATTGTTGTGGTTTTGATTAGGTAAACATTTTTCATTGACGACCACTTATTTTGTCATCTCTATATTTATAAAAAACGAACTATTACAAAACAAGTAAAAGGCAAGAGACGTAAACGTGTAAAACAAACATGGATCCTTGTAAGATTCAATACGATTTGCTAATTCTAGAAACAAAATATGACACTTTACAATAAAATAATACAACAAAAATATAATTATAAAATGAGATACATTATGTTATGTGTAGCTTCCTTAATTAGGACTAGACAAAGTTTTCTGCTAATATAATCGTTTTAAAATCAAATGTTCAGTGGTAAATATAGGTAGCTCAGGTGATTTGGGTTTTATTTTTAGCCAATAAGACAATACGGTTACGAGTGATTCACAGTTAAAGCGTCATTTACAGCTAAAACTTTTACACTTTAATTTTGGCAGTTACTTTTCAACAGGTTTGTGTGTACATTGAGACAGAGACATGTTTACAGTAGTTGGTACACATTTATGCAGGATATCACTAAAATGTAGCGGGCTATGCAAAAGATTCCACAAACCAAAATGAGTAAAATATATCCAGTAACATTTTTTTTATTTCGACTTAGTTTAGCCATAATCCGCCATCTCGTACTACTTTCTTAAATAATTTTTTATTCAAATTCCCAAGGTAAAAAAAAAAATTAAATTTCAAAATGGCAGCATTTGTTTTTCTTAAAAAAAATGAGACTAAATAAAAAAATATACACCTTAAATAAGAATAATTGATTCAATTATTTGTTCAATAAGTCGGCTACGCATTTTTGTGTCACCCTGTAAAAAAAACTTGCTGTTTGTAACTGCTTCTAGCCAGTCTTACAACTCGCTCATGTGAGCCTTCAAACAAACTAATACTTATTAGAACTTATCGGGAAAAACTAATACAGTAGTATAGCCTTGCCTAACCAAGATGCTTAGGAGGAATAAAATGATGAATATCTCTCTGGAAGAGTGGCTAAATGTATAATTCAAAATGGACCAAAACCACTTCAGAGGTCACTGGCCTTGCACTTGAGTTTGACCTCAGAGAAGTGAAGAACAGGAATCTTATAGACAAGGTATGAGACAACCGTGTACTTTCAGCTCTATTATGTTGTGCTTGAAATATACTTGTGACGTCCAAGGAAGAGCCAGAGTGACGAACACTGAGCGGGAATTCCTATCACACATTTCACAGGGTCATCCTCCACCGTGAGCATTGTAGTACAAGAGGGCTAGGATGGTGGTGTTGGACTTTGCCCTAGACACCACTGAAGTGTACCATTGAATGTTTCCCCTGTACCTTACTCCTTGGTGTCAGCATACACCAGGGGAGTTTTAAAGACTATACACAATACTTTTATTTAAAAGTAACAATTATTTACCACACAAAGATTAATAAAAATGATTATCCGCAGCTGTCTCGGCCCCGTAATTCAGATTAAATGAGGCTACAATGAGAAAACCACTCTCATATTTTGATAAATAATATTGAGCACATTTAAAAGTAAGTTTTTTGAAGTACTGTGGCCAAACTAACATTACTAGACACATATTTTCTAAATATAATTGCTCTTCCAAATAAGGCACGAAATAATTTAACTATGAATTTATTTGAATACAAATTTATATTAAATATATTTATTTTAATAACTACCCTACCCCATTAACTTTCAAATAATTGACATTTAAGTTTTGGCTTTAGTAGAAGGTACGAATTATATTTAAGCGTTTGAAAATTTAATGAGGTTAAATAAATAATCGTTAAACTCTTCTTATAGTAGTTTACACAACGATTGCGTTAATGACACGATTAGAAAATTTATAAACTTCTATGAGTGTCATTAACACTATTTACGTGAGTTGCACTACTTTACCTACGACAGTTTTTAATTACTAATAATCACTACTCATAACTTCTAAGAGAGGTTATGTTTTCGTTTATAACCTCTTATTTGCCACTGACAGTGATGCAACGAAACATTGTACGAAACACTAATTGCACCACTCAACAATTAAACAGCTGATTGGTTGAAGTTCAAATCATTACAATTTTACTTTTTCTCTCTAAAATCCACGAACCTCATTGGTCTGTTACCCGTGTTGTTACGAGTAAAATGCTGTTATGAAAGTAAAGAATGATGTTAAGAGGAACTTTTCAATTCTATGAACTGAACTGAAATGGCTACTTTAAAAAAACGGCCGTAGGTAAATACCGTACCTTATTGTCATCGGTGTGTATTTATTAAAATAAAACTAATTTATTATACAAGGTAAATTTCTGAGATGTTATAATGTATACAGCTTAATTTGCTTATAGTCCTCTAACAATTTTATACATATTGAATGTAAATATTTAGAGTAGCATTTTATGATAAACTTACTTAATAACTGTAATAATTTATTATTGAGTTGAAATTTAATGCTTGAATGATTATCTAAAAAAAGGTATAAGTCTGATAGTTACCCTTAACTAAACTTTAAAAACTAAATAGAAAATAATTATTATGTGTTCATAGAAGATTTTTTGTAAGGACAACCTAACAGGGACGCTCTACCGTAACTAACTTTAATCTAAAATGCTAAAAATAAATGGCAAAATTAAGTACTCGCACAAAAGTACAACTGTATTAGTTTTGGCACATTTTAAGCCTTTTCAACTATTACTAAAGCGAGGGGCGTTAGAACTAAAAACAGGCATTTCTATACAAACAATAACTCATTCTCACAAACAATAACATCGCAATATTGAGCAGGGAAAATTTGAAAGCTAAAAGATATTCAACCAATTTGTAGGGGTCAACCAAGTCTTAAAGTCAATTTGATTGTTTTCCTAAGTGAGCACAAACTTTCAAGTAAATGTAGAACTTCTTAGATAACTAATGATTCAATAACAGCAAATTTAACAAAACAATTTGAATAATGGCACCCTTGTTTCATATTTACAACAAACATTTTTACAGCACATAATATTTTTTTATTTATAGTACACATTTCTCCAAGAAATACAGGTACTTAAACTAGTATCCAAAAAAGATAATAAAAAGCTCTTAACGCAAAAATGCAGGGTAATATAATACTTACGAGTTTACGAAAATGTGACTCAATGATTGGTGATATTAATGTTGATTCTTTTACGTGTGGTTTATGAATAAATTAAGTATTAATCGGTATTAGGGAAATACGTTTTAAATAAGTGATGTGTAAAACCAAAAGTTGAATCCGAAAACCACCAACAATTGTTACTGTTTTTAGTGTTGAGACTCGCTCAACATGTTTTGGTAATCAAAACAACGCCAAAGATGTTTAGAAACTGATTACTGTTTTTAACAGAAATCCCACTTATTCATTTCAATAAAAATATTGATCTCCTTTTATTCCCAATCAAAATATTTGTGTATTTGTCAATGAAGACTTTAAAAAAATAAAATAAACTTGCTTGGTATTTTTTATATTTTTTTTATTGTCCTAAGACGCTACTCACGGGCCTGGGATTGTTTTTCACATTACTTCAGGCTAGACCTAGGGGTTGCTGCATTATCACTTAGATAATCCATTGGTGTTTTGGCGGGATTTGAACCTGGGTCCTCAGGAACTGAAGTCCTGCACTCTAACCACTAGACAAGCTTGATCATTTTTTTTTGTAAAGTTAATAAATTGCTCCCCAGGTATTTTTTTAAATTGGATCCTATGATCAATTTAAAGCATTTTATTTGGACTAACTGGATTTATTGTTCACAACCATAAACAAGTAGGCAGGTAACTAAATCAGATTTCAGTTCTTGAATTTTGATTTTGTTTTTAGATTCATAATTTTTGGTTTCACCATCACTATTTTTAAGTGGGAAGAGAATAAACTCAATAGCCCCTTCCTATTATGAAATTCGCTAAAACAAATTTCAAGCTCTACAACTAATTAGAAAAATAAGCTCTGATAATTAATTTTTGAAATCGGGACGAGATGATTTCAGACGGCCTTCTCTACATACATTACACAAATCGAACTTGACAATAAATCAACCAGCATTCTGATAACGTTTCAATTTCAATCACAAAAAATTTTCTATCTAAAAATTTCAACAAAAATAATACATAATAATACATGGTTTAGTACTTCAATTACATATTCTGATCCAATCCATTAAAGTGCATTGACCAATTTTCAATCTACAATATTGACACAAACACAATAATACATTGATTGCCAGTTTTTCAATTACAAGTCTCTGAATAATTGCGTTTGCATGATTGGTATTCGTTTTGGTACTTAAAGGAACTATTTGTACGACAGCAGGCGCCTGTGCTAGCTGGGAACAGGCGTGGCGTGGTGTCAGTCAACGTACGAAACTGACACTGCGTCACCTCCTACGTTGATGAGGCATTGACCCTGGAAACACAGACATCAAGAATGGGATGATTATAGAAAAATGTAAAATATTTTGGTTTGCTAATGATTCGACCCTTTTGGATTACACGTTTCGACGGTCTTAGTGTCGCCTTTGGATTGGAACAAAACTATTTTCTTTAAACAATAGATTAGGAAAGCTTTCTCATAGACAACCCACAATTTTTTGTAACAATTCAAAATTGAAGTTTTCAGTAACCTAACCTAACCCTAAACGTAGATGTATTAGACACTTGCTGATCCGGCACATTTGGGAAAAATAGTTGAAACTGCCGGATAATTGAACGTCTTCTAAAATCCGCTGTTATTGCGACACTTAAATAAGGAATTCAACCAACATCCAAAAGATCAATACTGAAGTCTAAATAATAGCTCCCAATGTCTGAACGATTGCTACCAAAGTATAAACGGTCACTCATGTAGTTTGAACTATTGCTCTTGACGTCTGTCGATCATATTACTTAAAAAGAATACAAACAAAAAACTTTCAGACCTTCTTAAGGTATTTGTGTAACGAAAAGGAATGTGCTATACAATACTAACGTAAAATTAGACAAAAATTTGGCTTACTATGAACAGGGTGCTTGGATCATAAAGCTTATTATTATTAGTTATTAAATAATGATTTGTGATATCTTCCATGATTAAGAAACACAACACCAAAACACTAATATAATATTGAACACTAACTTTGTAAACAGTTTTAGTAATTAATTGCCTTAATCTAGTTTGCCAAACATCAACAGTTAGAATTATAAAAGATAATATAGGTTCCGGTATTCTAAATGTGGATATTTTTAGAACAATTTCCAAAGTCTCGTCCATTTTAAATGGGAATGACACCAATCTATTAGACCAGCAAAGTAAATTCTCAGTTTCATTGGATTAAAGACTTTAATCTCTAATGTTCCATACACAAATTTGAACACCAGAATAGACCAAGCTTTACATGTTGACTTAACATTACAGGATGTCAAGCAGCTACCTTGAATGAAAATAAGTGAATTCCCAGGGATCATTCGCCATGACAAATTCTCTGTGATTTGTATAATTGTTTATTATCTATTCAATCCGTTAACAATCCATATTTGGACCTTCTGAAGGAGACAAGTGACAACTGCAGTGACCAGTAGACACTACATTGATGTTATAATGCCCATAAAATATGCATAAAAATATTACAAAGGACACTTACATGATTTTTGTGGGGATTGTTGAGTATGATGCACTCATTGAGGAAGAACGCAACCATAGCGTTGCCTCCCAGAGCCGTCACATGGGCCCTGATGATGGCGAGCACTTCTGCGACAAAACTGTGCACAAAACCACTCATTCCACCACCCTGGAACATCGCGTTGAACGCTGTAGGTGCCTTTTTTCTAGAGTTTATAAATACTTGATACTTCAGGATTTTTATGGGTAAATATTTTTGCTATCTCTAGGCAGGATTTTTTCTAGACGTCTCCCAATTGCACCCAACGATTCCGAATTCCGATAACTGCCGAATGCTTTCGGCATCAGGACCCTTGACAGTGAATAAGACTAGTCAAATCATTATCTACTTCATGCATTACTCACCTTGACCTTGAGAAGTTTCATATTGATGCCAGTTACCAACCTTGTCATTTAAAATATTGCCAAGTGGAAGTGACTGATGTCTAATTAACTCTTTATAAAAATAAAATATACGAGTAAAATGATTAGAAGAAGTTACAAGATTGGAAAGAGTTTGCCCAAATACTGCTATAACTTATTGATCACTAAAATATAAAGGCAATTGTATAGAATTGAACCATGCCCCCGTGCCTGCACCCAGACTAACGAAATGGAAGCGTGATCCATGCGCAGGCCCGAGGAACGGCCCACAAAACTTTACTTAACAAAATGAGAACCATGGATCATGAGTCGTGACATTCGCCCGGTGGAAATAGTCACGGCTCAACCTCCCTCCCCAAAAGAGGACACTCCTCTCCAAAAGGGACAAACAAACAAGCCTCTCCCCCACTTCCTGAAAAGAGAATGACCTGAAAGACAACTCAAGTGTCTGTGGTGGGGAACGCCAAGGGACTTCCAAACTGAGGGGAAAACTCACCCCCAGGGTTTGCTCTGGCCAGAGCTGGAAAATTTTGTGAGGGAAATTCCTTCGCAGAACACAGGGGACAGGAGAAGTGATCAGGTTCTCTGGCCCAGTGCACTTCCCACCCAGACACAAGAGGAAAGAAAATTGCCTACGGAAGAGTTCCGCGGAAGGGCTTGAGATGAGAAATGTGCGCCCTCCGGAACACTTTTCCAGTCCGCGGATCTCCAAGCTCCGCCGTGACAGGCGTCAAAAACCTCAGGATGCGGTGGGGACCTGACCACCGATGACACAACTTTGCAGCTCTCTTGTCCACAGCCGAACTGGCTGGATGAGCTTTACAAAACACCAAATCCCCCACCTGGAAAGGGTTGTCTACTCTACCACGATTGTGCTTCCTCCGGACCAATTCCCTAGCTCTGATCAAGTTTCTCCTGGCCGCTTGCCAAGTTGCCTTGACATCAGCCGCACCAGGAGGTGGCAGAAGGTCGCCAATTCCCCACACATTCGCTAACGGGTTGTTAGGCGGATAGCCTAGAAACAGCTCGAAAGGGACCGCCTTGTGACTCTCATGGTGAGCAGTATTGAAAGCAAACTGAAGCCAAGGGAGTTCCTGATCCCAGGTGGTCTGCTTGTCAGCATGGAAAGCTATGAGAGCGGAACGAAGATTGCGATTGAACCTTTCAGCATGAGAAGGCTGTGGATAGTAAGGGGAAGTAGTCACATGGCGGATTCCGTGCCCAAAGCACATTCTTTTGAACAGATGGGAAACAAACTGTGTTCCGTTGTCGGAAACAATGGTGGCGGGTATTCCAAAATGTTGGAAGAGGTGAGTTCGAAGTACCTGCACGGTGAGCTGTGCAGTGGCATTCCTTAAGGGGAAAAGCCAACAAAACTTGGAGAAGGCATCCACACAAACAAGTAGGAACTTATTTCCTGACTTGCTACGCGGGAGAGGCCCTACATAGTCAATGAAAACCTTCTCCAAAGGTCTTTCCGCCACCTCAGATGACAACAAACCAAACTTAGAGTTTTGAGCGGGCTTGCTCAGTGAGCACGTTTGACAAGAACGCACCCTAGCAGCAAGATCCCGATCCATACCCTTCCAGATGAACATTTCCCTAACCTTCGCAATGGTCTTGTGGATACCTAGATGCCCACCCACAGGAGAAGAATGAAAATACTCAAAGACCATAGGTATTAGAAGACTAGGCAGCACAACTTTAGGTTTACCTCGCTGCCGAGCGCGACAGCAAAGGGCACCCTGGGACAGAAAATATGGGGGGTGGGCTCCCCCATTTTGAAGCTCACCAATGATCTTTGCCAGCTCAGGATCCTTCAGCTGATGGGGAATGAAATCAGAAAAGGCGAGAGGAAACTCCAGGAGCACGGCACAACCCGGTTGCTCTTGGTCAGAAGGATGATCGTCGGGTGAATGGTACATCCTAGATAGTGTGTCAGCAATCACGTTCTGTGTGCCTCGAACGTGTTGCACTTGGAACTTAAGGGACGATATTTGGACAACCCAACGACCAATTTTCCCAAGCTGGCGTGGATGTGCAAGAAGCCACGAGAGTGCCTGGTTGTCGGTTTCCAATAAAAACTCTTTGTGCTCCAAAAAGCGTCTGAATTTATTGACTCCAAACACGACAGCCAAACACTCGAGTTCATACACAGAAGAGCTTTTCTTTTCGCAGGGACTCAAAGTGCGTGAGGCGTACGCAATTGGCTGCCTAACACCATCCACCTCTTGTGACAACACAGCCGCAATTGCGACGGAGGAAGCATCTGTTTGCAAGACAAAGTTTTGATTGAAATCCGGCATCGCCAAAACAGGGGGCTGCATGATAGCCTCCTTGAGAAGATCAAAAGACGTCTGCTGCGCTTCACCCCAGACAAACTTGGCGCCCTTCTTCCGAAGCTCATTGAGAGGAGCCGCCAATTCAGCAACATTGGGGATGAAGCGTCGGTAAAAACCTACCATGCCGATGAACCTAGCAATACCCTTGACATCTCTGGGAGGAGGAAACTCCCTGATAGCCTGGGTTCTAGCGGGGTCGATGCAGACGCCTCTATGAGAGATAAGATGACCAAGGAACGAAATTTCCGGCTTTGCAAAACTAACCTTGTCAGGATTCACGGTAAGGCCAGCCCTATTCAATCTACTCATGACTTCTTCAAGATGAATCAGGTGATCTTCAAAGCTCTCACTGTACACCAAGAGATCGTCGAGGTAATTGAACACAAACTTGAACTTGACATCATGAAAGATGGAATCAAGGAGTCTGGTGAGAGTCTGGGCCCCCACAGCAAGACCCATCGGAACTCTTGTGAACTGATACAAATTCCACGGAACGCAGAAAGCAGTGAGAGGTCGAGACTCAGGTTTCAAAGGAATCTGATGATAGGCCTGATTCAGATCAAAAACAGAAAAATACTTGGCCTTACCGAACCAATCAAACGCAGAATGCAAATCGGGGAGAGGCACAGAGTCGATTTCAATTTGCGCATTCAATTTGCGATAGTCCAGAACCATTCGGGACTTGCCATTGGGTTTCGGGACGAGAAAAGCTGGACTAGCGTAGCTCGAACGGGAGGGTTCAATGACACCATTTTCCAGAAGTTCGTCAATGATTTTTCTGAGAGTTTCCATTTTGGGTGGAGCTAATTTGTATGGGTGAGAGCGAACGGGACGGGTATCTGTTAGACGAATCTCGTACTCTAACAGGTTAGTGACTCCAAGCTTTGGCGTCAGCACATCTGGGAAACGAGAACACAAGGTTCTGATGGCTTCAGCCTCGCAAGTAGTCAGATGCCCTAACGGATCAATTGTTGGCTTGCTGGGTATCTCAGGCTCGACTACCGCAGCACCACCACCAATTTCATCAGCAAAAGATATTAATACCCGCCTCGCAAATCGGAAAAAACACTGACCTCTGCCTAAATCCAAAATTAGGCCAGTGTGCTTGATAAAATCCGCTCCCAAAATGACAGGGAAACAAAGGTCCTTAGCCACCCAAAAACTCCAAACCCAAGAAAATTGTTCAATTTTGAACTTGAAACGGGCTTCATAGATGATGGGAAGGGGTGAATTTGACGCAGTCCAGCAGATAGGGGTTTTTCGCTCAACTTGCTTGATAAGCCCAGACGATTCAAGTTTTTCAAAAAGGGACAAGGAAATGAGGCAACGGGCTGACCCAGAATCCACTAGGGCCTTCTGCACCGTGGAACCTATGAAGATGTTGAGACGTGGGCAAGTTGAGCGCGCCGCTTTCACGCCCATGGTAGCAAGGCCCGCAATCCCCCGCAGCAGAGGCTCGGTCACAGGCACAACACTCCCAGAAGGGGAGGCAACAGAAACATTAACTGACTTTAACTTAGAATTTGACTTACTTGAAAAAACTTTCAAATTATTGCCCTTTACATTATCACCAACAACCTCACAGGAAGGATTGGGCAATTTTTCCTCCTGTGAGCAAACTAGTTTTTTGGACCACGTCCAAAATTTCCACCTTGACGGCAATGCCGCCGAATGTGACCTGGTTGCCCACAACCAAAACAAACAACAGGTTGCCTCTGCCACTGCGGCGGTTCAGGACCCAACCCCACGGGTGCTACGACAGCATGATGACCAGCTAGGGGAAGATGCCCCGCCGCTTGGTCTCTCTGAAAATCAGCGTCCTGGACAGATCTCGAAAGGATGGAGAGTCTGTCCAGATCCGCAAAAGATGCAGGCCGTGGTGCAAAAACCAGACGGGAGCGTTCCTCAGGCTTCAACCCCTGAAGCACAATGTCAATGAGCTCAAGCTCACTGATCCCCAAACGCAAGACCCTTTCCACCGTGCGAATGTCCCCCACGTACTGGCTGAGAGACTCGGCTGGCTGCTGAGGACGAAAAACTCTCTCAACTTTCAGCTTCTCCATGACCCGACGGGGCATGAAAAGCTCCAAAACTTCTTTATGGAAAACATCAAAGGTGACGCCTCTGCGCAAACAATCAAGCAATCTGTCCCCCAACGGTTTCAGACAGTATGGAGCAATGAGTTCCATCAAAGTTGCGTCTGACATGCCAGGGTATTCACGCATGCGCAAAACACTCTCCAGAAAAAAACAAAGACCATTCACATCTAACCCGTCCACCGGCCGGAAACCACTCAGGACAGAGGCAAGGGGATGGGGAAGTTTGCCAAAGGAGTTAGAGATGGAAGGGGAACTATGAACTTGAGAAGGAAAGGGAGATGGGGACTGGACATTCAGCGTAGCCGCAGCCAAGGTGGACGTGTGAGAGGGGGACGGTGTGACATTTGCATTTGACATTTGAACATTTGCAGGCAACTGGAGCAGTGTACTTGGCGTAGGCGGAGCCCGGGGGGTACCCACTGGAGCCACAACTTCAACAACAGACTTTGGCACTGTGTTTGAAATTTCCAAAGAACGGTTGTCTTCAAAAATTTCGACTTTCTCTTGGACAGACTTTCCTGCCTTAATACTCTCCAAAATTCCTTCCAGCTCAAGAATTCTGGCTTCCACCAAGCTCTTGTCCTCATCTTGGATTTCAGGTTGCCCTGAAACCAAGAGCAGACGCTTACGCCAGTGCGTCAGCTGTGTGATAGCCGAACCCTTAGCTGAGCCCATAGGCAAACTACTCCAACTATCAATTTCCCCACTTAGCTCTTCCATCCTCTCTTTACATGCCTCCAGTTCCTCATCCAAACTGAGCGACTCAACCCAAGCTTGAGGCATGCTAGCAATTTGTCTGAACTGTGTACGCAAAGTGCGTACATCAGTTCCAGGAGTCTCCCCCCGGGACCGCACCTCGTACACCAGCTCCGGCTTCCTCAAATATTCCGGCACAATTGACGCCATACCGAGTCTCAACCAGCACTTGACTCAAAATAACAGCCAACAAAATTTTTTCACAAAACAAACACAGAAATTTAATTCCTAAGGCTTCTGGACGTTGATGCCCACGCACCTGATGGGGCCCGAAAGAAGAACCTGCCCATTCATACCGCAAGTACCGCAAGAAAAAACAACAACAAATGACCCACGAACGTACACACACACAAACATACACCGATACATACACTAGACAACACCTAACACTTGTGTGATGGGGGGTACACACAAACCTTTTTTTTTTTTTTTTTTTTTTTTTTTGACACATGACCATGCTTTTGACACTCTTGCTCCCGAAGGATGCAAGTCATTACCACCGATTCCACCCGGTGCCTCGGCCAAAGGGCGAGCTCCTAATAAAATGTGTTTACGCCCCACCACAACAACAACAAGACCTTTTTCCAAAACTGCCAGGCCAGAACATTTCCAAGAAACCAATCCATCCACGGCTCTTCAAAACAAAACAAAAAACAGAACGCGGACAGCGATCGCATCCCTAAGTATCCGAGTCGTGAAACCAAGTTTCACGACAAGGCACCCAGGACGCAACCCACTAACCACGCTCTGCTACCAGATGAACCATGCCCCCGTGCCTGCACCCAGACTAACGAAATGGAAGCGTGATCCATGCGCAGGCCCGAGGAACGGCCCACAAAACTTTACTTAACAAAATGAGAACCATGGATCATGAGTCGTGACATTCGCCCGGTGGAAATAGTCACGGCTCAGAATCAGGCAAACCCTGTGGTAGCTTTACTGTCACATTTTACCTCCAAGTCATTAAACTACCACTATTAAAAGGAATACTACCCAAACTGATTGATCAACGAATAAACATACCTCTCTTATGCATGAAGTTTCTCTTATAAAGAAGAAATTGAGGTTCCCCAGATATCTTTCTATGTGTCCGCCAGGAACGTAAGATAACGGTGTTAGGTCAACTCCGTAGCGCTCTCTGGGGGGCAACTGAAATCAAATTATTTACTGTACAGGGTGAGGTAATGAAAGCGTCTCAATTTATAAACGTTACAAATTTAATACTATTTACCATATACATATTAATAGCACATCAAAACACAACTTATCTTATACCATTTTAACTTGATGGAGTCATTTTTCCATTTCTTGAAAACAACGTCCTTTAAGAGACGTCAGTGTACTACTTGACATTCCCTATAGTCTTATGTTATTCTTACTCCCATTCAAGACTTAGGAGTTAATTTTTGAATTACCTGATATGTAAAAGTAAGATTATGTGAAATAAATGTTTGTACTACATAAGATAAAAATAGGTTAATTTGTAAAAACTAATGTATATTGTAATTGTGTTTTATTTATTATATCGTACGTAATATCAGTGGTGTAGGGAATGACAAAGTGAAGACAACGGAAAAATTATGAAATAACAGAATAAGAAAAATGATTTTCCATGAAATTTCTTAGACGTTCTAACTCACGTTTCTAGACGTAAAACAATTAAAAAGAAAATTAAATTTCTAATCCCACAGTTTACTAGATATTTTAAATTTACAATCGCTTCGGTGTTTGAAAAAATATTTTAAGATGGTAAATAGCGACTGTTTAAAATTAACAAAATTAACATTGCTCTTAAGGCGGGAAAATCCAAGATCGTTAGCTTCCATGAACTCCTTTGGAGTACAATTCAAAACTACAAAGAACATTTCTAATCTCACAGTATACTAGATATTTAAATTACAATCACTTTGGTGTTTGAAAAAATATTTTTGGACGATAACTCTTCAGCAGCTGTTTAAAATTATCTAAGATAGCCGCAAGCCTCCAAGGACTCTGAACTGAATTAAGAGCTTCTTTATAATAGCTACTAACATGAGTAGACTGTCGAGTAGGCCTAGGGGACTTGGGCCTAGCTGCCTTGGTAGACTGAGCACTATTTGATTCTTGGTCTTCCTCCAGAGAAAATATCATGTCACCATCATCTGTGTAAACATAACACCATGAGTGGACAAGCCATAGACATGTAATCATTTATTTAATAACATTTAATTAAAAAATAGCTTTTTCCTTGTAGGGAAATTAGCTAAAACAGACAATTGTAATAAAGTTGAAAGTAGATGCTTACAATAAAACGTTTTCCATACCTGACTTTTTACTGGTATTTAGAGATTCGGGTTTGCTGGAAGCCCCAAGTGTTCCAGCTCTTCTTCGGACGGATTTCACATTTTTTATCATTTCTCCTAGACCTACAGCCATTCCTGTTAACATAAAGTAAAACATTGAATATAACCGTGAGAGAGTCGCTATAATAAACTTATAACAAGATTGATACTCAAAACAAGATGAGATTTCTGAGCCCAAAATGAAAATTCAATTTTCCACCGATCATGATAGAACATTTTTGCAATTATTATTTTTTTTATTCAACAACTCAAAATTATCTAAAAGAGCGATACAGTATAAGTTAAGCATTTCGAACAACTAAAACAATATAAATAAACTATTCCGTAGTCAAAATTTCAATGCTTAAGTTTTACAAAAGAACTGTTCATCAGAGTTATTTTGTTGCCTGCTCAGCTTTGCCTTTTCCCTAACACGTATTTGCGCAATAACCTAAATTTGAGTTTCATGTGATGGAAACTACTGCTAGCATTGTTATTATAGTAATATTTTTTTATAGCCACTCACCCACTATAGAGATCTGCATCTCATCGGGTTCAGGCAAAGCGAGACGGAATTTTATATTTCCGACAGCGCATGGAGTCATCCTCCTCAATTTGTAATAAATACCCTGAAAATGATCAAAGTACATTTTTTTATTCGGGAAAAAGAAATGGACACATAACTAACTTAACTAAGAGAAGAGTTCCAGGTAGTTGAAAACTTATAGAACAAGTTCACAACACAATAAACTTGATATTCCGCCACTACAAACAAATTGATTTTTTTTACTAGTTTTAAAGTGGACTTTTGAGATTCAACTGTATGTTTTATGGCAGTTAATGTGTTGATTTGCTTATCAACACATCCAACTAATAATAATAGGGTAAGTAATGGTAATAGTAGGGTAAGTAGTAGGGGTAGTAATATAGGGTAGGTAATAGGGTAATACATGCACCACTCTGTACAAATATGTATACTGTAAAATCAATCAGCCTTTGTTTGTACTCAATATCTTCCGAAAGAAAATAGTCTTCAGCTACAAACCCCCAACAATCTTTTCTGATCCATAAGAAGAACAAAAGTAAATTAGCTGTGTAATTATTTACGAGGAAGTAAATAAATATAAATATATTACATTGGTTACCGATATCAACCAACCACAATGGTCAAAACTTTATCAGTCTCAGATCGGGCTTAATGATGATAATGTTACATGGCCTATCAGAACCTTCATTATTCTGTGATTGGGCCTGATGATGATAATGACATGGCCTATCAGAAACTTCATCAGTCTGTGATTGGGCCTAATGATAATAATGTTACATGGCCTATCAGAAACTTCATCAGTCTGTGATTGGGCCTAATGATGATAATGTTACATAGCCTATCAGAAACTTCATCAGTCTGTGATTGGGCTTAATGATAATAATGTTACATGGCCTATCAGAAACTTCATCAGTCTGTGATTGGGCTTAATGATAATAATGTTACATGGCCTATCAGAAACTTCATCAGTCTGTGATTGGGCTTAATGATAATAATGTTACATGGCCTATCAGAAACTTCATCAGTCTGTGATTGGGCCGAATAATAATAATGTTACATGGCCTATCAGAAACTTAATCAGTCTGTGATTGGGCTTAATGATAATAATGTTACATGGCCTATCAGAAACTTCATCAGTCTGTGATTGGGCCGAATGATAATAATGTTACATAGCCTATCAGAAACTTCATCAGTCTGTGATTGGGCTTAATGATAATAATGTTACATGGCCTATCAGAAACTTCATCAGTCTGTGATTGGGCCTGATGATGATGTTACATGGCCTATCAGAAACTTCATCAGTCTGTGATTGGGCTTAATGATAATAATGTTACATGGCCTATCAGAAACTTCATCAGTCTGTGATTGGGCCGAATGATAATAATGTTACATAGCCTATCAGAAACTTCATCAGTCTGTGATTGGGCTTAATGATAATAATGTTACATGGCCTATCAGAAACTTCATCAGTCTGTGATTGGGCCGAATGATAATAATGTTACATAGCCTATCAGAAACTTCATCAGTCTGTGATTGGGCTTAATGATAATAATGTTACATGGCCTATCAGAAACTTCATCAGTCTGTGATTGGGCCGAATGATAATAATGTTACATAGCCTATCAGAAACTTCATCAGTCTGTGATTGGGCTTAATGATAATAATGTTACATGGCCTATCAGAAACTTCATCAGTCTGTGATTGGGCCGAATGATAATAATGTTACATGGCCTATCAGAAACTTCATCAGTCTGTGATTGGGCCGAATGATAATAATGTTACATAGCCTATCAGAAACTTCATCAGTCTGTGATTGGGCTTAATGATAATAATGTTACATGGCCTATCAGAAACTTCATCAGTCTGTGATTGGGCCGAATGATAATAATGTTACATGGCCTATCAGAAACTTAATCAGTCTGTGATTGGGCTTGATGATGATGTTACATGGCCTATTAGAAACTTCCATCAGTCTGTGATTGGGCCTGATGATGATAATGTTACATGGCCTATCAGAAACTTCATCGGTCTGTGATTGGGCCTGATGATGATGATGACATGGCTTGAATGCTGATGATAACATTTTAGCCTCATCAAGACTGATGAAGGCTTGATCAGAAACTCCATGGCATGGCCTGATGGTATACTCTACCAGTCTTGGATGTGGCTTATGATGATCAGTGTCTCCTGTCAAAACTGACAGCCATTGTAATATCTTTCATCTAGCATTTAGTTAATAGTTGTAGTATAATGAATTGAGTAGATTTGAAAGACAAATGTTATCCATACAACAACTAAAGCTTATAATGTTAATGAACAGGTAATCTATTATGTGTTCCCCAAACTTTCGACTGTTAATGGAGCTAGTAGGCCTACCTGAAGTAGCCTATGGAAGTGTTTGTGCATGGACGAGGTAGGTTGTGTGGCCGGTAGTCGAGAGCGCCAGATCTGTGTGAACATCTGTAGGTTCCTCACTACCTCAAGCTCGTCAAGACCCGGAAGAGTCTCTGTGGCCGTCACAAAGAAGCCCTCTGGAGGATGGGGGTCAATCAGCTGACTAACTGCCTCCATGTCTTGTTCGTCGTCTACCTGTAAATTTCTTAAGTTGAATAAATAAAGCTAGTGTGTGCACACGCATACATTGTAAAATCACCTGGCAAAAAGATTCTTAGAGACAAAAAGAAAGTAGCTAAAAGACCCAAGAAAAGAAAATAAAAGATGTAATTTTATTAATATGCAAGATAAAAAGGAAATATACCACCATAAAGACATCAGACAAAAAATGTACTACATCACACCATTAAGACTCAAGACTAAAAACACAGCAACCACTTTGTCCAACTCTTTTTTCTACACTTGAAAAAGTCCCCAAGAGAAGAAATATTGTGTTTTCCGTGTCTTCTAAACTTCTCTTTAACAAGACAAAAGAAAATGTGAGATCTAACCATAAAGACGCAAGCCTCCTTGTTGCCAGCATGCAGGTCCATATCTGGCAGATCATCATCTGAATCTTCTGTGTCTGAACCTGCACCATCCGCTGCAGTGTCACCAGACTCCTGTCATAACAAAAACTGACATGTAACTGTAACATCAAAATAACACAAACTTGATGACGATAAAAGTAGTTATTGATTATCACACTATCATTAACATGGTTATAATTTAATAAGGTTAGAATGGGTGTAGAATAAAGTGTGTTTGTAGCTTTTATACTGACTGAGACCAGCTGTTTCTCTAGTCACGATCATTTACAGCTTTAGGCAATGATCATAATCAGCTGTTTCTAGTTTTGAAGCATCAAGAAGCTACAGAGCAACTGAAATGCACTGCAGGTCAAAAGATTTCTACATTTCCCTCTTTCAGAGATATATGAGGATTGTTTTTTAAGTGAGTTTGAGTTTGAGTTTAGGTTTGTCCGTGCATGTTGGTTCGTAGTTTACGTCTACGCCACAATGAGGCTCCTCTCTGCTTACTGACATCATTGGTGAACAGAACGGTGCCATTTGCAGTCTGAGGCTGACGTGTGTAATTTGGAAATTTTATAAAATTATTGAAACTCCCACCACATGCAAGATAAGGTCCTTGCTATGTTTTAAGGTAGAAAAATATTGACATTATCGTATTTGAGGGGTGAAGGACTAGTTCAAGAAAACAACACCATAATGTCAACTTAGTTTTATTTTATATAGCATAAATTCAAGAGAAAAATAAAAATTAACTATAACAAAATCGCTAGAATAAAACTAGAATAACCAGGCTAGAATTGTGTTGAAAGGTAACAGAATAAACTTTACTTGTCAATTTTAAGGTGTATTGCATGTTTTTTTGACATAGCCTAGTATTAAATATTTTTACGACAAATAGAATTAAAACACTAAAGAGGAAATTAACACTATAAGTTCGTGTTTGTTTAAGCAATAATTTATTTTTCATACAAAGTAAAAATTTACACTTCTAATAGTATTTATCTACACAAAAGCGTAATTTATGTAGATTTTACCAACAACAGCAGACAGTTAGTATTTTACGCTATATTGGATTACCTCACCTGACTGGTGCCTGCTGTCTTGACCTGGTAGAACTCCCTGTTCTTCCTGACAGTATCCTGCAGTCCCCGCAGTACAGTAGCTAGTTTACTGTCCGCAGCACAAGACTCCCCTGCAGTAATGGACGGCATGGACGGGGGAGGCAGCGGCTCTAGATACACAGCTGTACCTGACGTCACTGCGGCAATCAGCTTTTCTCCCAGGCATATCTGCGTCTAAGAACACAACGAGGTAATAAATGGATGTTTAACTTTATCTGAATGTTTAAAAAATAACATCAGAGTACGCAAAAGAACTTCTATGGTTGATAATTAAGGGGTTTTCAAGAACCCTGCTACTATTGAAATTTGAAGTTGATGACAAAATAAAGTTTAATAGGTAGTTCACATTTTACTATTCTACAGATGCAAGTTTTATTTGCATCTCTTTAGATACTTTACAAGTCCCAGACTGGTCTTTTTTCATTAGTTTTATTTTTTAAGTAGGTTTTTCATAAATACATGTAATGAACGGAAATAAATTGTATTACCTTTGACTACTGATACAACTAGACATTCCATACACAAGCTTTTTTACCAAGTCAAACTAATGAAATGGCTTATTTTGAGCCATAGCAACTGTTATAACACATTAACTTGGTCAGCAACAAAAATAAGGTACAAAATAGAATTTTATACACTAGCACATTCAACGTATACACTGACCAGCCCAACTAAATTCTTTGCCTACCTAAAATAACGTGAAGGTTTAAAGCATGAATTAATTAGAGCACCTAAAAGCAGACGAGTTTCTTATTGTAAATACGCAAATTTTTTGTGGACATACATCCACTAAATGCTTGCATCACAAGGGGTTGGTTTTTTGTGTTAGTGATGAAACTATTGAATCAAAATTAACAAATAAGGAACGTTTAGATTATTTTATCTAATAATTTCAACAACTCATCTCAAAAACCAAATGTAATAATGATTATAAATAATCAGCTCATCTGATCTTTTAACATTAAACATTTGGCTGTTTAATAACACTACAGTGTTCATTAGATGAGGGGAAACCATGATAAAATTAGGCATTGGTGACTGAAAATTCAGGAGTTTAAACTAATTAGACATTACAAACAAACTTCAAAGTTTAGGAACATTGAACATTCTAAACTCGGAAGTGAGATGCAGAGGATCCAAATTATGAATAATCTGACAAAACTTATTAACCAACAAACATAGTTATATTCATTCCTATTCCTTACCATCTTACCATAACTTACCAACCACCTAATTGGCAATGTGTTTATGGAAAAATGAACCTTACCTTCAGTCCAAACACAGCATTCATTCCGTTAACCTTGAGCTTGTTGACGAGCTGTTTGTAAATGTCATACTCTATGAAGGGGAGACTGTCGCTGACGACGCAAGCGTTCAGCTCCCCCCGGGCGTGCTGCTTGGGCCGGGTCACACACACATGGATCAAACACGTACGGCCAATAACAGGGAGGCCTTCTAGTGGCTCCACTGTTGCCAGCAACAGGTCTGGCACCTTCCTTTTGCTACAAACAAAATAGTTCTTTTTAGAAAGTGGTGATTGCAAGTTTTATTACAAACATTTTGACAAGATTAGAATACATACGTTTTTACACTATTTTGGTATCTAGAAGCTTATCTCATGCTCATAGTATAGTAAATGAAGACAAAAATATTAATGTTGGAACGAATTAGTAACAAGGAAGACTATAGACCAATTGTTGTTACCTAGAAGTACCTTTTTTCAAAAGTCCCTTAAGATCCCTCTGATTCCCGGTTCCTCTCATAGTCAGAAATTGCATGGTTTTGCTAAAGTGTGTCTATCTCAGGTATGGTTTATCCAATTGAGTGTATTTGGTGAATCGGAGGCTCAGTTGGTAGCACCACGGACTTTGTGCTCAAGGCATTGATGTCGTGGGTCGAGATCTTGGTCACTGCCCCTACTTTTTATCAGTACAGTTCATCATTGTAATGTACCGGCTCATCCCTTGCTTTGCTGTATACATTCCAGACATATAGCCGAGGCCTATGTGGATGGGCAAATGCAACGTTAAAAAAAGGCTACCAACCTCTTGAAAAAAAACCTTGTTGTATTATTTGTGATCTTATTGCCTAAGATAAATGTATTTGTGACTTTGCCATCATTCTACTTTTTTCTCCCAGTGTACGTCTAAAAATTCAAATTTCAAAACATTAACACTTTATTATTTATTTTCTGCTGTAGTTTTTTATTCCAGAAAAATTTGAAAAAATGTTCTCTAAAAGTGTGTTTTTATACGCTTACAAAATATATGATTGTGATATATGACAGGAACTGTCTGTGGTTAAACTGCAACTATCGCTCATGTGATTAGTTATGGAACTTTTGCAATGGATATAGATTATTTTGATGAACCGAGTGACAGTTGATTCAGGATTGATTAAGTGAAAGTCTATTGTACTATTGCCCACTTACCTGCAGACCGCACAACGTATCGTAGACATGGGCAGTGGCACAGAGGCTGGGTTGAACGGAAGATGACACAAGGCACACCCGTTGGTAGAACTGTCTGGTTGTTCTAAACTGTCAGAGTGATGCCTCGCTTTATTCCCTCCACCCTGGAAATTATGTAAATTCTTAAGTAACAAGGCTATAAATGTCTGATACAATTATGTGTACAATCGTCCCACAAAAAAGAGGTAACACAATACTGTCACAAAGCTGTGGTTAGTGCCCACATTATTTCAGTGGTAAAATCTTGAACTGGTAACCAGACATTGCTGATTTGTGGTTGGCTCTTTATTTTCACTGTAATCATCATTGACTGGATTTGGACCACCAATTTTTTACCAGGCCTACTTGTCCTACAACAGACAAGTAAAATGTGAGTGGAGGCAGCACAAAATTTAAAATTATTGGCGTTAGTAAAGAAAATACGGAGCAAGAACTCGATTACAAAGGTTATAAAAATAATCGTTGGAATTTTCCAATGTTAGTAGCCCCAATAAACTATCATTTAGGCTTTAACCCTCAAGCTGGCATGCGCCCGATAGCGGGCGATTTACGCCGCGGCCGAAACAGCAGCGCCCGATATTGGGCGCATTTACAACGTAACAGAAATCGCCGATTTTTGCATGAAAATGAAAAAAAAATTCACTTAATATAGTATTTATTTGGTTCAGAAATGAATAACCTGTCAATTGATGTGCACTTCAACTATTTATACGCCTTTGGGAAAACTTAAAACTCTATGAAAATAAAGCGTCAGCTGACGACATTGTCATGGTGACGCAATCGCTTATTACCAGCGTCTGTTGTTGTTTATTTCGTGTTGTGTTTGGTTAGTTTTGGTGTTTTTTCGTTATAAGTTTATTTTTTATTGAAATGTGAGATGATTTCACTTCAAGATGAATGATTGTAACTACTGTGACCGATCTAGCGAGTTCCAATTCTAAGTAGCGAGGAGACATGCAATTCAAGTACTAGGCCTAGTGTAGGTTATACACCGAATATGTATATGGTAATAAAAACTGTTATATGTATTTTTTTTAGAAACAAGGTACATGTATTATATATAATTCTTTTCCTCATGGAATACTGCACAATTTGTATATTTTGAAATATGTTCTTGAGTTCATTGGTTTGTGTTATATTACGGAATTATATATGCATATAAATAAAAAAAAGTTTACGCTTAGTAAATATACTAAAAAATCTTTTTTGTAAATTAAAATTTCATATCTAAAATTTGTATAATATTATTCCTTGTTTTTTGCTGAAAACAAATGATATATAATATAATGTGTTTTCTGGGCTATTTATATATTTTTATAAGTGTTTTAAAAAATGGTTGCGCGGTGCCTAAAAAACCCTTGCCACTACAGAGTAAAATGACTACCAGCTCTAGGGTTAAAAATAAATTTACATTACCCAAATAATTGAAAAAATAAGGATTCTAAAAACAGCTTCAAAACCCTAAGAATAAAAATTACAACATTTCTGCCCATGAGTAAGCTACACGGGTAAAACTAGAACAGCAAAAGAAAAAATAATTATCTTTTCAATACGAATACAGTATTTTTCCTCAACTTACGTCGGGTTTCAGTGGTGTAGACTGTGAGAAGGAACTGGTTCGTTCAAAGTCCGTGCGGTCGAGACTAGTGGTCATGCTGGTGTTGGTGGGGGGAGCCGAGATAGGGGGAGCCGTGACGGGGGGCTTGGTTACAACGGGGGGCTCCGGTGTGTCGCTGACTGGGGGAACCAACACTGGCTTGACGTTGACTACGGCCGCAGTGCCGCTGGCACTCAACACACATACGTCATCACTGTAACAGAAGTATTGATAGTGAGCGATTTTGGATTTTAGTAACATCACTGACTTCTGGATACTGAAGTAGACATTCCAAATCAGCTGTAGCCTTATTTTATAAAAAAAAACATAGTTGAATGAGCCACTCACAGAGTGTGGTACATATTTTATTTTTGCCCTTAGTTTTTTACTAAGATAGATAATAGATTCTATATCTTACAATAAGTCGTCCTATCGGACTTGGTCAGTTGGTGTGTTTGACGGAAACCAGTAATTTATGCAATCTGTCAAAGACTAAATTCTCTATGTCCACTTATATCCTAAAACTATCTTGCTAATCCAGCATCCGATGGCCTGGCATTTTCAATAAACTAGCATCGGTCTAAAGGTCACAATATTAAATTATTTTTAAGCTATATTATCATAGCTGGCTGAGTTGGGATCAATCAGCTGACATTTACAGCCAAACAGGTCTATGATGGAAACACTCAATAAAATTTGAATGAAATTTATTAAAGTTTATTTTTTGCATTTATCACTATTGAAACAAGCTGGCTCAATAATGACCAGTAGGTTATTTTATTTTGTCACACTAAAATTAGCAGTAAGTCTTGTAATAAGGGCTGTTTTTAGAAGTCGTTTATTAATTCGGCATTTTCAACAATCCGCCACTGCTAAAGTTCTGAACGACCTGGTTTAGCGAGAACTGTACAGCCTTAACAGGGGGTGGAATGTCTTATTCTATAAATAGTGAAATATTTACATGTAAAGGTATTAATAAAATTAATAGTATTAAACAATAGTTACAACTTTTGCCGTTGCTTTTACTACAGGCTAGCTAAGGTATATTCGCCTAGAACACACCACATCTGTACGTCTGTTTACGAGTCACTAACCAGATAGTGGTGTTCTCAGAGTAGCCAATGACAGCGTTACATGACATCGCCTTCATGTGACTTCGCACCTCCAGCCGCAGCTCCTTCCACCAAGCATCTCTACTCTCCGGCTCCTCTTGATTGGCAACTCTCTCCAGCAGCTTGACTGAGCGAGAGGTTACTGTACCAGCTACAACACGCCATTTAACATTATTATCTGGATGCAGTTTATGCCTACAAAAGGTTATAGAAGGAAGTCATGAACCACAAGATAAACTTACTATGTTACTAAGTTTTACAACAATGAAAGAAAACAAACACTCACCAATATGTACAACAAATCCAGGTGGGAACTTCATCATAGTGAGGAAAGGAAACTCCATCACTTCCAGTGGTTCTTTCTTCATAGCGAGTTTGTTAGAGAGTGGCTGAAGGTTACGGTAGCCACCCGCGTTGGACGAGCGATCCCCACTGCTCGTCAAACTGTTGCCTGCGAGACAACAACGGAATGAGACGAAACAACCAATTTTGGCGGATATTGAGACCAAAAATTGTGGAAACTGTAGATATAGCAAGACTTAACTATATGTACAAACTTGAGGGAGGTTATCTAAGACAATTTTAAATATATAAATTATTTGTAACCTAACCTAACCAACAGTGACAGAATAAACACAGAGACAGCTGTAGAAACTGATTTGGCAGGTCTTATCAATGTGCAAAATTGTGGGAGGTTATCTATAAAAAGAGATAGAATTGATTTGCAACTGTGTTTGTTTTGACAAATTAAAAAAAAAAAATGAACTATGTGATTACTGTATACCAAATTTGTGATGGCTATGTTTTTTGAGATGCTTGCAAACAACACTTAACGGTGTAATTTTCAATAATTGCTCACCGAAGGGTTCATTGGTAAATTCAAATTTTTGAAAAAAAAAGAATCAATTATTGGATTGAGTTCAAATGTCTAAAAATTTTTAAAATTTATATTGTAAAATTCTTACAACAGTAATTAATGGCATTGACTAAAAAAAAATTGAAAAAAATTAACAAAAAATAATTGAAAGACCTCAAATTTTGCACGTTTTAAATTATTGTTGAATCTACAGTATATAAGATGGTAGCAATCATCAGCTTGAAGCTAAAAATCATAATAAAAAGTTTTGCTGATGTTAGAGCCAAGAAAATCTTCAAAAAAAGGACGTAGGAAAACTTTCAACAAAAAAAGAGAGTACCAAGAGAGACTAAGTAGTAAATTATGTATAAATTTGATATTTTGTCAATGTATCGATTTTTCTTCAATTATTCACACACATTCATTCTAAACATAAAAAACCTAACAAAAAACACTTCTCTTCAAAAAAATGTTTTAAAATTCTAACTCAATGCTAGTAGTGAAGGTACACGAGTACGACACAAAAAAGATTTAGTGACAGGAAAAATACAACACAGATTTCACAGAGAAATTTATAGACAAATCGACATTGTTAGTGTTAGATTGAGTTGGAAAGTTAAAGACTTGAAAGGATTGGAGGTTACAGAACACATAGCTTGTTTAGAAACCTGAAATGAAAAGTGGAAGTAGAAAACAGGCGTGGTTTTAAACGCCAATAGTAATGCACCGACATCAAAACACCTAAACAGACGAGGACACCAAGCGGGGATGTTCAGGGGACATCAGCCCAGAGTAGACATCAAAGCCAGAGAACTTCACAGAAATCCAGTGTTGCCAACCTAGTGTGGAATCAATTGAGAAGTTGGTGGTCTTGTTTTTTGTGTGTTTTTACAAAATAGTTATGTCTTTGCTTTTGTGAGAAGCAGTCCAAACTCTAGTTTAGAAAAAATCTAAAGTCGACCTTTTGTTGGATATTATTAATTCGTAGCCGAATCAAGTATTTAATCTACTTGTGATCAAACCATTAACCCTCAGACTTGAAGCTTAATATAACCACACGGCAGAGACAATATTTTTTGTTATTTAGTGATACGACAGGGTAAAATTTCATGGATGTAATGGAAAAGTAAACGGTGAGCACCTTTTTTTTTTTTTTTTTTTTTTTTTTTTAGAGGTTGGCGGCCTCTTTTAACCTTGAATTTGTTTGCCCGTCCACATAGACTAAGCGCCCGTACGTGGATCGTTAACAGCAAGGCAAGTAGTGAGCCGGTACAGTACAAAGGTGAACTGTACTGATAAAATGTTATCGGCAGTGACCAGGATCCAAACCCACGACATCGCTGCCTTGGGCCCGAAGTCCGCGACACTACCGACTGAGCCACCGACTCACTATATATATAGATATGCAATAGATGCAATATATATAGATAGAACTGTCCAGTGGAATCCCGCTCTTTGGATTAAATGTTAGATGGTCCAGACGACCTTAGTGTATTACACAAAAGCAACATTTGATCTAACCTGTCCATCGAGTTATTTACGGTACAGATGTTATTTCAGTGTTCTTTATTGTTTAGTACAAGACGTTTAATAACTTTTGACAGGTAATGTTGGGTTTTGAATCCTATCCTTTGGGTATCAACGATAGTTGAGATTTGTACTAACTACTTTAGTAATAAAATTACCCAACATTAAAGAGTTAAAAACGTTAAAATGAATTAATGAGTAAAACAAATAACAATGTATGAAAAAAAATGCAGAGATTACTGACCATAAACCTTTATTATCATTAGAAACGTTTGCTTCCAAATTGAAATAATACTAAAACTTTTTAAATACCTGCTATTAGGCAAATTATAGCAGAAGAAACTATTCCGGCTCTTTTTATCTTCACGTATAATAAAATACATCTAAATAAAATACTTTTTATAACAAATCTTTGCAGTCACACCTAAGATTTTGGAAACCACCAAGTTAACACATGCAACAATAAGTTCCACAGGGACCAAACTGGCAACACTGGTTACGTTAGTTGACAAAATTGGCAACACTGCTGAGGGGTGGGGGGTGCGACGTCCTACCTAAGTGACATCTAACATTGACATTGACACACACTACTCACGCTTCCGTGTGCTTCCTAAAGTGCAACATACAACAATGGGTTATTGTGTGCAAAATTACATTATACTGAGTAGCATACCAAGTTTACTTGATTTACTGATCGTCATTACTTCCAGTTGCGATCCTAATGTAAAACATAATCAAGTAAAACGTTGGAACAACACAATTAACAGGGAAAACTGTACATAATTTACAGATATTTTGTTGTGTACAGTTCAAATGGTTGTTTTTGTATAACCTAAGTCGACCTGTGCTAGATTTGGTAGGTTTTTCAGCTTTAATCATTATTTTTATACTTGATAAAATGTAGACAGATTCTACTTGATTGACAGTTTATAAGGATTTGTGGGAAATGTTTAAAGTAAGTAAAATAAATTCATAAATTCCGTACGACACAGCACATGTTGTAAAACATAGTGTGTAAACCACGTTTGATTCACAGTAGAACTCCATTTATCCGAATCATAAATATTCATTGCGATTTACTGAAAACAGGATGAATCGACACAACAAACTTTCATTGTTGTGATCGTAGAACTAAAAAATTTCATGGTTTTGCCGCCAAAACCAAGGATGATTTTCCATGAGCGCTGGAAACGATGATGATGGTGTTTACAGACCGCGGAAGGTGTTCAAAATTTTTCCGTTATCGCAGAAAACGATGATGGTTTCCGTGACTGCAGGAGAAATTGATGATGTCTACACGACCGACGGAGTTCAATGATTTTGCTGCAAACATTCCTTTTACTTCTTTATTGACATTTTTCATTTCTGTAGTTTTTAAAATCTTTCTGTAAGCGATTTGGTCATTCCGATGGTTGGGGTTTGGATGATTGGAGTTCTACTGTACTAGATAATATACTAGAGCTGTCCAGAAAGTGCCAAATATTTTGTTCAGTAGATAGTAATACATACATTTCCTGTAAAAATTGGAAAGGCTTGTCCCATTAAACAAGAATAACAGGTTTAAAATATTTACAAGTAAAAAATATGTACAAGTGGCAATTTTCAATAATTTGCAAAAGAGGATAAACTTATGGGATAGTTTCATGGAAAATCACAGTCTGACTGAAATAAAAACCATCTTCAATAGAGGAAGAAGCTTTAGGTAAAAGAGTTCATTACCTAAAGTGTATGGAGGAAAACCAAGTCATAAGATTAGATAGGCAAAAAACAAGGGATGAAAAAAGGAAAAAGAATATAAGCTCTAAGCAGTAAAACTTGTGTACAGGTAAATACAGTATCTACAGTAAAAGGTCCTTGAAAAGTAAAATAATTACATGACATTTTTAATAAAATCACTGAGTGTCTCATGTAAAGGTTGAAGACAAACTGAAGTATACCAGACAGTCAGATATTTGAAAGGAATTGACAATCTAAATTAAATTGAATTGAATGGAATTGAAAATCTGAAGATTTAATATTAGGGGTTACATTTCTATCGGTCAATAAATTACAAAGTGTTAAGGTCTGAAGTTAATCTTATAGAAAAATAAACTAAACATTAGCAGAAAAAAATCAAATTTTGCATGTATCAACTACTATTTTGTTAAAATATAAAAAAATTTTCAGCAAAGCATATATTAAACACTTTTATTATAAAGTATTGATGTTTAACTAATTCTGCATTAATATCTGGGAGTTTATGTAAACGATTGTACAAATGTTTTGTCCAACTTGAACCTTTTGTTAAATAGCATAATTTCATTTTATGATAGCTCAGAGGAAAATTAGATCTAGGTACAATATTAATCATTCTCATAATAAAACTAGTAGTGCGTGCTGTTTATTGATTGATTGATTGGCTTTTGTGTACAAGCCAAATAAAAAGTAAGGTAAAGAAAAGAAGTATAATGTTCAGCTAAGACTTATGTACGTTTATTTAACGCGGTGAAATTTTTAGGCATCCATTTGCATTGTGTCAACAATTATTGAGTAAAACTCACAACACATAGAAACACAAAAGCCGGTAACTTATAAAGTGGCCACATCATGAGCGAATTTATTGTATGGGCTACAAGAGTCTCTGGCCTCGGCCCGTGATGGTAGCCGAGTGGTAGTCAACGGATGATGTGGCAACGTCACGATAGCCTGGTCTTGGTATTGGCTGCCGCCAACTGCAGACTCCCGTGGCCGTAGGCATATCTTGGCAACAACTAACTGGGGGATAGGGCGTTATCAGTAGCAGACTTTGATTTCTGTCATTTCCAACATTATTTGTTACCAAATATTTGTGTTTGTGTGTGCTGTATGCTTAAATGAAATGCAAATGGATGCTTGAAAACGTAATTGTTTTACAAAACATGTTGCAGTAGTCTCAGAAGATCGTCAGAAAAAAACTCCTTGGCATTTCATAAATTTAAATTCCAGTAGTATAAAATGTTACTGAAATGATTTCAATTTAATTTAGATTTTCCTACTGTACATCGGGACTCACCTTTCGGTGTGATGCTAAGATCAGAGTCCGATGACCTCCGATGTATCCCTGGCATGTGGTTGTGGTTGAACTTGATCGGACTCTGGGACGACTTGAGAGTTACAACTCCCGGAGTCGCTGCATCTTCCGGAACAGTCCTGGGGGTTGGGACACTACAGGGTTCAACCAAGCCTGTCGCACTACGACTTTTTACCAGTGGGAGTAGGGGAGGGGTTAGGTTAGTTTCATACCTGTTAGTCATCACACTATTCTCTACCGCTAGGCGTTCTAAACCTTCCGGACGTGATGGTTGTTTGTTTTCCGTTGTCGACTTTGTATTTGAAACAGTCTCAGAACTTTCTTGTGGTTTCACCTCGATGTTATCCTTAGAAGGTTCATTTGGTTCCTGTTCTTTATAAATGATTTGCAAAGGATTCTCAATCATCTTTTCCTCAGTGCATTCACTTCTTTGTACATTTACTTCTTTAGGTGTATTATTGTCTCCATCAGGGATTTTTTCCTCCCTACGTTTAGTGTTTAGCCTGTCTCCTTCTTCAGCTGTATTTTCATCTCCATCAGTCAAAGTCTTTGTCTCTTTCAACTCGGCTTTACCCTTGAAAAGGAATTTAGTCAGATTACTTTCAGTAGACAAAATTGTTTCATCCTGATTATTTTTAACCAAATGTTCTGTAACAACAGAAGATTCTGAGAGGTTATCATCTGTTGAATTTTTCTTAGAGGTCTGCTGATCCAAAAGTTCTTGATTCAACACTGGAACCGGTTTGCTTTCTGCCACAGAATCTTCTGCTTCAGTTTCTGATTTGTCATCATGTTTAGTGATTTCAATGTCATCCTTTTTACCTTCATTGTAAACGTTTTTAACCTTTGATTCGATATTTGAATTTGACTTAGCAATGATGTATTCTATTTCATCGGTTGAGGATAATTCTTTATGGGTCAATATAGTAGGATCTACAAGTAGTTTCTGTTCACTAACATTAAAGCCCATACCACTTTCATGAAATTGAGACTGAGTGATAGAAAGATCATATTCTCTTTTACTTAACTCTTCACTGTTAGAATTAGAATCATTGAGCTGCTGTGTGAGTTCAGCAATAAGAGTAATTTTATCTATCGGAGCTTCAGTGGGGAATTTAAAAGGATTGTTTAGAATCTTATCCACTGTATCGTTTGTTTTTGGCAATTCTTCAGTGGGTGATTTTTCTTCAGTCTGTGCGATGAAAGCTTTATCAACATCATCTTCCTGCTTACTCTTCGGTTCACTGCAGAGAGCGATCAAACCTTTAGGAACATCTAAAGAAGCTGACACACTAGATTCAAACTGTTCAACACTACCTACAAGCGAGCTCACAGGACTAGATCTATCAGACACATCGATGGTGTGCACAGTTCTATGACTAGTGAGGTGGCCAGCAGATACAGTAGGCAGATGCCGAACACTCTCTGGGTAGGAAAGGTTGGTGACAAAACAGGATTTTAACTCATCGTCCAGTGATGGTTGCTTAAAAACCCGTTTGACAGGAGTGTTACTACCATAAAACGTCTCCTTGTAACGACTTTTACCCTCGAAACTAAATTTCATAAAGGGGTCCATTTCTGACAATGGAGGTGTATCACTTCGCTTACGCCGGTTTTCGGAGTTAACATCAAAACTGTCTTGGCGTAGCAGGGAAGTTAACACATTCTTTTGCTTTGGAGGAGGTGACGGGGAGTCTTTAAACTTAACCAAACTCGAATACTGATGACTCTCAACATCGTTGTCTGGAGTTAAAACAACATGTACAGAAGAGGCAAAGCCAGGCTTCATACTGTTATTTATTTTGATTCCATCTTTTTCAAAAACCTCCTCATCAGTTTTGCTCGATGCCATGCTATTGTCAATAGACGTTGATTTATTAATGCTTGCCAACGCTTTCAAACATTTGTTTCTGTCTGTTTCGATTTTTGTGTACTCTTTAGAAGTAGAGCTCATCGACGATACATCAGATATGTCGCCGACGTCACTGTCGGAACTGTCGCTCGATGAAGATGAAATCGGCACCAAATGTCCATCTTCATATCTGAGTGCATGAATAACAGAGTCCGCATCAGAGTGTCTTGACTCTCCCTCTTCCCCTTCTGGCACACGGTCTAGGAAAGCGTTCGGGTCCATAATAGAACGAATCAAACTGGACGCCACATTGTCAGATTTAGACCTTATGAACGGAATCTTTTTGGAGAAATTTCCAGTCGAATTGGACCTCAACGCTCTGAATTTCCTTTTTGGAAATGAACTCAACCTTTCAAAAATCTTCTTGTGGCTAGAAACTGTTTCGCCTCTCATGTCTTCTTGTTCAAACAACACCTTGAGGGAAACATTATCGCAAGGAGGCACATTGTCACTGAAGCTCCGAGCGTAAGAGCCGAGCCGTTTGGGCTTGTACTCACTGAACGGTTGCATCAACTGAGGACTCTTGGACCTCCGAGGTTTCGGACTACCAGGAGCCAGGAAGCCTTTGACGTGTTTCACCTCCAGAGGGGTTTGGCGGAGAGGAGAGGCGGGAATCACACTCAGGACGGGGTTTTTGAAAACAGGAGCAATTTGGTTATCGAGGCTAACAAACCATGCAAATAAAACCATACGTTAATACCACACAGAGAGGTGTTAGGGGAGGGAAATAAAGAATATATTAATACAATTTGCAACATCTAAATGATAAAATTAATACTACGATTACTTATTTAACAATGAAGCACAATGACTAATGGTTTATAATTGGATATTTTAGTTTCTCTTTACATACCATGAACTAAATAATTTCTTTAGTTAAAATATTAAAATCAAAAGTACCAAGGTGTGTAAAAACAATAAAATGACTTGAAAGTATGATATTTTATTTTTAGCTTATGGACTTTTCTTACGCTAATTGGTTTGTCTACACTAAGTTTCGGGAGGTAAAGAAACTCCTCCCGATATTCTAAATTATAATTTGATTCTTGTGAGAAATAGGCTATACATATATTTCATGGCTGGTCCACTGCCAGTCCGAAATCTATAGCCTAAAATTCAAAAGTTTGCGAAATCTTCTAAGCAAAAAGCTGTAAAGCTTACAGTTTACACATTTATAACCATTTTGTTGTCCACCTTTCCGTACCAATGAATAAACAAAATAGAAAGTATGTGTAATTTCTAATTATTGTTTTAAATTTGAAGATTTTATAGTAGGGTAATATACACCTCTCCTTTTACCTAACTTGTATAGACTTTATTATTGTTGTACTACTCACTCTTCCGCGTAGTGGCAAGGCAGGGGATGAGAAGGTTCTTGTACTCGAACCAGAGTCACTGCTGTGCCTAGGCCTCGGACTACAATACCACACTCTGCCTCCAAGTCAAAACACTGTAAGTAGCTGAAACATTTAACATACCTTTAACTCTTGAGTATCTGACATATTGTTGTAAATTGAAATAGTTTTGTCTACTTTAAGCCCCTTGACTAAAAAAAAAAAATCCTTTTCAATCAAACATCAAATTGTAAACTATCTTCCTGCCTACATAACCTACCTAACATAACATTGTTATCCTATTGACCAACTTTAAGATTTTTGTTTTCTTCAACTTTTGTTTCCTCTACTATTTTCACCCATTATCAACATTAAAATATCTTATACTAAGGATGGACAGATTCAAAAATTTTCATTTATTTCCTGGAAAATATATTTTTTATCTTCGGGTTGGGATTACATTTAATTCAGGATTTTTTCAAGACAGGATTTGTTTGACAGCGGTTTTGCCACAACGATTGATGATGATGACGTCTCCAAGATGTCACCATTGGCATTATAGCGGGTGACAATGATGATGATGTCTCTGAAATCGAGGGAGATGTCACCAGTATAGCGCATGACGAAGCTGATGTCACCGAGATCGTGGGAAATGTAATTGGTACAGCATGTGACATTGATGATGTCTTTGAGATTGAGGGAGATGATGTCACCAATATAGCGGGTGACGATGCTGATGTCTACCTTACATCCCTACCAACATACCAAAGTACCAGCAGAACCATCCTTACACTTTAATTTTACAAGTTTCCTATTTAATGAAACAATCTTATTCCTGATTGTTTGCTAATTCTGGATCACTTAGGCTATGACAATATAAAATAACCAGGCTGGATAAACTTGTTTTAGCAACTAGTGATTATAAAAAGTGAAAAAGTACAATGGGCCTACATTAAAAACTCTAAAGACTGTGCATGGAGCTTATCCAGAAATACTCTACAAATTTCATCTAAATAGACATTATTCTGTGGTTAAAGCAAACTACTTAAGTTAGGCTACTCACCCAATGACAGCATTTCCACCAAAGTCGAGTACTTTGAGGCCGATGCGCCGTTGTACTTCACCCGATAGTTTGAAGAACAGTGTCTGTCGAGCTTCATTGCTGGCTCTCGGTGTGCGGATCTTGTCTATCCACTTATACTCTGGATCATCACTGACTACTAACTCTTCCACCATCCCGTGGACTACCGTAGCTTGGTATCCTGCTGGGATAGTGGAGGCTGGAACAATTAAATAACACAGTTCACAACTGTTAAATTGTTAAAAGAATAAAATGATAAATAATATAATTGGTCAACTCAGAAGTTTTTCCTTCTTGTCAGTTTACCAGTGTTTACCATTTTCTTAAAGAGAATAATCAACAAATACTGTATTACTGTATAGAGATTCAAAATTTATCAAATGCACCCTGCTGGAAAATTCAGTTTTTTAATCCCAGTGGCCAATTAATAATGACCATTGCTGTAATTTTGAATGGAAGATGAATGGTTTTTAAATTAAAATAAGGCAATCTTTTAGGCTATATTTAAGAATGTTCACTATATTATGGTACAAGATGCTTTACACAGTTCCTAATCACTATTATGGGTTGGCAAATTCAGCTCAAAGAATGACAGCTGGTCCAGATAGTGTACTGTGTAACTCAGAAAAAAACATTCAATGGAACCAATTTGTAACAGACTAGTTCTTAAGCGGCCCACACACTTGATCTTCAGTGTAGCCTGCAACGTGCTAAATTACATCGTCTGTTTGTACAAATGAAATGCAGAACACACACATGTTTTAAGAACATTGGACATGATTAATTGATTAATCATTAAAAATAGACACAAGGCAGCAGCACTAAACCACCTTAGTGCCTAGGTTAGTAGTTAGTGCCTTGCACCTCGCTGCCGTAAAGATATATGCCGGCAGGGCATTTGGTTCACAATACTGTGGTGGAGGATGTATGCTCTATGATATATTATATTGAGATCTATGACTGCGTCTCGGGTCACGCATCACATACAGCGTGCAATCCATTGTGTTATAATCTCGATGGTCGTGCCAATTATCAATGATCAATGATCAATTATCAATTATTTAAGGTGGGGACGCCACTATATGCTTATTTAATCTGTGTTGCAAATGGCCAAGACAAAATGCCGTTGATTCACTACTAAGAAAGTACTATTATAGGGTCAAACCCTGTCAAAAGTGGTTGAACTACCAGCACGTGGCACGGGATCCGCCTACACACTAGCACGTCAGAATGGCGTGCTTTGGCACGGCACGCCGAAAATCAAACTCATCTTGATTTCCACCGTTCACCACACACTTGCACGTTTCGTCAGTTTTTGGCACGACGTGCTTGCATGGCGTGCAATGCACGTGTAGTGTGTGGGCCGCTTTAGTCTGAGGGGTTTATGAGCACCCTGGAATAGCACATGCAGGTCTGTAACACTTACTTTAATCTACTTAAGCTTTTACAAGACCAAAATTGTATTTTTACTAACCTAAAAATGTTACTAATATTTGATTGCCCTAGTTACTTTATGTCTTATGAATACAAAGTTTTCATAATAATTTACAAAAACATAGGCACTTAAAACAGCCTATAAAATCATATTTCTCAGTTTTGCTTAGTTTAGTTTACACATGTTACACAAATTTATTTGCAAAAAACAATTTTTCTGTGACTATCCCACTTGATACTCAATCTTCCTACATTTTTACTTCAGATTTTATGTAAAATAACTTCTGTACTCACAGTTAAAAAATTGTACTCCGCACGACGACTGTCGGAATTTGTTAAAGTCGGAGAACAGCTCAACTTTAACGATGACGTTGACCTCGCCACGTATCCCGTGCATCGTGTCGTAAACTGGGAACCACCCGGACATGGTGTTGCCTGGAACAACAAGCAGGGCTTCTGCTCGACAAAAACACAACACTATCAGTCTCATCTTTTACTGGGGAGGTAATTGGTGTAACAAAAACCTTTCATACAAATAAAAAAGGGTAAAAAAGAATGCTGAACTACTGAGAAGAAGTGATTAAAGGATCAAATTGTTTTATTTGAGTAAAATTTGTGTAGGAAAACTTGGCATTAACAATGGAGGTTTGACAAATAGGAGAGGGTGGAGATGTTGGCATCTTAACTTTATATCACACACAGCGAGGCTGTTGATTGCTAAATAATGAATAGATTATTAAAATTCATAAAAAACTCAATTTTTTGTGTGTTTGTCTAAAGGTTGCTTGTAAAAAACTGAATGTTTGTTAATGAAATGCAAACAAACATTTTTTAATCAAAACATGTATAAGAAAGTTGATTAAAGAGGAATCGTCACATAAACCAAAATATAAACCACATGTAGACTGTTGACAATTAAAAACACTACATTTCCGATTCTCACTGCCTTTATAGGTGAGCCATAAGAATTATATTTTTTTCATCCCATAAGAAATTTTCCCTTAATTGTTCTGTATCTAAAAAAGGGAGGAAATTGCAAGTAAGCACTGTTTAGCACTCTGGGAGTGGGTCATTCACCTGTGATCTTTTTAATAAAACCTTTGCCTATGCAAAAGAAACAGTGGATGGCTCGGGCTCAGTCCTTTATAAGATATATTTTTAGACAGGAATATTGCTACTAGCACTGTGTGCCTAGCAAAATGATGTTTAAGATAATAATAGGCCTACAGGGTGGAAAAAAGTCCCACCACAAGTTATACAGATAAAGCTTTAGAACTTGGTACACAGCTATTGGGCATTAACACCTCCTTTTAACACATTATTCAGTGATGCGCTACCTCCTCAGTGGGACGGCCCGCTGTAGTAGGAAATCTTAAATGTAAGCATAGATTGATATGCACATCAAATTAAAAATAGGTACTAGTAGAATGCAATTTTGAACTCAAACAAACAACTGAGTGGAAAATGGTACCTTTTCAAAAATATATTGAATCTGAAATTTTGAATCTTTGAACGGCTGCCATTTTTTACTCAGTTGTTCTTTTGAGTTCAAATTTGTGTCATTGTATTTTACTAACAAAAACCTCAGCTTACATTTAAGACTCCTAGCGAGCTGTCTCCCTGAGGAGGTAGCGCATCGCTGAATAATATATTAAAATGATTTTAATGCCCAGTAACTTGTACTATGTTTTGAGGCTCTACCTTTATTACTTTTTGAAATATTTAACCGTCCCAAAGACTTTTTTCCCACCCTGTATGATAATGCAAAAATGTATCAACCAGACATAAATAAATACATTGGCCATCCATGGGTTAAAACTAAAATAAGATAAGGTTTGTTTCTCTTTCAATATGGTACAATTACCCCCAGAGAGGCTGTTGGTAGCGTCAGCCAGAGCTGCCTTGGCAGTGGAGCCAGCAGGAGGCAACAGTAGGGGGTTGAGGTCTAGATACACCTTGCCTATAGCATCATTGGCTGAGTACGTGTCATGGTCCATCAGTCTGATCTGCAGTGGCTCGTCTTGCAGTTCAGCATCGTCCATCTACAAACGACACAGCTTTAGAACTTTGGGTACTTACGTATTATACCGACCACACTTAACCTAACCTAACGGTGGTGGGGTCAGTAGGATTTTTTGAGAGGATAGCAGGCTTACCTGAAAAGGGAAAGAGTCCAAACTGGCAAAGGAAACACAAAACTTCATACTATATACACAAAACATTAGAATATTTCACTGTCACTGATAGCATTTTCAACTAAGGAAAAGAGAGTTTAAGGGAGAGTAGTGATGGTTATATTAGGTTAGGTTACGAAGATTTTGTTATTTAAACTAATTTAAATCTTATTTGTAAGTCGATTTAAATATCATCGTGGTTGGTATAAAACGTAAGTAGCAAAGTTTGAATGTCAAACAAATACAATTGAACAGACGTGTTGTGGTGATGCTGGTTGAGAAATTTAATTAGACATCGCAATGTCCAAATTAATGTGAAAAGTTAATTTTCAACAACTGACTATGAACAAATAGTTAGGTTTCATGTTTAAAGTGCAGTTTCAAGTATTCCTTATGTTTCTTTTACGAAGACCATTAAACAATTATTATTATAATGGTTAGTATGTCATTTGCATTCCTCGTTAACAAATTTGTTAACAACCCCTGATAGTAAGTATGAGCCATTATCCAGGAGTGGGAAAACTAATCCTACATAATTGTTTACAAAAAATGTTGCATGATTTTATGTTTTATACTCTACTAAAGGATTTTTTATATCATCACAAACTAATGAAATATCAAACAAGACTTTAAATCAAAAACAAAATGAAAATAGTTTATTCACTCTATCAAACAGCCGGCCCTAACATTAGATATCTTAACGACAGTCACCAAACAGACTCTTCTTGTTCGTTTAGCAGTTGAAAATATTTACACAATTAAATTGTGTCCCACAATGCAACAAAATTATGTCTAGTCTTAAAATGGGTTTATAACAATTATGTTTGATTTGTTTTCCAAATGTTAAACTACTGAAGCTAAATGTTTTTAGACTTTGTTGCATTCAATTATTTAAATATTTACAGTTTTTCCCCCATCCGACACATAATTTAAAATATGGTTGCAACAATTTACAGCCCATTACAATTTGGTCTAGGCTGTTTGTGTTTGAAATGTTGAACTGCCTGTTAAATTAACATAACAACATTAACACAGTTTGAGTTATATTTGTTGTATCATGTGCATGATAAGTGATGGTACATAAATGAGTATTTCATCAAATATGAACACCCAGACTAAGATGGATAGCAGCAGCAAACCTGGATTGGATCTTAACCCAAATTATTTCCTTAAAATACCACCAGATTTTTCCCCCATTTAAATAACATTAGCTGTAATAGTACCATACTTAAAAAAGGTTTGCTGCTACAGGGAAGTAAAAGGTGTTTTTTTAATAACCTATTAATAGTAGCCTAGGCCCTATAATATAAATAATTTAACATTTAACTTTGAAATTCCAAATTTGAACAAAATATATTAATAAACAATCACACTAGCCTATAACAGTTCAATTGTTTACCCTAAGAATAACCGGCAAATTTTAACTGTAGTAGCGGTAGTATTTTTTAATTTTATTTATTTTTTATTCTCTGTCATTCTAAAACAATGCTTCATAGTCAATGTACAGAATTATTTGTGTTTTTATCTCTACTTCATGGTTTTAATGAAAATTGGGCATTTTAATTTTTTTAGGGTTAAAACTTGAAAAAACAAAATTTTAAAATCCTAAAATGACCTGATCAGTGATCTTGCTGGTTCGTGACCTACTTCAAGTGGATCCAGCCATTAAAAGAGTGGGCTAACTATTAAAGGAAATAAAATCTTCTAACACTCTCTTTCAATGTAACAACATAAATTAAACTTTTCTGACAATTCCCCGATCCCTGGATTGTGGAGAAGACACCGGATGGTAGATGGTAGATGGCAGACTAGCACATATTTTGACAACAAATTATGGTTTGTAGGTACTAACAGGAAATTTTAAAGTTGTAACTTGAATAGGCCTATACCCTGGATACTTTTTGTATATCAATACTAACCTCAAATCTGTACCACTCTGAGTTCCACTGGGGGTTAAGTGACTTCCGGCAGACGTCAGTCTTGAACGTCGTATTACCCAGTTTGACCTCGACGTAGGCGTCTGTCGTGTCACTAGACCGATCCATCACCGGGAGGTTGCGTCCGGCCACAATCTTCACCTTTACCTTGCCCGGCATAGCTGTAAAACATGAACAAATTCTTTCTTAACTAGAAACTGCATGAAAATGGTTTGTCAATTGTTGGTAAAATGTTGCTAATTTATAAAGCATGTTCATGTAGACTGCTCTAGTTTACAGGACTACTTTAGTGTTATCAGCAAATATTTACTCGTTAAATATTAGTCTCCATGACACCTGCCACACAGATAAGAGTTACAGCCATCGCCAAATTCAAGATATGTTGTAAAGTAGAGATAAAGGATTTTTCAATAGCCTATTTCAATGTTACCTTAATCCTCTGATAACACAGAGGTAGAAAGAGGAATACCCCTTCAGCTAAGTTGAAGACAACATTCCTAATATCAACAAAATAAATTAGACAGTCAACAGATGTTTCTTGATTGTTAATTATTGTGTGTGTTGCTAGCCTAGTGGTTAGTGTCTCCCACTTCGGTGCGGGAGGGTCAGGTTCGATTCCTGGCACACCCACAAAGCACATGGGTTTGGTGGTTTGGACCGCTTTCCCAGCGTTTCAATAACACTCTTGTTCAACTCTTCTAACAAAAAAGAAATGCCAATGGTGTGGACAAAAAATTTAGAAGCCTCTAATTGACTTTCGATATTCTATTGTTTATGTCAGTCAGACAATAATGCCTAAGTTATGGTTACCATTGTTTCCATACACGGAATAGGTTTAAATGAAGTTTCCCCGCTTTTGAGGAAGTTCTTTTAACTCTTAGTTCTTCTTGGGCTTCTAAATAATAACTACACAAAGTATATTTGTGAAGTTATCGCGACTGAGTTATCGATATGGTCAGACCCGATCAAATGTTTGTGGTTACCTATGCTAGAAATTGAACCTGTACGTCCCTCTTGAATTAAAGTCTGACATGCTAACCTATTGTAACAGGTTTCCCGTTGGAATAAATAAATAAGCTAGCAACAAGGTAATTATGATAACCACCAGAAATACTTAATTGGGGGCGCATGAGTTGAGTTTAGCCTAGAGTGTCAAAGAGGGTTAATCCTGGCTAAGTTAAATTCAATCTAAAACACCCTAAAAAATAGGCCTATGCCGTGTCATAGAGTTAAAAGTTTGGTGTAACTTGATGATAAATTGGTTGATAAGTTATGTAGGCCTATCTCACCAATTAAGAATTTGGTAAAATTTTGTTATCCTGCTAAATCGTAATTATTGATTGTAAATACCTATCAATATAACTACAATTTTGGTTTTTGGTTTTAAGCTTAGTAGCCTATAAGTTTAGTTGATCGATATGTTTATTTTCGATAATGTAATGGAGTCATAAGTTACATCAAAGTTTTGCCAAAACTTCCTTGCTACCTAGTCCCTAGATAAAGACAGGGGTATTAAGAACTGTGAGCCTAAATGTAAATAATTTAGCATGGTAGGTCCTGTGTTTTCTTTAAGAGATTCCCAAACCAACAGTTTTTCAGATGTCGTACATATTTGATTTTCCTAAAATGTGTTAGAAGAAAAACTATTCACAATATCAAAATGAAATAATTGGTTGGCATTATGAATGGACACTTCAAAGTAGACTAATAATAATGTGAGACTTTCAACTCTGTAACTTACTTGTTTGATGTTAGGGCCTCCTAAGCGGAATTAAATTAAATGAAAAAGTATTCATTCATCACATGCTCTTTTAACTATGAAAAGTTTAGGTTTCTGAGTTTCACTTTCACATTGACACTGCCATGTAAAACGACTGAAATTATAGAATGTGTTAGATTTGCAAAGTGTTTGTGTTTATTACCCCGACACCATTCACCAATATCTTTCTCATTGCCCCTACTCTTCCCTTAACTCTAGCAGAAAGAAAGCACTTACTACATCAAAATACTGAAAATGAAAATTAAAAACAGCTGTTTATCAAAGAGGATTTATACATATGCTTGGGCAAGGAGTATAGAGGAAAAGGCATTGCATGTATGATCATACAGCCTAGTCATTGCATAATATATACCATTGATTATAAATATCCCCCCTGCAATTCCAACCAAACCAACTAATATAACTGCTACCTACTGTAAAATTGTCTTCAAAATCCTTTATTGTGTTGACATCACACATTGACAAATAAATGAGAAAAATATTCACATCGCTTTTTGCTTTACATAAAACTGACATAAATAATTATAAACGTCAGCTTTCTACCTGAAGAGAATTAACAATACAAAAACTCCTGAGATAAATGGTTGGCTTAATTTTTTTGTAAATCCCATCCTTTTTGCCTGTCATGTTGGGAGATGCAGGTCCCATACTATGTGGGATGTAGGGGGATCTATAATTATTGTCTAAATTAGCCGGCTATTGAATCCAATTTGTATAGCATTTCATTCATGTTTATAGTAAGTGTTTATACCTTAAATATTACTCGTTTTGAACAATATATTACTTGAGGAAATAATTATAAATAGAACAAAATAATCATGTATTTTTCTTTTTCTTTCAATGTTGTTTCCTACATCAGATAGAGAAAATCCTTTAAGGATACACGAAGGAAAAATTAAATCATGGTCACTCTCCTACTGTGACGTTAGGCCTATTAATGGAATTCATGTAGGCTAGCTGGAGTTCCTCAAAACTTAAGTCAACCATTAAATTAACTATATTATAGTCATCAATTCAGCTCAGGGGCTAAATGATGTCTTTTGATCATTCAATTAAGTCAAGGTTTTTGGACAAAATCAATAATATGTACACAATTGTAAGTACAAATATATATGGATGATAATTTAAGTTTCCAACAAAATACTGAGTCTTTTTGGTGCTTATATGCATACATTTTATTTTTTCATATTGAGGATTTAGATATATATATTTAACTTTTTAATCTATGTTACACCATTCAGACTAGAGCAAAGTCATCATATAAGAGTAGAAGCTTTAGTTAAAAATCAAATTGAAATTAATTGCAGTATCGAACTTTTGGAAGCAGGGCCTTATAAATTTTTATACAGGTGTAGTTAAGTGCAGGTACCTACCTTCAAATACTTCACAACTGAGACCTTTAGATACTTTTGTCACCCTGGGCCAGAATGCAGCATCATTGAATTAAGGGTTTGAATCTTGTCTGATTTGAAACTCAATAAGTTCATTAATCTGTAATCGGTTTTAGGACAGAGGCCCTCATAGAATAATACTGTTGGAATTTATCAGAATAGATAGATTCTTTGTGATCAGGAATTTTTTTACTTCTCCTCATGTTACTGTTTGTGTAGGCCTATCCACTAAAAGTTGTTTTGTAATAGTTTTGACTTTTTAAGTCACAGCAAATAGGCACAACTGAACCAATGAATAATTTCAATGGCTTATGTTTATCAACACTCTAAGAACACTTGTCACTTGTATTAATATGTTGGGATTGTTGATAATTTATGAACATTCGTGCATTATCACATGTCATGCTTTGTTTTTGCATATTTCTCAAAATAAACGATACTTTGCACAAAAATGATTTCAATGTTTTATTTTTTTACTTTTAAATTTATTGTATGAAAAATATTCCCCATGAACTCATATTGCTATGTTTTTTACCAAGCTCAAATTACCAATGGGAAAATATCAATATCAATAGGCTTCTGTCTTGACAGGTAATTTAATGAAAAAAAACCCAGTGGATGAACGAATGTTGATTAAAACATGGTTAATGTTACAGCTAGTAATTGGATGTTATGCTATTTAAATATCACTTCATTACAATGAAAAAGTATGGAGTCAGAGACTCAATTGGTAGCACAAAGGTTACCGTTCTGGTTCTGGTGACGCTACTTTTTATCAGCATTAGTTTATTCCTGTTTTGTACAAACTTACTCCTGGCTTTGCTCGATATGTCCCTTGCATTGTCAATGCCCACATGGACAAGAAAATACAAGATTGATTGAAGCCACAAACCAAAATTAAATTTATTTGAAACAACCACATTATGTATTTTACTAACAATAAAGTTCTTGTATCTTGTCTTGTAACTGATTTTTAAGATTTAAATTTTTAGCTGAAAAAAACTTTCAAATAAATGTTGCACCTCCTTCAAACCTCTTCAAATGGAAATTTAACAATTAGGATGTTACAAGCACAAACACCTAGGTCTCAACACAAACATGGTGAAAATCAACTATCTTGAAGTCAGAAGCATTTCCAGTTCTGTTTTATTGAAACACACAAATTACAATTTGACTATAAGCGCCAGTCAATTACTGAGAAAACAATGTAAAATTATTCTCAAGAATAAATAAATAAGTTGATTCATCTAATTTAATATAATTCCATAAATACCATTTTAAAAATAAAATAAAATAAAATTTATTTACAAATTGCTTGTGTTCTGTACAGTTTTGAAATTTAACTTAATTCACTGCAGATTTGACGATAGGAGTACTGCCGTGGTCATTCTAGGCTCTTCTAGAGTACATGTTGTAATAGTCTGGCTCAGCCTGTAAAAAGATACAATATCAACAATAAGAAATACCAACAATAACAATGAAAAGATAGCAAGCATAAAAAATAACCCACTGCATCATTCCTATTAGAGTGTTGGTATTTTCATTCAGTGTCGGCCTTAAATAAGTATACAAGATAACATTTTTCACACGTACCAACAAATGACAGATAACTAACTTATAGAATATGTAACTTCTGAGGCTGGTAATGTAATACAATATTTGACTATTGAAAAAATATTACCTTTTCCCTTACTATGGTAAACCCTTACCCTTAGTCACATTCACATTACTGTAGTTATTTCATGTTGCGTCAATGGCTACGGTAGTACTATTTCTGGTGTAATCAGTTAATATTAACATAGACAAAAAGAATTCAATATAGACCGTCAGCTGTGCTGCGTTACGGCATACGCGCTACTTAAACTACAGCGGTGTGCGCCGGAACCTATGGTAACTATGGTAACCACAGCACGGCTGACAGTCTATATTTAATTATTTTTGTCTATGATATTAATTAATTGCCAATGTATTTATCCAGATGTTATTTTTTTAAAGTGCAGGCTTTTAAATTGGGTTTGCAGAACAGGTTGTTAAGATTTGTTATCTAGAGTTAGCTGCAGTCAAACCTTGTGAGGCTCTTGCAGCTGGTTAAAAACTTATTTGTAAAACGTAATATTTTTGTGCTTAGAAAACATAGTAACAGTAGCTGTCAGCTAATCTTCCCCACTCAAAAAATACTTATGGTTGAATGAAATAAAAATAAAAAGTAGATTCCATAAAAACTCGTAGAATGTAATTAAAACAGAATATTGAGTAACTATAAAACAAAACAGCCTAATTTCATGATGGAATGGCCTTTGGAACGTCTAAATGAACTAATATAGGTTTAGATTACTTGTTTTCTATCAAAACAATCCTTGGTAGTACAACGACTACAGCTGTTTCGTGTAACATCACAAACAACGTCAAGTTCTTGCTAAAGTTGTCCGTGAAGTTGTCGCCTGTTTTTTTTATCTAAATGGACGTAGTTTAAGTGAGCTACCAACAGATGGTGCTGATGTACATCACCGATTTCTGTCACGTTTTAGCAAAGTCAAATTGATTGGATACTTATTATAAGCTCAAGCTGAAACATATTTTACGTCAAGTCAACTGTCTCAGTAAAAATATATATATATATATATAGGTATACATCATTTTAGACACTAGCACAATGTGTGACTGGCTCACTCAACTACGTTCGTTCACAAAGAAGTAAGATACCGTAGACTCCCTTTTATCCGGACTCCTCGGACCGAGGCCAGTCCGGATAACGGTTTTTCCGGTTAAACAGACGTCCCCAAAATCTTGTTACGCACACCGTTTAAATGCATACTCTATACAGTATTTGGCTTAAAATTAGGAGAGCATTTTATTTAGACACGTAATCACTGGTCTCAAATCTTTCCCAAGAGTACAGTCGTTTCAGTACCGCCCACTTCCTACCAATCTAGTCCCGTTAAACCGATGTGCTGATAAAGATTATCCGGATAAAGAGATGTCACTTCTACCGAGTGTAGTCCGGTCAAACCGATGTCCGGTTAAAAGATGTCCGGATAAGAGGGAGTCTACTGTACAGAGGAAACATTCAATGGTACGTGTAAAAGATGTCTAGCGCTAGTGTTGGTGTCTAGGGCAATGAGCCCTCTCCACTCCCCCCTCACCATCATGTACTACAACGCTCTCGGTGGAGGAATATCCTGTGCTATAGGAATTTTCTTCATTTTTGGCTCGTCGCAAGTATATTTCCGCCCTAGCTGAAACCAGAGCTGAAAGCGCACGGTTGTCCCATAAACTTGCATCTTCTGTACCTTACTTCTCTGTGGTTCTTTTTAAATATAAATAATTGGCGACAGCTGGTCCACATAAATGGGATGTCTACTTCACTATACAAAAGTAAATTCCAAAACTTGAGGAGCAAACACCAAGGAATACCAGAGGTTCATTAGGATCAGGAACAACATAGGATGCAGGCTGAGGTTCCAATCCCTTTTCAGGCTTGGAGGGTTTTTTCGTTTCTTTGTCCGAATCGTTACCTTGCTTCTTGTCTGAAACAGACGAGGGAACGTCAAGTGGGGGCATGTTGATATGACTAGGGGCAGAGGCAGTGTGGGGCATGAGCGCGGCACTTGTAGGTACCGTCGACGCATCCTTCTCCGCGGCACTAGCACTTCCCACGGCTAGTGGCCCTGGTAGGTTGGGCAACTGGACGCCTGCGTAGTCCCTCAACACTACAAGTCAACATTAGGTATTTATCGTCTGTATTACATTGGGTGTAGATTGCCTCAAGGCTAATCTACGAGGCAAAAAATCTACTGAGATTTGTGACGCCCATTAGTAAGTAAGCAAGTATTATATTGGGTGTAAAACAACTGTGTAGGAAACGTGTTCAGGAAGATTAAATGGGAGAGCTTTCTTATGCCTTGGCCACTTTCACTTGGCTTTTTAACACAAGCCCTGTCTTTCAGGCATGGGGTTGAAAGAAATATTTTCTTTTGTATGACCAGTCTGTTTACAGTATGAATAATTTATTTTTGTAAAAAAATACAACCGACTTCAAACGCTCTAAAAAGAATGAAATAATTTCAATAAAGTCAACTTTTGTATTAGGCAAGCTCACGTATTTTAAGTCGGCACGACTCTATGACGATTTTTGATACAAAATTAAAAGAGGGTGTCCATATTGCAGGTGACTATCTATAACTAAAGGTGTTAATCTGCATGTATTTTTCATAGTTATGCGTTAAGTGTTATTTTATTACCGTAATCAGAGATCGGCATGATAGTGGTATTAACAAGTAGCTTTAAAAAGATTATAACGCATTTAAATGTTTCTAACTTGGAAAAGTAACGTTTTAATACTAAACTAGCTTCTTTTCCCTATCATAATATCAAACTAAATTATTTTCCTATTCATATAGAACATTTGTGTGTGTTATTTTCATAATGCATTTATTCTGAAGTAAACATAAAATACAAGAAAATATTTCCTTTATATAAACAAAACAGTTCAGTATGTTTTTTTATATATTTATGTTATCCAGCTACAATTTATTGATTTTCAAAATACACAAATATTTAATATTACACAATATTTAATTTCAATCATATTTGCGGTTTGAGCCGCGCCGACTTGAAATACGTGAGCTTGCCTAATACAAAAGTTTACTTTATTGAAATTATTTCATTCTTTTTAGAGCGTTTGAAGTCGGTTGTATTTTTTTACAAAAATAAATTATTTCATGATTTTTAGTGACTGTATAATTTTTTATATATTAATTACTAGAGGATTTTTGATAAGCAAAACTGTTTGACACAATCAAAAGTTCCACAGAACAATCATTATTTTAAGAGTCACCTGTTTAGGTTACATAATCAATGGGTATGACAATAAACATTTTTAGATATTCCTTAAGAAAGAAAGAGTTGTCCATTACATTAGGCCTAATGAAAAACTAATTGTCTTTTTTAGATACATTGAAATGTCAGACATCATCGTTTCCTGCAATCGGTGTACTTCTACATTATAAAAAGAAATACAGTAACGTCTCAAGCCTTTTGGAACAATATGAAAGTTATTCCTCAGCTACCAGCACTAAAAAATCTCTCAAAAGTGGAAAATTGGTCGTTAACACGTATAGTACCTTTGGAAAATATTATATGAAAGATTGGTTCAGCTAAAAGTGGTGTAAGTCTTGTAGGGGGTTTTGTTTGCTCAAGATATAGCCTAGTCAAAATTGCAAATCATCTTCCTCTAGGACTTTCCGAAGCAGGCATAATAGTATTGATATGTTATAGTAACTGGGTAGAGAATATTAATAAACATTCCACATCTGCAAATGAAATATGTATATGAAAAGATTGGTTCAGCTAAAAGTGGTGCAAGCCCTGTAGGTGGTTTTGTTTGATCAAGATATAGCCTAGTCGAAATTGCAAATCATCTTCCTCTAGGACTTTCCGAAGCAGGCATAATAGTATTGATATGATATAGTAACTGGGTAGAGAATATCAATAAACATTCCACATCTGCAAATGCATGTTTAGTAATTAAAATATTTAACACTTTTAAGACAATTGACGATTATGCACTGTCACACTTCTTAGGTCGTGTAAGGAATAATTGCATTTAATTTATATTTAGACCTGTTTTACGAATGCTTTGGTTTTCACAATACACCTTTATTTGCCAATATCATACAGCTTGTCACTGAAACATATATGTTTTTGTAAGTCAGAATATTCAATACTAAAAACAGAATTACTGTATACACAAATCAGGTCAAACGTTAAAATACATTTTTTATAGTAACCAAAACAAAATGCATTTTTCTCAATGTAATTCATTTAGGCTCCATGGCAAGAAATAGTTTATTGATCAATATGAAGCAACTGTTTCATGAAGAATTGTCTGTAGCTTCATTTAAATGGTTTCAACTAACAGCTGTAGGAATGTTATTATTATTTATTGCCTTCTCTGCACAAATGTAAACAATCTGCACAAATGTAAACAAAATAAATGTTGAATATTTAAGGTTTTCAGAATTTTTCACCGAAAGAAATATTATACTTAAATATAATATATAAGGTACCAAATAGAAACTCTCCTGGTTATTTTGGTGGTGGAACCACACTGATCGGTAAAAGAATCACAGAGAAATTGGTGAACATACATAGAAAAAAAAACATCGCCACAAACAAATTGAGAACCTCCTCCTTTTGTTGGTAGTGGGGGAAGTCGGTTAAAAAGTAGGCTAATGATAAATTGGGGCATTTAATGTCTTGTGGCATCAAAAAAAAAAATTTACCCAGTAAAAAATATTTTAACCAAGCAAGACTTTGAACTTAAGGCTTTATATTTTTTGAATCCATTTTTAACTTTTTTGTCAGGGAACAGTCCAAATCCTGGTGTTGTTATTCTCTCACACCAACCATTTTGTTAGATAGCATCATTAATTGACAGTCTAATGAGAAATGGTAGGCCTATGTGGGTCTAGAAACAATCTCACATGGAATCAAAATAGCGACCTACAGATTTGAAAGTGAGCACTAAAACCACTCGGCTACTCAGACATCAGAGATACTTGAAATGAAATAGTGATAAAAGGCACATTTTAAGCTAAGTATGGTAGAAAGAAAATAGTAGGTATGGTATGATTTGTTATACAACTACTTACCTCCATTAACAAAGTGATATGCTACGACAATATATTTCTTGGCCGCAGCCAATGCTTCGGACGAGTACTCTTTAGCTTCTTCTGGGTAAACAACTGAAGCTACTGCGGTCGCACCAGTTCCTAAACACACAAAAATGTACTCAACTTATGATTTACAAAAATCCATTTAATCATACTCAAAACTTTATCAGGTTTAATATGTAAGTTAACAACAGATTATGTTTTTATTCACAGAGACCTTAAAAACTGCGATGGTTTTAGGTTGTGTAGTAGACTTTTTAAACCTTCTCTCTCCCTTATATCTTCAACATAATTAGCCCATTTTTATAGTAATAAATTTGTACCACAACATTAAAAAAAAAACTCAAATGCTTTTACGGAAAATTAGCCAAAACCGCTGCAATGTTTGTACTATGTTGAGGATCGAACCCGTCTTACACTGAAATATGAATCGCAAGCCATACGATACTGAACCAACTATTTGACTACCAATTACAAAGGTAAAATAGCATACTGGAATAAAATATTAAAAAACACAACAACAAAAAACACAGAACCAAAGAACACGTTTCACATCAGAAAACATGTAGACTGTTTTATTTATTAGTTTAGAATGTTTTGAGGATCAAACCTGTGTAGATGATTTTGCGGAAGAATCCGCGACGGATGGCGAATACATATCCGACTAATCCTCCAACTGTGATGGCTCCATAACGATGGAGGTAGTGGTCGTCTTCCCTCAGAATCTGAATTGACGCTGAGAAAAAATACTTTGGATGAAATGCTTCAAAATAGTATTAGCACTCTAACTATTAATTGTTTTCTATCAGCTGTTGTGATTAAAATACCTCTGTTGCAGCAAAACTGTATATTGGATATCCAATTGCTTAATGAGTTTTCATCCTAATTTCAATAAAAAACTTAATGTAAAACCCAATTCTATAGCAAATAATTTAATTTTTTTAAGATAACTTAATAGTGTTCTGTTCTTAAAATTATGGCAGATTATGTTGAATAAGACGGTTGGAATAATTAAACGTTGGTTTTCAGCGACAATATTTTGTTTAACTCATCAAAAGAATAAACCCCTGAGCCACTACCACTACAGTCCCTGTTGCTACCGCACTCCAAAAATTTGATACATAATTACAAATGTTGCGTATGACACACATAAACACTTAGATTACACCTGAATTGGTGTCATTACAGTGGCGAGCTAAGTTTCTGTTGAAATGGGTGTAAACAGTAAACACATTTAAATCTAGCAATAGTTACTGGACTCACATGCAGTATGCGCTTTGCCAGTCTCTATTACATGGTTCACAGAGTCTGAGACCCCTTGCACCTGTTTTCCCGCAGACCAGACTGCCTCCCTCACTTGTCTCACTGCGCTCATCAACGCAGAGTCGGGTTTATCTTCTTCTTCTCTCCTGCAATAGTTCCTTATTAATACCTTACATATTATAAGTGTAGATCAGGGGTCTCCAACCTTTTTTAGAAGACAAAGACTTCTTAGTTACTCAAGCTGCCTTGATCGGCTGATATACCTAAATGTCTAATTTATAATAGTTTATGGTCATGCCTACTATTAGTTTTATTCCAAGTAGGCCAAACCATATTCATTAATGAACTTGGCTGTTGCCTGTGTTAACTGTAAAGTCTTCAAGACCTGGCGATTAACTTCTAGATTCATATATAGGCTGTAAAAGTGTCAGAACAAAATTTGTTTCAGTTACAAAAGAAAGCTATTTAGCACCAACAGGATGTCTCGCCATGATTTTTCAAGCCTTTCTTCATGAAATATTAAGTATTAATATTTCCGTCTATATACAACCTCAATGCGTACATTTTGTACACAAAAACTTGTATAATTTTGCTTGGATAAAATAAAAGCTTTGTAGCCAAAACTTCATCCAACATCCTGAACACAAGACCAGTTACTTTGAAATACAGTTAGGATACAACAGAGTCAAATTCAACAATGCACTCACTGAACTCTACAAGGTAGAACAAGCGATTTGGGAGAGCAGTAAAAGGGTTTTCACTGTTAAAGCCTATTACTGCATCAGGGATTTACATCAAAACTGTACCGTGATAAAATGAAAAAAAAAAAATAAAGATTGTGAATTTGTTTGTTTGTTGTTGTTGTGAATAAGTTTGTGAGGCCTATTCCAAGGCCTCGGTGATGTATTAGGACTAGTACATTTTTATTAGAACGTTTTTTTGTTTTTTTAGGTTATGAACCGTTGACGTTGGTTGATTTGATTTGATACCTATTTTTATGAGGCTTGAGAACGCTTATGAATTTAATACAACAGTTTTCACTAAAAACTTACGTTACAATTTTTTCTTCTTTCTTTGCTGGATATATTGATAGATCTTTTCTACGAATTAGTTGCTTTTTCTCTTCATCTTTTTTCTCCTCAGCAGCAGCGACTGAGGCAGTGAAAAGTCCTGCGGAAGCAATTGGATAAACTACCTTTCTAATAGCCTGAAAACAAAATGAAAAATGAGAGTTTATTGTTAGTTTTATTCAAAAATAGACTATTGATATTTATTGTTTATAATGTCATAGTAAAATAGACCTACCTATTAAACAAAAAATTATTTTGTTTCCTAACAAAAAACCCAATAGGCCTATTTATTCTTTGACTGTCATTACTCTTGAAAAGGACGAGCAGTAGGCCGATAACACTGAATCAAGTGAGGTTCTTTATACAAACCATTGTTTCTATTTTAAAAAGAGTAAAGAAGAGTCCCGATTAATCGATCCTAGATTATCTGTCCTTCCAGGTTTCAACATAACACAACAAATGATGACTTTTTAAAGAAAATCTCTTTGATAATAACTTACAGTGAAATAACCTTTATGTGAAGGATCGAGTGAAATTATGTGCAATTTCCATATTCTATAACTGTACATTGTAGACACTGATGGGTCCAAGGTAAGACTAGGGGGTACTGTTGCGGAACTGCAATGAAACCTTGGAGGAATTGGCCGCACTCACTCATATTTTGGTTGGTGCTCGCAAAAATCTCAGGAGACCATATACAAAAGAATGTGTAAGTTATCTTTTCTACACTGCTATCCAAGTAACTCTGAAAGATCTCAATTCAAATCAATTACACCCAAAGGTTATCTCCGGGATTTACTTGTTTCGATGTTGGAATTGGAAAGGAAAAATGATTTGACACTCTGTTGGGTAGGCCTACCTGACTGACCTTCGGTTTCTGAGAATGTAACAAGGAAGCTGACAGACTGAGACTGGTCGCTTGAGAAACAACATTGTTTGTCCTCATCATACTAAAGGATGTGTGCAACTCCATCGTGTCATGGGTTACTGAAGAATATGGAGGGAGATGGGTTGAATACCGTTTTAAAAGTAAGCTTTCCCTTTATATACGGGTTGCCTTAACTTAGATAGGTATCCAGAAATTTTATTAATTAGGATGGAAGAAAAATTAGACTGATCACCAGCATGTTTAAAAAAGAAACAGTAACTTAACAAACGGGTTTGTAAGATAGACCCAAAATACAGGAAGTGCAACTGGCAAAGTTAGGGAGGACTGTCACTTTGCCTTTTGACGACGAGGCAAAGACAGATAACTCTAATGGCAATCTGGTAAGACGGAGTCACCTTCCTATAAAGGAACTTATCAGTAAAATGCTGCAGTTCATCAGGTGCTTTGACTTTGAAGGTCTCTGAAAACATCAACTGACTGAGGTACGGAGCAATTTTCCATACCCAGATGAATCGCCTTGGGACTTTGGCTCGCCTATTCCTGGTAAGATAGAAAACATCGAGACACAACCTTCTAAATCACTGCAGAGCAGGATGCTCCAAGAGAGCTTATGTAGGTTAGGCTATACTGTTAATACATAGCATAAATAACAATAAATGTAACTTCATGTGGGTGGACAATACCTTTATACCATGTATCCATCGATGACCAGTAGTGACTGGATAGATTTCGTCAAAGAAAAAACATTTTAGTTTTAATACTTTATATATTTATGCGGTTAACATGGCTGTAGATTACAAGGTCCATTCACCATTTTCCTCTGTGAAATATTCCTTCATGGAGGACAGGGGCCGCGCCTTGAGTAGCTCCTCTACTCTCTTTTTAAAGCTCTTAAGAGGGAGTGACTTTATGTCCTGGTGCAGGTGGTTATAAAGTCTGATGCCAAGGACTGGATAACAGTCTTTTTGTTTACTAAGCCTGCAGAAAGGAATGCTCTAACCACTTGATTTTGGAACATATGTGTAGAATATCACTTGAGGCAAGATGATTTAGGGATTAGTGCTTAACTAGGAATAATATAAATATTGTTCTTCATTCCAACAAGAAAATATTCCAAAATCTTGACTAACCTAAAACTAAGTTAGGCCTAGGCATACCAAATTATTACAGAAAAATGTACTTACCATTTTATTAAACATTATTTTTTAGCATGTATGTTAAATCTTACTATTTATTCAACTTTTTCAATTTCAGGTCGACCTTTAAATCACTAAAATGTCCCAGAAGTTAACAACAGCCGATTTTTCGAAGGATAATAATTAATTATTCAGAAATTTGGTTATTTATTTTAATCACCTGATTGAGAACAAGGAGTACCAACATGAAAAACCAATTGCCGAAAAAATTTGTTCACTTCATAAGCTTTGGTTTTAGCTTCAAAATAATGGTGATACAATAATATTGACTAATTTTAAAGGTGAAATTATATATTTTTTTAATATCAACACTTAAATAACTGAACCTAAAAATACCAATAAGAAATAAAGAATAACGTTAACGTTCTCACTAGCTAACCTTGAATCAGCTGTTTTGTTTTGATTCAAATCTATTCAACTTGATAAGAACATTACTACTTTTTTTCTTCCACAGACGCACATTTTCTTCGCACATCACATCTGCTTTCTATTTGTCGTCTGCTCTGCTGGCTGCTCCTGTCATGTATGCCGTTGTTGAGGTTAGGTCTTCTGAGTTGAAATAAAGGATACTATGTATTAGGATGACAAATTTAAATTTTCTGGAGTGTTGGTTTTAGGTTGTATTGTGTTAAAGCCTTTTTAAAATTTTCCTGCGTAAAAAATCTATTCAAATTATATTCTATAGTAATATTTGTTGACCCTCAGATTTAGATGGGATAACCTTTTTGTTTAGTTATAATTGATGGTCATTAAAAGAGTCTGGGACATTATACTTTTAAGGATTCCTGTGACCCAAGTTAGGTAGAATCTTGATTAATAATGATCGGAGAAATTATATCTTCTCTCGGTGATAACCCTTATTTCGGGGCTGGATTTGGATTGTTTGGGATCGGAGCTGCTGCTGCAATAGCAAGGAGAGGGTTACAAGGCGCAGTAATCCTTTTGCGAAGACATTACATGATTACCTTAGAGGTGCCATGTCGGGACAAGAGTTATCAGTGGTTGTTGAACTGGATCACAGTAAGAGGTGCCAGAAAAACACAACATCTTAGTGTTTCAACAAGTTTTGAACAACATGACACTGGACATGTGAAAACCAAGTATGATTTTATACCGAGTGTTGGCACCCACTTCTTTAAGTAAGTATGGAATAGGCCTATAGGCCTACATATTCACTACCTTTAAAGTACACAGCATTATAAACTTAAGTTTTGTGAATACGAAGCCCTGTAACTTTTTTTTTTCGTTGGTAGCCTTTTTGTCCGTTATGGGTCTATTCAAGAAGAGAGCCGCCTGCCACTCTTGCAGCATAAAGGTAAGGTTAGTATGGATCAGTTAATATTAACTTACAGTAGTTGATGATAATGAGACACAAAATATCAGGTACTTTGGTGTCATACGGAGGCCACATATTCTACTGTGTGCTGCGGCGGTTAAATGTTAGGTTTCAACACCTAACATCAGTTCAACAATCATAAATATGTCTGTAGGAATTTTCTCGTTTTGTGAAAACCCAACCTAACATAACCGCCACAGCGGGGGGCTGTATATTGTGATCCTAGTCACTGCCGCAAACATTTTATCAGTATAGTTCACCTTCTTACTGTACCGGCTCACCCCTTCCTTTGCTGGATACGTTCCACGCACAGATCAGTAGTCTATGTGGACGGGCAAGGTTAAAAAGCAATGATTAAATGCAAGGTTAAAAGAGGCCGCAAACCTCTTAAAAAAAAACAAAGTACCAAATATCATTTACAGAATTTGACCTTTTTATAAACTCATGAAAAAGAGGACACTAATAAAAATTGTTGTCTTTGAAACTATTTATCCATAACAAATTACACAACATATCAACTCGCTTTTATAAATAATGTTACCTTGTTTGATATTACAAAAAAAAAAAAAAAAAAAAATCTAAAGTGAACCTCACCGAACTGCTGCATAACGTGTAAAAGATTCTTTGAAAAAGGCCCAATGGCTTTAATTGTTCATATTCAATACGTACATATAATCGCTATTATATTGCATATAAACGATATCCAAAACCAGTGCTCGATGTGCAGAGTTCCGGTACCTCTTTTTCAGAAATGATAAAATTATTTGAATAAATAGATATACTAATCACATTAAATAGGTTCCAGTATATCATTTTTTACAAATCGAGCACTGTCTGATACTATATAGGCCTAGGCCTATACAGTGAACCAATATTTCATCCAAAGATCCGATAATATAGGCTCTCTGCGGAGCTGTACCCAAATAGAACGTAAAACCACAAAAAATTAGGCTATGGCAAATCAAACTGTGTAGGTACATAGCTATTTTTTTTTTCAGCCTTTTAGTTTATAACAGTTCAGTCTTATTTTTATGTTAGTTACATGTGTTAAATAAAATAATCTTTTTCTAATAATTAAATAAAATATTTTATTACTTTAGATACCAAGGAACATGGATAAAGGTTGAGAGAACAAGAGAACAGTCAACAATAGACCTTCACATGGGAATACCATTCGAGACTGTTACACTGACCTCATTTGGAAGGAATAAGCAATTGTACTTCAACATTTTAGAAGAGGGTAAGTTGATTTGAATTAGTGTTTGGCATGGTGAGTTTAATTAATGCTCCATGAGCAATTTCAAAACGTGTGCACTCTGGACATGACTTTTACGTTGAATAGGGGACAGATGATAATTTAGTGTAGCATAAGCTAGATTCATATAAATTCTACTAGTAACTACCTATTGCTTCAGTCCTTACACAGTTAAACAGATTTCCCTGCAAAATTGAGTAGTCAATTCTAACTTACAGTCATCCCTCAAAAATTCTAAGCTTTGTAGTCTGGCAATGATAATTAACAGCGGTTCGTGTGTGTTCCGCCGGTAGTCTTTTCAACAGGAAACAGCAGCTTGCCAGAGACATGAGTCGCCTATCCTCCGTATTAGACACTCTCGTCATTGCTAGTTTTTGTTTTAGTAATTTTTGTTAACTTCATTGTTTAAACTGTAGGCCTACCAAATGCTTAGTAGTTAATAACAATGCATCAGAAAATAATGGCCATATTATGTATATCTTGATCAAATGCATTAAGAAAAAACCTATCTTGATTACCAAACCAACCTGGTCTCTTACCTCTTGGATTATCGAGAGACAATGTATTTTTATTCATGCAGCCATATTTGATTGCTAACCCCCATGTTTTCTAGCCAGGCAAATAGCTCTGACCGAAAATGAAGGGAAGACTGTCATGTATATTGCAATGGGTTCCGAGTGGAGGCCTTTTGGACATCCGAGGAAAAGACGCCCTTTGAATTCAGTGGTTCTAGATCAAGGAGTTTCCGAGAGGGTTCTAGCTGATATCCGAGAGTTTATTGGGAACCCTGGATGGTACAATGAGAGAGGTTAGTGTTTTTTGTTTTTTTATTTGCTTTAAGTGTTTTGAACCTGTCAGTTCAGTTTGGATCTGTAAATGAAAAAAACGTTTAAGAAGAAGAAGTGTGTAAGAAGAAGAAGTGTGTAATAAGAAATGTTTAATTTAAAAACAATTTTGAGTCCGTACACAAAGAACTTAAGAATCAGAGGACTTTCCATAATTGAATATCCGGTCTCGAGGATGAGAATATGTTGATGGCACTGCCGCCTTGACTAGGCCGTTTTGGGTAACCTATTGTTTGGGGTGTTCAATGGTTGGAATCTAAAAGCTGTCAGTTATAAGACAAAAATAGTTTTTTGTTATTTCAATCACTGTCATACTCACAGTCTATTGAATAATTGACGTTTGTTTTCTAAACATGATCTTTATTGTATTATGAAATCTATTTCGTCGTCTGCTCCATTACATTTCTTTGGCCAAGCTACTCCCTGTGCCATGGCCATGACAATTATCGTTGCCTATCTGATTTTCCAATTGATATGGAATTTTTATGGTTTCGGTCAATCTCAGTTTCGGTTTAACAAAGTGAGGTTAAAAAGGGTTTTACTGTGGATGTAATAGTATTTTGTTTTTCAGGAATTCCGTATCGTCGAGGGTATCTTCTCCATGGACCCCCGGGCTGTGGTAAGTCGTCGTTTATCACAGCTCTGGCTGGCGAGTTGGAGTTCGGCATCTGTGTTCTGAACCTGAGCGAGCGAGGACTGAGTGACGACAGACTCAACCATCTACTGAGCGTCGCTCCCCACAACACAATCATACTGCTGGAGGACATCGACGCTGCCTTCCTCAGCAGGGAGGAAACCAAGCAAAGTAATCCTTACAATATCCTTAGTAATTTTTAAATATTGTATCTTTAATTTAAATATGCATTGAAGTAAATTAATATGTGACTGTCCTATTTTTCTGACAAAGTTAAATATTATTGTAGACTAATTTTGGTGAGTCGGTGGCTCAGTTGGTAGCATCCCGGACTTCGGGCCCAAGGCAGCGATGTCGTGGGTTCGGATCCTGGTCACTGCCACAAACATTTTATCAGTACAGTTCACCTTTGTACTGTACCGGCTCACCCCTTGCTTTGCTGTATACGTTCCACGCACAGATCAGTCTATGTGGACGGGCAAATGCAAGGTTAAATACCCCCGCCGCAGCAAACCTGCAGACTAAGCGAATTTCCATTAACCTGATTGGATTTACACTAAAATGCCTCCATAAAAATAGCACATTTATTTCCTATTTAAATAGAATTAGTTTAACGAGTACTTAGGTATGCTGCAACAGGGAGGGTAAAAAAGAATTTTTTATAAAATGATAATAGTTTAGTAAGAAATAAAAGTATTTTCCAAAATCGATCAAAATATGTTCATAAACAAGCAAACTACAACAGTTGACTTATTCTCCATAAGAATAACATGGGAATTTTTAAATTACAATTTTTGGAATTTTCTCCGTAACAATTAGGCGCATAATAACGCTTCAATATACTAAATTATTTGTTTTTTTAAGCTCTACAAAATGGTTTAAAAAGAAATTGTGAAATTATGTGTTTTTAGGGTCAAAAATTTAAAAAACCTATTTTTACCCCATAAAACCCCCCATAAACCCCCGTTCCCATAGTCCGATCATGCTGGTTCGCGAACTCATTCAAGTTTATCCCGCCTTACACCTTCAAACCAAATTTTATCAAAATCAGACAAAAATTACTCAAGTTATCGTGCGGATGGACACACATATATATATATATATATATATATATATCTCTATATATAGATATATAAAAATTTGAACGAATGGTGTTTTTGGCCTCTGGGGACATCAAAATGAAAAAGTAAATCGGTCCCGGGCTTAGGTCTTACCATGAGACCTACGGTAATAGCTACTTCCCTATAGGGAAATTCGCTAATAAAAAAGACCGCCAACCTCAAAAAAAAAAAAAATAATAAAAATAAAATAAAAAATTATGTTAAATTAACATGTAATTCCAGGTGACTGAACTAAATAACTTTTTTATACTGCATCGGAAACAATTGTTTTCAACGCAATTGGCCTAAAGTAGTTATTTTTTATTCATCATTGCCTACAGGATCGATTTATAACAGTAATAAATAGGTTTGTACCTTTTTGTCATCAATCCTATTACAGTTTCAGGTGACTAGCTTCATGTTCAAGAATTTGTCTTTGTATCAAATAATTAAAACACTTTGCTGTTCTTATGTTAATATACAACATTTTAACATTTAGCACACACAAACACTATGTTGAAAATGCATGAGGTAAACATTTAAATGTTGTTTTGTGGATTAGTTAGTTAGCCAAATGATGAGGTATTGCAAAAAATATAGTTCATCACATGGGCCTAAAGTGTCTTTTCAACCTTGGAGCATTTTCCAACCCCTGCTTTGCCTCAGTAGTAAAACTTGACAAAAAGAGCCACTTTAGGCCTTGGTGGTTAATATACCTATTTATGTTTTTTTATTTTATTTTTTTGTTTTCCAGTGTCCTCTGCGTATGAAGGACTCAACCGTGTAACGTTCAGTGGCCTCCTCAACTGTTTGGACGGAGTTGCTTCTACTGAGGCTCGTGTTGTATTCATGACCACAAACTACATCAATAGGTACCAAGCTATGCCTGTAGGCTGTAATACTGAATATTGGAAATTGTTTTAGTTGTACAGTTGGTAAAATAAAATGAAATGCGTAAAAGCTATGTTGAAATTTGAGGTAGTGGATTTAAAGTCAAACTACATAGTCGAACATTTCAAAGGCTGTTGAGATAACAAAATCCTATTTTCATCAACCAACTAATTGTTACAAAACATGTATTAATCATTAACTACCAACTCATACATGAACATATATCTCAGTTTATACTAGAGTGTTAGCTACAAAAAGTTTATTCACTGTACCGCTAACTAAAACTGGATACTAATAACTCTACTACCCTTTGAATCCTACTCGAAAGACTCTCTCAAAAAGAGTATCAAGGATTATTTGTTAGATAACCAATGTATGCACAAGACCAAAACAAAAATCTCATCTACCGGGTTGAGAAAATTTCTTTTTGATCCCGCTTTTATATAATGAAAAATCCCGTTTTATCCAGCATTTCTCTGTTATATTCAGATTGAACTTTATGGTGCATCAAGTTTAAATAGCTCCTCAAACCTTGCTATTATATGTACTGTGCAAGAATAATTTAATCAATTAGGGCTGGTTTTTAACTGAATACATGCTCAGAGCCAAAAATCTGATCCCGTTATAATCCCAGTCATAGTCCGGTTTTTGGGATAAAAATCTTGGTATGGAAATATTGTAGATAACCCTTACTACTTTTTGGTATTGTGAAATAATTTGATTACCACCTATCTATCATCTTCGTTTTGACATGACCTGACAAATATTTTTGTAAATTTATTTTGTTAGTTAAAAAGATTTTTTTTTGTATGTTTGCAACAATGAGACGAACAATTTTCTCACCATTATCCTTTACTAGTGTACATGTTGCTCGAAATCGGGCAATTGCAAGGAAGTAAAGTAGTTACAGTATTTAAAATAAATAACTTATACATCTAATTTATTTTTACATTGTTTTAGGTTAGACCCAGCACTTATCAGACCTGGCCGTGTAGATTTGAAGGAGTATATCGGCCACTGTACAGCTCACCAAGTAGAGCAGATGTTCTACCGCTTTTACAAGACGACGGACACAGAAACAGCTGCTAGGCTAGCTGCAGCAATAACAGCTCAAGATAAACCTCTCTCGGCCGCTCAGCTGCAGGGATACTTTATGTTGTACAAACACAGCTCGTTTGATGAAATCATCAAGAACGTACCTCGAATCTGGGAGTATTGTTAGTCACAAGTCTATTGTAGTGTAAATATTTATCAGTAAAGTATTTTTTTTAACATTATCATGCAAGCTATTTCCAAACCTGTTGCCTCGGGAAACGTTGTGTTTGCAAAATATTAGGTTAAGTTTGGCTTAGGTTTATTTTACTATGCTGATACGTACGTATTTTATTGAATAAGTGAATGATATGTGTGGATTGAATTTATATATACAATAGCCAAATTATAGAAATGTTTGGCTATCCAAGTAGATGGGTAGGCTGCTGGTTGGATTCAAAGCTATTTTTTTCTGTTTTATCTCTAAAAACTTTTTACCTTTTTTGGCAAAATGGTTTAAAATACTTAAAATAAGATAGCTTTTATTGGGTTAACGCAATAGAGCGGATTCATAGTAATTTAGTTTTTCCCCCATCAAGTAGAATGCAAAGAAATATTAATTTATTTTAACATTTTGAAGGATTAAACGTGTAATTGATAGATTATGCTCTAAAAATTAACAGATTTGATTGATAAAGAAAAAAAAACTAACTTCTGAACAGATTTAATTTGCCTATTTCTTGTGACTGGTTTATTTGTTACAAATGTTCATCACGTTTTAGTAGTACCCAAAGTCAGGACTGTTGAAGACGTTGACTACAGCTTGTACGGAAGACCTGATAGTTGCCTCAGTCATACCAGAGGCGGTGTCAGTGATGAGAGGTACAAAGTATTCCAGCACTGGATCGGTTGTTGACATTGTCACATTCGGATCTCTGCAAAACAAAGAATAAATCAATCAAAAGGTGTTTGGCGTTAGTCTTTTATCTATGTCTCAAAATATTATAGTTAGAAGAAGATTCCTGTGTTTTATACTAGTTATAAAGCTTGAATTACGTGTATACTTAAGCGTAGACTGAAAATATGTAGACTGAAAGCCAACACTTTAATCAGAAGAGATTAACCTTTGTAGAACTCTAACTATCCAAATCAATTGAAACCGTATCACATTCGGATAGTCAAAAAATTAGGATAATTAGATTTTTACCAAAATTTAGGGTATTTTGCAGCAAATAGGCCGCCGAGTCAAGCTGAGCCTATACTATTGCGATCACAGAACGCGTCTGCGGAGATTTCACGATTGAAAAACTCACGATGTTCCCACGATCACGAAGGAGGATTATGATTTTCAGTGACCATGGGAGATAAATATAATGTTTACAAGACCGTGGAAGATGTGAAAGATTTTGACAGCAGGTAATTTCACCAGTACACGTTTTGATCAGTGATTCGGAGGCTTAACTCAAACAAAATGAAGATGAAAGATTTTTCTGCAATCCCAAAAAACTATGATGATGTTTCCATGACCGTGGGAGACTATGATTATGTCTAGCAGGTGAGGTTTTGGATTTTTCTTCAATCTTCTACGTCTTCCTTTATTTCGGTGGCTTGAATTTTTTTTTAAATTCTTTCTGTAAGCGATTTGGTTAATCAGCAATTCCAATAGTTGGAGTTTGGATAATTTTAGTTCTAATGGAAAAACCTCAATCAGTTTGGACGATTTTCAAACTGTTATTATCATCATATTTATATTTATTACACTTTTAAATGGGGACAGCTGCTTGGAAGTGCATACAAATTGACTACAATTAGTTTAAGACGTCTTAAAAATGTCAAAGAAAATCTTACTTTATCTCTTTAGTAATACAGCGACATACGTTTTTTGTATTTTGAACATAGTATATTGAGTAAGATTAGTTTGTAACTATCTGATAGCTTATGAGCTGATGACGATAAAATAAATCAGTAACCACCAGTATGTTCTTATATAGTACACATTTTAAAATTATTTGCACTAAATCACTTACTTAGTAGTGCCACTGTCAATACTGATATCGTCAAGAGTCACCATAAGGTTAGCAGAACTGACAGTGAGAGTGACACTGATGGTGAGCCCTGGTGCCGAGGTAGTTACTTGCCCTTTGTGTTTGCGACCGTAGAACGCTACCTCCGCCGTATAGTTGGCCTGTGTTAACATTGGTTGATTAAAATACAAAATTTGTTGTTAAAACATTCTCCATCTCTTAAAATTTAAAATGTACAAAACCTCGATTATGCGATTATTTTCACTCTTGCAAGTTAATATGCTATGTACTTGCATCACTTTGTCTTGCAAGCAATGTTTGGTGATATCTGACCCTTTATATAGATTAAATTCCGAATATTGCAGTTCCTGTGTGTGTGTCCACCGACATGACTACTTTTGATCGTACTCAAGAGATACAGACATTTTGACTAAACTTTTTTTGTTCTATTGTGATGCATACTACACAGAGACACCTCATATTTGCTAAATTTTCTGCCATTTCTGGTACATTAGACTCCATTTTATCCGGACGCCTTTTAACCGGACATCAGGTTAACTCGGTAGAAAGTGTCATCCTCTTCAATCGGACAATCTTTATTAGCACAACGGTTTAACTAAACAGGATCGGCAGGAAGTGGACGGTAGTGAAACCACTTATCTAGCAGGAAAACTTTGAAACCAGTGATCTCATGTCTAGTTTTATTACTTTTACGTAATAATTGTTATTAGTTTATATAGTATGCATTTGACGTTCCTAATATAACGAGTTTCAGGGGACTTCGGTTTGACAAGTGTTACATGAGAGAGTCTACTGTATTTCATTTTTATATTTCATTTATTATTTTTATTTTATTTGTGACAATGGCTTAATACGTGAAAACGTTTTTCAATCAAAGGGCAATATTAATTATTTGGGTAGCTAAGTGGTTTCAGTGCTCGCCTTCAAATCTGAAAGGTACTAGTTTGAACTCGTTAACAAACAATAAACGTAGGTTTACATGTTCGTACAAAGTTTTATCAAAATCGGATACTTTTTATCCAAACGGACACATATTAACTTGAACAGATGGTGTTTTGGCCTCTGTACTTTGGGGACATCAAACCGAAAAATCAATTCCGAGGCTAGATCTTACTATGAGACCTAGGTTAATAGCTTATTCCTTGTAAGTTTGCTAATATTGAACGAAAACCTAGCAGTGAAGAAGACTCCTATGGACGACCAAAGGATATACAAGATAGTGAAAAGTTGAAATAATTGTTTCAAACCTGCACTGGTTCAGTGACAACTGTTGCATATATTGAGAGGTTCTTTGTTGATTTGTTGTAACTGATAATAGCATCACCTCTCCTTTGCATCATGTTTACTCCTGTTAGTGCTGCATGAGACAACTTCAATGTGTACTCTACGTTCAATATCAGGTATCCCTGGAATCCAAAAGACGATACGGCATTTTACATGATACTGTACAAGCCAAACAAAAGACTACTGTTGCATTTTGACAGTAAGCCCTACTAGCAGTTAATTTCTAGCTCAGATAATGTCTTTGATATTTTTGTAACTACAGTGTGTATCAAGGAACCTGTCTATCTGGGATTGGACGGGGCTTTGACTACCAGCCAGTCTCTTTGTAGACGGAGGCAGGTAGAGAGGCAGGTCCTATCATCTCTAGTCTGACTTGTTATGATAAACTGTTATGGAAATGAATATTTAAAAACAAAATTTATGTGGTTTTATTTAACTTAAAATCTGCTACATTTTTGGTAAGAGAATTAACACAAAACTGTAAACATTTCATACATAAACAAAAAACAATCTTAAATTAAACAGCTGATGAAATATTTGAAAGTTTAATAAAAAACAAAGTGGGTACGTGCCCTAAGCCTAGCATTAGTCACCGTTGTGATGGCCACTTTATTATCTGCCGAGAAATGAGAAATTTTGATACATCAGTTGGTGACTTCTCACTGTAAATACTTATTTTGAGATTGAACTTTACAAGAAGGTGAAAGCATGAGCTGGTGCATCTTTTTGTATCAACATATTTGGTTATTTGTGGTTATTTGAGAAAACCACTGAAAACATTATCTTTGTTTCAATTTATTTCACAGTAAATTTTCTTCTGGAAAAAATATTGAACATATTGTGGTTGGAAGATTCTCTTAGAACTAGAACTGAAAAGAGATAACTTTGTTCTGGACTCACCCATGTTCCTCTTGTGATGTAAAATGGAAGTCTGGTTTGCGTTGTTGAGTTTTTGTTTATAATTTCAATTGTTTGGTCGACATAGCTGTTGAACTGATCAACCAACGATGTAGGCCAACTATAAATAATACCAGTAGATGATATCATGTCACTATTGGTCCATAGAAATAATAGGCCTGCATACAATTTGTATTTCTTCCTTAGAAATTTATAACAAATAATTATGATAAAGGAGGATGAGGCTACAAATTAATTTGTTGGTACGACGACCACAAATTTGACCTATCACTAATACTGCACACACAGAGGTGTATTCCAAAACTTTCCAGTGCGGAAACACTCATTATCGTAAAATAAAGGGTCTTCTATCAATAAAAGGGTTGTTCAGAAAGTAAGAAACGTTTCTGATAGACGCACCTTAATCGTGAAATTTCTAGTAGAGACTTATTTGAAAGTTGACGTCCGAAATTTTGTTTTTTCATGACAATAAGCAACCTCACATGGCAAATCCTCCACAATCTCTCCTTCATTCATTAAAATTTGAGATTTCTCCTTAACCACCCTTTCATGACCATGACGTGTCCCTAGGGTACATTTCCCAACTTTCACGCTGTTTTTAGACTTATTATTCATGCCGAAATATATAAAGCCATATTTTTATGTCATCAATAGTTATTAAACTTACATAAAAGGAGCATATTATAATTTTAATGTTATTGCAAACTGACTACCATGACAAAATAAGTCTGTCCCTCGATTTGGCGTCATGACCATTTGGGGAAAATTTTCAACTTTGGAGCACGACAGTGGCAAGCCTGGCATCGATTGCGTCAGTTCGTTTTAGAGACTAGTTCGGGGTGTACGTCAGGATTGTAGTGCCGGTCGTTTCGAGTTGAAAGGAGGAATTACAAGATTAATAAAGGAAAGATTGTGTTTTTTGTAATTTTGGTCTGTCCATGACCATACGTAGTCATTCGATGAAGTAGACATGGTGTTAATTTTTGTTTATAAGATATTTCAATTGCTAGATTAACCTAGAAGTCCACTTTGTATCGAGTCTCAGGTAAGTTTTTTCGGAGTTATACAAACTTAAAAAGATTGTATTGGCTTTTTTTTCAATTTTTTGAGTTTTTTTATTTTTTCCTAGAAAGACCAAATATACCAAAAGCTCAGTGACCTTTTCATTGTATAATGGTCATAAAAGTAAATTAGTTTATAGCAAAACATAGTTATAAAAATAATATTAACCATTTTTAATATTCATTTAAATGTCCGTTATGGTCGTGACAGGATTTTGTGTTTTTCCACTAAAGATGCTCTTTAAAAAAAAACTATCAAAGATATTGCGTTACCATGGACATTTTATGAAACTTCAAATGTTAATGAAATAAAAAAAATAAAAGTTTTGAAAAAAGGGGAAAAAAATTTTCAAAGTGCTTTTCCTGAAAACGTACGTTTTTAAATTTTCACTCATTACTGTATATAGTGAATGTTTTGAAGACCATTACAATAAGCAAAACATACCAAAACAACTCTACCTAAACAATTTACCTTTCATCTTGAATATTATTTCTGTAAATTGCACTACTGGAACACTGTAAAATGTAAGAGAAGATGAAAAGAATACACCCACTTTTAGTTGTCATATCTTTTGCACTTTGCAAATGTAACCAGCAAAAGTACACATTTAAGATGTCTGAGGAAAGGAATTATCTACTTTTATCTGTACCAATTAATCACTCAAGATAAAATGCAACAACATTGAGTACTTAGTGAATCATTTCCAACTATCAATGGTCCTTGGTTTGAGATTTATAAACTACCTGTTGTAATAAAACAGATAAGAGTACAATTTAATTTGGCCACTATAAGTGGAAATGAACCCTATTATAGGGTTCATTTCCAGATTATATGAGACTGAATTGGTGGAGGATTGGTCTTATTGGTGGAGTCATTGCAAACGGTGCTATTAGTGTTCCATTGTGTGAGCTTTTTTCACCTTTTTTTAGATTATAGTGTTTTGTGATTTGTTATTATTTGCATGTTGTATCATGACTTGACTGCTATACAGTGCATATTTTTTGACTGCTACCTTCTGTAGTGTATTCCAACTTAGGTTGGGCGTTCGTGTATTGTTAGTTGTAATGTGTTAGTTAAGTTTTTTCACCTGGGGACGGGATCAGATTCCAGATCCCGAAACGTTGTGTATTGTTTTTTACAATCGTGATAGAAAATGTCCGCAATAAACCTTTGAACAACATTAACTCACCATCGCCAACAATGAACTTCAAACAAAGAATCTATGAAAGGAATCAACAGTTTATCCATAGACTAACCAACACAAGTATGTTTTATCTATCTTTTATCTTAGGGAAGTAAGCAAACACTTATGAATCAAAACAAAAAGCTGATGTATATTCAATATTTTAAAAGTGATTAAATTCAACCCTTTAATTAAGGTCTGTGCCCTAGGAGATGGATTGTCAAAAAAACTAAAATATTTTGGGGAAGTTTCTCATCAAGACATTCAAGTATGCAGTCAATAGCTGTGTGACTTACAATTTTATCAACAGTTTGTGATCCTTATTTGTTTTATATATAGATTTTTCATATTTAGTTGAGTTATTAATTTGTTTAGTTGAGGTCATGAGTTGAGTTACAAAAAAATTATATTTCCTAGCAAATCATAATATCCTGAGAAAAGTGTGTAGCTTTTTGATGGTTCAAAACTGGACCAATGGTGCTTGATCATTGGGCTTTGAGTCTTAGTCAGTAACAAAGCTATGACACTCTGTTCTAGACTCATCCTCCATTCATTATCTGGGTTAAAATGCAAACCTAGGTGGCGTCCCCATATTAAATGATAATAATAATTAATAATGTAACACTATACATTCATTCTGTTGTGTTTGAATTAGAATTTAAATAACTTCCAAATTATCAAATGTGTTGTACCAGCTGACTTTAATAATATTCTAAAGTGATTGATTTTAAGTTCAAAGTGTTAATGTTAGGTTATATTTATCTAATGAAAATTTTTATCAAAATGAAAATTATCATAATACTCTTTATCCTCAGTAATACAGTAAAATGCCAAAATAGTTGCTCTGAAAGTTTTCATTGCAGCTGGTGTGGGTTTTGTGCTAGTAATGAAACTAATGAGAAACCCACTTGCTTCTTCTACCCATTTGATAAATTTAAAACAGAGAAAACTATTCCGTCTTGCCTTAAGAAAGACGACTGTACAAACAAAAATGTCTGTAACGGTGGCAAGTGTAAAAGTGGTAGACTTATTTACCAAAACCCTAGTTGTGTTTGTAACATTAAAACATTTTATGGAGAACAATGTACGTTCAAAATTCCAAAAGGACTAGAATATCGTTTTGCAACGGGTTTACAAGTGTTCTTGAACTTAGTAGATGGCGTTGGCGTTGCGATGAAAGAAAAGATTTATAAAGTACAAGTTTATGTTTCGGCCGTATACAGTGGAGAGGAATGTGAAGTCCTAGTGTTGTCCAGTGAAGGTTTTAGTGTAAAAACTAGACTAAAATTAAGTAATTGTCACACCGAGTTATATCCTTTTAAACCCAAATCTGAGTGCATAGATAATTCTTACCTTCAAAACATTCCAGACGTTAATAATGTGTATATGGTTGAAGTGGATTTTCCGTACAAACATGATGCCCAGTATTATTTACACAACAACCAAAAAGTTGCGTTGGGTTATCAAGCCAAGTTAGAAGTCTCCGTCAGTAACATTCATGCTAATGTTTTTTCACACACTTACTTTACGATGATAAACTTTCACGCTTTAGGTTATGATATTGGTAGTATGGTACCTGGAATAAAAATGAGACCATGCTCTAAATCCGTTCATTCACCTTCTGTGTTTTTCCGTTCTGACTACATCTCTTGGGAAGCTACACTCTCGCATGTAATGGAAGAAGCGAGACTTGACTGGGGCGTTTGGAAAACATACACAATAACAAACCCCGTATTGACATATATCAACTACAAGAGAAGCGCTACTTCATGGGTTATCTCTCCGTTTCAGCTCGAAGCAGGGACGTACAAAATGAGACTTAAAGTAATTAATGTTCTAGAGACTAAAACCACAGCTAACTTTTTGGAGTGTTATTTTGAAGTTAAAAATCAAGCGTTGATTGCCTATCTGATTGGTGGCAATAAGAGGGTTGTGTCAATAGAAGAAGGTATTTACCTATCTGGATGGAAGTCCTACGATCTTAATGAACCCCAAAGTCAAAGAGCTCAACTTCGGTTTTCTTGGTCATGTAAACCACGATGTAGTCAAATAATACAAAATGAAGGTATTAGTATGAGAGTTAACTCCAGTAGTTTAATTGTTGGTAAAACTTACACATTTACACTCTCTGTGTCTGCTCCTGGGTTGGAAACGGCTTACGCTTCTCAAGAAATTCTTGTCATCGACCAGGATTTCGGGATAAGCATATATTGCATACAGAATTGTTTAAAGAAAGTTATACCAACAGAACCGTTATTGCTAGAAGCCAAATCCACACTCAATACCAAAATAACAGCCAGTTTAACATGGACCTATACCATCGATAATGAGGAAAATGTTAGAAATATTGAACTGATTTATGATAGTAGTTCCCCCTTAAATATGCTTGGTATAAGAGAAAACGTGTTAAAACCTGGGAAAAAATATAATTTTCACGTTTCATATAAAGATTTAGCAACTAGTTTTCAAATACAAGTGGACAAGGCACCACAAAATGGATCTTGCTCTGTGTATCCTGAAAGAGGAATAGTGGCAAACACCTTGTTCAAAATAACATGTTTGGGATATGTTCATGAAGAGTCAGTCTTAGTTTACGAATACTTCAACAAACATAAATCCGAACCTATAGAGAAGCTGAATGGCATAATGCTCGGATCAGATTATAATGGAACTTTTAATGATATCAGGTTGACCAGGGGAATCATTGTGGTTTTTATATACAGTTTGTATGGTCTCCCAGCAATATCTGTTCTTGAAGTACGTCTTGACAAGAACACTGATAACAATGTTCTAGGAACAAGACTAGAACAAATCAATACACTTACTATGACTAAACATTTTGACACAGCATTGAAGAGAATTTCTCTGCTAGTTGATACTCTTCCAGAAAAGGTCGATAATAATTTTATCTTCAAAAAAATTATCAAGCTCTTCAAATTGTTCCCTATCAATAATCAATATGAGTTGAAGCTCGGATTGCTAACTTTGAAAAATGTCATCTCAACACTAACATCAAAATTTGGTTTGGAAATACAATCGTCTACAACCCACTATGCCATGAAGTACGTAAGTTCTTTGTGCAAGATCTATCAGAAGAATACTCTAAAAAATACCGTTCCTTATATTACTCAGTCGATGTTGAACGATTTGACAACAGAGATTGTTGAAGCTGTTGGGTCTCTGGTTGTTAAAATGGATAATAACACATTTGACAGTGGTAAAATTGTTTCGGCAGACCTGTACCATCTGGAAAAGATTGGTAAATATGCAGATGAAGTATTTGATAGTATTTCTTATGTCCTTGCCTCCAGATACTACAAAAATCTTAAAACGTTTAATCTCAAATCTAATTCATTGCTGTATTCAATAACCCTTCTTCCTGATCTTCTGTCGGTGTTTGCAAATGACCTTCCAGGACGAGACAAATTTCATGTTGGAATTTCTTCAGATTTATTGAAAAAACTGAAAGTACCAGATGTCTTAACAATTCAAGCTACAAACATAAATTTTAATCCATTTTTAATCAATATAAATATAGGAAAACTATCAACAGAACTCATTCGTCTTAGTTTGTTTAAAGTAAGCGACTACTCAGAAATAAACAAGAGAAATCAATTATCTTCTTTGCCTGAGCCCATTGATTTGTTTTTGAGGGTCAGCAAAAGATATGGAATTGGCACAATTTTTCATTCAGTAATACAACTTGATTCAAGTTTAGGTGAAGATGTTTTGGATATAAGTATGAGTGTTGTAAGAATCGATCTTCCTGCAAAATGTAAAATGTTTATTGAGTTTGCATTAAATGATACATCAGACGAATTACAAGTGCTAATCATGGAAAATTTGAGACCGAGCTATCATGATATGTTGAAAAAATCCAAAACAATTACTGCATCCTCGTTGAGTTATGCAGTTCCTTACCACAAAAAGGATGAATACACTTTTTTATACATTGGTATTATTCCTGGTCCAAAAATAGCAGTAGGAAGTTCAGTAAATTTTAAAATTAAGTTTTTTGGCAACATTTGTCTAACAAAGTTTCAACACAGTTGGATTAACAACTTTTGCTTTGTCGGGGGGAATACTGATCAGGGTACAGTTCACTGCAGATGCAACCATTTAAGCTTCTTTGGAGCGATCTTCGTCATTCCTCCAAATGAGATTAATCCGTTCAAAGACATTGAGCTATTCTTAACGGTGAAAGATAATCCGTATGCAGTTTGTTACGTTGCCTGTGTTTTGTTTTTGTTCTTACTTCTCAGTATTTGTGCTTTGGTTCAAGATCACAAACAGTGTGCAGCACGAGTGGTCTTGTATTTGGATGATAATTTCCCGAACGAAGAAAACATTTATGTCGTCGCAATATTCACAGGTAGCAAGTTAATGTCCGGTACAACTTCTAATGTCGGGATCGAAATAATTGGAACTGATTCATCAAGCCATGCCCA